AATTTAGTTTTTCTTTAAAATATACAAAGCTTCTAAAATAATTAATTATTTTAAAATTATATTAATCTTTATTACTAATAATATAATTATTTATATAAGATATAAATTATATTATAGTATCTCTAGTAAAAAAGCTAGTAACTATTATAATTTTATTAATTTTAGTAGTAATTTATTTAATATTATTTATAAAATAGATTTATAGCTTTACTAAGAAAATTTTTAGAATTTTTTATTTTTTTAAGAATAGTTTAATTTTCTCTATTTTAATTTTTTTCTAGRTAATATTATTATTAGTATATATCTTTACAACTTATTTTTTAAGTTTTTTAATTTTTACTAGGATAGATATAATATTCTAATTATTAATAGTTGTAATATTACTAGATAAGTAAAATAGAGTTATAATTAATATTGATAGTGCTAGCTCACAGATCTAAACTCTAAGAAGTACTAGTATTTATTAAGAAGTAGTTATTGCTTTCTTATTAAGATTTCTCTTTTATAATAAGGGTCTTGAATTATTATAAATTAATAATTTATAATTATCTAGATTAGAATAAATTTGTTACTTAATAGTGGTTAGATGGTATTCTATTTAAGAAAGAGTAATATGTCTAAGTAATAATAAGAGAGCTTTAGTTAATTAGATCTATAAGTAATAGTATACTTAAGATTAAATAGTTAATTTAAGATAATAGATTAAAACTAAATATATAATAAATGAGTGTTTTTATATACTCTATTATTAATATATCTATTATATCTAATTCTTAATAACTGGCTCTGATGGATCTGATTATAGCTATTATATCTATTTACTAACAAGCAGCTCTGATGGCTCTGATACCCTAATCCTAAGGTTGTGGATAATCCTTTGTTCTATCGTACATTAGCTTCCGTGCATGGGGGCCTGATTCATTGGCTGTGACTTCTTGGTTTCTCTGACAAGTATACTTAAGGTTAAATAGTTAATTTAAAATAATAGACTAAACTAAATATATAATAAATAAAGATTCTTATATATTATAGTACTCTATAGTATTAATAAAGAAACTAGACCAGTTCTCTGTTATTTTTATGTGCTCTAATAGAAAATGTCTCTATATTCTCTGTTATTCTAATCCTTAGCAGCCTATACTATAGTTTATATAACCCTTAAGTCTGTTTCTAGCTGTTCTTTTGCTTTAAGCTATCCTTTTAGCTTAAGCTATGTTTGGCTTATGTTAAACCTAGCTTGTGCTAATTCTTTATTAGATCTTATATCAATCTTGCTCTAAGCTGTATTTGCTCTAAGCCAGACTCTAACTAGGTTTAGCTTGCCGTGACCCTGGTCACTTATCTATTGGCTGTGACGTTCTCAATCTTCTGACATATATATAGAGGATCTCTACTTATATTACACACCTCTAGATTAGCCCCTTTTAGATCAGATAAGGCAGCACCTTATATATATTCCAACATATCTTTCCCTAAGCAATATTATAGAGAATGCTGTAACCTAATATAATCTTATACTATTTACAATTATCGACAAGCACCTCCTTCCTAGACATTGCATTGATATTGGCGCCCATCTCAATAAGAAGCCGAACTACTACTATATTAGGAATTTCTCAATTACACACGACTATGAGCAGCGGCTCTATTATAGGTTTAGATATCTTCGCAATATCTATTTAATTACACCACTCATAGTCATTAAATTTGCACGCGGATTCACGGATACAGACACAGTTTAGAACATCTAAGAGACTAAGACATGTAAGGATAAATAGTATAGATATATTAGCCCAGTTAAGTTCAAGATTATCCATATTTGACACTATTTCTTCCAGCACTTTATATTAACAAAGATCCACTAACTTTTACAAATAAGAAGCCCGCGATCGATTATGATATTCAACCTAGATTTACTAAGTGTTGAGCTTAGTATACACTCTATCATAGATAATATTTTACTTTCTAATTAAGACTTAGAGGCAATCTAAGCCTTAATATCTAACCCTTTAAGAAGGTCTATACTAGAAAAAAAGTAAAACTTTATTCATAATAATATAAAAAGGTATAATCTCATTAATAAAATACAGCATTATAAAATATCTTATAAATAAATAATTGTATATCTACTACTATTTACTTTATAAAGAATTAAAAAAACTAAAATTTTATATATATAGATTAGATCTAGCTATTATTATATATTATAACTACACTATTTATACTCTTTAAAATTATTAGCAGTTAGTAACAAATTAACAAAAATACTACCTAATCTTTTTCCTTTAGTAATACCTTATTAAATATCATCCTTTACAACAGCTCTCCACCACCATAATTATTTAACTTCAAAATCAGCACACACCATAATAAAGGTATATTCATATTTACCAAGTGAATTAAGATCAGCACTAGTATCTAGTAGGAAATCAACACTCTCAAAACAACCAGCGCGGCAAGCGTAGTAAAGCACTATATCATCCTCTATACTTTTCTAATTAATAAACACTTCTAATATAGCCTTTTCTATATCAGCAAGTCTTGAAAGAACAAGGCCAATGACACCAGGCTTTTAGGCGCGAGCTGCAACATGGAGCACCGTCATACCCTTATTCGTGGTTCCGAACACATCTTCGCCAGCATTAAGAAGTTTGAAAAATAATCCTAATCTTTTTCTAAGATTCCAGGTGTGCACACAAAATCATCGTGGGAGCCCGATAGCAAGTGTACTTTCTCCGCAAGGGCCAAGCAGCCAAGGGTGTTCATTTTTAACTGTTTCGATAGATGAAGAGAGACAAGGTACAGCTCTAGGTTGAAATTGGAAATTAAATAGTGACTGCACGTGTGGAGATACGAAGTGGACTTGGAAAGTCCGGCGATTGATAATATCTCCGTGTTGTTTATTTCTTCGGATTACGCATCTGAAGAGGCTAAGAGGCAAAAAGGCTGAAAGCTGCCAGACCAAGTCTCATTTCCTCAACAACTATGCTGACACGTACCCTCTCGCCCGAATAGACATTTATTCCATGTTTGGTGGTTTCCGAGGAATTCCCGAATGCGCACTGTCGACAGGATCCTGCCTCGGATTGCTAGTGGATTCCTTTTGCTTTCTTCAGTTGGAGGCTCGGAAGCATTCTAGGTAGGATCTCATTCTGTGGCGTGCAGAGATTAAAATCGTGGGAAGAAGGAAAAGAATTGCCCACTCGCTCTTAGGGTTCCCCAGGAATCTATGACTAGTACTTGGTTGATAGGTGGGTATTGTGGAGAGGCACCCCGCTTACTCGCTTATTATGGACTTTTCCACAAGGGTAAATGCAATCTTTTAGAAAATGCTGTTCTTTTATCTATGTAAATAAGATCTCATCTAATAGCCCTAGGCGTGCAGCCTTACTTATAGGCATGGTGTGCTCTATTTCTTATCTGCCTACATAGCTCTTGAATTGCCTCGCGGATACCTTGTCCTCATAAAGTTGATCAATCTCCTCGGTACTCAGTCCCATGGTGTCGGGGACATAGAAGAAAACAACAAGAATCATAAGGAAAGAAAGACCAGCAAAGGGGAACGCAGTACGAGCTCCAAGGTCTCCCGAATCGACATTGTAGATGTAAGGGACAACGAATTGTGTGACCCAGGCTGACAGCGTTTGCGAAACGACTCCTATTGACAGAGTCTTTGCCCGTAGACGGTAACTAGATAGTTCTGTAGCGATGGGCCATCCAGAGGCTTGGATGAAACTCGTTTGTAGCGAAATGAGCAAGTTCCTGATCAGATGAAAGGTGTCAGTTAGTAGGGTAAGGGTACTATATGGAAAACGAGCTATCTCACATCAAAACAGCAATAGCCCAGGTGGCGCCTCGTCCAGGTGCGTAATAAAGGCAGCCAATAACCAGAAGGAAAACGAAATTGAGACAGCAGCCGGCAAGTAGAATCCTCTGTTGGGAAAAAAACTTGCCGATCTGGCGAGAGAGGATAATTATGATCGCTCCCAATGCAAAGCCACCTATTGATATATCGAAGATGTGTACCGCTGGAAGACCGAGCGTCAAAAGAAAATATATTGACTGAGAGAGAAAAGCGGCTCCTCCAAGATTCGCTGAGGCATAGAGGAAGGCCACGATCGCAGTGCGCTGGAGATTATTTCCCTTGAAACAGTCAAAATAAAGTTCCGGTAGAACTCCTTTGTTGGGCTTGCTCTTCCACAATAATTTTCTCGAGATAAGCCAGACGGTCATCAATGCTAGATTTAGAGCTATAAAGCTTTTGCATGACCTTTTTGGCCGCATCCTTGCGACCGCAGATGAGGAGATAAACGGGAGATCCAAAGTATAAGTCAGTAAGAAGGCTGGCTCTATAGTAATAAATACAACGAACTTACTCGGGAGCCAGTAGGAAAGCAATCAGCATGAGAGCACCGGGTCCCCACTGAATTGCAAAGACATTTCTGAAGGCTTGCTGGTCGAGATAGGGGACAAAAATTCTGACAATACCAAGGCTCAGACATTGCATAAGAACCATAAAAAGAACAAAGCTAGCTTGGACGGAATTCCGTAGCCTGAAAGGCGCAACCTGGAAGATAAATGAATAAATGTGCGATTCTGGAATGCATGAGCAAGCCTACTTCAGATGCATAGGTCATCCCGACAGCCATGCTTATACCGATAGCCAGACCACAAATCATCTTACCAACCAGTAACACCACTCTTCCCTTGGCTGTGTAGAGTACCGCGGTTCCGACGAGAGAAATCAGTCCAGCGATAACGCCGGGCCACTTTCGACCGATCCTGTCGCATAGGGGTCCACCAGCAACGGCGCCGATGGCTTGCAACAGAGAAGTCATTGATACCCACAATGAAGTCCAGATGGAGGGAAGGGAACCGTCGGCACCAAAGTAGATGATGAAAGACGGCATTGCAATAGTAGAGCCATTACTGATTGAATCGTAGCCAAAGTTCAACGCAGCGGTAAACGCCGCGCTGCCTGTATTTTATCAGCATTTATTTTCAAACGCAATGTAAGGCATCTGACATGCAAGGATTGCCATTGGGTGCAACTGTATCGTTTTCCATACGCTCAACTCGCGCTCTTCATCCTGGATGCGACGTCCTTGTTCCACAGCATCTTTTCCTGCTTCCTCCACATGAGCGGAAGCCGCCTCGAGGTTCTTCTCTTCCATTGAAAAAAATAAATAATAAATTGAAGATGGATGAAAAGGTCCAAATTGGAGTATTGGGTTGTGAAGAAAGCTGGGGAACAAATCGGTCTTCTATAACTTGGGAATCCGGGGTCTGCACGTTCCGCTTGCCCGGGGTGTTGGGGTCGGCTTATCCGACATGGGACCTTTCCGGGGTAAAGTATCCTCCGCAGGATTATTACTACATATCATGTCCTGACAAGCCGACACTGTTCAAACACCATGATAAAACACCCACAAGGAATAAGAGACCTCATACCAAATCAGCACACTACGAGTAAGTCAGCAGGTCATGGCGCTTCAAATTGATCCTGAGTTGGGTGCAATACTGAAGGCCAGAGCTGGCGGTGTACCCCCTTTTTCAGCTGTTGACCCGGCGAATTTCGAGGCCAAGAGGATAGTCCATGCACAATTGATGTCAGCAGTTGATCAGCGTTTGTCAATGCCAGATGATATCGAGATATCTACATTTCACGCCCGCGCTCTTGAGGGCCACGATATACCGATTTATCGCTTTCACAGTCTGAGCGACAACGACAACTCAAGCCGACGTTCTGCAATCGTGTACGTCCATGGCGGTGGAATGGTCCTTGGCCGTGCTCTCGACCAGAAGAATTCTCTAGCTATCCAGGTGTCATGCACAGGCGTCCAGGTCTTCTCGGTCGAGTATCGACTTGCTCCGGAGCACCCTCATCCTACTCTGGTAGAAGACGTTTACGCTGCGGTCAGCTGGCTGAGCACCAATGCTGAGCAATTTGGGATTGATCGCGCTCGCATTGCTGTGATGGGAGAAAGCGCAGGAGGTGGAATCGCCGCGGGTGTTGCTCTTCTGGCCAGAGATCGCGGGCTCCATCCACCATTGGCAAAACAAATCCTAATTTGCCCCATGTTGGACGATCGCAACAACAAGCCCGTGCCAGAGATAGAGGCGTTTGCTATATTCAAGGTTGAAGAAAATATCCGATGCTGGAGGGCGGTATTAGGCCACAAGTATGGCACAGATGAGGTACCATGTTATGCAGCGCCGGTGCGGGCTGAATCGATACAGGGTTTGCCTTGTACGTATATCGACGTTGGAAACTTGGATATTTTTCGCGACGAGATCTTTCTATATGCTTCCCGGCTAGCATCTGCGAATATACAAACGGAATTTCATCTTTACCCGGGTGTCCCGCATGGGTTTGACGGCATTGGCCGAGATATCACGATAACAAAGTCTGCCATGGAGAACAGGAAGAGGGCAATCATAAGTTTTTAGCAATGGGAACAATCAATTGACACGCGACTCTTTAATAACACATACGGTATCCTATAGAGATTGAACTCCTTGTAAACGATATAAAGCCTTGGAGAAGGCAATGCGTATTAATGAGAAAAGAAAACGTAGAAATGGCCTGAATCTTTACACGCGCATTGAACAGACCAAGGAAAACTCTAAAAATTCGAGGAACAGCTTGATCGTTTCGTCAGTATTGGTTTAAATGGCTCTGAATCAATAAAAACAGGTCTACATGTTGTAATACTGCCAATGTGGATTATGAACAATGCATATACAAAGTAGCTTACCTACTGACAATATCAAGGGGATAAGCCAACCCAAGGTTAGGGCAAAGGGTTAGGATTCATCACTAAGTTACTACCGTCCCGCGAGGGGACGCTTATAGATGTAGGAAATAAAAATAAAAATTCCCAAAAGCTCCAATACTGTAGATGCCGAAGTTTTGATCTCGAGTCCAACATAGCGGAATGTGCGGAACCAGAAGGGTTCATAAACAATTGTCGTGTTGATTGGTGTGTTAGGTCCAACATTATAATAATCATCTTTACCTATTAAGGTCCCTAAGGGATCACTTTAGTTACTTTTAGAGCAAGCGAATGGGTTGAATATGGCTAATAGCTGCTCAAAGCACTCTACACAGCGAATCCGGATTTTAACTGCGGCGCTCTGGCGCATATGAATGTTAAGAAATCTAGTTATATATATCTTAGCTACAAAAATAATAGTGATTTTACAACCTGTTTCAATTTTTACTGCATTGTTATACTAAATAAGTTGGTTCTAGGCTTTAATACTAAATATATCCGCATCACTCTTTACCATCTCTATAAATTAGGCAGATGTCTTAAGCAAAAAAGGAATCTGCCTTTCGGTCAGACATCATTAGTCTAGAATCAGTAGCATCAGAGCCTTCATTATAGATCTGACAGCCGGCAACCATTCACTATCATTAAAGCCCATCTTGATCCAATTCTAATCGCGCTTGGAGCTATTGACTTCCTCCTCGATAGACAATATTAAGAGCCCCAGCGACGGATTCTAGGCCGGCGATTTGCCCATGGTTATAGCTTTGTCTATCTTCCAGTGCCAGCTACTATTCGTTCCGACTTCCGACTTCTTCGTTCAGCACCCCTATATGTATATGCACATGTCTTAGATAGAAACTTACTAATGTATCAGAATGCACAATCACATCAGGCTTAACGGCCCTAACAAGTGACATATTCCCCGGGAAATGCGCAGAATAGCGCAACACGCGCATCGCAGGGGTGTTGGTGCCAACATACCAGAACGGAGCAATGTTTACATTGTAGTTTGTGTATACTATTTCAAAGAATTACAGATTGATAGTCGGTGTACGATAGACCGAGGAGCCCCCGCAAGTTTTGTGCCAGCTTTTAGGACCCCGGAAAACCCGAACAATTGCTCCAATGCTTCACGCACAATGCCATCGTCAATCAGCAGAATTCAAAGCTCCATAAACCGAGTCAAGTTGGTTCAGATGAATGACGCCTATATTTCTCGCACAGCGCCAGCAGCACAAATGTTGATCCATTCCGCATCTCCTTCTTGGCGCAATCATGAAATTCTAAAACCCCATCATCCGGGGGTTTGCACCTGACCCATGTGTGGTCCTAGTTGATAGCACTTTTTATCTCGCAAAATCGTCGTTTCACTTCTTCCCGGGTCTGCTGGTGTACGCGTCTCGAAATCCGATCGATTGGGTACACATCGGTTCGTATTTCCTTTCTTGGCCTACCCAGGCATTCTTCCACAGCATATTCTCATAAGATCGTGGAATTCAGGAAACACAATCAATAACCCCAGCCAACTCTCCCTAACTCGAGCTTGCGTCGATGGCTTCCCCATCGGTGACGGACAGGCCATCGTCGCTGCAACCGGGCTCTTTGCGCCGACAATAAGACACCATAGAGGTGTTTTTTACATTGTATGCACCAATGTTCGCAAAGAGGAAGATCGCTTGAACACGCAAAACTTTTATATTACCATCCGCGATATCTGGTCGAATCAGTGGAGCGACCGATCTACTTTGACTTTGAAAGAATAGATCCCAGTCTATTCTTTGACGAGGATGATTGTGCCTATATCCAGGGATCATATCATGCAGGACCCCTCGGCAACCCCAGGTGTTCAATCCGCCAGTTCGAAGTCGACATCCTCACGGGTAAACCTCTATCCAAAACCAAGACGCTCTGGACAGGCCATCTGAGTCAAGGAGGTGTCAAGGGCCCACACATTTACAAGATGGCTACTACTATCTATTTGTCGCCGAAGGCGGAACGTGGCAGCGTCACTGCATTACGATTGCGCGTTCGTTAGAACAACGTTTTTTAGAGAGTTCTTTGCCTGTGGCCAGCCTGTTGACACACTAGCCACCTCTGAAGGTGCATCATCCTTCTAATTGGTGAAATCATCATGAATGACTTCCGCAATGCAATCTCCAATCCAGGCGAATAGTGAGTCGGGCTGGTCTCGGCGAAGCCGGTCTTCGATCGGCCAGGTCTTTTCCAGCGTGCGTCGAACATGGGAGCGTTTGCATATTTGTTCTTCACCCAGGAGATCGATAAAAGGCCACTCGTAGATAATACTAGCCCGGATACACAGCAAGATAGCGGCCCTTGTCATGCCCTATAGGCAGACGCGTGGTGGCTGTGGGGAAGAACTGTTCAGAGGAGCTTGCAGCCAGATCGCGATATATCAGGAAGAGGCGGTAGGACAGGTGATATAACCGGTCTTGACCGATTTTCAGTCGTGACAGAAAATCCTGCAATGTAGGATCTGTTCTAGCCATTTTTGTGATTTTTGAGAAGCTGTCACATTTGTTTCTCGGCCGTTTTAGACACTGAAAGAGACTTGCATTTTGTTTAGTTAAGCAGGGCCCTTGCAGGAGCTTTTTTGGGGTTCAGCGGGCCTTCCTGTAGGGCCAATCTGGTGGGCCAGCAAGAGAAGTGCCTTGTGTGTCACTTCGACAATGCAACCTTAAGAGAAGGTAGTAAATAAGGGATAATAGTAAGATGACAAGGTGTGTGACTGATCAGGTTCCAGCGAGTGGTTCGATAGATTGCCATCCTTGATGTGTATAGCTGGTGAGGTCACAGAACTTCCATTCTGTTTTATTTCAGGTACATCCAAACCAAAAACAATAAAGTAAAATTTATATGTATACAAAACTTTATATCCTCAATCACGCTGGAGGCCAAGGAAATTCCCCCCAAGGCTTGCCACTAGTCTCCCGGGCCAGGTCTGTCAAATTCTTCCACGTCCACAAGTCTCCATTGGGATTCACAAGCGTATTGTCATTCCCAAGAGCCCCAGCACTATGGTTGATCTTATTCTCCCCCATCAAAAAACGTAGATACGGCGCTGGATCCCACGACGCCTTGACCGTGACCTCCTCTTTATATTCCTCAAGGGGAGTTTCAGAAACATCAATCTGCCCAGCCCCGCCATCTTTCATAATCTCGGCGATCTCCAGGAAACTGCGCGTATCACCACCAATATGCACGGTGTCGGGTATCTCATTCCTAGCCAGCGTAGCTAGCGACGCAACCACCCTCCCCACATCTTCAAGCGCGGTAAACGAGATGGGCGATCGAGCCGACCCAACGCTCTCGTATCGCCCGTTCTTAGTATCAAAGCCGAACCACGGTCCGATACTATCCTCGATAAAGAGCCCGCAAAACACGCGACAGATCTTCGTGTCGGGAATCAATTTCTGCGCGAGAGCATAATGCTTTTTCTTCGTGTCCCATTCGAGATGCACGAAGTCATGGACGTAATGGTCCACGCCGAATTCAGAGGGGAAGTAGACTTGGATGTCGGTGTGTGGGAGGGCCTGGAGCAGCTTTTCCTTGAATGAATGACCCGAGGGGCCGACGGTGTTTACGAGAATCTGGACTCCACGGAGCGCTTCGACGAGGTTGTTCTCGTCGTATTTTCGCGCGGTGTACTTCCCGCTGTTCTGTAGTGAGTCTGGAGAAGATTCATTGCGGGAGAGGATGATGACATCAGAGAATTGGTTGTTAAAACGAGGGGAGAGAAAAGCAGATGCGACGTGGCGTCCAAGGTGGCCGGTAGCGCCGGCAACAGCCACGACTGGTCGAGAGATGGTGGAGGTCATTTTTTTTAATATTTTTTGATTCTTTATCTTTGTACAGGATTCCGAAAGGACTTTCTGCGATATAAGTAACTAATCTTCCTTGAATTGATAAGCCCGAATTAAGTTAGATCAATGGTTGGTCTAATTATTAAAACTGAGCGGAATCAGTCCGCGGCGAGTAGCCCCACTTTTGGCTATATTAGACATTCTGATTGACTCGAATGTAAGTTTGCTCTCGTTGCAAAATGGCCAAACACTCTGCTTAACCAATCATCGCATATATTATGGATCTTAGTGGGTGTTTTGTATTCTTTTAGGGCTTTGCATGCCAGTCTAGGGCAAGAGTATATATGTAGATCGAGCAGTCCTACCTAATATCACTCCATCAAGTGAATTAATTTGAAACCTGACGGAAATCTGCATTCTAATTTACCAAGGCCACGTCAATGGCTGAAATTCCCTGTTCCTCCCGACTCGAAAGAGTCCTCCGATACCTCCTTCAGCATCAGAACCAACCAGCAACACATCCAGAATGCCAATGCACCCACCACCAACACAACAGTCCAGACTGGATCTTCAACGCAGATACATGGTCCCAACTCGAAACCCTCCGTCGACTACTCTGCCAACGACCAGCACTCCCAAAATTCCCCGCTGACATTCTAGAAGACATCGAGGTAGTCCTCACCTACTGGAATAGCCACAATCTCCTCACATCAACCAAACAAATCATCCCCCGCATCACCATCCAAAGCAAAAGCTCAACCGCCAACTCTATCAAAATATCCTGCTGGAAGGGCGACATCACCACATTAACCGATATAACCGCCATCGTCAACGCAGCAAACTCCCAACTCGAGGGCTGTTTTCGCCCTAAGCATCGCTGCATCGATAACGTGATCCACTCCGCCGCAGGACCACGACTCCGACAGGCTTGTCACGATCTCATCCAGGCGCAGGGGTACTCTGAGCCCATCGGTTCTGTCAAAATCACACCTGGCTTCCTCCTGCCGGCCCAGTACATCCTGCACACCGTCGGCCCGCAGCTGCATCAGAACGTCAAGCCGCAGGCGCACCAGCAGGCGCAGCTCGCGTCGTGCTACCAGGCTTGTCTTGATAACGTGGAGGAGTTACCCCCGCTCGATGACGGCAGGAAGGTTGTTGCTTTTTGCTGCATCTCGACTGGGCTGTTTGCGTTTCCGTCGGATATGGCAGCAAAGATTGCTGTGAATGCCGTGCTAGACTGGTGTGCGAGACATCCCAAGACAAGTATAACGCATATCATCTTCGATACCTTTCTAGACAAGGATTGGGGTTTGTATCAGGATATCTTGTCCAAGTTGCACAGCTCTTCCGAGATAGACATCGAGATTATGGACTGGGATTATACCTATACCCAAAAAGCACTGCATCAGCCATCCACCCTTTCTCCCTCCCTCCTCAAAGCCCGCACCTGGCTCCGCCAAGCGCACGCCCTCATCATCTCCGCCGGTGCAGGCCTCTCCGCCGCAACAGGGCTGGACTATACGTCCCACTCCCTCTTTGCAACCCACTTCCCCGCGTTCTTGCCCAAAAAACTCCACACCCTCTACGACGTCTTTGGCTACAATGACTGGGACAGCCCCGCCCAGAAATGGGGCTACTTTTTCACGCACCTCGACATGGTGGCGCGGTGGCCCGAGGCGCAGTGCGAAGTGTATCGCATGCTGCGCGTGCTGGTGTCCCGCTTCGAGGAGGAGCGATGGTTCGTGCGCACGAGTAATGCGGATGGATTCTTTGTGAAAAATGGTTTTGATCCAGAGAGGATATCGACGCCGCAGGGCGGGTATCGGTACTTGCAGTGTGTGACTAAATGTAGGCCTGGTGCGGTTGTTGAGTCGGCGCCGTTGGTTGAGCGCGCGGTGGAGGTTGTGCATCCGGTGAGTCAGATGCTTCTAGATGAGGGGTTGGTGCCGAAGTGTGAGTATTGTGGGGGGGAGATGACGCTCTGTGTTAGGGGGGGTCCGTACTTTGATGAGACGCCGTTTCGGGAGGGGGAGAGGAAGTGGGAGATGTTTTTGGGGGGTTTGGAGAGTGAGGGTGGAAAGGATGGACATGCTAGTTCTGGCTCGGTGGTTATTCTTGAGTTGGGTGTTGGATTGAATACCCCAGCTGTGCTGCGATGGCCGAATGAAGATTTGGTTGCTGAATCGGAGAGTCGACCGTTTCGGCTGATTCGTGTTGGGATGGAGGCTTCTGGCTGTGTGCCTTGGGAGTTGGAAGAAGATGATCTCGCCGTGGGTATTTCTGGGGATATTAAGGCAGCTGTGGATGTGTTAGTATCGTGAGCATTCGAGAAATGCTACACGTTCTAGCTTTTGCAGGCTATTACGACGAGAATGAAAGTTCAGATGAATACTGAAATCAGATAGATAAACGAGACATTCATTAATCGTAGAAACTGCCTACACCAAGTCGCTAGGAGTGTACCTTGCTATCCGCCAGCCTATGCGGATTGTGCAAACACCACTGGCGAATGGAAGTTTTTGCTTTCAGAAATTACGCGACATTGAAGGCGTGAGCGTACGCCATGAAGATCACGCTGGGGGAAAGAGGGGGTGGGTTGACAAATTCGTGACGGGTCTGAAGGCAGAAACTTGCCGATCATGCAGGAAAACAAGAGCGACTTTATCCCGGCCCAAGAGGGCAAGGGGGCGAGTTGGCACAATTAAGTGTCTTCTGTCCAGATTGGCTATCGAGGGAAAGGGGCCCACTTCATGATCGATCCGGGAAGTAAACTATACAGACGTTGCAAACATTGTGCAAGAATCCCAAACATGTAGTATTGATACTGTAGTTTCAACCACGATTTACTATGTACATACGCCAGACGGGTACCGTATGCTCAGTGGGTCAGCGAGATTTAAAGCCACATCTTTCTAGAATAACACCCTATCTTAATTTATAATATTATAACGCATTAAACTGCTACTAATTCAAGAACAAAAAACCTTAAAAAAATTATCGAAATTAAGAGAAGAATTAAATTAATAATTAATAATTTAAAAAATCAAAAAATTTATAGTATTTATAAAGCTATAAGAATCTATACTATTCTTTATATTACTCTCTAGAATTAATTATATAGTATATAATATTAATATATATAATACATACTAATAACTATAAATTAATCTAAAATAAAAAAGATTTACTTATTAAATAAATTTTACAAATTTCATGTCTATTTTGGTACAGTAGTACTGAAAGTGATACATGGTCAACGAAAGAATCACTAATCTATGCCACCTAAGTATAGCATTTGGGATCGAGCCAAAAACATTACAAGGAAGCGAGCTAAAGCTAGATGGTCATATCCCCCCCAACAATAGCGAGACGTAACAGTATGGACCATACCGGAGCTAGCCGCAATTGAACAACCGCCATCTAACCTCACTTACTTAACATCCAAAGGAGTTCAACAAGCTGTGAGGTTGAGCTCCTCGCTGCCAAGCAAGACAGAGTTTCTGAAGTTGGAATACCGGTATTCTCCGACAGAATATTTCTCGGATATTTAGCAACGGCAAATTTCTAGACGTTGAACCTACCGGAAATAAAAATTCGCAGAGACGCCACGGAGCCTAGATTCTAACATGTCTGTGGTATGAACAACCGAGAAGTGAGTGGCTTTCCGTGGAGAATACTGTATACATGTTCAATGCTGGACTGGATCCTGATGAAGATGTGGGTTATACTGGCCAATGGCGATGCGTCAGTCTACCAGTATGCATATACCATTGATGTGTAAGAAAGATAACTCTTGATTGTACAACTGCTTGATATTGATCTCGATAAAAATCTACCTTTGAAATATGCCTTTGCCCAAAAATATTCCCTCATATTCTACGCTTATACAGCTAATTAGGCACAGTGAGGATAAGGTACCCTCATATCGACTATATGTATTTTGACCAGACTCTCATGCCGCCATTTCCACCACGATTTGCTCTGAGAAAAAAAGGTACATATGTTAGTGTCTTCTCCACCGAGCTGTACGCCCAAGGAGTCGAGCGATACAGGCTTGATTGGCTATTGACAATCTCTCGACCATGGGCAATGATAGGGACGACACCATTCACCGAGGCGATTTCTAGTGGTTTGCCTTCTGAAAGAGGCTGGTCGGTAAGCACGACATTGTCCACGTCCACGTCGTTGTCAACATCCTCTATACAGTATACCAAAGGACCTCGTAAGATGCAAACCTCGTCCTTGTTGGTCTTGGGGTTGGTATAGACTTTGCGAGCCTCCATATGGAATTTCAACTTCACTTCAAGTTGAGACGGCGACTGGATATAGAGGTATCCGTCCTTCTCTTCGCCAGATACGGAGCAGGTATATCCCTTGGCCCAGCCAGGAATTCGTAGGGCCAGAGTAGTCGTCCCTTTGATAATGACTTCGACGTCGCCTGACCAGGGCATCTGGGACTTTTGAGAGATGACAATATCTGTCCCGGGAACGTTGAATGAGCTTCCGATATAGTGATGAATGGCCACCAGATGATCATCGAAAGAATATATCAGAGTTCCAAGCAGCCCAAAGAGTTTTGCTACATTGGGCGGACAGCACGCGCAATCTAACCAGGGAGTGCGGACCTTAGGCTCACCTGTGTACGTTCGTAGCGGATTTCCGTAATAGAATGTCACACCGTCCAGACCAATGGCGCCCAAAAATCCATTATACAGACCGAGCTCCATGATATCTCCATATTCGGAATTGAGTTGTAGTCGAAGGAGTCGTTGACACCATATGATCATTGCAAAGCAAGCACACGTTTCTGTATAACAGATGCCTTCCTTCTCGGTGTCATAGAGAAAGTAGGAAGGTCCAAAGCCTTCCCACTGTCGCACGGCGCCCAATCCTCCAGTCACGTACATCTTTCGATCGACCATATCTCTCCACAGTCGGTCCACAGCTGCTTTCACATTCTCATCACCTGTTAAGCGGTAGAGGTCTGTAGCTGCAGTAACATAGTACATAGCGCGCACAGCATGGCCTTTGAGTTCTGACGCTTCAACAAATCGACAATCCGCTTGGTGGTAGCCATAATCTCTCGGAAACTGATACCAAGCTTTCATCTCAAAGAACATGTTGATATACGGGTCTCCACCGCGACGGTGTGCCTCGTAATCAAAATATATCTCGCCCTTATCGTCGTGTCGACCCCGTTCCATCAGAAAATACTTTGCCACCTTGAAGAAAAGCTCCTCCTTTGTCAATTCATACAGCCGAAGAAGCCCAATTTCAATCTCCTGGTGTCCAGGATACCCGCGCTCTTTACCAGTCTCTTCTCCAAAACGCGAATCTACGTGTGCGATTGCCTTTCGCACCGTCTCCAGCAACTTGCCACTCTTCGTGAGAGTCTCGTATGCAACGCAAGCTTCTACCAGATGTCCCAGGCAATAAAGCTCATGCATGTCACGCAAGTTAGTCCATCGACCTGCCAAACCCGTCACTGTGTAGTAGCTGTTGAGATATCCATCTGGATGTTGCGCACTGCGAATCATAGAGACTGCCTCTTCGACATCTACCAGGAGAGACTCATCTTTCTCTAACATAAGAAAATAGCATGCCGCCTCAACTGTTTTGAAGATATCACTTTCCCAGAATATCTGGAGGGAAAAGAATTTAAGCGTTCAGCCTTTGAATAAAGGAATTGTATAAATTTTGGGCTCAACTTACTCCTATCTTCCTCGAAGGATCTGGTTTCCATGTCAGACAGTCCCAGTATCCCTGTTCTTTCTGTCTCTCAATCATTGCCGGCACCGTCTTCTTTTGGGCGCGCTTCTGGATGGGAGCCCAGAAGGCTGAAGTGACTTTGACATGGTCAATGGGAGCTTGTTCGAGTCTCATCTTGAGTGAATCAGGCTGATTGAAGATAAGTACAGAAATCTGTGGCATTGAACATGGAAGATACGATCTCGAGCCTTGCTTAACTATCTACATTCCTCCTCACAACTGTCACATGGACTGGTGGTAAAGTTACGAGTCATACCACTATTTGGTATTTCTGGCTAGCCGCATAGGTAGAGCTGTCTGGAAATAGGCGATACGTCTAACCTTGGGTAAATTTTCCATATTGTTCCTGTATCTCAATGTCTCTTTGAATGGGTTAATTCAATTTGGGGCAAACTCTCATAGTTTTAGATAATGTTCCGACGGGTATTTGAAAGGACAAACAATGCATATTCCCTTTTGATGGTGGAAAGGGGAAATAATAATTAAGAACTTGGGTAGTCAGGAGCTTCAAACCTTCTGTCTGAATGAAAGGATACTTGAACTATGCAAGAATCGAAGACAGGAATAATACTATCCTGAGTGTCTTTATATGTCTCCATAGCTGGTGATGGTTGTTGCTCGCGTGGTGGCTGGCACGCTCCAACTGCGATGCATTCCCCAGCAGTACCGGTATGGAGATATATTCTGGGGTACTCCCGTTGGAGCATGAATGCTCGGTTGTTCAATAGCTTTGCAGGCTTGGTGCTATCTATGTCTATCCCCAGAAAAATATCCGCGGAGATTTATTTCGATGCCGCAACTGGCAAGCTTACCGCTATCCAATTGGAAGAATACTCCAAAACAGCCCACGGTGGGTGCTCCAGAGCAGTACGTAAACTCGAGCGTGTACGCTGTACTCTGATCCTGTTAGATGTACTGCACTTTACGATGTGAAAAAACTTTCAAAGCAACCCGAACTTACACCAGCAAACAACGTTTATGTGCTTTGTCACTTGTTTGAGCTTAGCAAATAGCTACCTTAGGAATCACCTCCTATACTTAGAATCATATACGTTTCGTACTCTCCCAGCACGCTCTCTACCACGCCCTGTTACACAAATCATATAATTTATTTTCTTATGCTCTAATTAGCCACTACACCCTAGTGAATAAATATTTAGCTTCAGATAAGATATCCGCGGTCTGGTCCGGTTCAGCTAATCAAACTATACCCGGAATGTGCGCTTTAGATTAGTGGTTCCGGTTCGGGTTGTGTCAAGTTTTGCCACATGGCTTTCCATTTGTCTTTTGAGAAAGGATTAGCAAGGGCTGAAAAAAAATTTCCTGCAGAAGTGACATTGAATAGAGCTAAGAGCTAGAGGTCAAGAGAAGTGTGCCATTTATCTAAATAGCTAATCTAGTGCATGCTTGTCTCTTACATGATCAGAAAGATGAGCAAACCATAGACAAGAAAAAGATTGAAAATGTTAGAAGCTAGAAGCACTGGAGTAGCTATATGCAGGTAAGCCATTAGAGACAACTATGCCATACTGTCCTGGGATATAGATATGCCATAGGGGAACCGCTAACGCTATCCCCTCGTCCAGGAGCCAGGCACAATTAGCGTATAAATGAGCAGGTAAGCTACCATATTAAATACAAACATTCTATTCGATCCTGCTTGTAGAGCAGTGTATTCATACAGCTTTTGTAATTTATTCTCACTAATTCTATTTAAATTATATAGAATGGGAATGGATCTAGCAATGTTGAATGACGCGGACGCTAGAATAATAGGATAATAAGATATAACCCATTTAAAGCACTTAAATCTCCGTACGGAAATACGTATCACGTACGGAGTACGTTGTATTTAGCATTGAGTGGAGCTCTCCACAACCCCAACAACTTTGGAAATCAGCTCTTAGCTCATCAGCTCACCCCATATGCTACTTATACTAATTCGTATAAGAGCCTATTGGCCAGGAGAATCCATATTGGCCAGGAGAATCCACACATTTACTAATTTGTATTCTTTGTGCCAAGGTGCTATTGTGCCTGGCTTGAAAGATCTTTGTAAATGACAGTAATAACTTAAGGAACCGCGAGTTAGACTTTTTGTTTAGACTGCGTATATTAGTTCGACTTGGGAAAACATCCGCGGTAAATATTATGAAGTTAGTTAGAGGCCGGGGTATTGGGTCTGGGACACTTTTAAACCGGGGGTCATTTAGAAGCACTAGCCTTGAATCTTTCCGGGGTTCGCTCAAACCTTGCTGATGATGCAGCTCAGCCGTAGTCTATTAAGATAGCTTTACGGCCACGTTAGTTTCAAAGATTTTGTAAGCTGTAACCACCTGATGACAACGAATTAACAACAACGCAAGTCGAACTTTTATGCGATATGGGTACAGATAAGGCTATCGCGAACGAGCGAGGGCTCCAAGAGCACGGACAAAAAGAGTATGAAGCTGCTGTGCTAGTTAGGGAGGCTCAGGCCTCTGATGCTGCGGATCGAAATTTGACGATTTGGCAAGCGCTGAAGAAATACAAGAAGGCTGTCCTTTGGAGCACGCTTCTTTCAACAGCCCTGATCATGGAAGGGTACGACGTTGTCATTGTACGTTATGTCTGTTACCTTGGCACGTTTTAGAGCAATACTTATGTCTTGGGTGAACAGATCAACGGCTTCCTCGGTCAACCCCAGTTTGCCGAGAAGTTCGGTGATTTCAATCCGATGACTGGCAAGAAGGAGATCAGTGCCGCGTGGCAGTCTGGACTTTCCAACAGCGCGCTTGTTGGCGAGCTGGCTGGCCTAGTCGTCAACTTCTTCGCAACAGACCGATTTGGATGTCGTCGTACCTACATCTTCTTCATGATCTGGTTGGCGTGTGCCATCTTTATTTCGGTATTCGCTCCTTCGCTATCTGTCCTTGCTTTCGGCGAGGCCATGAGCGGCATCTCCTGGGGTGTTTTTCAGGTACTACAACATCTTCCTGTCGTTTTGTGCAGAAGACGAAAAGCTGATTGTAGTAGACTCTTACTACAGCGTACGCCTGTGAGATTGTACCGACTGTCTTGCGTCCTTTCGTAAGCTTCTTCATTATCTGTGCAAAGCCGCGATTCATACTGACTGGTTCCGTCTTCAGGTCACCGGCTACGTCTGTCTCGCATGGGGCGCGGGTATTCTACTCTCGTCTGGTGTGCTGCGAGCTGTGGTAGACCTGGATGGCTCACTTGGTTGGCGACTTCCATTCACTCTTCAATGGGCCTGGCCAGTCCCGCTTCTAGTAGTGGCCTTCTTTGTCCCCGAGTCGCCTTGGAACGCTGTGCGCCGTAACAGGATTGAAGAAGCACGGAGGTCCTTGATCCGCCTACGATCTGCTGGAACCTACACCGAGGAGGATATTGACGCGACGCTGGCATACATCCGTCATACCACTGAGCTTGAGAAGGCTGAAACCGAGGGCGCGACCTTCTTCGACTGCTTCCGCGGAACAAACTTACGGCGCACTGAGATTGTAAGTCGATTCGAGCATCCCTGCTAATAAACGCAACGCGCGCTGAACGTGATAGAATGCAATGACCTGGACTTGCCAGATCTTCGACGGAAATCCACTCACTAGTTATGCCGTCGTCTTCTTAGAGGCTGCCGGATTCAACACCGCACAGACCTTCGACCTCAATATGGGCGTCAACGCGTGTTTCGTCGTCGGTCCTCTGATCTGCTTCTGCATTTTATCTTACTTTGGAAGGCGTACTATATATATGACTGGTCTCAGTGGCATGTTCATTATTCAGGTCATCGTAAGTTGAGCAGCCATTCAATTCCCCAAAGAGACAAGCCCCGTTCAGTGTAGCAGCTAGTAGACGACTGATACTGACATTCCAGATCGGTGCTCTTGGGTTCAATATAAGCCACTCAACTCAAATGGCGATCGGCATTCTCTTGGTTATTTGCACCCTGGTAAACACGGTTTTCATGGGTGCAACTTGCTACCCGATCGTCGCCGAAACGCCGTCGGGTCGTCTACGTTACAAGACGATTGCAATCGGTCGATTTACGTACAATGTTGCAGGCGTCATTGCAAACTCCATCACGCCCAGAATGTTGTCTTCGACTTGTACGTCATTTATTTTCAAGGTCCCTATGGTCAGTATTTGAGCTAACATTAAAACAGCTTGGAATTGGGGTGCCAAAGCTGGTTTGTTCTACGCAGGCACGAACCTCCTCTGCCTTATTTGGTGCTTCTTCCGCCTTGTATATCTTCCCCTTCACGTTCGTTGTCAGCATATATGAGACTGACAACCTTCCAGCCAGAAAGCAAAGGCCGCTCGTTCGGTGAGTTGGACATTTTGTTCGAGAAACGGGTTTCAGCCAGAAAATTCAAATTCACCGCTGTCAATGGTACAGTTTTTGCCCTCGACCTCCAAAGAGATATAACTTACTGACTCCTTTCTAGAATTCTCTGATAGTCCGCTCTTGGCGGAGAAGACTCTTGACGACGATGCGAAGTTCTCGGGTAATGTTGAGCACAAGGAATAGTCTGACTCAGTTTGAGAGAGGGCAGAAATGCTCGATATTATCAGCCTGTGCCTCGCGGGAATCTCGTGTCATGTAGTGTAAATTTAGTACCGTCTGTATTACAAGTAATTTACTACACGCCTGCTCTATAAGATATTTTTTTGCATTCCATCACTACTGGCTTCTCTCCAAAGTACATACCTCAGCGTAGTGAAGAGTTTGGACCAACTCCTACGGCCGATTCGCAGTCTCTATATTGTAGTGTGCAATCTTGAAGAGATCCTGCGTAGCGTGCTTTAATGTTCCTTCATTTTGCTTGTAATTCTGCTACAAACCGAGACCTGCCTCTATCCGTAGCACAGGATGAAGAGCATGAATCGTCCCGCTACAGGACAGATCTATAGATTTTAGAGGAGTCGCGTTTGCCTAAGTTATGAATGCTCAGTCTATATCTTCGCATTGAAAGAACGATGTACCCTGTTAGTTCTACAAAAGCTATATATATCAGTTTGCAGGCAGGTTATACACTTCCCAGAGTTGTTTCTGTATTTGTTGAAGAAGTCTCGTCAGGTTGATTCGGCTGAGTTTTACACTTCCAATCACCATGTACCGTTTTCATCGCGGTCAACACGGATTGATCGACAGTTAGTAGGCAGGGATTAATTTTACCCGCAGATAATTTACCCCATACTGCTCGGTGTAGTTTTCCGTTGATCTCCATCTACTTCCCCGTGAAAAAAATACCCGACGGGCAATTTTGATATTTACTGTACCAGCAGTAAACCCTCATGTATCTAGGTACATAATGTAAAACAGAGGTTGTATCAATATTGTCTCCGACTCTTGACAAGATTGGAGGGCAGAACCATCTTAGCAGCACATTTATCTATTTGAAAACTATGCTCTGGACACGGGGCGCTTCTCTGCTGTTGGCGAGTGCGATCTTCCAAATCTCCTCAGCCAACTTCTGGGTTTCCCCATCAGGAAATGATTATGCCGATGGCCAAAGCGCCAGCACGCCTCTGCAGACCCTGACTGAGGCTCAGAAACGTGTAAGGGGAGTCAACTTGAATATGAGCGGCGACCTTCATGTTTACCTCGAACCAGGTACTTACCATCTGACCAACCCTCTCGTCTTCACATCTGAAGACTCCGGCTCCAATGGGCATCAAATTGTGTGGCAGGCTACAGACATTCCTGCTGGTGTTAATATCTCTGGAGGGTATGCCTCTTCACCCTCTTCTGTTCTTCTCAACGCTGACTGTTGCTGCTCTAAGAGTTCCCATTACAGGATGGTCATACTATGACCAGGGCGCTAACATCTGGCAGGCTCCAATCCCCAAAGGAGCAAAGTCTCGGCACTTCTATGTCAACCAGCAACACGCCGTACGCTCGTCGTACAACCTCTCTCGTAGCTCCTTGAGTCTCATGGAGGAAGGCTTCAACATTACTGACCCTAGCGTCCAGTTCCTTGCACGCGCTCCAGGAATCGAGAAGGCTGAACTCCGCAGCCGAGGATCCTGGACCGACCGATATATTCCGATTCAATCTGTGGTTGGCACATACTTGAAGATGCACAATCCTGCATTCAACAATAACATCATTGGATACGACACATTCATCAGTCCCTCCGGMACCTATGGTGCGCTATGGATCCAAAACCTCCTCAGCATTCTCAACGAAGTCAATGAGTACTACATGGACGAGGATAAGTCCATTATTTACTACAAGCCGGCCGACGGCGTCGACATGAATAAACAATACTGTATCCTGCCAAGCCTTGAGGTTCTGCTGATCGTGGCGGGCAGGTCGTACGAAAATCCTGTCCACGATCTCACTTTTCAGGGTTTGAACTATATGCATACGACTTGGAGTAGGTGGATTGTCTTAAGCAAAGCTGGATGGAAGCCTGACTGGGCTAACTAAATCAGATCAACCATCAACAAATCTCGGCTTCGTTGATCAGCAAACCGGAGGCTATCTTGGCGAGGATTCTGTCTACCAAGAATGGATTGGTGGATTTCCATACTGGCATCAAGTTCCAGCGTCTGTACAGGCTAGCGCTGTCACCAACGTCAACTTTCTGAACGGAAGTATGGTCGCAATTGCGAACGGTCTGGGTGTCGGGAATGACCCCAGCGGATGCGCTTTTCCTGGTATTGGTCTTGGAGCATCCAACGTCACAATAGCTGGAATGCTGTTCACGCAGGTCGGTAACCAGCCCGTCACTGTGGGAGGCGTTCAGGCAAATGCTCACCATCCCGTCAACCCTTTGATGACCAATCAACGCCTCACTATCACTGAAAATATCATCTTCGATATCGGACAAACACACTCTGGTGCAGCAGCTATCGTGTCAACGTATGTGACTGGCGCCGTCATTACCCACAACGACATCCGCGACGTTCCCTATATTGGCATTTCCTATGGGTGGGGCTGGGGTTCAAACGATGCCGGAGGCAATCCTGAGTACACCGAACGGGGCTTATACAATTATCAGCCGATTTACAAAACTCCCACCACTTTGAAAGATGGCCTGGTGGCAAAGAATCTGATTTCTGACTTCGGTACCCTTCATACCGATCTTGCTGCCATTTACACGCTGTCCAAGAGTCCATCCACCTACACGACCCAGAACTGTGTGGGGTATGGTAATGGCTTTCGTAAGTGTTGACCGAGCACAGGTCATGGATCACTGCAAAAGGTGATACTGACTGAAGTCTTAGCTGGCCTCTATCACGACGAGGGTTCTAGAAACTACGTAGACTTCAACCAAACATTAGTTACCGGCAACCGATGGCTGTTCCGCAACGAGTACGTTCCAATGACGACGGGGAATCTCACGATCCACGACCTATATGTTCAAGGAAACCCGGAGCTCGGAACCAATAGTTATGGAGACAATATCTACAACGTCACTCAGTTTAGTAATGTGGCCGACCTGCCCCAACAATTCAAAGATATTTGCGCCAATGCCGGCATTCCACCGGGTCAGCGTGCGGGTCGACCTGTTCAGCAACCCCCTATTAGCTAAAGGGCTATGCTTTGCCGATGGAGCGGTACTCGTGTGCCACGCCCACTTATTCAACTGATGGATTTGTTATTGAGAGGTAACCATCAGTGTTTTGATCATCAGATCTTAGATCTCATATTCGGTATATGTGTTTAAGGAATCTAATTGATTACATTCCACGATCATGCACCTCCATAGCATAGCTTGTGATTTCCACCATCGCTCATAGCCGGAAACAGTCATATAAGACAGAGAATAAGCGAACCAAGGCCGATTGAGATATTCCCATAACCCCCATAATCTCATACGCTCTTCAACTCACAAAGTGTGAGCAGTCAAAACGGACGATCTCCGAAATTTGCGTACACTCCAGCGCCAAGACTATGTACAATAACCTTCAAGCAGAGGGTCCTTTGTCTCGTTAGTAGCGCACCACAAAAAATGTCCGCGGATGATTTCTCCCAATTAGAGGCATGTTTCTCCATCAAAAATTAGCCGTGCTTCCATGTTCTTTACCTTAAGCAGTATCTTCGGGACTTTTACCCCAGTGCGTAATTTAAGTCTGCAATCCAGTGAGACCTCCACATTAGTGTTGATATTACTGGATTACACTGGATTGCACAGCGGGAAAGCCAGCGCTCTGGATGTAGTTATAACCATGATAATGTCCAGCCGCTGCTGCCCTTCCTGGCATTCGTTGACTACCTCCACTGAAAGCCATGATGCTACCTTCGCTGTGTTTGCTCCTCTGTGGGCCGATATTCACAAGCCTTGTGTCTGCCATTGATTTATACGTCTCTCCCAGTGGGTCAGACAGCAATGCGGGCGGAGCGGGAGCACCTCTTCACACCCTTACCAAGGCGCAGCAAGTAGTCCAGAATGCCATCGCCTTGTCCATGACTGAGAATATTACGGTCCACATTGCTGATGGAACTTACATCCTGTCCAAGCCTCTGGTCTTCACTTCAAAAGATTCTGGAACGAATGGATACACCATCAATTGGAAAGCAGATGGTTCTAATGTACTTATCTCTGGTGGCCTGAAGGTCACGAATTGGACGGCTGGATCTAATGGCATCTATTCCGCATCAGTCCCGACTGGCACGCTATCACGAAATCTGTATGTTGGTGGAAAAGCTGCCAATTATGCACGGAGAAAGATCATGCGCAACGACTTCTCTTACGGCAACACGGGCATGTCATGGAATTCTTCTGCCTATGACTGGCTGATGTCTACTCAGGGCATCGCTAATGCAGAAGTGCGTTTTATTAACTCCTTCACAGACCGTTATGCGCCCATCCAATCCGTTGGGAACAGACAACTAGTCATGAAGCAAAACTTCTGGGCCAATCAGATCTGGGGTTGGGATACTGTTAACAGCCCCTTTGCCGATTTTGGTGTCTGGATCCAAAATGCCCTGGGCCTGCTGAGCGAAGGTGGCGAGTTTTACCTCGATTCCGCTGGGGGAAAGGTTTACTATATGCCGTTGAATGGGGAAGATTTGACCACCATTGACACCTGGTTGGGAGTCAGTGAGACGCTCATAGCGATTGGCGGGACCTACGATAGTCCGGCGCATGACATTTCATTTTCAGGACTCAACTTCGTATGAATCTCCAGACTCTACCACTTATCTACATACTGATTCCAGTCATAGGCACACACAACGTGGCTTAGGCCTGGCCAAGGATATGGATATGTCGACCAACAGACTGGCGGCTATATTGGTGAGAACGTGACTTATCCCGCCTTTGAAGCATCAAGGCCACATTGGTATCAGATGCCTGGCGCGATTCAAATAAGCGCCGCAAACAGCATTGCCTTTTCGGGTGGAAGCTACACTCAGCTTGGCGCAGGTGGGTTCGGCATTGGAAACGACCCAAATGCCCACATAACTGGGGTCGGTCTTGGTGCAAGCAACGTTGCTGTTACAGACGGATACTTCACACAGGTTATGGGTAACTCTGTCTGCGCTGGGGGAGTTCAGGCAAACGCTCACCATCCCAGTGACGCACGCATGATCAACTCTCATATAACAATATCAGGCAATATCTTCTACAACTCATCGTCTCTTTTTAGCTCGACGGTGCCAATCTTTGTCACCTATATTCAGTACTCCACCATTTCGCACAATGACCTCTATATCTCTCCGTACTCGGGCATCTGCCACGGTTATGGTTGGGGTTCCAATGATGCAGGCGGCAGTCAAACATACATCGACCGTGGTCTTTATAACTMCCAGCCACTCTATCAAACGCCTACAACGTCTCAGAATAACCTGATCGAAGGGAATCTTGTCCATTCTTTCGGCCTATCGCACACCGACTTAGGTGCCTACTACACACTTTCCAAGAGTCCGTCGACGTTATTGCGCAATAACTATGCATATGACTCCTCATGGTATGGGTCGTATCTTGACGAAGGTTCAAACTCTCTGGCATTAATCGGAAACGTTCTTCTCACCAATGGTAATTGGTACAATCCAAACCAAGGTGCCGCCAACTCCGGGATGCATACCGGGAACAATACTTTGATTGACAATTATGGCCATACCGGGACACAGCTGGGCAATGCACCTGGAGGATCTGGCGATTTTGGGAACACGTTCATCGATAATTACCTGGTTTCCGGTCTCTCACAAACGTCGGAAGGGGCGCAACGTGCAGCTTACAGAGCAGGCGTTCTACCGGGTCGGCGAGGCAACAGACCAGTCTCAAATCCGCAAATTCCTGATGCGTACCTTTCCATAGGCTCAGAGAATGGATATCTGGCCGTGAATATATCCAATTTCGATGACGTTGCTTTTACTGGGGTTACATTCTCTGTCTCCGCTAACAGTGGCGGGKACACACTTGTTCCCGTCCAGGTCCCTAACTCGGTCCCTCCTGACAGTTTTGCTCTAGCCACTTACATCGTTGACGGCACACCTGGGCAGCCAAGCTTCTCAGCAACAGTAAGGTATACGAATCCTAGGACAGGAGCCTCAAACAACCTTTCTGCCAGCGGACAACCATCGATTTCGTTCAACCAGCCTCCGCCTACTTCCACCAGCACCAGCACCAGTAGCGGCACAGGAACTAGCAGCACCACGACAGCACCCACTACTATAACGTCTCCACCTAGTACAACAACTACAACCTTGAGTGTAAGTGGGGGCTCCGTGCAGACTCACTGGGGTCAGTGCGGTGGTAACGGCTGGTCCGGACCAACCTCCTGTCAACCGCCGTACGCCTGCTCCTCGCAAAATCCTTGGTATTCCCAATGCCTATGAGAGGCAGTGTTATCAGCAGGCATAAAGCTGTCCGAGAGAAGTACTTAGGGGTTGATGGCGTGGATTGATGCATGGTGGACGCTGCTTTGGTAGATGCACTGTTACGACCAAGGAGCTACTACAAGGAGGTGTCATATTATTGGTTGTTTGGAGGTGGAAAATATACTTCCAATTATATGTGATCTGTGCCCGTTCTGACATCTTGTTTCATATATCCCCCAACTACAGTCATTCATTATCCTTTCTTTAGTGATCCATTATTGTATATACTCCTAGAGGTTAGCTAGTCCTAATCCATTCACTCATTGCTCTGACATATTGATCAAGATCGCAACATGGTAGCATGTCGTCATTCATTCTAGAAGGCTTACAGAACAACTTGCCCCAGGGTATCCTATTTCCTCCAAGGCATTCTGCTTGCCCTAGCGCATCCCATTTGCCGCAGGGATACGTACTCGAAAAGGTTTAAATTGTTTTTATATGTAAATAAGGATATATTTATACTTAACTATTAGTCTTGGAAGTGTCACGGTGCCAGCCAATAGGAAGCGCCGAGGCTTACCCTTGCGGGTATATATAAGCGTGCAACCCCGACTAATGCCGTAGGCATTACTTGTGTTACCTTTTAGTATAGAGGGTTGCTGCTAGCTGGTTTACACAGCCCGTGTCAGCCCGTCGAGCTCTGCTACCTTGGCGATTAGGCCGCTGTAGCCCCTGAGCCGGTTATGTGACCGCAAGCTATATAAATCTCTGCTTGTCCTGAATAGCTTTTGTAGCTCCTTGAGTTATATCCTGTCTCTCAGCTGTACTCAATACTATATAAGATAGTCTAGCTATAGTAATCTATATTAATTCTTAGTCTATTCTAAACTATCTAGTCTTATATCTTAATATTATATAGCTCTACTTATTAAAAGTTTATTATTAAGATATTTACTATATCTATATTTCTAACCCTAACCCAGTCAGAGAGGAATGGTATACGGACTATTTACACTACTTCAAGCTAATAGTGTGGCACTGTCAAAACTTAGGTAGATTAAGGTCGACTCTGCGAGTTCTCTTTCTGGTCATTGGAGATGAAGTATATCTTTTGCCAGGAAAGACTCACAGCGGACGTTCGTATGGAAGCAGCAAAGTATGAGTTCAGTATCATTAGGTGGCGTTGAGCTGGTGAACAGCTCAGGGTTATGGCTAACAAAAACTGCAGGAGCTAAGTGTGACAGCCGTACACGGGATAACGTGTGAAAGTGCTCAGGCCAACATAATCATATTGGGTAGCGGTCAACGAGAAAACTAAGCATGGAGAGGAAAATAAAAGACTATGTGTCGAGCTGAGCGCTGAGCCATATATATAGACTTCACAAGCAAGGGATGTTGCCAGGGCTTGGTATTGGAAATTACGTTGTTCGGATTTTCAATATTCAACAATGATCTAAATCACTTATTAGAACCTACACTGGATTATAAACGTTTCCAAAAGGGATAAGTAGGCGGCGCTATTGGAAACTGTTTAATCGATCTTTTTCAATTTATTTTAACTGTGTTTTGAAACTATAATAGCGGTATAGTAGTATAGTCTTTTATTGTGTCATCTAAACAAGAAACATCTAGTAATCTTAAACAGAATATCTACCCCGAACAGGAATACAGAGACAGCAAACGGATTGATCATACTGACCTAAGTCGTGCTAGCACCAATTCGCACCAATAGTGTTCGTTCCCGTCTAGAGTCAGTGTGCGCTCTCGTTTGATGTTAGTGATATTTCCATTTAATCTTGGTAACGATCCGTTTGGTGCTGTAAGAAATCCCGTTTGGTGTCGTATGCACCGTCTTGTGTTATAAGGAATTGCGTTTGGTGCCGTATGACCCATTTGGTGTTGATAAGAATCTTGTTCTGTAAAGGGTCCGAGAAGTCCCGGAGAGAAGTAGTAAACGATTGTGTTGAGGCTAATATTAAGGTACATCCAGTAACAAAAGAAAACGAGAAAAAAAAAACCTTACTTCCGCTGACTGGCAACAGAATGAGAGCCTGACACTAAGAACACAGGGGAATATTTGCTATCTCCATATTGGGCCACATTTCAATTCTAAACTCTAAACTCTGAGTGAGTGGTGAAACCCAAACGAGAACACCTAGTGTATTCATATGGCAACATCCACGCACTAGTCCTAGTAGTGAGTGATTTGAAAACTATCGTACAAAACAAAAAAAGAAATACATGTGCCAACTTTGTTCCGGATCTAGCCATGAATTCCTTGCTCTTTCTTATGTAGAATTCACACTCTTAGGCATAGGTACAGTTGATATTCTTCAACTCATTGTGATGTGGAGAGTCACCTTGTATCATTAACGGCCGAGGCTGTAGAGCTCAAAGTCGGATAAATCCAAACGACAGTGGTGGATATCACAACCACAGTAACTGTTGAAAGCGAGGATGAGCTTGCAGTGGTACTAGGTCCGTGGCAGGGCCAGCCGAATCTGGCCGCGCCGGTACAAATCGAAAATCTACGAAACCTAAGAGTTGCGCAAGCTGTTGTTTGGAGAAATTATTTCAAATTCGTCTCGTCGCCTAATACTCGAAGTGAAAACGCTCAGGGATTCCATCTTAACGGTCGAGTAAGAATTTAGTTGAAGAATAGACAATGCACGAACAGCGTTCTTCTAGGGCCTTTCCTAAGATCAGGCGATCTAATTGTAGTGACAGCTTCGGACAAATTTCGAGATGAGTTTTGTTCCATGCTGAGGACGGTAACCTAGTCGAATCTGATGTTTTGATATAAAAATTGAGATATGGAAAATTGAATCCAGACTCTGATTTCAAAATACCAGATCGCCCACAGGGAATGCAGTCAAACCTGGATTCATGGTGGGTGGCTAGCCTACATCAATGTCTGAGAAACCCAAGTCCACTCTTACATCACCAGGCTTTGGCAAGCTGAAGCCTAATGGGACGGGAAACTCCGAGGCAATATTTTACCTCTTGATTGCTTAACCCGATCAGAATTAATCTTACCTTCCATAATTCCCCTGATACTTTGCCGCTGCAGGAGATAGTAGAATCCTCATTTCATCTAGCAAAAAGTGACGCCACAATAATTTAGATCAAACTTGTGAGGTTTTTCCGATCAGATATCTCAAGCGGCATTGAGAATAGTTGTTAGATATAGTATTTCGGCCTTAGTGATGAAGGTCCAGCTTTGTATGTCACAAGGATCTTAGGGCCTTGGAAACTTGCTTGCGCGATTTCTTGCTGGCAAACTTTTGCTTCTGTAAGAGGAACAGATTGGTAAAGTGATCAGCGTAAAGTGGGCATTCCTTCGAATTACCTTTTTTGCGGCTTTCTATTGTCGTTTATATCTGCCAGTGCCTGAGGCTCCAGACGAGGATCTTCAGGAGCTGCCTCAGCGGAGTGCAGCAGCGAATAATGCTAGGGTCCTTGGAGTACCTGTGATTATGTGACGCTTATGTTAGGTGTGTGGTCCCAATTCTTTTAAGAAGTTGGGCAAGAAGCACATGAGTCCGGTTTTCCGGACTTCAAGAGAACGGCTATGTCAAAGTAAGTAAATGCCAGCCCTTCTATGACTATGTTAATATGTTTTTGCCACTAATTTTTTCTTTTGCTTGCTGCTTTTTTTAAACTCTCAGTTATTCACGTGTCGTTGGGTCAGCCGAGAGTCGACTGTTCAATGGGCGCTATCGCGATCCTTTACGTGCATCAAAACCAACTCCACATCCTTCGTTGTCAGCGCATATTGCGGAGCACGATTTGCATATTGTCTGAAGAGGGATCTTACTCAATATTAAATATCTTTGGACACAATATCTTTGTGGCGCGGCACATAAGCACCAAGGCGGGCGCCAGAAGATAGTCCAATCTGATATAAAAACGTAATTTACGCCTTGACTCGTCCGTGCATGAAGACTAGATTGTCTAATAACCAGTTACATCGCTAAAGATCGAGGAAATCTTTAATAGTGAAGTTGTATTTGGCCTTTTTGGCTTTTGATATCTCCCTGTCTTCCACCATCGACGTTCGGATAATTTATCGTAGAAGATCTATTAGCGAGTAATCAGCTTAAGAAAGATTGCCAAATAGCAGACCTTGAAGACCTAATATTGGTCTTTCAATACGATTTCTTTTCTAGATTGGGCTAACGCTGCGATGACCCGCTCGGCATGGTCTATCATGAAGGATAACATGGACGAGTAGCCAGTCGCCCTTGTGAGGAATTGGCATACCATCACATGTGCTGCTTTAATTCCAGGAGAGCAGGTCTTGTCAATCTAGAAGTGACGCGGTCCTGAGAATAGCTATTGTCTTCTATAAATTTATATATGATTGAATCAGCGTCTTAGATATTCTAATACGAAAAATGAAGTCTTTCAAGCATACTCTAGAAACAACTCAAAGCTCTAAGACTTTTTGGTTGTAATTTCACTGGCAGGAAGAGAGACTTTATCTTTCTTGATGTAATGAGTTAGGTTATATTCATTCTCAGCGCATTGTTCCTATCTTCGTTTCTTGGTTTGACTGATACTGGTTAGTTGAGCTTTATATATATGTGCAGTATTTGCTATAAATATAACTACTATTAACTCTTAGTTCTATGTGGTATAACAGTCTTTATAATAGGAAGAGTAACATAACTTCTAAACTTTCAATTATCAGCTTTTATAGCCTAGCTAACTTAGTCTATCTAGCTAGTGTGATAATATTAATTAGTTTAAGCCCTACATGATGGTTTATCTTGTTTCAACCTAAAATCTATTGTGACTGAGTTGGCATAGCCAATAATTTACCTCTTATTGAATGAGTTTTGTCTGTTCTACCAGGATTCCGTGAGTACATCGTCCCTGGCGCTTAGCCATTTCAGCGGTTCTTGCAATCGGGCGCCGTAAGGGTAGATTCGCCCCAAAATCCATCAAGGCCAAAGCTTCATCTAGAGAAAAATTGCGCAGCCTGCACATTCTGCGCAGGCTTAATCTTCACTTCTATATTATAATATCCAGGAATTCACCGGTGTTGAAAGATATACCTGCCTCTAGGGAAAGCGTTCATTAATATTTTCGACTTGCGTGTGTAATGATAAAATAGAGCAAATTTTCAGTAGGTGCCGCGGCTCCATAGCTGTGATTTTTGGGCGACTAGATTGTGCGCTTCCACCTAGCATGACCCCAAGAAAGTGAGGGGGAGATCCCTAGCTTGTACTGATCGTGACCGGTGATAGAGATGACAATTAGCCCGCAAGAAATAGAGGGTTGTGGGATAGCAGCTTGGGACGGTGCGGATTCTAGCCCATGTGTATGGGCCTCACGTTCTATGGTGCCACCTGTTGGGAAGAGAGGGGAAGGGGGAAGGGGAAAGGGGATGGTCGCCTTCTAGACCGCCAGTGCGTTGCGATCGCATCAGGGAGCGCTCTTCGAGTGATCAGTGAGCGCTCAGCATCGCTCCGGGAGCAGGTCGCGCGTGCTCAGTGAGCACTCCCGGAGCGCTCGGCGGTGATCCAAGAGCGCTCCGAGATCCCAGGGTGAGTAGTCACGTGCCGGCCCATTAAAGCAGCGGTGCTGGGCGGCCGTCGCGACGCAAATTTGTTACCTATAATGTACCTAGGTAAAGGCGAATCTCTGAGACTCTCCCACACTTATCTCGTTGGTGCAAATATAACAATCGGGCGCCAACACGTCTGCAAATTTCCACTGTTGAGATCATCAGCCTGTTGATCATAGGACTTGTCATATTCGGAGTAACTAAATAACTAGAGGAGTATAAAAAAGGTTCTCCCCGACCTCGGGGGATCGTCGGGTTTCTGGTGGAACCACAAAGAAACAACTGCGTAATTTCGACCCCGCCTTACCTCACTCCTCTATACGACCTCTCTTGTATAAAATTCTTTATTGAATTATTTCTCTTCTCTTCTTTCACCCTAACCATCATCTCTTCTCAATTCAATCACACAACAGACAACCTCACAACGACAAAATGACCTCACACGGTCCCGGTTCTTGCTGCTACAAAGGCGTCAAGCATGAGGGCCAGCCCGTCGGCAGCATCTCCACCGTCAACGATATTGAGGTTTACACCTCTTACCCCGAGAATAAATCCACCGACTACGCCGTGTTGCTGTACGTATCTTCTCTTCTGTCTAAATGTTCTCTGCAGTTTCCGAATATTCCGACCACAATTGGTGCTGTTGTGTTGTCTAACGTTGCGATGTGAACCAGTCTCACCGACGTCATCGGTCACAAGTTCAACAACGCTCAGCTCATCGCCGACCAGTTCGCTGCCAATGGCTTCTTCACATTCGTGCCCGATCTTTTCCATGGCGACCCAGTTCCGTTGAACCGTGGCGACGATTTCGATTTTGCCAAGTGGAAGGAGAGTCATGGAACGGAGGTTGTCGATCCTATCATCGAAGCTAGTATCACCGAGCTGCGCGAGAAGTACAAGGTGAAGGTACGATCCTGTTTTTCTAATGAGTAAGATATATACTTATCGAATGGCTTCAGAAAATCGCCGCCGTCGGCTATTGCTTCGGCGCCAAATACGTCGTCCGTCACCTCCACCCCAAACAAAACAAAATCGACGTCGGCTACGTCGCTCACCCTTCCTTCGTTGAAGCCGACGAGCTCAAGGCCATCGGCGCTCCCTTTAGCATCTCCGCCGCCGAGACCGACCAGATTTTCCCCGCTGAGAAGCGTCACGAATCTGAAGTCATCCTCAAGGAGACCGGCCTCCCATACCAGATCAACCTGTACAGTGGTGTCACCCACGGGTTCGCAGTTCGCGCCGATTTGAACGACAAGGTCGCCAAGTATGCAAAGGAGAATGCTTTCTTGCAGGCTTTGTCGTGGTTCGAGGAGCACCTTAAGAATTGACTCGTGGCGAAACCGGCGTTGTAAGCTACGGTTTCTGTATGTAGGCGTGCCAATAAGCCATAGAATGCTTTCTGTATGTAGACATGCCGTTAGACGATGACAATTGATGACTGTACTTACACATGGAATTCATATATGATATCTCAAATTGATTGATACCGACAAGATGGCATAACCCTTAGGAGTGGGATTAAGCCTTTAAAGTCGGGCTAGTGACCCATTATGAGGTCACTAGTGCTTATGCTTTCGCCAGAAACAGACGACCTTAGACGATGCTCATTCTTTGCATACATACTAAGTACTAGTACTACCAAGCTGTCAGATTTTAGCCTATTCTAGAATGGATAGCCCTCCGACTTAACACCGAAATCCTGCCGAGGTATCCGCAACGTTGAGAATCAGCCCAACAACATCACAATTCCGCCAATCATGATAGAAATAAAAATATATATAAGAAGCGTGGTATGTAAGTACCCACTTAACGCCCTCTTGTGAAACTAAACAGGGCGAAACATGCCGTACATACTGTATATGGAGTACGTCCGGCGATTGCTCGGCGTAGCCGTCGCCGAAGCACGAATTGTGGGCATCCAGCTGACTCTCATGACTCTCTTCATCACGATCTGTACTTTGCCAGCGGTGAGTTGATACTCAGCGGCTAGTCAGGCCAGATACTTTCTTTCTTCTTCATTTCCTCTATCACGAACCGGCCTTTTCCCTCCCAGTCATACGATATTACTACCGACACTGGAAAAACACTGGAAAACATACGAGAAACAGCAATATCATGGCTTCGTCCACAGAATCCGACAACCACTCTTCTCCCGATTCGCGAAACAAGACAAAATCTGGTGCAAACAGGAAACTACGTATCCCCAAGGCCTGCTATCCTTGTTATAAGAGAAAAGTCAAATGTGACCGCAACTCCCCGTGTTCGTTGTGTGTAAAGAGGGGTTATGCCCATCTCTGCACATTTACGCACCCATCCACAGCGACAAAAGAGAGATCACTCAGTCGAGGAACTCGTCAGCATCATGAGACCAGCAATAACAACAACAGCCACGGCTGTTGCAGCAGCAAGAAAGAATCACCTTCCGAGACAGAAGCCGGAAAATTTACTGTCACTGATGGTGGAAACGTACTCATCGATCCACAGGAATGGCAGAGTATACAGGATAAACTCGCAAACTTGAGCCAGAGTATGCATTCGCTTCGCTCACGACTGGAAATAGCATCGACACCGCCACCGGTGCCACAATTATCGACATCGCCATCATCAAGTTTATCTACTATCGACGGAAATAATCTTCACGCATCACCAGTTACGATACCGAAATCATTACTTACGCCTATCGACGAGGAAAGGGCCGGCGATGGGGTGCGCACTCGAACCGCCTTAGGTGGATCCCCAGTTCATTGCGGATCAGAGTCTATTACTGCTTTTGTACTTGAAAAGCCGCATCAACGTGCTATTTTCGGTGAGGATAGCGTCCTGTCGCAATTGGCGCTTGATAATCAGTCGGCAACGTATCCGTTTTTAGACCTGTGGTCGTCAAATATTACTTCGTATAGTAATGAATCTGTTTGCGCGGCGCTTCCGGATGACAGTGTTTGTCGAAGGTATTTCCCGTCAGATACATCCCGATGTTAGGAAGAGTCGAACAGCTAACTCTATTATCAGACTAATACGATCTTATCACGACGTTCGCTTGACACTGTACCCCGTTATAGCCGACTTTGACGGCTTCCAAAAAGATGTTCAGACCCTTCTCGATAACAGAGCGTTGCAAGGTTTATGCGCAAGCAATCCTTTGGCTCCTTCAATAGCACCGTATGGTTGCAACATCTCCTTTATAGGAAATTTGTTTGCTATACTTGCGTCTGGATGCCAGGTCTCTGACTTTTCGCACAAGGAGAGGACGTCGATGTGTCAACTATATGGTAGGTTTCGCAAACTTCACGCTATGATATAATTTCTGACATCTTTCAGTATCGTGTGCGTATCAATGTCTGCGGAATAGTAATTTCTTGTCTCAGCCTAGCATGGAGGCTATCCAGACCTTGTTGATAATTGGAGATGTTCTCTCGTATAATATGAACCCGGGTATCGCCTATGTGACATTCGGTATGTTCCATATTCACGATCTATCTTGCACTCATGCTGATCTTTCAGGTGTCGCCCAACGCATGGCATTGACTCTAGGTCTTCACGCCGAATCCTTCCTATTCAGAGACCAGAACGCCAACCGACGGCAAGAACTATGGTAACTTCCACCAATTTTTTTATTGTTACCCATCTGACTCTCCCAGGTGGTCCATGGCCTGGCAAGACAGCCACTTCGGCCTTTCCTACGACCGTCCCATCGAGACTCTCGCACCAAGCCCTCAGATTCCCCGAGCAGTCGACTCTCGTCCCGGAAACAGAGCTTACTTTGAGACAATGTGTTCCGTCATCTTTCTCATTCTTCGGCTTTTGCGCGAAGAGATCCTCGAGGGCAACAAAATCAGCGACCACACCATCCCCGCCTACAAAGTTGAACTGGACAAAATTTTAGCTGATGCAGCGCCTCATCTCAGAAGCGAAGATTACTGCTTCACGCTTAGAGACCATATTCAACGACTGACCCTCAAGCTTCGATCGTCATACCTAGTTTCCGAAATCTGTCGCCGATCGCTGAAACAGTCCTCAACCGGCAGTGGCAAGAAAGCCCTAACACCGCATCTATGTCAAGAATGCATTGACTCTCTCCTCAGCACCATCGAAGCCTTTATCGAAATCCACCAAATCATTCCTCACGGTTCGCGATCATGGATCCATCTGCACAGCGCGATCAGCGCCGCGTTTTTGCTGTCAGTTGACGAAGGCGCCCAAACCGAGCCGAGCGTATGGGCCATTCTCGAAAAGCTGGAAAATGTGTTTTCGGATTTGACTTCTGCTGCAAATCACAATGGTCATTACAACGCAGATAAGCTTGCTCATAGCCCTGACTCCATGGCTCGTGACTGGTCTTCACCACCACACTTTTCGACTCATCAGTCGACGGTTAATCACAACACCGCTGCACCACCAGCAATGGGTGATTTGTTCTCAGCGGATAACTGGCATTCATTCGGTCAGACTTTTATGCTCTCCGATTTTCCCTTGAGTGCAGACCCCATGATGATGATGGGTGGAAGTCCCAAAAACAATATATTAGGATTCGGAATGTCGAACGACTTTTCGCAATCTGTGCCCATGGTTGCAGAAGAGGATCGCGGCGTTGAGTTTCTCATGGGTACGTTAAACAGCTTAAAGAAAATTAATGCGGGGTTTAGAGCACAAAAAGCTGAAGCTAAGAGAAATGCGGTTGTGGGTGTCGAGAAGAAGCCCGCTGGGTCGTCGTGTTGTATGAGTCGGAGTAGAGAGGGGACGACGGCGAGATGTCATTAATGATTTACTTATACCTTGTAGGTAGTGCTCAATTAGTACATGAACATTGAGTCATTTATTGCATGTGGAAATTAAACCAGAGAAACCGGATTCAACTAGGTATATCTATCATCAGCGACCATAACTCAAAACAATCTTGAAAACACGCTATCAAATCTACAACCTGTTCATAACTCGTAGGATCAATGAGACTTCAACATCTGCGAAAAACAATCAATAACAGCCTGCGACGTCTCCAATTGATACTTCATCTTATCCACCTGCTGCTTCAACCTCAGATTCTCAGCTGCCAAGTCATTGACTTCGGTCTTGTGGCTTTCGCGTTCTCGCATTGCGCGGAGACCGAGTTCGGCGAGGGCAGCCATACCCGGTTGTTGCTGCTGCTGTTGCTCAAAGCCTCCACTGGATGCAAGGGCAGAAGAAGAAGTAGTAGTGACAATCTGCATCTCAGACCCTGACTGTTGCTGGCCCTTGGCGCTCTTATCGAGTCTATCGCGAAGATCCGCATTCGCAGACTCAAGCTCTAGAACCCGCTGCTCCAATGCCGCCGTTTTGGCCGTTTGCCACAAATCATTATTCTGATTCGACGACACAGATACCGACTGCGCTTTTTCCATTCTCCTATAGCTAATCGATGACGCTGATGGTGACGAAGTCGACGACGATACAGAAGAAGATGCCGCACGACTGTGGTTTGCCCATGTCGCCTGCGCAAGTTTGTTGCGTAACTCAATCACGTTCTGTAAATCGTCATCACGGAGTTTTTGGAGCGCTTCGTGTTGGCGGCGCTCTTGCGCAAGCAAGGTACGGATTTTGATGAGGTTTGAGACGTCTTCGTCCCTCAAGGAAAAAAGTGATTCTCTATTGGAGAGGAGAGTGGCGTTCTCGGTTTGAAGCAAGGTAAGACGGTGTTGGAGGGCTGTGTAGTCTGATGCCATTACCGTCGGGGACGAGGATTCGAGGAGTGTGAGTTGAGATAGGAGGGTATGCAGCTGCGTTGATAATGGGCCTGTAGGGAAGTTTTGCTGAGTTTCAGGAGTCTGGTTGCTGTTATTTTCGGGGTTGACGGCGCCAGGTCTGGCTGTCAAGGGCGGACTATCCGGTATTCCATGTGCGTTTCTGGGTCGATCGATATAATTGAAATCCTGAGCAGCGTGGAAAGAGACTAAAGAATCATGGATTCCTGGGCCGGGCTCATCGTCAAGCCCATTTACGAATGGTGATTTTAAGTCTGCGTCTCCCTCATCGCCAACCTCGACACCATCGATTAGAGAAGGCTCAAATCGCTCCGTTGAGAGGATGTGGATGTGCACTCTATCCCTTCCGGTTTGTTCAGCAGGGTGCGTTGCTGAAAATGCGGTTGATCCAGATGCTTGGCTGGATACATCATCGTCTTCTTCGTGACCAGGTGTGCTTGAGGATCTTGGGGAGAGAGAGGGAACGGAGTATTGGTATTTTTCGGATGACAAAGATGGTAAGGAACGTTGGTGTTTGCCGAGCCACATGTCTGTGGGATTTGGGTATGTGATTGGTTCTTCAGATGTATCGGATTTGACACTGAGAGTGCGCAGGTCGAGATTTTTGGCGCTGGTGCGCGGTGGTGGTGGTGAGGTGTGTTGGGCTGCCCACATGTTTGTTGATTAGGGATAATACCTGGTGGGAAAGACAATGAGTTGCTTTTCAGGCGAAGAGATGCACTTTAATAATCGATCTGTGTAACTTCTCAAGAAGATTCGACTAGAATCAATAGTCCAGTCTTATATGTTATTTCGAAATAGCACAACTACGAAGACCATTCAGGAGGCATACAGTCTGAGACACAGGCAAAATTTCCCAGTGACCTTGCATGAGACGAAGAGCGTCAGAATCGTTTTAAATACTGTTTTGATTTCAATAACAACTATTTTATAACATTTCATATCACAATCGCAAATCTGGAGTTGTTGTGACAAACGTGTTCACTGTAACAGGTGTGTCTCAGGTACCTGACATCACCCCCTGTGTATGGCGGCTGAAACCATTCCAAGAGATAGACAAGTCCCCTCTCTCTACAATCGAAGGTGGTCATAACCATAATGCTTAAGTGAAAAATAAAAAAAAAAATAAAAAAAAAAAAAAAAAAAAAAAAAAAAAAAAAACGGTATCGGTATGACATGGTTTGTTGGGTAGTATGGGCCTACTAGGGCTTCGCATTAATGCCCTAAGATCTTACTTCCCTTCTTAATATATGTTACATTTACATAGGTGACTATATGAAGCATATTTTCCCTGCCGGTTGGGGTTTTCCTTTTTCAGCTGCCGCCGCTTTTGTGAGGGCGCTCACGGTCCGGCTCACTTGAGTAGATTTCTGTCCGAACTCACGGTCCCGTGTCACGAAGCGTAGGATTGGGAGAAGGCTAGTCTGACAAGCTTACAGAGGTGAGCCTGCTTATAAGCATAAAGTATTTTTGTAACTATTTTAACGACTGATCCTGTAGAAATGGGGGATCCGGGGTGCCTAGCTACCTATATAGGGGTTGCTACGTAAGCGCTAGGGATAATAGTAATCCCGTTTCGTGCGTAGTACGAATCGACAGCGTACTACATCGCTGTATGGTGATTCGTAAGGTCGCTATTCAGACAGTAGCAAATTGTCTTATATAGTCACTGCTGACTTTCGGTCCTCGTTAACTAATTGTTCGATAGCAAGAAAAATACCCTTCTGGAATGTGCGTGATGCTCCCATGTAATGAGAGCTAGATAGACGAATAGAGAACATATCAAGTCTCAAACAGTGTATTGAAGTCCTAAAGTAAATGCCGCAAGGGTAGGTTCCCAGTCTGAAGAGAAAAAGACAATCATTGAAATTCATATTAGGATACGAGAGACTATCATCAGCCTTAAGAGAATACAAAGTCCACTAACGAAGGCCCAACAGTATACCCTTCAACAAAACGCTCCCCGATATCCCTCAAGAAATTATCGTAAGTCGTCTCCGGCTTATGCACACACAGCCCACACAGAAGCTTCTTGACAGATTCCTCGAACTCAAGCCGTGGAAGCGCCTCAACAACGGCATCATATTCTTCCTGAGTAATCAAGCCTCCAGGAAATGCCGGTCCCATAAAATCAACCGTGATCCCCATATTACACAGCGCAACTTCTCCTTCCTTGTGCTGCGCAATACTCGTCGTGGTATGTAGAGCAATGCTATCCCACACTAGCTGCACCTCTCGCGGAGTGAAATGCGGTGCCGCCCGGTTCAAGAACTCTCGGGTTGCATTTGCGCCGTCGACTTCGAAGCGCTTGTCTGCCGTCGCGAATGGGCTCGTGTGGTCCCAGGCTAGATCATGGAGGATGCATGATACGGCGTGGATCTCGCGGTTTATATTTGCGAAGTGTGGGATTTTGGAGGCGAGGATTGCGCCGAAGACCCAGGACCGGTAGACGTGGTTGAAGGACATGGCATCGTTGTTTTGACGAGCATATTCGAGGGAGGCTTGGATGAGCGGGGTGTCGATTAAAGTGACGCCGGCGAAGACTCGGGTTGTTGGAGTTGGRGCCGTCATAGTTATTTTTTTTTTTTTTTTTTTTTTTGCTAGATGTATGATTTTTGGACTATACTTCAAATTGATTCCTACGTTTATTATACGATTCTGCCGATAGAAGCGTTATTTATATACCTGTCGTCTAGTCCTCGCCGCTGCTTTCACGAAGTCTCACAAGAATGTCTCCTCAATACCTCGTCAATTCTGCCGCGGCCCGATTGGCCTCATCAAGTTAGCACCGGTTACTCAGAGACAATATACTCTAGTAAACCACAATGAACAAAAGGAAGCTGCATGGAATGGACTCGGAGGCCCATGTGCCGGCGGTCCGGTATGCCCAACATAGTTTAGCGCGGCAAGGAGGCCTTAAGAGAAAGCTTCTACCCATAGAACAATGTCTTTCTCAAAGACAGATATCCATTCCACTCGTAATGTCACCGCCTTGCCGCACATGTCGCCTACGGAAGAAAGCTGTGAGTGGCATAAATCTCAGATCCCGGCTAGGGCTGCCAGACCTGGGGCTAAATAAGTCAATCTAGTGCGATAAGACAAAACCACGATGTAAAGCATGTCTGAATGCCGGCCGCAGATGCGAAGGATATGATCCTTCTATCAACGGGGTCTTCGTCAACCTTGACCAGAGTAATATTAGAAACGCGAAGAAGCCTCTGATCTCGGAGGCCATCCGGTCTGCTAAGCAATGTGATGTCCACGCTGTGAACCAGTCACAGGAGTATTTCTCTGCAGTCTTTATTCATACCCTTGACATCTCACATGGTGAATTTAGAGACCACTTTTTGACCTTATGGACGCGGTTTCAAAGGGTGTATGCACGAACACCCGACAGCTGGTCTGTTCAGATTTCGAGCCTCGGTCTACACAACAGGGCGCTTGATCTAGCTCTCATAGCTCTTGCATCTATGAGACTGTCATTATGCGGCGAAAAAGAAAAATACGAAGTGCTAAGTCTATCCGCCTACAATGACAGTCTCCAGCTATTTCGGCGTCTGTTGCAGAAAGACAGCCAAAGGGGCCTCTTAGTCGTGATATCACTTATCTTCACACTTTTTGAAGCGGCTCAACAATGCCCAACAGGGATCTACCAATCTGGATGGTCTGGTCATTTGAAGGGTGCTCTCAGCCTTATGAAACGCCAAGGGCCCCGAGCCTTTCAGGCCGGTGGCTTCCATGTGGCCTTTAAAAAGCTAAGAGAGATGGCTGTAAGTGCCTTCCTTCCAATTTGCCATCAGGATGAATTACTCATCGAAAGCAGATCCTGCTAGCCTTGTCTTATCAAGATCCATCGTTTCTTGCACAGCCTGAATGGATGAAAGTCCCATGGGCAACAGCCCGGAAATCGTCGCGTGACCAACTCTATGATATCGCTGCCGAAATGACGGCCCTAAATTCAACCTCGAAATCCAGTGTGGGAACATGTGCAAAGACGTCCTGCAAGCATCGATACTTGTATAACGAATTAGTCGCTTGGCGGCGCAGGTGGTTTTTGACCGACTACCCGAACCTCCTGTCGCCGTGTCTGGGCTGCTATGAAGAGACATGTTTATGTCTCCCAGAGTCCAGGCTGTCACCTTCAAACGAGTTCTCTTACACTGGGGCAGAGTTCCTGGCATTACTGTTAGTGCTCAAGGTTAGAACGAAGGATGGATGCCAACTTGCTTCTGCCTTCAGCGAAAATGAGCTAATCCTCACACGAGGAGTAACATGGCTGCGAGCGGAGTTGGAACAATACCTTAGCCTGCATTGCTTCGGTCATGCTATTTCGGATGCGCTGGGGATCACAGAAGGGCGCTGTCGATCGTTGCTCCCGGTTTGGGCGCTATCCCAGACTGCCGAGGTCAATATTTGTAGCCAGTTGGAATGGTGGTCTCAATTGAATTCTCGTTTCTATTATGGGGTATCTTCATGCTACTAATGTTCAATCGACTAATGTATACGTTGACCAGGGCCCTCGAATAAAGATCCGATCATACTAGTAAGAGTGGAGGATTTGAAAGCAAATATTCATCTATGTTTTTGATTTACCAAGGAGTTGACAGAGAGATTGTCTCAGTCTCAAGTCCCACTAACGACGTGAATGGTAAGAAAATTCAGCTAGTCACGGAATCGTAACCGTTGCTTGTAAATGATAATAATTAGGGTCGTTGAAATAGCGCGCAGAAAACTATTGAATTATCGCATCAATAGAACATGATTATTTCTATCAAGAGCCACGATCACCTACCTTCAATCCTAGCAGCACAGCACCTGTGTATCCGGAGTTCACCTACTAAACAAGGGCAAATTAGGGCTGTTCTCTATTCTTAAAGAGATTTATTCGATGACATGCCTACTACTATAACTATGTATACACTCTCTTTCCAATCTCATTCAATTCCCGGTTCTCTACAATCGGGGTCGAGTGACCATCCAGCGCTAGCCGCAACATACTAGCAGCCAGGTGGTGGACCATAATGGAATTCGCCAGCTTGCCCACAACCCAAGTGCGCAGCAATGCGCCTTCCGGCTGAACGAACCCGGGTCGGGTAATATACACTTCAAACAGCCTGCCGGGTCTCGTCTCCGCGTCAAGCCGCAGCAGCTCATTCTCCAGCTGTCCCCTCATCCGCCGATTCTCAGCCAGAAACCATAGCTTTTTGGTTTCGTCCTTTTCTGGAAGCGCGCCACTCAGATACACAAATCTGAACGGCTTGGTTTTCGTCGGCCCCTTCAATTTCTCAGCCGAGAACTGCCTCGCGGTGGAAATGGCATATTCGAAGTTGATCTTGCGATTCAATTCGGCGGGTTTCACGGGCACGTTGGTGCCGAGGCAGTAGATGCATGCGTCTGCTTCTTGAACATGGGATAGAAGCCCAGGCGGATGATGGAGGAAGAAGTCGTCGTTGTCAACGATCATCACGCGGAGCTTTGCGTGCGAAATGTTAAGGTCGCGCCGGGACAGGGCAATGACGTCTGAGACTTCGGGATGAGCCAAGCATTCCTTGAGCACTTCGCGGCCGATGTAGCCAGTACTGCCGGCTAGGATGGTCTTCATGGTGATATCTCTGATATCCCGGGTTAAATAAACGACGTACGTGAGAATCTCCTGCTCTAAGGGAATTCCCGGCTATTTATTGATACAGCCGGATTGGTCGGCATGAAGCTGGGCCGCCGGAGGATTAATCCTCCAATGAGTTGGATATGAGAAACTTATTTTCTGTTATTCTCGACGGAGTGATACTCTTGTGGCGGGAAAAGTTTGAAGCATCTCAGAAGGAAATCCGCTCACGCTGATTGGCTGTTGCGCAATACCTGCCGCAAGAGGTTAGAGAGTCGGGKGTTTTTGCCTTCCCGAAGTTCTCTTCAGATTTCCATCACATCCTGACCAGATTGGCTAGGGAAGGGACGGCGCCCACTTCATGATCGACCATGATTTACATAGTAGATGGCCCTGTAGTTATATACCTAGTCAGATCAGAACAATCAACACCGCTGCGCGATCACGCACTTACTCCTGTTTTCTCTTCTTCATGTTTTGTATTCTCGTACGAGCTGCCTAGATAGGCGAATCTATATTGATTCGTGTTGTCAACTCTATTCTAGATCACGCTCAATGTAGCGATTAGAGTGGGCTATGTTGACTACGTTCCTTGTACATAGTCGACGACTTCCGCCGCTGTTGCAACATATGACTAGACACTTTAAATTCTGCTTACTGTATGAGAAATAACTAAGCTGAGTCTAGTGCTCCCAGTAGGTTGACTGATAAACCAGTCGAAGGCACTTTTAACACCTTAGACAATGTTATTAGAGCTTCTTATTAAAGATACCGCATATTCATGTGAGAGCGACGCTTCAATTTGGTAGTTAGTGAACCTTAAAATCCTACTGTAAGGACGTACAAACAGGAGTACCAAAATAAGAATATAATTTTGAGTATTCATAGCTAATTATTACGTCCTAGAAGAGTTAATTTGTTCCCTAGAGCACCAGGCTTCGATAGCACGAAGGCCAGTATTAATGAGGCACGGAAGATTTCCGCTTTTTACTTATTCTTGCATAGTAAATTTTAAAATCAACTATTTGGTAACACTTACCCACACAGCTTCCGAAATTCAATACATATAATAGAGCCCTATTAGGATACAGAAAGTCGTATCTTTGGTTTTGACTGGTATGACAGTTTCGCATTACCTTACATTATATTCTACAATACATAGCATAGCTATATGTTAGTGGTGTGGCTATCAAAGACAGATATACTACAATACCAGAATCATTTAGTAACAGTAATATTATAAACCAATCCTAAAACAAGGCCTTGCCTCTTAAACTTGTTGTTGTCAATTATTCAACCTGACTGAATCAATTGTTGACATCTTATCTAAGTCTAGTTAGTCTCTAGCAGAGATAGGATATACTGTATAGCTTCTTATAGTATAAAGTAAACCCGCTCTAACCTCATAGTGCCTGGAGGAGTATCTACGTCATATGATATAGGGATATCACACGTATAGCTCCTTTCTAGCATAGTCTCTGATCATAGTTGCAAGCTGACTACTATATAGTGTCGTACCATATTTCCCATTTCAGTTCTTATTAAGTATGGTCCGCAGTAGTATGGGTCCTGGACTATTGTGTAGGTAATTACTTACTTATTTACTGATATAAATGTGATACTTCAAAGTCACTGTCGGTTTATCCCGGTCCAAGATTAGCTCAATTGGATTGGGGAAAGAGCAGTCCGGCAGCCCTGCACTGTGAACTCTTGATTGCTATCAAAAGGGTGGCTGGGGATCTGGCGCTACATAAACAAACATATACGCGTTCTGGGGTGAGATAACCATGATCCGGAGCACGTACAGTAGGTGTGTAGTTGCTAGATGCCAGGGTCTGATATTGACATTTGAATAGTTACAGAACTACTAGGTCTTCGTCCGCTGCAATAGCAATGTAGGCAGTCTGCCCAGATCACGGTGGCCAGGGTCGTGCTCTTCTACTCAAGGATTAAAAGCGGCGAATGGGTGAGCACTAAAACGGAAAAGAGAAGCCGCTTAGCGTCAGGAGAAATCAAGTACGTAGGCAGTTCTCCCTGACAATGCACATATTGTTATATACAAAGGGTCAGATAGGAAAATGGCCCAACCTCGACATCGTCCGTCGTATAGAAAGCACGTGATAAACGAGTTCCGTTAGAAAGAGATACCAAGACGTACTTGCTCACAAGAATCGCGCCATCGCTTAGCCGTTCGTATTTAAACAGGCACTTCTACCGTCTGTACTTCGAAGCGAGGTAATGCAGATTGCATCAATTCAGAGAGCAAAAAATTGAGTCATGAAAAGTTTCACAGCCTTCTTCCTCGCGATTGACGCGGCATTTGGAGCGACCGGTGTACTTCCTTTAACCGGGACACAAAATCCATTGCGGTTCTCACCTAACGGTCCGGCTGTCTCAAATACAATACTCGATCACATCGTTGACTCGAGTCCTCTGCTATCGTTCCACCGCGATATCGTAAAATTTCAATCCATCAGCGAGAATGAAGCTGACGTCGGTAATTACATTATACGATTTTTAGAGTCAAAGAACTTTACAGTTGTGAAGCAACATGTTTCGGCACAGGGTCCAGAGCGGTTCAATGTTTATGCTTACATTGGCAACAATTCCTCACCGGATGTCCTAGTCACGTCTCATATCGATACAGTGCCGCCATATGTGCCGTACCAACTGAGTTATCCTAATACCGACTCTGATGGTAAAATTGATAGACGAGCAGTTCGCATTCACGGCCGCGGCACAGTCGATGCCAAAGCCAGCGTGGCCGCCCAGATTTTTGCGGTCCTAGAAACACTACAACATACTGCTGATGCATCCCTCGCGCTGCTGTTTGTAGTTGGCGAAGAAAACAGCGGTGTGGGCATGAATACATTTTCTAATTCGAAATATAATGCACCGTCGCCAAACTCCTTCCAAACAATTATTTTCGGGGAGCCCACCGAACTGAACCTAGTCGCTGGTCACAAAGGTGGCTTTGGATTGACACTCACGGCGACGGGGAAAGCTGCACATTCAGGCTACCCGTGGCTTGGGCGAAACGCCATTTCGCTGCTGCTGCCGGTTGCAAGTCTCATTGAAAATCTGGGTAATGTTCCAGTCGAAGAAGGAGGTCTCCCAGGAAGCACCAAGTATGGAAATACGACGGTGAATCTGGGTCTTATACAAGGCGGCATTGCAGGCAACGTGGTACCAGCTTCGGCGCACGCGAGTTTCCTTGTGCGGCTGGCTTCGGAGACACCAGAGAAGGCGAAAAGTATCATATACAATGCTGTGCAGAATTTTACCGGTGGTAACCCTGACATTCAGGTGGTATTTTCGTCCAGCGGTACATCACCAGTGGACCTGGATGCCGATGTTGAAGGTTTCAATGTCACAACTGTCAACTACGGGACGGACATACCGCATTTGGCTGTTCATGAGAGAGCCGGTCAAAAGGTGAAGCGATATCTTTATGGGCCCGGAAGCATTCTCGTTGCGCACTCCGACATTGAAGCAATAGACGTTGGGGAACTGGAAGACGCCGTCAAGGGTTACCGCCAACTAATAGAACATGCATTGAACAGAGACTAAACTAGATAGAAATCAATCAATGATGACTGACCATAGGTAAATGCATTGATCGTTATGGGTTCTAGACTCTAATTGCGAACGAGCAAATGAATTGTAATTCAAGTCTACGTAGTAGTATACCTGTAACCGCTTCGCCCTTCCAGGTTGACAGGCCAAATTGCAAGCACTCGGCTTCATTCTTCCTTCCGTTCTCCCCTGTGAATATCAACATCGTCCAGGATTGCCTTATTTTCTTTTGCTGCGGCGATCCTTAATCTCTTGAGTCTGCGCGTATCTACATCGACGCGCCAAGTGAAAGTCCAGGTAATCAGGTTCATAACTATGGCCAATCCTATAAATCCCATTGCAATGCCAAATGAAGTTGTATAATGTGGCGCGTATCGCGAGTTGAAAAGCTGAGACCCGACCGCGCCGCCGATTTGACCGTAACTATTTGCAAAAGCGATGGCGAAGGCAGACCCAGTGGCACCTTCGGTTGATTGAACACGCCACGGCCACATCAAGATATACCTAATGAAAATCAGTATAAGCATTCATGTCAAGCACTCAGGCCAAGAATATCATAAAAACGTACCAGGCTGTCGAGAAACCACCTGCAATAACCGTGGCAGCATATACACCTCCAGAACTTGGGAATGTGTACAGGACTGCATAACAAGCTAGAATCACAATCATGAAGCCCAAGGGAATCGCTGGCTGTGGAATCCTGCCGGTATCCGCTATGATACCAAAAATGATAGTTAAGATCACAGCGAGGACCGCAGGCGGGATGTTTAGAAGCTGCGTTCGTGCAAGGGAACTATCAAATATTTAGTATGATTTCAAACACCTGACAAGTAGCTTGGATGAACTTACGTGAATCCCAGTTCTGCAATGACAGTTGGTTGGTAAAAGCTGAGTCCTGTCGTTCCAACAGTGTAAAATGCCCAACAGAGCAAGAAAAGCCACACTCGCTTGTTCTTTAAGGTGGTGATGAGCTCTTTCAGATCGAAATTGGACTCCGCGGCACGAGGCGCGTTGCTGGGTAGTCGTGCTTGCACGAAGCTCTTTTCTCGATCAGAAAGCCATGAAGCCGTGGCAGGAACTGCAGTGTTAGGATTAAGGTTAGCCCTTTTCAGAAATTGTCATGATGAGATGAACATACAATCAGGAAGAAAGAAATATGTCGCGATCCCTAGAAGAATGGTTATAATACCCTCGGTAAGAATGAGCCTGCATTATGCATTAGTGAAATGCTTTGATGCAATGGAGAGAGGAAGTTCTGACCATTTCCAGCCAGATAGACCTCCAGCTGTAACGCCGTTGAAAGCAAAAGCAAGAACACCACTAATCACAGCGCTGAAATTTCCCAGCATCGTCACAAGGACAATTCGGGGAGCCAATTCGTCGGGTCGATACCAGTAACATAACATAAGCAGTATTCCAGGCCATAGACCGGCCTCGAGCAGACCGAGAAAAAAGCGGACTGCATAGAGACCTTGTTTGTTGGTGACTGCTGCATGACAGCACAAAACGATTCCCCAGGTAGTCTGATAAAAAAAATTAGAGAACGTATTCTCAAAACATAGGTAGGATGCCCACCATTATTCGAGCTAGCCAGACAGAAGGTCGGAATTTCTTGAGGAGTAAATTGGACGGCGCCTCCGCTAAGATGTAAGGAATCTGTTTCCTGTCAGTAATACTCTGGCTAGCTTCGAAGGATTGTCCGTACATAGTACATAGTAGTCACGAGATTGTACTCGTTGGCCGTCATATGAAGTTCAGTAATGATATTATGCGACGTTCCTTTATCCATGACACGGGCGTTGGAAACCTGATCCCACCAGTAAATAGATGCCCTGTTTGAGATGAGCCAAGGATGGAAAACATACATTCGTAAAGTCAACACTTTTGAGCATATACATCAACGACAGGAGCGGAATCAATCGCCAGTCAATTCTGCGAAGCAACTTCTTCTCCTCAACATTACTTAGGATTACGCGCGCCCCCATGAGGGTCGCATTGAACCCGGAGATTGAATCGGAATCATCGTACTCCACCAGGCCGTCCTCATTACCAGTTCGTTCGACAAGATGCAGATGCTCTTTTCCGGGTACAGGATGCTCGTCAATTCCCGTGCTTACAGCCTTGGAGGTTGCACTCTGGGAAACGGCCTCGATTTTCTCAGAAGTCTCGGGCGGAGACATGGTCGGAGATGCTGTGTGTTGATAGTATCGGAGTAAATAAGGCGCTGGGATAAAAGACGGGGTTTACGTATCAAGATTTATACAGTAATTGGCAGATCATTTTTGTATACATCTGTGGAGTAAGGGACTTCGAAAAGATGAATCGCAATAAAACTGTCACATGGCATCATGCATTTCGTTATCGCTAGCAGTGATATTTAAGTGGCTATCGCGGTTTTTTCGTGTATATCCGTTGGTACCTAGCGATATAGCGTTGAGGACTTTCTGCAAAGGTATCACGCCATTCATCAGGTAGCACAAGAGACTAGTTTGCAGTGTGCTCTGTACCCCGTGCCCGCGGTGTCAGCGCATGTAAGGAGGCGAGCCAGATAAAGGAATAGCTTCATCAAAATATGCGAAGTAAATTATCGCCATTTCGTTCATTGTATGGGAGAGAGAGATATTGTCAAAGAAGGTGGGATCCGTGAAGAACGCTGCACCGGAAATAGCTTTATCAATGCCAAAACCCCTCATTGGGAGCCGCTCCGGAGTGTAGGTACGAGATAGAGGGACTCGGGATCTGTTCTCGACACTCCGTATCGCTGCTTTAATGATTCTACGATCATGTCTAAGCAGTTAGTAAGGCGACTCTGGGTCTCGAAAGTTGATTCCAAACAAACCGTTATTTGATTGTGCTTATCTGATATCGTTGCTAAGTCTCCACAAGCAGACACCGAGTCAAAACTTTATTATAGCGTATTTTCGTTGTGACTGTTCATTGTTCATTGCTCCGCACTGACTGAGTGAGGAGTGAAGCCTTTGCTCTGTTTTTCCACATTGCCTGACTCAAGTGCACAATTGTTGATGGTGACCTACGTTTGAATGTCAGTCACTACTCGAAACTCCAGCATTTTCTGTCTATTTGCAGCACCGCTGATAAGGCAATGGCCATATTGTTGCAGTCCAGGAGAACAGTCAAAAGTCGGACCTAATCAATTTTCTGGCTTCATGGAACCTGCGTCAGTGCAAAATGTGTGTCGAAACACAATGTATGAGTCCGTTACGTACATGGGACTGAAAAACAGCCATATATTGGAAGCAATATTCCAAGCGGGGCACATGTGCAGTCAAAACGCGAGGAGTTGCGGAACGGAGGGATATTTTCGCTGACTCACAGATTGACTCACTTATTCAATCACCAGCAATTTTTTACACACTGCAGTACAAATACAACCCGAAACACAGACATTGAACAAACCAAGCAACATCACCATGGTCACTCAAACGCCAGATATACACTTCGTCGGCACCTATACACGATATTCCAGTAAGCTTACCAATCTGGACCTCAACAGAATTGTTGAAATCTGGTGCTGATCCGGTACAGGTTGGACGAGTCGTGTGGAGGCTGTCTTAGAGTATTTCAAAATCGCACACACTCGCCAATTCGTGAAGCTTTCTGATGTATTATCTCCAAAATATCGACGACGGTGTAGCAGAACTCTAATTGATGCATAGGTAAAATCGATTTCGCCCACCGGATTGGTTCCTTTCGTGGAATGCCGCTCTCTCAGCGATGATGTGAAAATTTGCGACTCCCTCGCTATTTGCGAATTTTTGGCAGAGTCGTACCCAGAACTGCACCTGTGGCCCCGTGATCGCCAATTGAGAGCCTTGGCTCGAAGCAGCGCTGCTCAGATGCATTCCGGCTTCACTGCACTTCGAAATTCGTTCCCCACAAACTTCCTGGGAAAATACACGGGTAACGTACCAATCAGTGAAGACGCTCACAAGGACATTGTAAAAATGCTCAACCTCTGGGATTCCGCTCGCACAGCTACGAAAGAGCGGCTTGCTGTACTTGGCGAAGCCGATGAGGGATTCCTGTATGGAGGCTTCAGCATCGCTGATGCTTTCTTCTGGCCGGTTTTGATCGTAAGTGACGATTTTCATACTGTCGATTCCATCGTTAGAGCACCCAATTGACTTGAATCAGCGATTCCGCTCTTATAATCTACCATTGGAAAGTGCTAGTGCCGACGTACTGCGCTGGATGGCGAAGGTTTGGAATGACCCCGTTTTCAAGGGACTAGCTCAACGCTATCATGAGCAAGCGAAGGATCCAGAGACTCGAATTGAGCATTATGACGACATATTTCGTGGACAAGACGATGTTCAATACAGCCTGTTTCCCGAAAACTGGAAGTTTCCCTATGCTTGAGACTGATCGCAAGAGGTTAGGCAATCAGGGAGTGGTTGACAATGGCCTACCGTCGGCGTAGGTATATAAACGAGGTTTGAAGCCCGCTTTATTGACCAGAGGCAGCCCTAATTTAGTGGAGATATTCGCCCCTAGTAGAAGCATACTAGGCTAGAATTGGTCATCATGAAAAAATGGAGATGTAAAATCGGGCTTCAGGATATAGACTCAATTACATAAACAACATATGAGTAGTAATAGTCCATTAACAGCTCCTTGAAATTTGGTGTATTGCCATCGTGTTCCTAGATTGCCACGCTTCTAAGGCCCCTTCTCCTTCATCTCAAGCCTTCAACCCAGAATCATCTTACGCCGAACATAACACGCACAAGTCATCAATCGGGTCACAAAGGTCATCAAATATTCTCGATCCAGGTGTCGGCCTCGAGGCAGACATACCGTATCACATCTTAACAGGGCTATTTTCAACAACGTCGCCTTCAACGATCAATCGCAGACGCCTCGCCCAATCCTTCCGTCCCGACTTCGCAATCAGCTCATCTGCCATATCTCGTCTTCGGTAGGACTTCTTCGGTTTTCTCTTGACCTGTATCTTTCTGCTATATATATACATTGCTCGATTGGTGATATTTGCGAGGAACAATCATGCCGGAGAGAGCACAAATATGATGAGAAGAATGAGTTGACTAGATGTGTTGATGTCGCTTACCAAGGGCGGTGACATATGATCTAGGAATGGCTTCCGACTGACTTTGGCCCTGCAGCCAATCATCTTGTACTGCTATGAACCCCAGATTGCGCCATGTAAGCCGTCAGAGGTAACTAGCCGTCAGATACCCTGCCGAAGTACCGCTCTTTATCATTATCTAGTACTTGTGTCGTTATAACTCATGTATGTTGGTATAGTCAACTAGGCCAAGAAGTCTCCCCGCATAGTAGATGATCTACTACGGTATGCTTACAGTAGATGACTCATTCTCTGCTATCTTTCCAGGTCAGGTGGTCAGGTCAGGTAGTACTGCTCTTATGCTGAAAAGCATGATTGGACTTGGTGTCTTCAACAATCGACAGTCTGGGTATAATTCCAGGGATGATCTACCTATGCACTATTGCTGCTATCACCACATGGTTCGAATACATGGTTGGCGTTTTCAGGATATCCCATCCTTCGGTGTACAACACCGACGATGTCGGCCTGTTAATTTTTGGCCGTGTCGGGAGGGAAGTGATGTAGATGGTGTTTTTTCTTTGTCAGTGGCACCTGTCGCTTTATGAATATTTTCTTCTTTCCACACATGTTGCTGATCAAAAGTAGATACACCGCTGTCTCCGTCGCCATCGCTGCCATTATTGGGTCTATTCTTGGAAACATTCGTACACTCAGCCGAGTTTCATGGTTGGCATTGGTGAACTTAATATATATTATTATGAGTACAAGTGGATACAAAGTCTGTCCGTACGCAGAATCGGATACTTATATTTCCTTGCCCTGGTTCTCTGTGTTACGACTGCTGTGGGTGTTGAGTCGTCCCTTTGCGGGATCTACTATGAACAAAGTCTCATACGGCATTTGCTCTCCCTGGCTTGGTTGTCAACACTGGTTTGATCATTCATCTAAACTTGCCCGTGCGTACCGCATACTCTATCCATATGCTTATGCGATTAAAGCTAATAAAAATATGCAAATCTTTGCCAGGATAATATTTGTTCGTGTCTTTCGAGACTCGAAGCACGTTCTGACAATGAGAGAAGTGTAATAGCATCAAACTTTTGGTCAGTCGTTGTCGAATGGTCCGGGATGCCGGGCAGTGTATAACACCGGTCTTGAGATATGACTCGGAAATTTGGGAACAGAAGAAGACACAGAGAGCGATCTATCGAAATAGAGAGTCTGCAATTCTCAAAAGGAGGAGGAGGAGTCTAAACCTCCTTCTCGGGGGTCGAAGTGTACGTACGTAGGAAGTCAAAAAGAAATTATGGAGAGCGATCTAGACCTCAGTCAGGGACCCAGCCGAATTCCGTCACTCAGAACGCCTCGTCTTGGCTGGCCCACTCTTCTTATTCTGAGAATAGGTCAGACTTAGGACAGTGGTGTCAATAAAGGTGAATATCCATAAAAAATTTAAGACGAAATAAAAGAAGAGGTGTAACCTGCCAATTGTGCGAACATTGACAGTTGATGACACTCGACCGGGATGCAACTTTGTCACCTCCAGAGACGTAAGACAAGGGGCCGAATCGATCTGCAACGTCCTTAGTACGTACTCCACCAGCCCACTCTCATCTTAAAATAACACGAGACTTTTTTGGATGGTGTGGTCGGAAAAGTCGGACAGGATTTACACTTGTGTGATGTTCGGTCGACGTTTGTTCAGATCCGATCGACTGGACGGATGGATGGATGGATGGAGGTGTACGTGGTCGGCCGGATGAGATCGAGTCATTGGCTGTTCCAGGGGTGCGTTGTTCCTGGATCTGGCTGTAAATTTGGGTCGTGGTCAGGAACCAGCTGCCAACAAATCCTTTCGTCCATAGTCATAGCAGAGGCCGTAAGAAAGAGTCTTATGTCACCGTGCTGCGTACTCCTTCATTAGATTATTACGAAGAATCATAATAAATTGACCGAGTGTTGACAGCAGAGGTCAATGCTGACTGTCATCGGTAAAAGAAATACCAATATTACGCGTGTCTCACACGGTGTTCCTGCATAAAGGCGTATGTACCGAAACAATGTTTCAGTGGCAAAGCAGGGGATCCGCTTTGTGGCTCTTTATGGTTAGCCACAGCCGCTCTGCCCAATTATAGTCTGTATAATAAACCCACTGATGATGTAGCCTTGCTTCTGATTGGCCGTGTTCAGCGTGGCTGTACCGTGGAGCGGATACTCCCTTTCCTCTGCAACTGTCTCATATCCTGACTCTCTCTCTCTTCCTTCCGGCTCTCATTACTCTTTCACTCTTTCTACATCTTCCTCCACGACAATTTGAATTTCTTTCTTTCCTAACAAACTTTCGTTTTTGACTTCATTTCAAGTCACATACTTTCGCTTATTTTCGACACTCTCACTTGTACCGCCGATTATTTTCCTGATTTTCTCGCACATTCGTTAGACAATACTACAACATATACAAAATGCCTATCAACATGCAACTCATCAACGCCTTGGCCGTGGCCATGTCGGTCTCGCCTGCTGCTGCTGCTATCAAGGGTTTCAACTACGGCTCGACTTTCAACGATAACTCCGTCAAGGTGCAGTCGGATTTCGAGTCGGAGTTCAAGACTGCTGCCGGTTTGGTAGGAGCCGAGGACTTTACTAGTGCTCGTTTGTACACTATGATTGTACGCGACCTTTTTAAATAACAAATCGATTGGAGATGAAGACTAACAGCTCTGTAGCAAGGTGGAACTACCAACACCCCCATTTCCGCCATTCCCGCCGCCATTGCAACCAACACAACTCTTCTCCTCGGTCTCTGGGCCTCAGGTGACACTTTCGACAACGAGGTCGCTGCCTTAAAGTCCGCCATCTCCCAGTACGGATCTGATTTTGCCAGCTTGGTTGTCGGTATCTCCGTCGGTAGTGAGGATCTTTACCGTAACTCCCCCACTGGTATCGCCGCCAGCGCCGGTATTGGCAAGAACCCCGACGACATTGTCAACGACATCAAGACCGTCCGATCCACTATCTCCGGCACAGGCCTTGCTGATGTCCCCGTCGGCCACGTCGACACCTGGACTGCATGGTACAACTCCTCCAACAATGCCGTTATTGAGGCTGTCGACTGGCTCGGTCTCGATGCCTACCCTTACTTCCAGAACACCCAGTCAAACGACATCACCAGCGGAAAGTCTCTCTTCCAGGACGCCATCAATAAGGTCAACACTGCCTCCAACAACAAGGCTCTCTGGGTCACTGAGACTGGCTGGCCCGTCAGCGGTGACAAGGAGAACTTGGCCGTTGCCTCTACCGATAACGCAAAGACTTACTGGGACGAAGTTGGCTGTGGCTTGCTTTTCGACAAGGTCAACACTTACTGGTACATCCTCCAGGATGCTGGAAAGACAACCCCCAGCCCCAGTTTCGGTCTCGTCGGTTCTGAGCTCACCACCACTCCTCTCTACAACTTGACCTGCCCGGCTGTTGTTTCCTCCTCCACTTCTGCTACAAGCTCTGCTACTTCCACTGGTTCTTCTGGATCCACTGGTAGCGCTACCGGTACAGTTCCTTTTCTTCCGTAGCCCCTTTCCTTTTCCTCTGTAGACTTGCCTCTTCCCCAGGAAACTATGTCTAACCAGACATCAGGCTCCGCCACCTCTTCTCCTACTTCCGTTCCTGCCTCTAACGCTACCGGCACTCCCACCGGCACTGCTACTGGCGTTGCTTCTGGAACTGCTACCAGCTCTGCCACGGGTACTGCCACCGGATTTTCCACCGGCGCTGCCTCAACAGGTGCATCCCACCCTCACTCCCTCTCTTACTTTCTCCCTACCTTCTTCGTCCCTTCCATGAATGACTCGACTAATCTGAATAAACAGGCACCTCCACCCCCACTGGCACCCCCGGCGCCTCCGGTACTTCCACTCCCACCGGCACCCCTGGCTCAGCAACCACTCCCGCCGGCGCAACCGGCACCCACGCTTCAGGCACCTCGTCCAGCACCTCCCCCGCCTTCACCGGCGCCGCCAACACCGTCTCTGCTTCTGTGACCGGTATCGTCGCTGCCATCTTCGCTGCCGTCGTTGCTTTCTAAATCCAGCCTTTCAAGCCATTTGAATATACATTTCAACACATGGTGTATATTGTTTTCGGAAAGAGATGTAGATGTGAATGAGAACGTTGGACTTATATTAGATTGTTGTGGCTTKTCTGTTTGCAATTGAACATTTTGTTATTTTATTTGGGAATAATTGGGTGTATCTTGACCACTTACGTACCTATATTTTTTTTGGGAAATTCCTGTTATTACACTTTTCGACGTATTTACTTACAATTCCATTACCTCCTAAAAGTTTACTCGTCGAGATTATCATGAGTATATGTCTACGTAACTGCGTAGTGCAGAGCTGCCCTTGCTCTAGCGTGCCCTGCTCTACATGAGCAAGATCTTAAAAGTGCATGTGCCAGATATGTACTGATACATTCTCTACGTAATATCATTGTGGAGAGACAAGAGGACTCGTGGAATGTTTTCTGTAATGATGTGTATCAATGGACTACCCCGATTGACGGCTCGGTGCCCTGGTGATAAGCAAAAAATTCAAAATCACAATGGTATAAAAATGTACCATGTGTAGACAATTCGTTGCCGAAAATTGTCGACTACTGAGAGGATATAGCCAAAGAGAGGAAAGAATAGCAAAAGGTATCGATCGACATGTCGTTTATAAAATAATGAGATGAGAGAAAAGACAGTGCTGACTGCCTGATGCCCAAAAGAAGAAAAAGTACAGTACGCCCGTCAGAGAAAAAGCTGTATAATTTTGCAAAAATGGAAACAGAACGCTGTCAATCGAGATCGATGTAGAGGTCAGAATGCCGAAATGCCGAAGGAGAAATGAAAAATGCGATGGTAGAAGTTTTTGGGATAAAGGCGTCGAGCAAAGATGCCACTCGTATTAATGCGTAATGGTACGCGGTAAGCTGGTGGCATCAATTCTGTGCCATCATCCATGCTCTATGTTTTTGTACCTCCTCAGGTACCCCGGGTATAAATGATCTTCCAAAGAAAGGCAAAAGTCGATACTTCAAGTACGACCAACCCATGTTGTACATATTCAAAGCCAGACGCCGAACGAAATGAACAAGTCATGACAAGTAGGTAGAGAAATTAAGGCATGATGGGTATCAAAATCTCGCCGTCGGGTAATGGACCGCACCATCCGTAGTTGTCGCATCTGCACTGTTCCAGACGAGGACAGCTGATGATAGATATTAGCATCAAAAAAGATATTGGGCAGAAACAAATTACTTACTCGACTGGCTCCCGGCCAAACAAGACATGCCAAATCTTCTCAATCGTCCAGCCGATACCATAACTATCGGTGAAATCCGTCGTCGCCGCCCACGTCAAGATACGCTCGTAATCTTCACGAGGCCTAGAGCGAATCTGATCTCTTGTCACCACGAACTGTCCACAGCACAAGTGTCCAACGACCTGTGGGACCTGATCCATGGGTATTTGGAGAAGATACGAGTAAAGCTCGAAAAATTTGTCGGACACGTAGGCATATTCGTCGTCAACGGGTTCGCGATGGACCGGAATCAGAGTGTTGGGGCAGCCTGGTATACCCGTGCAACGTAAGTTGACAAATCCATTTGCATCCACCGACTCATATCGTAGGAAACGGAGGGCGGTCGTGGTTTTGGGACCAAAGAGTTCGTTGTGCCATTGGTCATCATTGGCGTGAACGAAGATGGTGTAGGGAGGGAGTTGATCGTAGTTGGTGACGATATAAGTCAAGTAGGCGGCCGCTTCGTGACCCATGGTGGTGTGAGGGACGAGGAAGCCTTCTTCGGGTTCGGGGTCCATGGTATAAACAAATGGTTTGCAGATACTAGACAAGTCAGCCCCGCAGAGACATTTGGAGCCAGCAAACGTACTATTCTTCGCAAAAAGGATGTAGCCAGTCGATATTCTCCCCCCGTGTCTTGGCTACTACAATACTTCGGTCCTCGACCGTCCAATTCCTGCTTTGTGTCATGAAATGAGGATTCGTCGGGAGGAGCATGTCTGCCACTGTCAGTTTGAGTACCTCGCAAGACGGGTGATTCACAAACCTCGCGCGACATGATTATTAAACGGCATCCAGTTATAGACCGAACAAAAATGAAGAACCGCGCAAGCAACGATCAAACATTTGAACAGTGTCGATAACCGCGACCGATGCGAATGATCTCTGAACGAGGCCATGGTGGAGGGGCAATGCCTTGTGATCTATTCCCAAACCGAGATTTCCCAACCCCGATGGTGAAATGAGAGTTCGATAAGGATCCGACAGCTTAGCGAACGTGGATTGCGGACATAACTGGGATGAGATCGGATGAAGAGGAGTAACGATGCTGTGTAGGTGATTATTGAACGAGAGACGGCCGGTCGGTAGTCGGGCTAGGAATAATCGACGATCAACAATCGACTACGATAGGTATTGTACAGCTGCAGATAGCGATATGGAGGAAGAAGAAGTCCAAAGAGATTCGCTCAGCGAGGAAAAAGGAAGAGATCTTGGTTGGCTGGCTGGCGGTGAAGTGAAGTGCAGCTTGAGATCTGTAAGGTAGTCTGTGCCCTGTACTGTGCCCTCAAATGTATGTATTAGTTGTCCTTGCCACCGCAGGCTCAGGGGAGATAACGGCAGCTGCGACGGGGCTGTATTTCTGTAATTCTCTTTTCAGGCTTAGCGCGCCGTCGTGGTACCTGTCTTCTTGGCGCCAAGCAGACATGGGCTATAAGACAAGACTTTGCCAAGAGCAAACTAGGCTTGTATGGCGTACTACTACGTATGGTGATCCACGAATAACTTATTCAGCAAGAAGTCATTAAGAACGACACTGCGACGGGGTATCTCGGCGCGCTGTATGGGACACACAGTTCGGAGTCCTGTTAGTTGTACTTAGTGTAGACGGAATACTCGGATTGCGTACACCACTTTATTTTGCAACCCGTAATTGGACCGTATTACCATAAGGGCGACGTACTACGTAGTACCTGGCCAGAAAACGGCCCGCACCCCATTTGGGCTTGGCGTGTGTCGAGGATAGTCACTGTATCTTGGCGGCGTCTATGGTGCGTGGCCCCAGGCCTTGTGGGTCTGTCGTCACGCTATCTATACTCCCCCAGTCTGGCTCGCTGCGTATTCGGTCAATCTTGCTCTAGTATTTTTCATTCTGCATTGCATGTATTGTACTGATTCCCAGCAATCAAAGCGCCACGCCCACTAATCGGGATCTGGTCTAGCAATCGACGATCTCTATTTTTGATAGTATTCATGCATACAGCGAGTATGGTAACGTACTTTCGTACTGATACAGTACGACGTACGTGGTACAAGCACACGATGCTCCTAAGTCCCCCCGAAATCCCCACCGCTCCTCTCTGTCTTGCGCCCCTCAGCGTGTCGGCACTGGAGCCAATTTGTTCTGCTAAGCACTCTGTCCGTACCTCTCCATCTACTGTATCTACGTCTATCGTTTATGGATTCTGAATCTAGTCCTCTCCGATTCTCGAGTCTCGATCTCACGCCCCTGAGTACCTCTTTCTTCTTCCATCCGTTGACGAAAACCTTCACTGTTCTTGCCCATGGTATCAGTCTCTCGTTAAATCTAATGACCTAATCTGGATTAATTTCGTCGTCGCTCGTTGACAGCCATCCGTTACTATCCGGATATTTTGATATTTTTTCGTTATCTTTTCATTGACAATATTCTGGCTTGTTTTGCATAAATGTCGGAGCAATTCTCCTACTCCCGATTATGGGAGAGCATTCCTAATGCACTGCCATGGCAGAGCAAAGATGGTCTGAAAGGCGATCCTCGAAAGACCGTCAAATGGATTGATGTATGCTCCCCGACCTGCAGTGTTGACTTGCAGGTGACCTCGTTTGTGCTAATAACCTCGTGATAGGGCCTCCGTGGTTTTGCTTCGGTTCTGGTTGTAGCTACCCATCTTGCCCGTGCATGGGATTACGATTTATTCGCTCCTCGAAGCAACCCAGATGTCCCACCCCGATTACTGCAACAAATCGTTCTGCGAATCCCCTGGCAAGGCCGTATCGGTGTCACCATCTTTGCTTTTCTGACTGGATATGTCTGCGCCCTCAAGCCCATGAAACAAGCCCGCGCGGGCGATGCCAACGGCGCCTTTCTGACTGTCGCCAAATCCGCTTTCCGCCGTCCGCCTCGTCTCGTTTTCCCGGCTACGATTGCGATGTGCATTTCATGGACGCTTGCTCAGTTTGGTGCATACACGGTTGGAAACAGATGTGACTCGTCGTGGACTCGAGATGCCTCGCCAGACCTTGCTGATACCTTGTGGGAGGAGATCACACGGTTGTTCCGGAACTTTCTGGTTGCCTGGACCAACACCGATTATAACGTGCATATGGTCTACGACGAACATCAGTGGGCCCTGCTACCGCTGTTGAAGTGCTCCATGCTCATCTACATTGTTTCATTTGCCACGATTCTATGCAAATATCGCTGGCGTCTGCTCATCTGTGTGTTGCTCGTTGCCTACTTCCACCAAGACGGCAAACTCGACCGCGAAACCTTCCAGATTCAAGCTTTGTACGGCATGATCCTCAGCGACCTGTCTTATGAACAAAGATACAAGAGTTTGTTGCAAAGTGAGACTTACCGTTGGCCCCGCCGCCTGGTCGCCTTTGCATTATTTGCGGGCGGTCTAATTGTCTGCTCCTATCCCGGTGAACATCCCGAATGGGCCGGCTGGTCTAACCGTATGTTTGAATGGGCTACATACCTTTTCCCTCTTGGCAGCAACTACGGTAAACGCTGGACCGCCGTCGGCATAGACATGATCATCATGTCAATCTTCCTGACCAACTGGTCCAAGGAGTTTTTGTCTAGCCCCGTTCTTCTCTGGTTCGGCAAGCAAAGTTTCGCTGTCTACCTCATTCACGGCACTCTGCTGCGTACCGTCTTGGTCTGGATGATCTACGGTATCAGCGGCGAACCCTGGGTTTGGACTCAAGACCCCGAAGGAAACCCCGTTCCTCCGCCTTGGCTGCCTCGTCGCGCACCTTGGGTGTTTGCCGTTAGCATTCCATGCTGGCTCGTACTATTGTATTCCTGTGCCGTAGCGTGGACTACTTATGTCGACCCATTCTGTGCTCGTCTCACGCAACGTATTGAAAAGGCTTTTTTCGATAACGCAGATGAGAAGGGGCCTGAGTTGATTCCCATGGCCACCCGCCCGATGCCGACCGCTTAGGGGGCCATTTAATATATCGAGCAACCCATATCATCTTCGATCCGGCGCTTGCGATTGCGACATAATGTGAAATATGCGATTGATTTGTTTTATCTGCGTGGGACATTGGACATATCGTCTTCACTCTTTCTTTTTCTCTATTCATTTTACTCGGTATATATCTGACCTACTTTCAGCGAAAGTATGTCTTCGTTTCGATGAATCGTCTTTCTGTTTCCATTTTCTAACCTATGTACACAACCAATGGTGTGGATGGTGTTTGCTCTTGTTTTTTTCCCTCAAGTGAGAAGTGTCTACACCTTGCATAAGCGTCTCCTATTTCCTACTTTATCTTGTATCTGTTACCGGTGTTTATAAATAGGTTGTTTATGTACATATATCCAAACCTGGAAATTTATATCATTCACATGATTATCTGCAACAATCTATCCGACCCCAATATTTGTTTCAAGATCGTCCCTGATAATTGCATCAATGTCACCTTACATGTATAATCGTTACATGCGCCGTAGATCCATCATCCTTATTTCCCTTCTGGGGTGCTTTCTCGAACAAACGAGCTATACGCGCTCATATTCAATAATTGCATCGGATATATACGCACCTTGTTTCAACTGTCAGCCTCAAGCCATAGACACTCGGATTCCAGACGGCGTGTTCCAGATGTCGTAAGCCCCCGTACGTATCAATTACCAATACCAGACTTCAGCCCGGACCACAGGGGTGTGATGAATACGTATCTTACACGTAAGCTATATGCAGACTGAGTATAAATAGACGACTTTTTTAATCTCGAAAAATCAACTCGATACAGAAGATGCGTATATATTCTTGACTTGGGAAATTATTAACGACGGACGGCCGAAATATTAAGGCCATAAGCGGAGAAAGAAGCGCGCCGAGCGTGCGTGCCCCAACGTCATGACCCCAGAATCGCAGTCGTCAAAAGGCTGACACTGCCCAAGGAAGAATCGTCTTCAAATCGCTCGATTGACATTCAAAAAAATGGACAATACATCCTACCATCATCGCGTACAAAATCAAGTCGAAAATCAAAGCGAAAATCGAGGTAAAATCTCCAACGGCGATCCTTTCCTATTCCTCACGTGCCCTACTTCCCTACTCTTGAAAAACTTTAAGGATCGCCGGCAGAAATTAGGGGGGCTCCCGGTAGTTCATTTTCGGCTTGGCTGGGCCCTCTAACTTGCTGGGAATTCACGTGGGTTAAATTAGCCCTAATTTGGTTCTTCTTGGCTGGGACGACCAATGAATCTTAATTTCTGGCTTCTGAATGTACACTGACTCTACTCAGGAGCTGAATATATGTAACATGTATGGCGCGTATACGTATTCGCATAGAATACGAGTCGCAGCATTTGAGCCGGCAAATCCCTGCCCATCAGTACGGAGATAGGGGACTAACTCGGGGTAAGAAGAAAATCAAATCTTATCGGCCAAGAACCCAAGGTGGACAGCCAAGTGTGGATCTGTCGCTCGTGACTGCGCGCTAGAGTTTCAGACTTTGTCATCTACTATGTAACCCACTAACGCAGTTTGGGGAGGATGGAGCGAATGCGACAAAGTGTTCTCTTTCTCGGATGATCGATATATCAGATCAACGAGTTAGGATCTTCTGATTGATTGTAGATCGTTTTTTCGCTCGTTACATTCGAAGATACAAAATGCGACGGATTCTATACCCCCTGACCAAAATGCATAATGATCTCGTTAACTGTGTAATTTGGGGCAGGTTCATGTTGGGATTTACCAAGAAATGACAATTGCCAAGGCCTTGGCTTGTACCCGTCATATGTACTATGCAGTAGTATGTGCACTGTAGATAATACAGTTTCTTCATACGGTAATTACACCATACACTTGATCCGATACAATCTTACACAAAAAATAAGCACATTTCCATACCAAGCCACCGAGACACTACTCCTTAGTACGTCCCAGACTCGCAGTATGATGACGACGATGCTTACGACGCCTCCCCACGATAGCGCTTACTTGATCTACGACGTATTGCATGCAAGACGCGCATCACACTCCGCCAGCGCTTATAGCTGTCTCTTTGTGTGCAGAGCGGCAGGTTGACGAGTTCCTTTATCTGATTTTGCTGCCGCTCTTAGCGAGTCATTCCTTGTGGCTTKAGAACGTGTCCGTTCGTTGTGGCCGTCAGTGCTCACGTGCTCATGTTCGAGGTTCAAAAGCCAAGGCGGTAGATCGAGATCGGTCCTCCGCAGTCTACGTAGACAATAATTAATACTAGTACTATGTCTGTCAGCTCTCCGGTGCCGGATCCACGTCGTTAAGTCCATATTACAATATCTCGGCATTCGCTTAAATCTCGATGGTATTGCTGGAATCGCAATATAATTGGCTTTGGAACAATCGAACACGTTCTTGGAAGTCTTGGATTTTCTTCTTGATAAGCCAGTAGCAATTTTATGTGGCCAATCACCTACCCCAAACGGCTTAGTGCTTGTCGCACCGTCGGAAAGTTTTTGCTCTATCTGGTAAGTATCAAGTTCTTAGTACCGGGACGGATGTTACGTAAATTTCTTGGCTGTATGGTACTCCTTTGTGCTGTATTTTTTACTTTTCATGACATTGTATTACCAAGGTGGAATGATGGGGAAGCCAAGAGCTGTCTAAGAGCACTACCGAAGCCTCGGTCGTCATGCCGAGGATCATGGCTTGCTTTGACTTGCTTGGCTAAATGCTTGGCGATGCAATGGCTGATGTTGTGAAGAAACGAATTGAAAGACGTGATACGCGCGTACGTATTTTTGGGTGATGATTCAAGTTTTCTTTGTGCAGTGTTTGTCTGTGAGTTTCGTTGTTTCAAGGATTGACTGAAGGCACACACATCCCTGTGTTAGGTCTTAGGAAGTTGTGTAAGTATATACATCTATCAACCCTCTACTTGACTGCACGTGGTGTTCCTGGGATTTTGACATTTACGTATTTATAGAGTATGTCTACCATGGGTACGCGTATGCCAATTTCGCTTGGCCAAAAAAGCAAATTGCGACTGACTCGTAACATCATCCAGACCAAGACACCATGCAAAAGGAGACAATATTATGCACATGAAAGGCATGCATGTCTGAGACCTTTTCTTGTTCATGTTGTAGCGCGGAATAGAATCCTTGATTTTGGGACTTGGCGTTCAGAATGGTACGTACCAACTAGTAATTGCCAATGTGTTCTAGTCGGAGGAATAACAATGGATTTGTCGCCACAGGATTCTACGGAGTACGTAGTATGTGTCTTTTCACAATGTGGCTGCATCGATGATGAGTAATCAGATCGATTGTCATCTTGCCCTAACTAAGTATGCATATTTTAGGGCTGTCTACGCTTTAACCCTACTATAGACCTTGGGTTATCATCATCAAACATTTCTTCTTCTTGCTTGCTTGCTGAGCTGAATAGTAGCATGGTTAAAAGTATTGATAGGTATATCTTAGATCTTGAGCGTTCTACCTGAGCTTTATGGCTCTACAGAAGTTCAATGTTGGGAATATCAACTCGGAACTTCCGGAGCGCAGTCTTTACTACGAATATATATTCGTACGAGGAACGTTGACCAAAGCAATCAGCGGTTCGACCCGACTGGATAATCACGCTTCCCTCCTCTTACCTCATCTCTAAGCAGATCTACATAGATATGCAGTAGTCTGGCATGAAATCCAACGTTTCTTGCAGCGTCGAATGCCCTACAACCGGACGTGCCAAGACTTTCCCAATCCGGCAATGAGCACAACGACTTGTGAGGGGATGAGGCAGTAAGCACTTGAATAGCCAGCTTTTCATTGATGCAAGCACGCTCTATACTGAAGCTAACACTGAAGCTAATAGTGGATCGTTTCCAAGCTCTCGGCTTGAGTCATGTTGTCCGAAGTAGTTGCAAAGCGTCTCTATCATGAGCTTTCAAAAGTCAAGAACCTGGGAGCTCGGCTTACATCTGGTGCTCGTCGACGTCACGACTACCCTGGAAGATATTCTGAAAGCCAAAAAGACGATATCAAAAAAATACAACATTCTTCTGGAATGAAACAAGCACAGTTTTTGAAATTTCTATCAATAAACCAGTAATATACAATCCTAATCCAATAAGCGGACGTATCAAACTTCCAACTAGAAACGCCAAGCGCCAATTTTCCCAGTCCATACATCGATAGTCTATCAGTACAGAGCTCTATCGTCTAACATAGTACAACTTGTAACATAGGATTCGTAATGAGTGGAACACGCGGCCAGATTTAAGTCAGCACTATAGCTGAACCAGGAGCCGAATCCCGTCGAGCACGACCCTTGAGACTGGTCAAAGCCTTTCGCAGACTACCCATTCGCTTCGGTGGACGTTGGTTGTCTTGTTGGTAGAAAGGATCATTCTTGAAGTCCTCGTCGGTGATTTTCTACCGTTCGTTAGTTGGTTATACCACATTTAAACGCAAGATGATCAACCCACCTCTCCCGGCACTCTCTGAAATCTACCCTCCCTCTCAGCCATCATGTTGTCGCCCTCGGTATACATATATGTCTGGCCCTCCTCGTCCGTTGTTCCTGGCGGATAGAACGCAACACCATCCAAAGGCCGATGTCGCTGCACACTGTCGATAATCTTATACATCGGCGTCGCACGCAATGTCTCTTCATTTGAATCCTTCACAGCTTCAAGCGGACTCCTCTTACTGCAGACATTGCGTTCCGGATACACCGCATCGTAGGGACCCTCATGATGGTACTGCATGAAATTGACATTGTCCAATTGATCAATCACATCTGGATTAACCCTGTTCCTCCGATGACTGTGACGTTTACTGTTCGAGGAGCGCTGCGTCTTTCGGCGCTGGATGTCCTGCTGCTGTTTTATACTCTCGCGGAACTCATTGCGACTGGCCTCAATGGCCGTGGATGGAGATGAGTTCGATCGGCGCCGCTCTAGGGCTAGAGAACTGAGCTGTTTGTTGCGAAAGGGGTTCTTGTCCTCCGGGTAAAAGTGGTTGCCTGGTCCGTCCATATCGTTGGGTGTTGGGCCGTATAGAGGGGTGAGGATATAATCGACTGCCTGATAATGGACGATATAACGACGATCAGCCTAATTTGAGGAAATGTGATGCTCAATTGATAATACTGTACGGCAACGGAGGAGAATGAAAGCGATATGTACAAAATGCACCGGAGAAGAGAGAAAGCAGCTGATTGCATTAAGAAAGACCGGAGTCATGCATGACGTGGTTGCCTGATCTGTCGTGGCTTACCCAGTCCATCTTGCTTCTTGCCCTATCAGTCCGATGACCTCATGCCACTGCGGCCGCGTGCTGCCGAAAGGGGATTAGTGTGCGCGCCAAAGCCGTGCCTTCCGCATCCGGTGGCCAATCACCCGGTCGCGCCTTCCGTCGCTGCCAAATTAATGCCAAGACAAGGGTCTAGACCGATGCCTCAGGCAGATATCGCGAAGCTCTTTCTGAAGACGTCCAATATCTCATGAGCTTATTGTGAATGTCGCGGTAATGCAAAGTGTTGGAGTCTACTGAAAGCTGAAGTCGAGTACGACGGAATGGCCTCTTTTAAAGACTTCGGTTCTTTGATTCTATGGTTCACAACGTCACTGTAGGTCATCACTATCAGCAGAAGGCCCAAGGAAGGCTATGAAATAGACTATAGACTTATGAGCTTAATCTGAACGTAAGGTCTAACTAGTGGATGAAGTATACCTAGGTATCGTGATCTAGACCCAATGCTTCTATGTTTTCCTGTAGCTGTGAGGCTGCAAGGCAACGACTCGGTATCAATGTCTTGGCAAAGAAATAAGCATCATCGACTTCCCCACAGTTTCCTCTACTACGTACATTCCACCCCAATCATTCCGCATCAAATGCTTAAGTCTAGGAATGGGACTTGTCGAGTACTCCGACTCGTCTACAGACAGCGAACCAGAGGAGCCACTGCCACCCAAGAAAAAGCAGCGAACAAGCAATGACGCGATAAACCAACCGCTCCCTGCGCTCCCCAACGCTTTTCATGACCTTTATGCGTCAAGCATTCGTGTCAGTGTACGCGATGATCCCAATCTACATGGAGGCCGGAAACGTGTCATACCTCATGTAGAAGGGAATTGGCCTACGCATATATACCTTGAGTGTGAGACTCTTGCGAATAGATTTTTTGACTCCTGCTGATTTTGAACCAGGGTACCCTCAACGAGATGAGCTGATTATACTCAAATGTCTCCTATCAAAATGTGAGGCTGAATCGAGTAATGGCAAATCTGGATTTTGTAGCCTTTTACATAGTGAACTTGGAGTTCAGCTGCCGTTACACGTCTCATTATCAAGGCCAGTAGTCCTCACTACAGACCAGAAACAGCCTTTTATAGAAGCTTTTGAACGTGCCATTAAGTCATCAAACACAACGCCGTGAGTACATCCCTTAAGATTTTGGGGTTTAAGGACAGACATCTAATTTCCTAGCAGATTTGCTGTTTTTCCGCACAGTTTAGACTGGGTATCAAACACCGAACGAACACGCTGGTTCTTGGTGCTCAGACTCAAAAAGCCCACGGATGACAATTTGAATCGATTACTACAAATATCGAATGAGTTATTGAGTGTATACAACCAGCCGTCATTGTATGCAACCGAAGTGGTATCAGCAGATCGAAAATCGAAGCGTGATAAAAGTAATTCTCGCCTACTAGACGCTGCAGATTTCACCAATTGCTTTCATATTTCGCTTGCATGGAGTTTGGAGGAACCTAGTTTGGAGGAACAACAACGAGTGGCAGGTATTACCATGGATGAAATGAACTCGTTGGAAATAAGTTTCAATAGTGTCAAGGCGAAGATAGGGAATGTTGTACATAGTCTGAATTTAGAAGCATCGTGATTTGACATAAAAATAAGAGGCCTGAAAATCAAGGCACTAAAACGCGTGGGACGGCCCCACACTAGCTTCCTCAAAGGGAGCCGCGGTCAACGTCTTTTCAGCCTCGACAACACCAACCAAGGCCTTCTGTAAGGGGATTATGCTATTCAACAACATGGCCAGTCTTCAGATACCGAGTGTCACATTGGTAGGATATTTCAGATTCAGTCGTGCTTTATCAGATACTAACATGAGAGCGACAGGAAGACCTCCAAAAATTCCAAGCCAACCACTTCTTCGGCGCAACCACATCTCCAGCCGGCGCCGCGCAATCAGACCTGGTCGTAGAAGAGGAAGACATGTACTATGAAGGAGAAGAAGATCTGGGATACTACAAGGACGGTGCAAAACGGACGTTGACAGACGAACAAATCGAGATATTTCGGCACAGTGAAATCCACGCGCTGTTAAGGGAAAGGGAACGTTTGAGAGAGGAGGAGGCGGAAGGGCAAAGCGATGTCGAAGAAACTAACGAGTCTGAAGACACGTCAAAAATTGTCGATAGCATTCAGAACAAATCGGACGGCACTGATCTGAAGAGGAAGTCTGTGGAGAGCAACGAAGACTCATCCGCGAAAAGAGCAAAGGACGAGCAGAGCACGGCCCGCACCAGTGACGGCGACGCAGCAGCTAGCATACAACCACCACAACAAAACACCTCTTCTCGCGACTTCACCTTTGAGCGAAAGATTGTATCGTACGCCGAAGACTGATGGAGAACAAATCGCCTTCTTGAACGCTATACCACAGTAAGTCATACACACTCAATGAGCCCTTGAAGGTATACCCCTGGTTTTGTGATGAAAACTTCTATCGTCATCCTTAGTCGGACGCTATACCCCCAATATCTCGGTGTTTTGGCACCTTGGTATTGTAGGCTGTGTATTGTAGTGACGAGTTGTAATCTTCTCTCTGACAAAAAAACATTTTTCAAATTCCCGACATCAAACAACAAAAACGATATATTAAAGCTAATAAGCTGAACAGGTCAAATTTTCGAAACAACAGCATAACTGCCTGGGATTCAAGACCCAATGTCAGTCCGACTCCAGCACTTTGATGGGTTGTCATCGAAGCGACGATGTTCCTTTCAGCCACAGACGGAAAGCGAGTCTATCCGGTTTATCCAGGAGATACCACCTGAAGCGCTTCCGCTCTCGCGAATGGCTTCCGTTGTAGGACCTAGTCTTTGGTCCTTGAGAGGGAAGATCGCTTCAACCCATCAATGCCTTCTTAATTGAGGGCTGAAATGTCCACCACTCACTCAACTTCGAGGACGGGATCGATGTGAAGAGAATCATCTGAGAATGAAGCTCCTGTACCCAACAAGTCCTCGGCGGTATCCCGTTCGGCATTAGGTTGCGCAGTATCGATATCGTGACCGTGGACATTTAGGGAGTTATCACTGCAAATAACATCAGTCAGTGATACAAATGCCAAATCATCGGAATACTTCGTGACTCACTCGAGTTCCAAAACGGGTTCGATGTTTAGAACCTCACCCTGGAATGAAGCTCCCGCGTCGGACGCATCACCCGACATGTCTCCAACCTCAGATCGTATATCTTCCATGTCGGGAGGAAGCAGGTCCTGGTAACCGTCGCTACAGACGTCGTTAGTCGTTGACGGATGAGTAATGTTCAGACATTAACTCACTCGTCGAGCTCTACGATCATCGATTCTGCGTCCTCGGATCCAGCAACATGAGAATCGGAAGACTCGAAGTCCTGTCGATCGTCACTGGGGAAAAGATCAGAGATGACAAACGACTTTAGTAGTGTGGGCCGTACCTCTGCTGTGACTTATTCCCGACCGACATCTTGGGTCTCAAGGAGGGAGTATCACACAAGAGATGGACAGTCGAATCTTGCACTGAAGAAAGAATTGGAGTACAGTGATTGAAGTGTTAGGTCAAGTCTTCTGGGAATGTGCTTTATTGTTCTCTGTTTGTCCCCGAGCAGATATTCCTTTTCAATGAAGACGAGAGCTGCTATTCATACCTTTCCATCATCCTGAAACTGTCCGAGTGATGCGCGCCTGCAGCATGGACCCCTTTCTTTTGCAGCAAAGAAAGTCAAGATCTATCTTAGACTTGGAAATTGTTGACAGCTAGGATATCAGTCTGCTCTCTACCTTCTTTTCTTTTTCTTCTCCACCATGATCATATGCACGCCTTCTAACTAGGCATGGCGGAATATTCCTAGCCGTCGGATCGGGTGCGGCGCCACCCGCCATACTTCTTACTGCGTTTAGCCATTCAGAACTAACTCCACGACGAATGAAGTACATTTTATCTATTGATTTTTTTCCAACCGAGATAAGCATAGAGTTGTTTACTCATGGCCCAGATGAAGACTACGCATATGCGCCATGGAGGAACTGAGATAATGTAATTGAATTTAACTGTAGGATTTCAACTTGATACTACGAATGCATGTCCGAGCAATTGAGTGCGACTAGTCTAGATGTAATGGGCTCGAAATGCGGAATGGGCGAACGAGGAAGCAGTAAGGCTAGCTACAAGTACCTGAAATCAGAATGCGGAGGGTAGTACGTAGGCAAAAGAGGGAAAAGAGGGAAAAGAGGGAAAAGAGGGAGAAGAGTACGGCTAGGTGGACTAGCTAGATTAGGTAGATTAGGTGATTTGGGTAGATTACTAGGTAAGTTAGATGACTAGGTAGACTAGGTAGACTACTAGGGGAATTAGGAGAATTAGGAACTAAGGGAACTAATGGAACTAATGGAGCGAACGGAGCGGACGGAGCTAATGGAACTAAGGGACCTAGGGAATTGGGAGATTTGGCAAAACTAGTACTAATTGAGGACCAATCAGTTACACCGACTGTAAAGAAGTATATAAAAAGCGAAAAGAAAGTTTCAGAGATGGTAATCAGTACGATTTCATAGTTGCGAAGAAGTCAGTCGAGTTACGCCACTCCACGTTCCTGACAATTCTATTCTGTTCGAATGTACGTCGTACAACAGAATACGACGGATTGACTACTTACCCATGTAGCTGAGGTATAATACGTTTAATCTTGGTAATCCAGGGTTTATGATTGGTAGATAACCAATCCCTGTCATGCAGACTTTTTCTACTCACGCAGACTTTTTCTAGCCATGCAGACTTTTTCTGGTCGAGTGTCGCTGTCTCCGTCATCTACACCCCATGTATGTATATTCGTCTTACATACGCCTTGTAACCAATGTAAATCTATTGGGGGACGGACGTACATCTTTTAGCTGATTACTTAGTCTTGATGAAACATGGCACTAGCCTTTGCCAAAGGCCGTGGTTGGGGTGTAAATGAAGTGTATACCTTATTCTCAATTATTACGGGGCGTTTGTCCGACCCTATTGAGATAGTAGACTGGATCTCTCCTGCCTAGATACATGAATGGTGTAGAGATAGTAGGATCCAATAGGAAATAGATCAGGATCTAGTGAAGTGAAGTGAGGTGAAGTGAGGTAAAGTGAGGTAAAGTGAGGTAAAGTGAGGTAATGTGAGGTAATGTGAGGTAAAGTGAGGTAAAGTGAGGTAAAGTGAGCTACAGTGAGATTTGGTGAGATGAGCTTAAAATAGTTATATGTAGAGCTTTGACTCGGAAACAGAAGATGAACCCATGCAGACCTGACACAATGCGTAGAGACTACAGATTTACGTAGTAGCACTCAGTAATTGATATTTGGCGCTAACCTAAAATCTCAGCACACTTGACCCACAGATCCAGTTACTAAGTGAAACTCAGCGATGTGTTACCGGTTTCGCTACATGTGTTGCAGGCGTCCTACCTTTCCTCTGTCTATCTCGGGTCTAGCCCGGAGGCCGAGGTGGCTGGGATCTACGAGCCATGCAATATGGACGTACTTTATCCGAGTTGATAAACGTGTTGGAGGAGCAATTTTCCGTTTAGACATTATTAGAGGTAGTGTTCGTAGTGTTCGTGGTCTTCGTGGTCTTCGTGGTCTTCGTGGTCTTCATGGTCTTCGTGGTATTCGTGGTATTCGTGGTATTCGTGGTATTCGTGGTATTCGTGGTATTCGTGGTATTCGTGATATTCGTGGTTATGTTTTTGGAGTTATCCGAGAGCACTGTGCCACTTAAAAACCAAACAACAATTTATACATGTCATGCATGTGGTACCCATACTAGTGATAGCCCCCCCTGGATTGTCATTTTCGAGAAATACGGTCTGTACTATTTCATTGTCGCCTCACGTATATTGAGCTACCTTCACTCTAGTAACATGGTATATTTTTGTCAAATTTTAGTCGAATCTTAGTCGAATTTTAGTGTTGCTTGTCTGCGTTTGGACACTGTAATCGGTACCGGCACGATGTGATCAGTAAATAAACAACCACAACGGTCAGAGAAGCCGAATTAGGAGTTCTTGGGTATGTCGACTCAAGTCGGTAGTGGGCCCATTCATGTCGGCCAATCTCAGAGGGATGTCTCCATGATGTTTACAGACCGCTTTCTACAGTTAGTACCCAGTAACTAACCGCTAATTGGTTTATGCCAGAAGTGTCCCCGCCAAAAAGACACCGCCGGGGGAACACTTCTGGCGGAGACACCACTAGCTGCACGCCTGCTGATATGGCGGGTGAGGCTCTTCGTGGTAGAATGTGCTTTGTCTAATCTGGTATTATCTCGTCCCGTCCCGTCCCATTTCGTCCCATTCTGTCCGCTTTTCTCGACGGACTTCCGGGATAAGTGCCCGGATAGCTGTGATTGATGCATTTCTACTCAAGGACAGCTAGACAGGAGACACTGATAACATTGAACAGAACATTCCACTGATAGGTTGTGCAGGACCCACCACCGCTTCGGCCGGAGCAGTTGTGGGTCTTTATACTACCTGACTTCCATATAACGCCTAGTTAGCTCTGATTATATTTTGGCAATGCAAGGCCCGTTTTGCATAAAAATTAGGGTGAGAACCTGGTGCGCGGATCATCAGTTTATCGATTCTTGAACTCACACAGCAGTTGTCTGGGTCGAGAACGCGTTGTCAATACATTTACGAACACTTGCAAGGTTCTTAAAAAAAAGAGAAAACAACCTTGGAACCTTGGAAGCTGGAAGATTTCAAGCGCATTGCTCTGAATTTAACTAGCCCACTGTCTTCAGAGCCTCTCCTTTGGATAGAGTAACCATATGGAGGTATGGGTAAGTGGCTTGTATTAATATAGACATCTAACTCAAATCCGGCAAAGTCGTTGACTACAAGAAGGGTTGAAATACCACTCTGAATCAAATCGCATTGGATTTAAACGCACCTCAATCGAGAGGGTTCAATAGACTTTGTAATAGGTGAACTGAGGCAAAGTGGAGTTGATCGTGTTAAAAGAAAAGATATATTAAAGCTAATATATTGGAGAAAACGGTAAAAGAGAAGAGTGTAAGTTTCAAAAGCTTGGATGTCAAAGCTCAATAACACACCAGAATAGCACATCGAGATGTCATCGAAGTCTTGGGGATTTCACAACCACGAACGGAAGCGATTGATCGGGTTTAAGATTCTGAAAGGCCGTGATCGAAGTGCGCTCATATGAACTCATCCGACCACAACTGTGGATCTTTGGACCCTAGCAAGGATAGTAGAACCGTTCACTTGGTCTTCGAAATAAGATCGATGTTCACTTCCTCATCCGGGAATGAAGCTCCCACCTGTAAAAGATCGTGAGTGATGTCTGCTCCGGAACCAGGGGTTGTGACATGATGTTCGGCACGGCCAGGATCCTGGTAATCTTCGCTACGAGCATTATCAGCTGTTGATCGAGGGTAGAGGTACAACGTTCTACTCACATATCCGGCTGTGCGGTCGTCGATTTCGAATCACTATCATCACCACTAGAAGGAAAATCAGAGACAATAGAAAACTTTTGTTAGTGTGAAACGCACCTCTTGTGGGACTTCTTCAGTTCCTTCTTGTTTTCAGTCGACATGTTGAATATAAGGGCAAAGGATTAAACAGACGATGTGTCTTGGTGTTCTTGCGTGCTGGAGAAGGGAATGAAAAAAGTGCCGAGTCGTCAGATTGGTCTTTTGGGAGATGCTTTCTTGTACTTTGTTCGGGCTGAGCAAGAGAATTGTCTTCGAGGATTGGAAGGCGAGAGCTGCTATTTCTACCTTTCCATCATCCATACAACTGTCCGACTGAGGTGCACGCCTGCAGCATGGAACCCCCTTTCATTTGCAGCAAAGAGAATCGAGATCTATCCTCGATTTGGAAATTGTTGACAGCCGGGATATCAGTCTGCTTCTGCCTTTCTTTTCTTCTTCCTCACCACTGTGAACTTATGCACGCCCTCTGACTATACATGTCGGAATATTCCAACTCACGCCAGGTTGGGCTTGAGGCCATATGGCTCAGCCGGCGTGCGCGAGTAGATCGTATAGCCAATCATTTCAGACCCTACAGTCAATGGAGTGGGGTAATTACTTTATTGACCAATTTTATTTTTCTCTTAACTGAGATAGGCATGAGGGTTGTCTCTTCAGTCCTTGATGAATGATACGCGCATTCGTTGTGGACGAGCCCAGCTCCCAAGATATGTCGTTCGACTTTGTAGACATGTCGAAGCAACTAAATGCGACTAGTCTAGATAAAATGGGGCTCGAGTATCGGAATGGGCAAATGAGAGAGTAGGTATGGAGCCCAACTATAAGAGGCTGATATCAGAACGTGGAGGGAAGCGGCCAGGTAGCTATTGTAGACTGACAAAATTGGCGAAATTGGCAAAGTTGGCGAAAAAGTTGGTGAAATTGGCAGAATTGGCAAAGTTGGCAAAAAAGTTGGCGAAGTTGGCAAATTGAGGACCAATAGCGAAGAAGCATAAGAAAAAGCAAATAAATCGCACGATGGAGATTGTACTCCGTAGTACATTGCTACTTGCAGAGTTTGGTACCAAACATTACTACATACGGTGTAGTTGCGAAAGAAATTGCTTGTCCTACGCCACGCCATGTTAGTCCCGGTGCTGGAGTGACTAGCTACCCATATACATTGAGATATGACATGTCAAATCCTCCTATCTCCAGCCATAATGATTGGTAGAGGACCTCGTCCGTCTGTCGCTGCCCCTGCCGCTGCCGTTGGTCGCTGTCGGCAGTCGATCCGTCTGTCTAAGTGAGGTCCGCCTCCGTACCCTGCTTCAAATCGAGTCGTACGTGAGCACAGCCAACCATGTACCTATCCTAAACATTGGTGGGGCAGAAATATAGAAACCCAACACGAGGCGACGAGGCGAGGTGGGCTCAAAGCAGGTAGATTTACGTAGAGCTTCATGCCTGAATAGAAGATGACATCCACGTTATTCTTCGCCATGTAGGGATCTCTAAGTAGACTACGAATTCAGCACTCTGTTTACGTAGTCAAATATGTGAGATTTCCACCTGTGCAGGAGTACCTGTCAACAAGAGCCGCTCCATCTACTACTGCACCCCTGCTTATAGTAATATGCAGGCGAGGCTCTTAGTGACCGCTTGACCGCAGATTTCCTTTCCTTAGTCTGGCCTGTCTCGTCCCGTCTCGTCCCGTCTCGTCTCGTCCCGTTGCGTTGGCACTCACGCATTTGTACACGGAATTCCTACTGATATAGGCAATTCCTTGAGACTAAATCACTCATAGAATTGATAATATCTTATTTTCGTTTCATTCTCTTTTTTCTGACTAGTGTGATATATATGCACTTTATAATTAGATTATGGAATTTTCCTATAGCTGGAAAATGCCTAGTATGGGAAAATGCCCATTGTGGGAAATTGCCTAGAGTAGGGAAATGACGGATGTGAGTATAAAAATCAGAGGTGAAAAATTAATTAGCCTGAAAGTTACCCGTTATCTAGTTTAGATAGTGCATATCTTGTAGAACCAATTATATCATACTTTAATTATAATCTGCAGTGCTGTTGGCGTCTATTGACTCATTCAGACAAGGGTAAACACGTTAGAGTTCTAGATCCCTGTTCTCTGATAGTGCACATATGCATGTGTTTTGGAGGAACTACTCTATCGGAGCTTGTTGTTTCGAACCAGTCTACATGCCATGCTGACACCGGACAGAATCCAAACCGGAGAAAAAAAAGCAAAATAGCAGCGAATCGGATGTTAGACGTCCAGGATTCGTTGGCAGTTTGCGATTTACAGGGATCAGTAGAAAATACGGAAACATTCAATTTTTAGCCATTTTCCAAATTCCGGCAAACGCTACTTGATACCAAATCTGGAAGCCCAAGCTGTAGCTGGGATGATCTACCTAGGTTGGATTATTGTGACATAACTTTGCAACTCTACAACTGTATTGCACAATTGTTTGACGAGATCATAGGACATAACTCTATAGCTCATTAAGTGACTAGAATGCTCAATGTATTTCCTTGGTCATGTTGAGCTTGCCTTGCAAAATCTGATTTTTAAACTTCCAACAGGCTCTTCATCATTTCTCTAGCTCCCGGATATACGTATCGTGCGCTGTAGACCACTAAGCTAATCCGATGCTGGGTTGAAATTACTGCTTTGGGCCGGTAGAGGGTACACATCCATGTCCGTTACTGTTCTGCATAGCGCCTGCTGGCAGACCCTGCTTCCTCGAATTCAGTGGATCAGGGAAGCCATTCTATCATCGACACTCGCCGCCCCCATTGCAAACCGTCAAGACCTGGATCCATCGATGCTTGAAGGATTGACATACCACTTATTGAATCTGTGCTAAGTGGGCCGCAAGCGATCTAGAATCAGGTCCACCGCCGCTGAAAACTAGCGGGAGACGGGGGCAGCCCAAGGCTCACAGCCATGTATACATATTCAAGAGCCGAGTCATAAACAGCCCCATAAGACAACATTAAGGTGCTGCGGGACGCCGGGGTTGTTCCTAGCGTAATTAGTTTGCAGCATATACGTAATGAATGCTCATCTCGGTAGAATTTACTGTCTGTTGCCGCATATAGCTTCAAAATTCAATTAATTATCGGTAAATTTCGCTCAGTACTTTTAGGAAACATGGAATTGGCACTTTGTGGTGTTGTATCTTAACTACTGTCGAAGAGTCAGTAGCGCTGACAGCTCGCATGGACGAGCTATCGTACAGCGCTTGGTGGTAGTAGAGATCAAAGGGATCTCCATTTATTTCACTTCATGCCACTGTGCTAAATCGTAAATGGAACGATTATCTAACCCGATTCCGAAAGGTTATTGACTACAGAAAACCGGCTGAGTAAGATCTTGTCTCGAGTGGCATTACATGTGAACGCAACTTTATCAAAGAGCCTACCTAAACGGACTCCGTGGAGTTCTCCGTCCCTGACAATTTTTGATTTCTCCACTTTGGTACGTGCTACTTTGCGCCTTTCGATCAGCTTATCGGAAATTATTTGGACTCGCATTGCCCTATTCGTTCTATACAAGAGACTAGCTCCAATGAACAGGGTCGGGCTAGCATAGGCAGTATTGCCAATCAACTTAGCGTCTGATCTGTCCTAAAAACGTAAACGACGCCCAAAAATTGTCATTTTTTTCTTTTTTTCGGAAAAGAGATCTGCCTTCAATACGGGACACATAAGCCGGTTAGCCACATTGACCGACAAGCAGTCGCTATACAAGAGGTGAACTATTACATAGGATACAGCTAGATTTGATTGGACGCTATACATGAATGTAGATGAATTGGATATAGTCATTCGAGCTACAGTGCTTAAACGTGCATGTGGTTGGCAAACAGATATGAGAGAAAAGTGGCGTGGGGAAAATGATCGAGTGCTCAAATGGAACAACAGAACACCGGGAAATAAAAACAAAAACAGCAGGGGTTATAACAAGGAAGCTACATATCCATGGTGTCCATGCCACCCAAGTAGGACGGTCAGAGTTGTGGCTGGCGTTGATAGCATGTGCCGCACGGACGGACAAAAATAATGCAGCCTTTGACCCTTGTCTGATGCAACTCGGCCTGCTTGAGAGTCTGTCTTTATGACTTTTACGCGGTATGACTTAAGCTCCGTATCCAAGTGCCTTGCTACACAGTCTATTTCGACCTTGGATTCGTAGACAATCGCGGCTTCACTTTAGGCAGGAATGGGATTTACACAGGACTCTTGATTCACGTAGTAGCACGAAAGGTTTTATCGACTGTCGAAGTATCTGTCCAACATCAACATAATCTTTCGAATACATGATATAGGTACAATTTTATAGTTGAGAATAATGACAACCAACATCCGAACTTGAACAATGCGTGTAGATGGTAATAAGAGTCCAGTACATGTATCCGAGCACTTTTTGTGTCGTAATTGTTCTATCTAATTTCGTATGATGAGTTAATATGTTGCTGATAAGTTATGAAACTCCAAGCTGCTTGAGTGAAGAGCGTGTATCCCCTATACTCTTTGTAGACAGTCACATGCCACTTTGACTAGCATGATGCATCACAAAAGTCCCGTATTTGGTATGAGCCTTTGTATATCCTGTGTTCAAATCCGGAACAACCGGCAGTGAAGCTCGATAATATGGATGGAGTAGCTGCTCCCTTCATGGGCAGGAAACGGACGTGTCAAAATTGACAGATTATAAAGATCAAATATACCAAATGACTAATTCCTTGTGGCAAATTAATGTGATCGAAGCTGAAAGAGCCGAGCAAGCTAGCTCGAAATGAGACTGCGAGCTAGCCGTAGTTGAATACAGAGGAATGAGACGATCTTCACGTTTGCGCGAGTCGGGGCACGAGCGATAATCATAAAACTACAGCCGGGTCTTTCCATAGTTTTGAATAATGTCGTTTTCTTGGTTTTAGATATAGAGATCGACATTCGGGACATGCAACAACGCTCTTCCGAAAATCTTGCGGAGAGACTAAGTCCCAAGAGAATACCTGGCAATATGGCCACGTAATCAAGAATGCAGGAAATCTTCAAACCGCAGCAAAAGAAAGGGGCTTAGTCAGGACTTACAAGGGCCTTGTTTCTTTTGAGCAGTCCATATTGTAGAGCAGATTTGTGGGCCAGTCAGCAGCAGTTCATTTCAACCAGAAGAAGCAAATAAACGGAGTGTGGCCGGCGCTGGCATTCACACGGTCTTAGCCTTCACTCTATGCACCCTAAGCGAGAGTTGATGGAGCCGGATCGGACCGACTGTTTCGTGGATACCCTGCTGGTAAAAGAGTCCTCGTAGGCGCTAAATGATCTGTTTGAGGCCCGAGGGTGTCGATAGGTCGCTGAGAGCATCACCCGGGCAAATAGAACTTTTCCTAAACAAGCAAGTGTGAGAGACAAGATTTCAATCTTGACGGTTTAGCCTGGACCTTCTATATATCAGTCACGTCTCAGAGGATTTTTTCCATCAGCTTTACTGACCGCTTCTTCATTAGCACGCAGCGACGTGACCGCATCCCTGCCGACTTTGTGAGCGAGTTTCCTAATGATTGTTTCGCGGCAAGATCGTCCAGAGGCGCGTTTGATCCTTTATGTTATCTGTAGTCCAGCAATCCATACGACTTGATCTTTTCCCGTCTAGTACAATCCAGCCCTACCCATACTTTTCAGTCTGTTTCTGTTTTATCTGTGGCGTCTCCAGATCGACTTTCTTTTCACCACACTTTGCGGCTCTTTAGACTGCATAAATCAGATGGACAACGCATTTTCCTTCAGGCTACCAAATATTTTCAGTATTTTTCGTAAGCTCGTAGCCTTGAATAAAATATTCAATAGCATGAAAGAGGAATTCCGCCTTGGCTGCATCTCATTTTTGGTGTAAGGCCCATTCCGGATCGAAACCAGGGCAAAGTGTGGCTACGTCGCGGGCGGCGGTTAATGGTGCCATGGTTGGAATGCTTGCCTTCCACAACCTCCTTTCCAACGACCATCTTAACTTCACAATCTGTCTTCAACTGTGACTTGAATGTGTCTCTTGTGTAAATATAGCCCTTCACACTTTTTATTTCCTTCTTTCTCTTCTAAGGACATCATCTCCAAGATGTGATGGCGGTTGAGTATCGCTTTCAACGGTCGGGGAATGCTTCTTAGCAGTCCGACAGCAAGTGAGTTTGTTAATGCGACATTCCTTCATGTTTTATTTAGATGAAGTTTTAATCGTTGAGTTTTTTAGTCGCACAGCATCTATTTCAAGTCAGAACCTAGGTGCGGTCGTCCCGATGACATTGCTCTCAACCTTTCTCCACGGTCGTTTTGAGGGCCACCCTAGATGAGCGTAACCTTTTATCAATGATGAGAATGAAGGAGTGCTGATGTCAATCACGTACAGATCGTTCGGACTGCCCCTATTACTAAATCAGTCGATGGAAGATCGAGTCGTCGCTGCGCCGTTGACGTGCAGTCGGCCTACCGTTACAGGGTTAACAGAAGACGATACCGAATCGAACCCGCAAGGTAGAGAGCATAAATCAGTATGAGCTGCTTCCGCCGAGCTGTCTGCAGTGTTGCGACGAATCCTTTTGATCACATCCATATTCGATCGTGAGTCGGTCGTCGGGTGTTCTACATAGTGATGAGCCGAAATCGTCCGAAAAGTCGCCCGAAAGCTTCCAAGGCTATTCTAGACGACGTGCTCGATTGGTACGATATAGTTCGAATAGTCAAGCATGTTTAATTCTACGACAAATTGTGGATGACAGAATCTACTCCTCCGAACGAATCGAGGACGTCCTCCTGGGATAGAAGCAGACGTGGAAATAAAGATATTAGTGGCTTCACTAGTTGAACGACTGCATCTATGTGTGAGATGAGTTCGTTTTGCTGTGCATTACATGCAGCTGCCCCGGTCAGGAGCCAGTCAGTGCTCACTGGACGCCCGCTTGACTATGATAGGATAATCTCACGATGTTCAGGAGTCCACAATGCTTGACACGCGACCGCCAAAACAAATTACGACGCTAGGGCTTATTGGCACGTACGATGGGAGAGGCCATAATTGGGGCTATATGAACGGCGTCCACCTAACTACCTTCGGAAAACCTCCCGTTCACTATTTTGCTGGCGACGATTTACATCCATTCCTCGAAGCCTCGCTTGATCTGCTTGATGAAACCGCTCACGATACTTCATTTCATACGGTACGCTTAAGTGAGTTTTCGCGATCGGACTGTGCTTAAAGGATTCCGAACTCTATGTTGTTGGGGAAAAAGCAATAATTTCACAGCGAATCAGGACTCTGCATCGCGATCGGACGGCTCAGTAGTTTCTGGGATCCGAGGAGAGCACTCCCAGCTCTGGGTGTCCTAAATATTGCCTCATAGGCTTCAATTGTGCAAAAGACACTATGATTGAAGTCTTACGAGACTGGAAGGTGATTCAGTCATGAAATATGATTATACAAACTGCATTAGCCGTCAGAGAGAACCGCTGTGCGTTGTTAGCGACGGTATTTATATATTTATATATTCTACCTTTTTAAAGCAGGTATGTTTTCACAATCGTAACGTGTATTAATTTGGGAACACAATGCAGACAAGGTTGAGAACGTTAAACACAATTATAGTGTTCTATAGCGATCACTGGGCTCTCAAATCAGTCAAATTGCTGGCCGGTGGTAAAAAAGGCTCTTTCTCTAATTCATCGAACGTCTCCTCAGAAGCAGGTATCATCTTTGAGGCAATAAGAGAAGGCTAGTCGATTATTTGTTAGCCGATTGGATCCACCTTTCATTGATCTCCGGAACGGGGTCCCTACATCCGACAATATAGCTCCCACATCTGCTAAATCCTGGGTGACGTCTGGTAATGCATATCTAGGGTCGGCATCGGGATTTTGGTGGTCGCTGTCGCTGCAGATATCGTCAATATTCAATCAAGTGGTCAAGTGTGTATTCTTCCACCACTTACTGGAGTCCCAGGATAGGATTATCCGCGAGGATGATATCGGAGGATGAAACTTCAAACTCTTCTGAGCCATGGACGATTCTTCCTTCAAGACTAGATGGTCCCGTATTTATTCCAGCAGTATAGGAATCCTGATAATTGTCACTGTAGACACCATCAGTCTGGGATCAAATAGCACAAGCACGAAGTCTAACTCACTTATCCGGATCTGCGATCATCGATCCTGCATCCTCAGACTTGCATGGACAGTCTATCCTACAGCGCTTGGTGGTTGTGGAGATCAAACGGAACTCAATTTATTTCATTTCCTTCCATTATGCTAAATCATAACATATTATAATACAATGAACACCTAGTTATGATTGTATTGTGCATTGGGTTGTGTAACTCTGCACTGATTATATGTCGGGTTGATTATATTTGATTTTCATTGGGTACAGTTGGATCGGATTGGATTATGTTGGATATAATTGGATATAATTAGATATATTGGGCTTCCATCGATTCTTCTTTTTTGTATATATATGTAACTCGATCAAGGGGCCTATCTAGGCAATGCAATCAGCGCAAGCGGAGGTGAGATAGATTGACTATATAACTTAAGGATATATTGGAGATAATATGTAACGGGCAAACTAATTTCCAATTATAGAAGGGAATAATTTTCAAGAGCCCAGATTCCTATATCACACTAGAATAACAAGTTGAATTGTTTTTGAGGCCTCAGGATCCTCCCTAACACGGATACAAAGCGATTGAACCCAGATCCTAAACTGCCACGATTGAGGTGTCCTCACATGAAAAAGACGATAACTGTAGATCTTGGTCCTTAGCATGGACAGCCGAGTCCTTCAAAGACTAACTCTTCACCACTCGCTCGATCTCCAAATTAAGATCAATGGTCGATTTCTCGTCCGTAAATATAGCTCCTATCTGTGAGAATCCCTGAGTAGCGTCTGCCTCCCAACCAGGGATTGTAGCGTTGTGTTCGTCATGAAGAAGATTTTGGTAAATGGTGCTGTGAGATTGTCAGCCCTTGATCGAGGGTAGAGGTACAGCGTTCTTCTCACGTATCCGGCTCTGCAAGCGTCGATCCCGTACAATGTTCGTCACTACTAGAGAGATATTAGAGATGATAAGGACTATTCTTGGTGTTGACATACCTCTGTTGGGACTTTTCCACTTCCTTCTTGTTGTCAACCGACATTTCCAATCACGAAGAGAATAAATAAAAAGGAGAATGAACTTTAGAATCGTCTATGGTCGCGAAGGAGGCGGGAAAATATGTTTGAACTGTCAGCTCTTGATAGTAGCAATGCTCTGTTTTGGATTCTGCTTGTCACTGTTCAAGGGAGTCTGTTTTGTAAAAGACGAAAGGTGCAATTTATACTTTTCCATCCATGTTTCGTCCAGCGACATAGACCTCATTCTCTCCCTTATCACACACTGCAAAGAGAAATGACACCTGTCATCGAAATCCAAACACTCGACATGATTCTTCTTGTTTCTGTTTCTCTCTTTTCTTTTTCTTCCACGCCCTTCACCTTTTGATGGGATCATTAAGACTTCACGGAGCTTGTGCGATCTCCATATAATGAGCTTACAGGGTTCAATGTTAGTCTAGGACAATGCGCATACGGTCTGCAACGAATTATTGTTCGTTATAGGTTGAATAAGAGCTGTAAGCAATCATCAATCTCTTTCTTCAAGGTAACTGACTCATGTATACTTCGGAGTTAGCAACCCCTTTACAGGGATTGGGTTGAACGTTGGTAGCTCGTTTTCAAACAGGGTTTCAACGAATGGGCCATGCAGTCTCTGGAATATTCACATGGCTTACGCACTTGATTTACTCAGCATTTTTGATACATCACATTGTTTGGCACAAGCGGAAAGCCTAAAATATGGATGAAACTATGTGTCTTGAGGCTGTCCAAAAGGGGAACTTGCATGGTTTCAAAAAAAGTTCCACAACGGGACCTCTGATTCGTGCTCGAGTGCGAGAGTAGTCGATGATATCTACCTGATCCATCGATCTCCCCTGTAAACGAATATTTGTACGAGGTACCGGGGCTTGTTATTTCTCCATGGTCGCCTACATATCATTGACGCACGCAATTGTAATAATATAGTTACGTATGGAGGTCAAGTGGAACAAATATTTGCATAAGTAGCCACGTTTAAGTGATAGGCTGTCTCTATCTCCTCATCGTTAGTTCCTTAACGTATCAGGAATCTGCAGGTTAGCCTGCACGGAACGTATTCCCCGGTACCACCGAGGCGTCTAGGTGGAGACCGATACTTAAAGGATTTGCATATTCCAGATTACGCATAATACTTACTACGTCGACCTCGACAGGCCAGACTTTTGCCTCTTGCTTCTAAGTTGGTGGTTTTAAACTTCAAGAGCCATGTGGCATTCAATCTGTTTAGTGCACAAACTAAATGAATTGATCTTCCCGGCCCATCGTCTAAGTAATCCCACCTCGGATCTGGTTCCTACAGTGGAATTCGACCAAAGGAGCACAGCTTCTGGGCTCTGTGCTCTGCAGCTGAGAAATCGGATGTTTCTCGTCGTAATTTCCGGCCAGTCCAAGAAAGTCGCCAATAAATAGCGTCTTCAGCTCGTGGACTGTGGCTTCTGGGTCAATTTCGTTTACTGCTCTTCTTCTCGGTACCGGTTTGAGTACGTAGCTGCATATGCACCCCTATTCTTTGCCTTAGTCGACTTTCCACCCATTCGAAGGGTGCTTGGACTCTCACTAGGTGCAATTTGGACGTACTATCAATCGAGCTGAAGAATACGTCGAATATTTCAGTACTGCCCGTAGCAGACTCTGCTGTTTGTCTGATCAAGGTGGCAAACTGTGACCACGTCATACATCCGGGAGTTCCCTTTGTTTACGGAAATCCTCAGGCGGATGGCTGTCACCTGAATAATTAGCTAGTAGTTTTACCCGGGCGATGGAAACTATTTTGCAACGAAGACATACCTACCTCCATGATCAGCTTTAATTCTGATTGGCCTCAGGGTTTATTTCTATTAGTCTCGCCCTATCAGACGATCCAATTCTAATCTCTGATCAGACCGCTACTTTGGTTGGCTTGCAAGATCCGTGAACGGAGGATCATTTGTTGATTGCCGTGACGAGTCTCTCTTCTCGATCCATTGACTCTACTTCTCTTGTTCCCACACCCCTTCTGTAATGCTTGTCCCCGTTGCTCTAGGTCTTTTGACAGCCTTTTTGAGTGGCGAATAGGAGAGGTTTCCGATGGTGTAGGCAAATTAAAGGCTCTTAGATCCTCCCGATCGCTCGCCACATTCCATTTGTTAGTCGTAGGTGGCTGTAGTCGATGGCATCAAAGAGGACTCTGCCTTGTTTGGAGTCTTAAATTTGAGGCTGCTTTCTGATAGAAATTAGAGTGAGATGCTGCTGCCTAGGAGTTGCCTTGCGGCGCAGTTGATCCCCGTCACGTAGCCGCACATGTGAGCCTTGCCTCCCCAGCCTCCTTTGGATACCACACTTTGGAATGCACTCACTGCTCTCATCTCCCTTTGTATTCTCACAAGCCTTCTTCTCATTCAGACCCTCTTTGTCTCTTGTCCCCTCTCTTGTTCTCAATCCGAAGATACTCGCAGAATTTTGAATGTTCGTTAAAAAACTGGAACGACTTTCGAGTGCGTCAAACATATTCTCCCCACGGTCGCGCAGTAAATTGCCAGCAGCACGACGATAGCCTGACGGCTCTGATAAACCCACTAGACTTTGTCGCTCCTTGAAGAGGATGCTATCTTCCGCTGTTGAGCTATCCAATGTCAGATCTCGTCGTGTCTCCTTCAATCCGACGTCGTTACGAGCGGCCCCCTTTCACAGCACTTCGGAAAAATTGACCACAAACGAGCCTGGAAATGTTCATCCGAACAGGACATGTGGAAGTACATACTTTATAAATACTGATCCGTCGCAGATACCGACTCAGCATCGACCGAGCAGCTACCCATGATGTATGAGCGGCGTGGTTTCGTTTGGGATTGGGGCATCAAAAGCGTCCACTTCAGGCAGGGAATTGAAACATGTTGAAAGAAAGTATTTGCTACGAAATGAGCCGCTACACGTCTTGATCTTGTCGAGCACTCTGCGATGTTGCGGCAATAAATGTTGACTCTAGGCATCCAAGCATCATGGGCTCGTGACACAAATCCAACGATACTACGAATCAGTTCGAGATGTCCGGAGCTTATGTTCGATCCGTGTATTACAATTCGGAACGTTCTGGTATATCTTATTCGCAGGAACTGTTCGACGACTCATTGCTCAATGGGGCTTGTATTCATCAAAGGGAACAAGCACTAGTCATGTGGGATAAAGACCGAGGTGGAAATAAGCATATTGCCTTCACTAGCCGATTCTGCATGTGCGAGATGAGTCGTTTCCTTGCATTTATGCACCATTCCATTTCAGGCTGTCCTAGCAAAATGTGATAGGGCGATTTTTGCGATCCTACCAAATCCGCAGTGATTTATTCGCTGAGCGCCATTTGCTCAATGTCATTGGGCCTTCAGAGTGAGTGGTATATTAATTGCGATCTGATATGATCTAATTTCGATGACTGTTGAGGAAAGTCTACCGGGCCTTATATCTGTATATTATAGGTATTTCCCTTGCGGCGGGCATACTTCGATTCTAGACTTGCGCCTTTTATTCAACCTTGCGGACGATACTACATTCGACAATGTACACCGAAGTTAATTCTTGTACGATCGGACTGTTGAAACGAACGCTATGGTCCCGGGATGGAAAAAGAAATAACAGCCACAAGTGAATCAGACGTAACTGGTACTATGATTGGACGGGTATATAGCGTCTGGCATCGAGAAAGATTAGGATAAGGCGCGGCTGCCTACATGTCATCTCTGCAATTTTCAAATGTATGTACAACGCACAAAAACTGAAATTATAGGCCAGTGATGGATAGACAAAGGAGATGATTGAAATTCACTCAAAATACTGCCATTAAATCCAGGAAGCTGACCAGTACTGCCTTGATACTTTGCTAAAAAAGAAAAAAAGAGTTTGATTCACTGAGGAGTTCGTTTTTACAGACTGGAAGAGAATATTGATGTCTAAGAAGTCCCTCTGATCCAAAATTTAGCGAACATATCCAGTCATTACAGTATCTCGGCGGGTTCCTTACCTCTCATGTTGCTCAATTCACTGGCCCGGCGGTAAAATACCCTCTTTCTCCAGTTCATCGAACGTTTACTCAAACGCCTCCATGTATCCTCTTAACCAGTCCATCCAAGTTTCCTCATCTTACTCATACTAACCACACACGAGAACTCGCAAATGAGTAACAAGCTCGAAAATCTCTATGTTGCTTGTTCCCACGTCTCATTCTCTAACTCGAATGGTATATGACTGCCCAAATCCATTTGCCGCTGTCTGCTTCGGCTGTATAGGCTAGGACTCTTTGCTGGTCGTAATAGAAATTCTTGGGCCATGAATCGCCTTCTATCCACGGGTCACTTTCGTGCATAGGCTGCTTGGGCTGTCCGAGATGGACGCCGTACTGTTTCATCCCCGTCACAAGGATGATTCGTTTGACCGAATTGATAGCGCCGCTTTCTCGGAGGGCATTGAGAAAATTCAAAAGCATATTCGGCGTTAATTTAAGAAGCTTTGTCAGGATCAGGATCAGCGAGATAGGCGCTGAAGATTATATAGTCGATGTCTTGGGCATGCTTCCGTAAGTATTCTATGAGAGATGATGGGTCGCATAGAAGATCGGCTGTCAAATTTGATACTTTGGGCTGAGGCGTGACCTTTTTGGAACGAGATATGGTCACTGCTTTTCGCTAGTCTGGTAGTTCCACAATGTGCTCGGCGATTTCATGGCCAATGATTCCTACAATCATCAATTATAGTCATGTAGTAATGATGCTTGTTTTGGGGTAGTGTGGAATCATACCTGTGGCGCCGATAGCAAGAGCAGTTGGCATGGTAGTGTATCTATATCTTATAATCTCCCTACCAAGTAAAACATATAGATAGGGCTTATCAGTCGTCTCTCATCTGGGGTAATAAGCGCTCAATTTGAAGTAGGTCCCGGCCGGCTTGTGTTTTTGTAATGTAACTTCTGTACCCCTCTCTCTTGCATCCAGATTGGGAAGGGTAATTTCTGGGCACAGTAGACAATCTTATCTTAAAATAAGGGAGAAATAGAGCTTGGTCAAAAATTTCTAAGATAATACCTTGTTTATACTGTGTCAAAGCCTTGAACCAGAGTGATATTGATTTCCTTAAGAGCCATTTGTATGCTATCACATTAGAGTCACTACTCGATAAATCTCAGTGAGAGAGAGCCTAATGTTCTCTTATATCTAGAGGCCGCGCAAATGCATAATACCTAATGTAATTTACGGAAGAAATAACGTACATTGATATAACCTCAACATGTACCAACATATGTGCTTGCGTTCCATGCTGGATGGTGTGTATCATTTGTAAAAACAAACTGCTACATATATATATTACACATCTTTGTCTTTAATAAAAGCCTGATCTTTAGATTTGATACTTGCGATCGACTGTACCGAAGTGCAATGACTCTCACCAACCGGAGGAAGCACACTCCTTTAGTTCCAAGGTTGTCGTCTTGTAGCCTCCTGTAGTCTTGTCCGAACACAATATAATTAGTATCCTTGACCGCTTTTTCGAACGCAATGTACGTAATTGCTTTCCATAACGTAGCTGACTACTTTTCTTATGATATGAGGTTTCCGGAACTTCAAAAAATCGGTCGCCATGAGAGACTCAGAAGGTATTCGCATCGCGTCTTTGACGTGTAGCCAGCATGACTGAAGATGTGCTGGTCCAACCATCGAAAAGGGCGGAAAATGGAGCTGCGGGGTCTAACCTAAAATGAGATTAGCTTCATGCAGTTAGGCGGGCCGTTCTCGTGTGGAAGCCCACAAGGCAAACCCGACCAACATCCGCCCACCAGAGGCAACTTCAATCTCTCCATACTCCATCAGCATTGAATCCATCAACTCGTACTTATGACTATCATAAATATTTGTATATCAGACAACTAACCATGAGCGTCCTCCGCAAAGCATGCCGCCAATGCACAGTCTCAAAACGCAAATGCATCGTTCAAGTCCCCAAGTGCAGCCGTTGCGCCCAAAAGGGTTTGTCATGCACCTACGATCTCGAACCCATAAATGCGCCTACTGGAAAAGCCGAACTGACCCCGCAACTCTCGTTTAATCCATCAAACTGCGATACCCCCGGGTACTGCGTCTTCAAGACCTTGAAAATAAGGCCGGAGGATATCGATCCCGCGATTTGCAGACCTGGCCATGAAGACGCCTTTGAGTTAGTTCGATTAGGGTTTCAGACCGTTCCAGAAATGCTCAAAGCGGATAAACCGGCGGTATTTGTGCATCCGAAACTCAAAACGCGCCTTCATAGCTACGATCACGTCGCTGTGTTGAGAGAGATGGGGAGTGCCGCCGTTACCGAGCAGAACTTGACTAATCTGCTTCATCTAAACATCAAGAGGGTCTCTATGGAAGAAGCGCTCACAGCCGTGCAGGCGCTTTTAATTTACCTTGCGACTATCCTATTTGCGCCAGATGAAGGCGACAATCCCGACTCAGTGCAATACCTAAATACCTTGTTCGCGTGGACACAAGCTCTTTTCCCGTCTGCACAAAACGAGATGCCGCGCGATCAATCGCCATGGCAGGAATGGCTATTTGCAGAGAGCGTCCGACGGACTATTGTCATGTCATATGCCCTCACAATGGCCATGTCGAGTTTCAAATATGGCTATTGCTCGAATTGGTTGTTCTTGGAATCGTTGCCGTTTGATAGTCGTGCAGGGCTGTGGGTGGCAGGATCGCCGCAGGCTTGGATTGCGGCTGCTCACGTGCGAACGGGAGAAGAAGTGGGTGAGCAGCTTAAATCCTATCATGAGTATTCAGAGAGTCGGATGGGGATGAAGGATGATTTTTATGGAGATATATTTTTGAAGTTGCTTGTGAATAGCCATAATGGGGTGAACTAGATATATTGAATGGAGGTTACTCTTATGGGGACCATATCACCTTTATACCATTTTTGTTTTTCATTAATAAGTCCTAAAGAATTGACACGCTCAACACCGTCGTAGACCTGTGGGGACTAAACCAAATAAAGCTCAAAATGGATTTCGTCCGGGGAGTCGCACAGAGCGTCTCATAGACTTGTGGGAACTAGACTAGACCCGGCAAGGGGAATATCGAAACATGATACACCACTGACCATTCGTGAAGATATGCTAGATTGATGGCATCTATAGACTCTTTCAGCCGTTTAATTCGGACGAATGTGCAGTCCAAATACTCGTCCGTAGATTATTAAAGTACGTTTATAAATTGACACTCCAACCACTGGAACAGGATCATATCCGAAAGTGGCGTTGCAAGTATCATATCAAAGAGACTAAAAGCAAACAACATGACCGCAGAAAAACCTCTCCTCGTCATCCTAGGTGCCACCGGCAACCAAGGTGGCTCAATCATTACCTTTTATCTCTCCCAGCCCACCTCACCTTACAGATTGCGCGGCGTAACCCGTAACCCTTCATCCCCCAAATCCCTTTCCCTCATCTCGCATGGCGTCGAAATGGTCGCCGGCGACTTCGACGACTATTCATCTCTCGAAACCGCATTCCAGGATGCAACAGTCATCTTCAGCGTGACTGACTTTTGGCAATCTTTCATGAACCCAGACTTACGCGAAAGGGCTGCTGAAACAGGCGAAAAGATTGGTATATTAGCTCGAGACCGAGAAGCGCAACAAAACAGAAATATTATCGATGCAGCTGCCAAGATTGAGACATTGAAAAGATTTGTCTACTCTAGTTTACCGAATACGTCCAAGCTGAGCGGAGGGAAATATTCTCATGTATACCATTTTGATGGAAAAGGGATTGCGGAGGAGTACGGGAGAAATACGTATCCAGATTTGTGGGCGAAGACAAATGTGTTGTATGCGGGTTATTACTTGGAGAATTATTTCGATGCCGCGGGGGGGTTGTTTCGGCCTAAATTGGTATGTCTATCGTCTATCCCCTTGTTCGTTACCTAGGTGGTAGTTATAATGTTGTATAAATGACTGAAATGACCATAGAGCAAAGATAAAAATACATTAGTTCTATCTGCAGCTGCACCCCTAGCCACTGCAGCTCTACCTATGTACTCATCCCTCGACGACACAGGCCCCCTCGTCGACGCACTCCTTCGCACTTCAGCCGGACACAAAGTCATCGGAGTCAACAAGTGGCTCAGTCTCCGCGAATTCACCACAACTCTAGCTCAAGTCCTTGGTATCAAGAATGTCGAGTTTATTGACAAAAACCCCGACATGAGCCGACTAGGAGATCCAGATTTCGTGGAAGATGCTATTGATATGATTGGATGGTATGTTGATTTTGGGTTTGATGGAGGGAAGGTTGATAAGAGTGTCGAGCAGCCAAGTGAGTTGGGGGTGGAGGTTGGGCTGAGGTCGGTGGAGGAGTGGTGCATGAAGCAGAACTGGAAAGAGGTTTTGGAGGTTGTTGGATGATCCCAAGATTACGACTGCGAAACATGTAGGTAGAAAATGATGTATTAGTCTAGTGATTCACCAGAATTCTTCCATACAATCATGACACGCTCAAACAACAATTGAACATTAGATTTTAGTCATCTCCCAGCCGACTCTGAACCACCGATTCAAGACTAAGCAAAGAGCGCCTACAACAACAGTACTCCCCGCAAACAACTGTGCAGCCATGTAGTTCCCCCCTTGATCCTGTATGAGCGCACCTTCAATCGCCGGCGACGTCAAACAGAAGAAACTAATAATTGTAAACACCATGCCCGTCCTCGTACCTATTTTACTCATATCCGTAGTCAGGTGAGTCGTCATCGTCGGGAAAAGCGCCTGCGCGGCACCCGCAAACAATCCGTAAACAGCACTCCACGCATACAGCCCCGCAGCGCTATCGATAGCCATCCAGCAGAATATGCAAATCGCACAGACGGTATTGCAGATGATATTCATGTTTGCGACACCCACGAACCGATGAGCAAGAATATTGGGCACCATACGACCAATGACACCCACTCCGTTGAGCACAATGACCAGATTCAGTGAGTCCGAAAGATGAATTGTGCCGCGCGCAAAAGTCCCGAGATAGAAAAATGCCATATATAGACCCCAGAAACATAGCGAGTTTGCGGCGATGAATGTGACGAATGGCTTCTCACGAAATGCGCTCCATTCGACGAGGGGTCCGGTGGAGCGGGGTGGGATGTAGGGTCTGTATCCGATGATGGAGGGAATGTGTGTGATCAGCATGATCAATGCAATGGCACGCATTGTCCAGGCAAATCCGACGTTCGAGTGATACAGTAACGCGTTGACGACTGCAGGATATACCATGCCACCTGTAGCACCACCCGCGGCCACGATACCCATGGCAAGAGTGCGCCTCTTCGAAAAATAAGAACTCGTCACTGACAAACCAGGTGTGAAGAGCAGTCCAGCACCCAATCCATAACAGACAGCCTGACACAAGAAGATTCCATAGAATTTGTGTTCGCACAACGAGGTCAGACAAGTCCCGAGCACTTGCAGCACAACTCCTGCCACGAAACAATGTCGAAAGTAACCCGCGTCAGTGGCACGTCCCGAAAATACGCCTCCAAAGAAGATTAAAAACATCTGGATACCACCAATCCATCCTACGGTGCTGGGTGAATGGCCCAATGTCTCGGTATAGTACTGCTCAAAGACGCCATAGCTGTTTGTCACGCCGATTGTGTTAAAGAAGACCATGTGCCCGAAGAAGACGTGTAGCCATGCTAGGGTGCCGCCATCTGGAGGTGGCGGGATCTCTGCGATCTGGGATGGTGGGATCTCGGAAGCGACTGGTAATGTGCTTCTAGACGGTGCTGGTGTAGGTGATGTTTTGAAGAGGACTGAGGTGGAGTCTGATGAGGAGTCGCAGGCGAACGAGGATGGCTGCACGATTTGTTTCTCGGGATCTATCATGGTGGGCAAGTGCGACTTGTATGACTTTTTGGGGATATGTGTTGTCTATTTGTTGCCTCAAGCCCTGCGAGGTTCAAGCGAGAGATCTGAGGCAGGTAAAAAGATAAATTAAAGTCGTTCTTGATTATTTATGCGTGGATTGCCAGGGCGTTGTTTACGATGAGCGGGAAAAACCCGTCGTTATGTATCACATTTTCATTCGGCCGTTACACATGGAATATGGTCTTCAAAGAAAGACTAGATGACTCACTTCGTAAGAAAAAAAACCAACATTTGCATCAACAACAGTTGTTATTACGCATTAGTATCAAGTCGTAAGCCGCAAATGCCGCTCTCTCGTCGAGCCCTAATCGGCTAAGACGAGACATGCTGGCCAATGGGATTCATTTACTGCCAATCATAGCCGATAAAAATACCGACCTTTCCGCATTTTCCGAACTTCCTTCCACCTTTTTCCACTTCCCGACAGCACAGTCAATCACAATGAACTCAATGTCTGACAATTCTCCTACTGCCAGTACTGCTATTGTATCGACCCCACGCAAGCGTCGACGGACTAGATTAGCCTGCGACCCATGCAGGTCGCGAAAGCGGAAATGCGACGGCCATTTGCCGTGTACAACGTGCGTGCAGTTCGAGTATGACTGCTGTTATGGATCCACCGGATCGAAGAGGGCATCAATAAGAAGACCATCCTTGGAACAGGAACAACCTAGTCATATTAGCATCATATCTCCAGCATCCGATCATGGTCCCACGCCGCCGAGCAACAAATCGCATCTAGTAACTAATACGACACCCACAAACCGACTAGTGTCGCCCGCTGTTAGCAACAATGCAAATTCACAGATGGAATCGCTCGAGGCAAATTCGGGAGCCGCGTTTGTGAGGAGATTAGGTCTGAAGATTGATCCGTATAATGCGCCGCGATTGCATCTCTTTGCGTGGAATGCGGGTGATCGTTTGGCAGGTTGTCCGCCTGGTAACCGGAGATGGGTTACTGGGATTCTCAAGAAGCCCGAGATGAGGAATTTGGCATTGATATTTTTTGAGAAAGTGGCGTATGCTTATGGTTTTATCGATCGCGATGTCTTCTTTCAACGGTTAGAGGAACGATGGGGGACGACAAACCCGACGAAAATTGAGGATGATACGTATGATCCAGTGTTTTGCGGAGTAGCAGCGTTGGGTCTGTTGTTCTCGCAAAAGCTTCCATCTACATTTGAGCCGGATCTCGTGGAGACAGCGAGGTTGTTGTTAGAGCAGCACTCATTGTTAAGTCCGCCATCGATAAATACTGTGACCGGCTGGGTATTACGAGTTGCATATCTGCGCATGACTTCCTTGCCGCATACGACCTGGTTGGCGAGTTGTTCCTTGATGCACGTCACCGAAGCAGCTAGAATACATCTCGAATCACCATCCCGTACCGTTTTTGAGGGTTCATCTGAATACCAAAATATTGATCTAGACATCCGCCGCCGTTTATGGGGCATGGCTCAACATCTGAATATCTGGGCTTCTTTTGATCTCGGCAGAACAAAGATTACATTATCAGGCGCCTCAACAAAACCAGTCGCCCCGAAAGCCGGGGATTATACATCTCAACTTCTTGGATTGATTCCCCTAACAGAACCGTTAGATCCCACCAAGACGCGAGGTGTCGAAGATCTCGAGGCTGATCTGAACCGGGTGCTTGACGAGAATCGTGAACGACCGCCCGTCATCATGGCCCAAGTAAATCTTATGCTCTGCATATTCCGACGTCTACGAGCTCAAAAATCGAATATGCTGAACCTACAGGCAGACCGCATACTGGCTTTAGTTGTCAAAGGTCTACGCGCTGCACAACAGATGGTTGTCGACAGCAGTCCCTGGCATCATGTCGCCAATGTCCCGTTTCAAGCAATCTGTTTATTATTAGCGATTGATTCCCGAGCTTCGCTAGCGTTGCTGGGTGATGCGATGAGCACATTGCAACTCGTCGCGAGCACGTGGGATAGCGCTGTGATGCGCGAGGCATACAACACGGCTTATTTATTAATACTGCTGCATCAGCGACGGAAGGAGGAAGATGCGAAGGCTCTTCGGGATGTGTTGAGTATACATTCAACTGCACCGGCGATGACTGCCGATTCTTCTTCTTCTTCTCAGTTCGCTAGTGTTGGTTTCTCGAACCAGAATAGTGGCTATCAACAGCCACAGCAAGGAACGACGGCCATGACGGCCACTGATTCTGCGGAGTTTTTGTGGTTGGAGGACTTGATTGCTGATATGCCGAGTCTAAAGGAGTTTGATTTGGAGCAGTTTCTGTTACAGGATGCGATTCAGCCGCAGTATTCTGATGTAGGGACTGGATTTGGGACGGATACTTTCAATGCTCAGTAGTGCGGAGTATATGGGTTGTAAAAAATATTTACGAATTGTACGTATTGATAGGTTGCTTGCTTGCTTGGTGGGTAAATCAATTTGACTGCCGGGAGAGCTCCTATTTTTGTTGTAGTGCTTTGCAAACTCCAACAGGTCAAATTCTCACCTGTTATCTACAGAGTCTACAGTGATATGATCGGGAGGGTATGCTGATGCCGCTAATGCACGAGGCCGGTTCGTAGGTACACTTGTGTAACCAATGGATTTAGCCTATCATCTGCGTGCCTTGCAAGACTCTGATCTGCAAACCTGTTCCTGGAGCAATTCATGATCAGATGATAAGAAAATCATCATCCACAAACGTTGCTACGATTACGCCATTTCACAGCCTGAACCGCGGCTGAGCGACTAGCGAGCCTTGCAACTGAATAACACCGCCAACACGCCAGCCCCCGGGAGCTCTGGCCCTGTGACACCGGCACGATCTTCATTTTAGCGTGCGACTAGGCTGGGTCCGGTGATACACTTCCTTATCATTGACTTTGTTAGAAGCCTAGCAGCTATGGTGGCTGGAAGTATAAATCCAGCCTCCTGCGCGCGTAGCTCGGTGTTGCTAGAAATAAAAATGGTGAGACTGTGGAACTGTCGCAGTCTTACAGATTCTCTACTTAAGTGACACCATTGAACTTCCTCAACAATACCTATTCAGTATTCCGCAAAGTTAAGTTGTGTAACGGAAGCGATAATTCTTCGATAACAATGGCGGACAGTCATATTGATGTGCATGACCACGATGATGAACCTACGGAATCATCGCCTCTACTCCCGAAACTAGACAAGAAGAAACAAGACGAAGCACCAAAACAGCAACAACAAAGCAGTAGCAACAAAAAAATGGACACCATACCACCCCGAATCAACACAGCCATCGGTCCACCCATAGATATCAGGCCCATCAACCCTAGCGGAGGAATCTCATTAGGAAACGCCGCGGGACCTACCACCACCAAACCAGTACACACCCCGTCCTGGCCCATGCCCGCCGGCCTCCCACCCCGCGACAACGACGACGAAAACCTGATTATATTCCGGCGCGCAATCGGAATAAACTACGACCTCGCCGCTGCCGACACCGTAAGCATGGAAGAAGGCCGTCGCCGCGCCGTCGGCATCTACSGAGCCGTTATCACAAGCAAGCGAAACAAAATGTGGCAGTTTCGCGCCATGTGGTGTGTCATATTGTTCTGCCATTTTGCACAGATTATTATCGGAGCGGCGTTGACGGCGTTGGGCCCGTTGGCAAATGATCATGGTGTTGTGATTACGATTTTGGGGGCGCTGAATACGGTTATTGCGGGTGTTTTGGCGCTTGTTAGTGGGCAGGGTGTTCCGGATAGAATCCAGAAAGATGAGATTGGGTATAGAAAGATACAGGATTGGATTGAGGAGACGGAGTCGTTATTGTCAGTTGGCATTATTGGACGAAACCGAAAGGAGGTCGGATTGTTGGTGGAGGAGGCATTCAAAAAATATAATGCGGCGAAATCGAATGAGGAGAATAACAGGCCGAATTCATATATAAATGCGCCGGAGGAGCCGTCGAGAGCTAGTGGTAATGGAGAGGGGAGGGGTGAAGTGTCGACGCAGTCGATGCCGTGGAATTGATATTTCGATGCTACCTACCTATGTAGGTTGATGACTTTGTATAATCTATCTAGCTCACGATCTTCGAAGCTGGAAAGTCAATAGCCCCCTCGAAATAACCCCCAACAGACCATACACTCATCTTTGGCACACTGATTCCATCACCGTACCACTCCAAACTCTCTGCGTTATGCGCAGTAGGCGCTTTTGAGATATAAGTCAAACCCCAAGACCCCTTATAAGTCGGCGTGATCATTAGCCAAGGATTCTCTCGCCCGTTTTCGGCATCATCAGTCCCAATCACAGCAGCAGTAGCCGCCGAATTCTTGGGATACCTAGGCACTGCGAGGGGCGGTTGCATAAGACTAGCCGGTGCCATCGTTGGTAGACGCAAGTTTGGCAACGCAGAGCCTTTCAATAATGCCGCAAAAAATGGTCTGTTCGGGTCGAGAGGTGCAGCGCTATCCTCTGGATGGTATATTTTTAATATCTGGTCCCGTTTACCAACGGGCTCAAAGACGAAACGTGCTTTATGCTTCGGGATATCTTCAACACGTTAGACAAATTCACCAGTCAAGATAGAGGAAAGAAGCATACTCCAATTTCTCCTCCCATTCCAGACTGACGCATCCGTCGAAACATAAATATTACTAATCCTCGCATTCCGCTTCCCCGTGTGAGGATTTACAAAATATCCCGGCATGACGATAAGTTCATCATACGGACCAACGTCTGTATCCTCATATCGGATTATTGCAAGTAGTTTTGCTAATCTCCCAATACCGTTGAGTTGCGGTTTACCATCGTCGAGTTTGCGGAGTGCATCTGGATGGATGGTTTCCATGGGGTGATACGAGCCGGGAGTTAGTACATCCTGTAAGATTTCGGCAGCGTCGTTGGGATTTAAGCTAGAGGCTGTTGGCTCGGGGACGCTTGGGTCGCTGTAGATGAACATCCAGGATTTGGCTTTGAGGGTCCAGGGTGGTGGTGCGATAGGGATGTCCTTGCTAGGTGGCGATGAGCCGCGAATTGCTGGATCTGGTGGTGGCGGTATGAAATCTGTAGACATTATGTATGTGTATGATTATTTGTGACTGTCTGATGATCGTAGGTCTATATATATTGCTTGTAGAAATGAAGAAGAGATGAAGTCAGAGTCAACAACATGGCATAGGTATATAGCTAGTGCGGGGACGAAGTACCAGACGCATGATTGGACGCCCTTCGAACCGAGGCTCGCACAACCCTAACTCAATTACGCTAGTCTATATTATGTCGTGGTATCCTTCGCAGCAGGATAATAATCCTGGCCATAGGTAGCATTCAGAGTCACAGCGCCGGAGATGCTGCCCTCTTCGAGACGGACCCATGTATCGGTCTGCTTTCCCAGTGTCTTTTCGTCTAACAATATCTGTCGTGATCCGCGAGTCCAGCTTCCATATCCTCCATAGCCACTGTGGCGGTCGAAACAGAGGACGACTCCGTCACCCTTGATGTCCATTTCGGAGAGGGTGGTGTTCCATTTAAAGCACCTATCACCCTGGATTAGACGGCTGAATTGCGCACACGGGGCGGGGAACTTACCAGTCATTTCCATGATCGTGTCCGCTGAATGTAGCTATCAATCCCTCCGTTTCGACAAGAGCTTTCATAAAAGGCTTGTCTTGTCCCGTATAATCAAAAGAGCCATCGGATGGACCTTGCGCAGCAAGCGGGACATCATCGTTGATACCGGGCGCGGTGTGAGAGTTGGGACCGGGACTGTCTTGAAATGCGAGCATAGCTGTGACGGGGATGTGAAAGAATGCGAGTGACGGAATGGTCTTGTGATAGATTTTATTGAGTTGGTCGCGAGTCTTGGTGAACCAGTCGACAACCTTCCAAAACCATTAGCCCCTAGTCCATCATTTGAGTCGTGGAGAAAAATTACTAACCGACTGATCAACAAAATCATCGACAGGAATGACATTGCCATTCTTATCGACATTTTGAAATTGATTACCTCCCCTACTGTCAAAAAACCACAAAATCACCTTCGGTGTTTTGTCGCCCTTATCAGCCGAGTAAATTGGTAAATAATAATTAGACACACCAGACGCGTAACCAATCGTAGGAACCATGCTCTGCGTCAGGGAGTTTGGGTATCGCTTCTCGCGCTCAAAGATTTCTTGCCGCGAGAGATTGAATTGACTGTCGTGATTACCGTAGGTGCAAGCCCAATAAAGATTGCGGTCTACAAGTGGCACCACAATTTGGTCGAGGTAGTGGCTGGAATTCGCTTTGAAGGTATTTTCCCCGGTGATCAAGTCGCCGTTGAGTACGACGAGTTGGGGACTTTCTTGATCTAGCACACTGTTCATGACGCGGGTTGAGTTGATGTCTTGTTGGGGACCCCAGTCTAGGTCTTCGGCTGTGGAATAGTCAGTATTCACATTGTTAATTCGTCTAGGGTTTGAAGGGTTGATTTACCTTCGCCGTAATGCAGATCCGAGAATACCGAAATCTGGAATGTGCCCTTGTCGGTGAAGCGGAGGATGGGTGTTGAGAGACCCAATCCCAATGCACACTTTGCGCCGATTGTAAGCGCAAGAGCGATGGACTTCATTTTGGCAAGAATCGTGATATTGTTGAATTATCGCTGAACAGTAAAAAGAAAAAGAAAAAAAATTCCAGCTTCCGGAACGAAGCTTATAAACAAAGTCAGGTTATCAAAAAACGTGAGACTAGATAAATATTAACTAAATTAAACATCCACGTCCTTCATCACCAAAAAGCCACTCGGGATAAGACGTTTAGCCTCGTGTTCTAATTAATTGCCTGCTACTAAGTATTTTCCGGTCTAGCGGTTGCTTGTTTAATATGAAGTGGATCATGAGTAATGCTAGCAGTAACTTTCTTTAGACATGTGCTTTCTGATGACAAACGAGTCATGATGAAGTGCCGAGTCTAGATTCTGTAATGAATATTCATTTAATTCATTAAATTGCGTATAGAATAGGAAGGTAGATAGTTGAGGTTGCATTGCACACGGAGGAGTCGTTGACGTATGACTCCACAGAGCCCTAACCGGGAAGCCCTAATCACGGCTTTTTGGACTTTTATCGGCCATGGGGTGATCATAAGCATTAGTAGGGGATTGAATAGCTGAGTCGGATAATTATTAGATGGTAAGTCAAGCTCTTGGTTTGTATTTTAGCTTTTTCAGGTACGATGGATTTGTTCTAGTTCAGGTCCGTATTATATACATGGCATAAGCAAATCCGTGCGAGAAAATTCCAAAGTCTCATCATCCCAAGACTAATGACCGTTTCGACCAACCGAGTAGTCCTTAGAGGGCTTTTCCTTGAAAGCCACTTCTGGAGCATAGAACGCTACATAGTCAGTGCTTTGAAGAGATTATGTACAATATACGGCCGCTCACGGATAAGGTATTGGAAAGATGGTTCGGAGGCCACATCCATGATATGACAAGAAGCATATCGATAGATCAATTCACGAATCTCAAACATACCAACGCGCTCAAAGGGTGTCGTGCAGTCGTGAATATATGTAAGCAGACTCACGATCGTTTTGGGTGTCGGGCAAGGTTTGATATTCTCTATCTCATAGTGGAGATAGTCTAGAGACTTGCGCCGCAATGACTCAATCAAATATTTGTTGGCAAAAATGAAAATATCAACATGAATTTTTGCGATATAATTCAACTGGTGTCCCGGTGAGTAGCTGTGCCTGAGCTTTTGAAACTGTCCTCTAATCCGAGTTCTTAACCGGAGATATTCAGGAGATGTAGTTGTGTTTCGACGAGTAGTGGTCTTGATTTGTCGGGAAATGGGCGTAGAGGGAGTGTTTGATGTCTTGGCCTGACTTTCACTAATGAAAATTGAAGGATTTTTGGCGTCAGATCTGTCTTGAGCGGTGGTGTCTGCCGAATCCTTTACTTCGTCCTCTTTATCAGGATCAATTTCATCAACAGTATAGTCTCCAGTATACGCAAATTGACAAAACTTCTGAAAGACTTTGACCTCGACGTCTTCCAAAACCGCAACTTTGGTGGCTGACTCTATCATCACTCCGTTGTTGATCATCGCATGCAGAGGAGCTGAGATGTCCTTCACAACATCTGCATGTATGGTGATTGGGGTACTTTCCCGTCCAACGAGGAAGGTGAAGTGTGTTGATAGAACTATCCTAGAAGTTTAAATAAGTAAAAAACCTTGAAAGGAACTGGCGAATGTGAAAATTACTAACTTCTCCAGCTTGTCCAGGATCTCTCGCCGATCGAGGGCCTGCATGATGACGCGTGATAAGAGATGCTGGCGTCGAACACAGTCCTTTCACCTTGTCGCTGTCAAGGCAATATCAAAAGTTGAAGAAGTCGAAACCTAAGGGCTTCTTATCCGTCTTCTTAACAATGGTGCTTCGTATTGGTGCAAATGAAGAAAAATGTTGTTGCAAATGAGCTCGTGTCAGAAATAGAATACCCGAGGGGTCGACGACTACTGCTCAGAAAATAAAGTGAGACTGAGACGCGTCGAAGCGTTTTCTGGGTGTTTTGTTTGTCCAGGGCAAATTGTCACTAGTATGTCAAACGAGCACACGTGACTTCCTGAAATAGAAATACCTAGTCAACAACTCCCACTTCCAACTTGACTCAAGGGTTCTGTTTCCGGCGCTTGGTAATGCAGAACTACATAAGATCGGATATTCATGGTAATATGTATATGAATGTATAAGAAAGTAACATAGCAAGCATCAATAAACACAAGTAGCAGTTACAGAGAGGGGAAGAGGGAATGGTTGTTAATATGCTTGATGTGCTTGGTGTATCAAGAGCCTAATCCTGTTAACATTGAAGTAATCAATTGAGACATTGGACATGAAATATAGATGATTTCTTAGTTGATTAGTATATCTATTTAACGTCCAGTGCGGCTGTTTTATTATTTAGCTCCATATAGCCGCGAAGATGTCAACAGGCTACATAAATACATAAATCCTACTTTGTATTTTAGGCTCCATAGCCTCTACATGTATAATACCACTCTATTTAATAGGGATATTATGCAGATGCTATGTATATATTATACTCAGAGGGAAAGTCTCAAAACCCTCTTACAGAATTACAAAATATTTTGTTTAAAATAGTGATCAATCTAAGGAAGATATATATTAAGAACCGTACCCTATCTAGGTAGGGATACATAGATAAAATTGTCTTATATCTAGGTAGTACATGTATCCTCCCAGTGATTAACTACTGAGTTGTGTCTGGTGATATCAGCACCAACGTGGGCGATTTTTGATGGGGAGCTTCCAAAGGACTTAAGATGATCTTTCGATTCTTCCTTCCGGTTTCGTTCACCTTTCAGAAGTTCCAAGTAATTGCTGATATTTGCGATTTCATCCTGGGCAAAATGAAATCTTAATCTCAGGGTCGCAGCTCGTGAGTATCAAAAGCTCTGACCGGAGACTTGACCAGTCGAAAATCAATGAAGGCTTCACATACAAGAAGATAGTCGGAGTCACCTTCGACAAACCGAATCTGATATAAGAAAGACACAAGCTTTCTCAAATATCGCCGAGATTGTTGTACAGATATCAATAGTCGCACTTTCGGCATCATTGTGACATACACGGCACTGTGTATAGGACATATGGATGAAGTCAACTGTCGAAAATACTCCTTGAATAAGATTTCAACATCGGTTCCAACTCCTTTCGTGTAGAAAAACTCCCGGATAGCATTTCTTGCGCGTCCCAAACTTCAGGAAGTTCACCTTCATGAAACTTAATAAGGAAGATCGGCATTGGTCCTGCGCTCCAGGATATCCAAGTTTAGACATATGAAAAAATCTAAGTTTTCCTTTGCTCTCCCAAATACCATCCGCCTCTCTGGCTGCGCCATGGATACTAGGAAATCCATGATCCAATAATATTCTTTCGATATCTGGATAGAGAGTGATGTATGGCTGCGTTTCTGTCTGAGGCAGCTGACGGAATGCACGGGATAAGGAAGGGGGTTGAGAACGGTCGTAGATCTATATGGATTCGTCCGATAGAGATCCGACTCTATTGTGATATCGCCGTCTAGCTTGTCGGAATCTCGCAACAACCGCGCTCGTCATCGGTGAGAATCTGGAGGTGTGGCCAAATTTCCCCTCAGGGCCTCGTCGTGGGTGAGGCCAGCCAGTCATGAACCGTGGAGGAAAATCTATGGTGTAATTGAGTGTGTCGCAAGGATCATGGTATTCTTGAAAAGCGCTTGGGTTTGAATCCTATCAATAGCGGAAATATATTGATTTTCGTAAGGCCTGGGTGACAGCTCTGTGATATTACAGCGCGCTGTGATCTGGCGAAAAAGTTAATACATGTGTGATCGTTACGAGATTTGATATATGACGCATCTCTGTAACATGACGGTGGGCTACGGGTAACGCTGTGGTGAAGCCTCTGATATGTGACAGTAATATTACTAGAATTACCCATATTTCTAATAATTTTGCGCCGTATTTTACGTGTAATTATAAACAAATAATAGCGCTAAGACGTATCAACGCTCACAAATATACACACAACCCAACAGCACGTCCACCACCAATCTCGTATGTATCTAGGCTCGTTCGTAGACTCAATTTAGATTCGTATTCTAGATTTGTACATGAGCGTGCATATCACTAGGTTGAGGATTGGGAGGATTCACAAACTAAATTCAACACGAGAATGAGGCCTCGTACGTGAGTAGAGAGCAACTGTGTATTCGTTTAATTCAGATAGTATGTTCAGGAAGCAAGGTTCATAACGCGTATGTAGTGTTTTCTTGCAATGGAAGCTCTTTAGAATGGGATATTAAAGTTCCAGTGTATTCATTGGTATAACAAAGGAAATTTAGTTATTATTTGAGTAGCTCCAAACTGGTATCCTGATTATTCCAACTTACAGATGCCTGATTGTAATTTGGAACGGCCTGGGAGGTATGCTTTGTATCGTCACTTGTCCATACGAAGCTCTGTCAATAGCTCCAAACTTTCCTCAATAGTAGCTTGAGTTTCTGTTTACCTCTTTCATTACCCGCACACCTGCGAGAACTGAAGAGCCTGACGTCTTCTGGATGTTGCAAAGCGAGATTTGATCTTTTTCATTTCACTTTTAAACTACACTGCTTCCAACGTCAAGATTCTGAGAACACTTTAAAAATTTTCTTTCCTCGTCAACGGCAAGCTCATCTTGTCAGATCTCAGATTCTGTATCCTCTCGTCCAAAGACTGAAATTTCAAAACCTTTCATATCACGAAGACCCCGTGACCCCTGAGGTTTGACTTTCATCTCCTTAGCTTCAAAATTTCTCATTCAAACCTTGCATTCCAAGGCCTTGCCTCACTTCTTTCGAGTCAACACCATCGCTTTGTCTTGGTTCAGCCTCACATCAGGTATCCAGGCGTTTCTCTTCCACAGGATATCCTTTTACAAGATCAAATTACACGGTCATCTACTGCTCACTTTGCACGTTCACCGCATAAGGCAGCCCACAGAGAATCAAATACGATTTGATGACTGTATTGTTCTCGTCATTCTCGATCATCACTTCACCTGCGACGCTGACATCGTAAGTTCTTCAGTTCTTTCCTCTCTTATTTTCGACGGGATTGTCATGTTTCTGTGGACTATCAAACTGAGGGGTGTAACTAGTGCGAAATTCATATCGTTGACCATGTCGTCCTCAACTGGTCGCGTTCAGCTTCGCGACTACTCTTTCACACCGAGAGGCAACGCATACCAGCTGGATAATGCGTTTAAGGATCGTCCTGATCCTTGGTTTGTGACGGCGTATGATCCATGCTCCCATTTTCTCTCCAAACACACTCCGCGTGCAGCCAGCATCGATACACAGGCGGAGGCGGTGGAACCGGGTAGAGGCCAACGCAAATACCTCGTGGTCGGGGTAATTCCCCTTCAACATTTCAAGGGAAAAAGCGCCGAAATCTCAAAGGCGGAAGCGGTTGTTGACACAGTGCCGACCAACTACATCAAGCCCAACAAGGATCATGTTGCATTGCGTGTCGCTACGCCGTTGACATTGAAACGACCTCCCCAAATCAAGTTGTATGCCCTGCACACGCAGAATAGCGTTACCAAACTCTACAATACCCAGATTGTGAGCGCCGACATAACGTACTTCTTCTCAGAATATCGGACTTTCGCTACTTCTGTCGGTAGTCGGAAGACGGAATGGCATGAATTAGTGGCAGCGAAGAGCGTCTGTGGTGTTGAGGACCCTCGCCCAGACAAGACTCTTGGTGAGGCGGATCCGGCTTATCAGACCGACCTTACAACCGCTGCTATTGAACAGATCAGATGTCAGCTCAAAAATCTTGGTGTTGGTCCGCATGCGAAAGTCCTCGAAAAGGCAATGGAGACCATTGATGACGAATTCCGACCGGTCATCAGAGAGGCGCCCATACTCTCGGCCATCGACAAGTTAATTTTAATCAGTGAACCGTTCGGTCAAGGTGAAGCGGCGGACCTCACCCACTTCCTTGCTGTGCAATAGCCCAATTTTCGAAATGTGAAGCCCGAAAAATTGATGCTTTTGCGCGCAGGCATCGAGGAAGCAAAAGTCGAATTTTCCACCCAAGAGGCTCAGCTATTCCTCAGCATCTCTTGCTGCCAGCTTGAGCTTAAAGGCGCAGAAATCAAAATCCGCGACCTGTTAAGCAACACAGCCAAGTTTGTGAAGGAGATGCTTGGGGTTAGCTTGAGGGGAGTTGCTGAACCGTAGGCCGCAATCTAGGTTAGATGAAGAAGACCAGACTTTTTAAAAGTTATGTATAATTACAATGAAACATGTTTGTCATTTCTCTTCTATGTGTCTATTCTAGGTTGCAATAGGCGATTGTTGCGCAAGACCATTCACGAGCTTCCTGTGAAATTTCTTTGACATAGAGCGATTGACTGATCTTCCCTTCTTTCATCCCTATATATTGTCTATAGCAAATTTGTACTTTTCTAAAAAATCATCGCCATTATCAAACGCAGGGCCTTCCCGATGATCTTGATATAATCAAGTCAAGGGAGACGATAAATTTGGTATCCTTTCATCGTTCTCTGAAGCACTTCAGGCTCAACAGAGACAAACGCGTCTTTGACCATGGCAAACCTCCCAAACTGGAGCCAGTTGAGATTTTCACTCTCTGCTTGATGTATCATTCCCACTAACGCAATCCTGGCAATACATCAGAATTATTCAGTCGCCAGTCGTCACCTTTCTCATCGGAAAGACACAGACGCCGATTCGAATCCATGCCGCAGTTGTCCAAAATCTATCAGATCCCCTCGCCGAGCTCATCCTCCAGCAAGCTAGCGATGAAAAGCCCATCATACTCGAGGATGCAGAAGCCGAGACGTTCACACGCTTCACTGAGTTTGCATACCAGGGTACTTATGTCACCCCCGTGGCCAACGACGCGAAGATGACTGTCCCCGCCCACGATGAGAATGGTGATGACTTCACCATCCAACGAGGATATCCAATTACTGGCACGACCAGTTCCGTCGCTCGTACAAGTTCGCCCTCACGCAACATAAGGTCCTCTCACCGCGAGTTCTACGAACAGTTTAGATACCTGCATTTCTACGATGGCCCTGCCATGGACTCCGTCAACCCAAACATCATGTTCCACGCGAAACTGTACGTTGTTGCTACGGAATTTCAAGTCTTGCCTCTGCAGCGACAGTGTCTCAGCAAATTATACAGAGATCTTTGTGACTTCTACATGAATCCTGGCGACTTGGGTATTGTTCTTGATATGATTGATTACGTATATACTCAGACGGAGCGACATGAGCTCGGAGAAGAATCTTCTCTTCGAAACTTGGTTTTTCAGTATATTCTGTGCCAGATTGGCAAGTTGGCTGTTGATGACAGTTTTGACAAGATTGTTGCGAGCAATGGAAATCTTAGGGGGGACATCTTGAGGGAGGCTTTGAAGCTGTAGTTGGGTTCGGCATGTGAGATACTTTGACTTGGAGATATTCTTTATTGTTTTGGAACCTTCGGTGGCGTTTTGTATCTAGCTGATTGCGAAAAGTATCATCAGCTTAATCAAAGAAATCTTGATTGTCTTCGGCTTCTCATCGATTCGTTGCGCTCTCTACAGCTCTTCTTGATCAGATACGCCCTTCTCATGATCACATACCTATCACTTCCATTTCATCCTCTCCTCAATCTTCGTGGAATCCTCAGTCTTCGATACTAGTCTACACTCTCGGTCGATCTCTGTTGACTACTTCCTCTTTTATTTATCACTCATCGACAAAAAAGAAACTATTCTCGATGTCCTCCTCATCCTCAAAACCTTATAAATTCCTTTCTTTTCCTCTTCAAAACATCACCTCACTCGTGATCAGAACACGGCTCATTATTTTTACCGTCCTACGGCTGGTGAGAGAATCCTCTTCTTACATCGTCAAGAGACCCAACCACCTATCATCCGAGGAGTGCTCCGGAGACTCGCTCATCTTCACGCTCTTTGAAGGATATCTTCTCTTGCTTTCCACCCCAACTCCAAGCTTGAAAGAAATGACCGACTACGAAAAGTGGGTCAGCTTTGCAATGGCAATGTACTTTCACTAACTTTTTAATCTCAGAATCATGCGGTCTTCGCACTTTACCTTTCTAGTTGGAGACGACAAAACACCTCTGACAATCCACGTCGCAGTGTTGGAGAAGCTCTCCGCTCCCCTATACGCACTTATAAATAATGGATCTATGAAGGAATCTCGAGCGGGGTTTGCACTGCTAGACGATGTGGATGTTGAGACTTTTGTGGCGTTTTCCGAATTCGCGTACACCGATGGATATAAGACGCCTGCTCGAAAGAATGATGCAGAGAAATTTCCAAGATCCAATGTTTCCAAATCCAGTCGAATTTCAAAGCGACCCCGGACCTTCGATTCCGAACTACAGAAACTAAGGTGGGATTTCAATGAATCTTACTATCATTCTCGAAATGCCAAAAAAGACTTCGATGACTATCTTTTCGAGAGTATAAAGAACAGTTTCATGGCCCGAAGAGGTGGTAGCGTGGCGAATAACAAAACAAAAGACAATTTTATCTTTCACGCCAAACTATACGTCTTTGCAACGAAATACCTTATTGAGCCATTGCGCAAGGCATGCATCTCAAACCTTCAGTTCGATCTCATAAAATACGAGTTAACAAATAAGAACTCGCATCTGGTTCTTGATCTGCTGGAGTACGTCTATTCAAACACCGGACGAAGTGAACCAACGGGCAAATCAGCACTTCGGGACTTAGTCATTCACTATACCGCTTACAAGCTGCCAATTCTCTCCAAGCATGAGGCTTTTTCCGTTCTCCTGGAGTCAAATGCGGAAATAGGGTCGGACTTGGTCATGGAAATGATGAAATAAACACCTTCAACTTATCCCTTGAATTTCTACTGAAACATTGCTTGCGGATCTTACAGGCGGCGAAGAATGAAGAACGGGGCTTTTGGTTGTGGAGAGTGGCGAGTGAAGCAAGAGAAGTTTGGGAATCACAAAAGAGCAAATACAATATCAAAGGAATTAGCTATGAAATAGATTAAGCCGGGATAATCACACAACTATTTGCATTCTGATCCTAATACAAGCCCTTGGATATTCTCTCTCATTCTCTCTCAAGACGATATTCAAGAACGTATCCCGGAAAATGCCATCAAGCTGTAGCATATCCATCTCAGACTAGACCTAGGTAGAATGTTGAAATGTATGAACTGACTGCCGTCTGCAAATAATCAAAACTCACAACCTTATCTCTGACGATTTGCAATCTTCCATTCATAGACCTCTGATTCGGGTTCCATGTTGGCACCGTGCGTTCAAGGATAATTCTAAACACCTATTTGGAGGTGGCAGTAACTACGCCGATCGATGTGTAGCTGCCATGACTGATTTCACTAGTATGGGCGGAAACTACCATCAAAGCCTCAAGACTACTTATTGAGGATGGAATCTGTTTGCGTACATCCCAATGAATCGAAAATAATTGGTTCCAAAAGTGACGCCTTTGTCTACACTAATTATTTGCTGTAGAGTAACGCAGCACTGTTAAAAGCAAGATAAATCCGCTCACGACGTTGATGTCTTTTTCTAGCATGTCACACAGATTCCAGTGAGAACAAGCACATTCAAAGGTCTCAAACCTGTTTGTTATCAGCCTCTACATCAAACCAGTCCCCTGGATTATTTCGAAGGAAGTTCGCTACATCGAAACATTACCAACAGCCAAAATGGTTGACCTCAAGAAGTAAACATCTCCTGCCGTCCATTAACGTCATTTTTCTTTGTCTGCTAACAATCACCACGTTAGGATCATTCGATCATCGTTACTGACTTTCCTCATTGGGAAAGACAAAGAACCTGTAACAATCCATACAGCACTGGTTGAAGCCCAGTCAAAGCCGCTCTATGCCATGATATCCAACGGCAACATGGCAGAGTCTAAGACCGGGGTTGCAACTCTGGAAGATGTCGATATGACTGTTTTCATTGCGTTTTGTGGGTTCCTGTATCGTGGTAGATACATCGCACCGCCACGGGAGGAACTCAAAGAAGACAAGAAGTATTCGGCGCTTTATGGAAGCTCAGAAAACAAATCTACTCGAATTCTTAAGCGATTTTGAGAGAAAAATCCCAAATTGACGAAATTTAGGCAGATTTACGCGGAATCGGCTTCCTCACTCGGGCTCGATGGTCACACAGTTGACGACTATCTTTTAACGAATCATTGGGAAAGCTTTATACCTGTCAGGCAAAGCTGTACTAACTAACTAGTAACTATGGAGTAACTTCGTTACACATATGTCATGATTCATAGTTACCATAGCATTTGATTACGTGTATTGATAATATACACAATTAAGTTCAGTTAACTATCCCTTGTGGCTTGTGCGAAAACACTCCCAAAGATCAGTGGATCAGCCTTTCATAACGTTAATCGCTACCGATATGGCCCTAAATCTATCATTTTTAATTTTAGAGTTGAGCCATGGCATGATCATAAGCAACGAGCTCACTTTATCTAAAATAGTGGATGTTGTTGAGTGTTATCTACTGCCAAAACTACATAACGTATGCTCTGAAATATCCATAAGAGAAGTTATTGCGTCGACTCAGTTTATGGCTATGGCTAGCTGGGATCGTGACTAGGCAGCATTTCATGATGCGCAAGAGGTGCCAGCCTCACGGCTCAGGCCTCTCGATGCGGGGTACAGCACGGAAAAGCCATCTTCAATTCTTCTCAGCCTTATCATACGGCCATCTTTCATCATCCTTCATTGATGATATCCTTCCGTGCGAATTTCTATTTTTGCCTGGCAAGAGAAACCCTTTATACTTTTTCATTCTTCCCTTAAATCAAAATGACTGAATTGCTGGCATTTTTACGCCAACGTCGTCCACATGATCTAGAAGCGTCTCGTGTTATGGTAAGCTTGATGAATTTACCATTTCATGATTGAGCTGATCCACTGCTTGTATCGCAGAATCTTCGTGGAAACCAAAATTCACCTGCGATCAATCTTTTGGAACAAATTGCCGTTATTCTGCTTGTAGCAAATTTGTGGATATGGGAAACATTCACAGATTTCAACGTCAAATCTTACTTACCAGATGTTAATCAGCGCCTTCAAAACCACCTCGATAGTCTGAATAGAATGCCAGAAACCAGTTACTCCGGTGGTGATAGGTCACGCGAAATAAATCACCGTGCCAAAAATTATGTGAAAAGGCTCTCTCACGAGGAACGACTGAAGCTAGTGTTAGACTGCGAAGTCATTAATAAATATTACCCCGAAATGGTGAATATACGCATAAGCGAGCACGAAAAAGCGGAAATAGAATCCTTGCATTCTGACGATTATGAGGCGGACGGCACTCCTTACACTGGGGAATTCTTGAAAGATATTGTGAGGCAGTGGCTGGAATTACATAAGAAAGTCGATGAAGCAATAAAGAAAGAATGTTTCGGGCCCGAGATCACCACTCGCCTCATATCAATACTGACGCAGACCATGGGCAAAAGCATCGACGAAGTCTACACATTCCAGGATGAATACCCTTCTTTGCAACTTCCGACCCGTCCAGACGACATCAAAGAACAGTATGTCCATTCTATTCCTCGTTTAGCATCTCATCTAATGACATAAATAGAACAAGCCAATCTAAATCCTCAAGTGGACAATCGAAAAATAATGCCAAGCAGAAGAGAACGCTTCCAGTCTTCGCTTTTCTTGTCCCGATAATCTGTGCCTTGTCATCTATTCCTGCCTTTTTTGCCTGCATTAGAATGGAGGTAAAACAAGGGCACGTGACTGATGCCGAATTTTTCCAGCTCATCTCATCTGTACCAATGCAACTCCTAGGCATAGGCACTTCACTTTGGCCAATAATTCAGGATCTCCGGCCTAACCGTGCTGCATGGGTTGAAGGTTGGACGTTAGCAGTCATAAGTGCCTGTTTGACAATTGCCGCAATTCCTCTTTACATTCTTGTGCCCACGTCTTGGAGTGCAATGTCTCTTTTCGGTGGATCTTTCATACAAGCTTTACTACAATTGCAACTCCTCCTTGGGATCGCCAATCAGAAAAGCCATATTGATTGAAGCATTAATAAGTCTGAACGTTCAGATACTTGACAGGAATTTCATTGTCTGCAAACACTACTCGTAATGGCTCTAGATTCCTTTTCATCCACATAACGTATTTCACGGGTAAGTGGGTCACGCGGGTAGATGATACACCACCCCAGAATTCTACCCAGATACCTTACAACCACTTTTGCAACAAACCCCTAATATCCAAAAATGGAAAAATCGCATACAGAGAATAAGTCAAACTATGAGTGGAGGATTACTCTTGCTGTTAGTAAGTCAAATATTAAAAAGTTAAGAAAATATGTTATACTGTATGCTTACATGACATTGCTTTAGCTACTTTACAAAGATATCTCTAGAGCTCTACACCTAGTAATAAAGTAAATTGTCACGGACCTGGATCTAACTTAATGAAACAGTGTTGTTTCGAGATACACTAGCTTGGTTGAACCACACAAAGGTTCCGAAGGTCGTTGTCGATAGAGTAGACTAAGTAAATAGAATAACAATAGTAGATCTGGTGTAGAGAAATCGTGTACGTAAGATAGAAGAGATCTCCCGTACAGCCTGATGCCTATACAAGTATGAATACCTTTCTGACTCTCACTATTATATTTAAGTAACTTATGTCAAAGAACTATGAAGAACTAAAAAACATAATAGTAAAAGAGCGCCCTTATATATCTAGTCCTCCTTATTATATACACCGTATATCCTCTACCTTCTTGAAGCAGCAGATATAAGGGTATACAATATTGTGCAATAATATCGAATTGTTTTGTATATCATTATCCTATCAAGATAAGAGTATATCTTTCTTATCTTTACATGACCCTTGATGCGTGCCTCATACCATCGTATTTACTTTTTGCTTATTGCCAGTAAATAGTTCTTAGTTAATCCGGTACAAGCCCATACCAAAGCATCCCTTTATTTCCTGTCATAGTTGTCTTTAGTGTCATGCAGGTTGATTCGTAACATTATTATGCAACTCTGTATCGAGGGTTCTATATATTATCCCCTGAGTACAATATCATAGTATCTTCGACACAACATACAGTACCCAGGACACATCATATTGTATTGGGGGTACAATATGTGCTTCCTCTTGTCACTTTGTCGGAAATGGCGATGTTATCTGTTTTTGAGCGAGAGGTTCTTGCTAGCCTCGAAGGTGCCTAAGGAGATGTATCTCTCAGATTGCGAAGACTTGGATAAGAGAATCAAATCTGAAATATAAATATTAGGTCATTTTACCATTTACATACATTGCTACGGCCAGAGTCAAATGTTTGAGACAGAAACTAATCCACTGACCGTATGTCGGGACTTCAGCAAGAGAATGAGTCGATTGCTTGTGCAGCCACAAACAGAAAGGAGAGAAGAAACAGATGTCCAAGGTCGTCCCGAGATTTTTAAGAAAATAAGAATTGCCTGCCATTTCCGTATAGAATTTTAGGGTTCATCTTCAAGAATTTCTTCGATTAGTTCAATTTCATCTTCCAGGCAAGACATGTACTTCTTGTCTTCGTTCTGCAGATCCAGTCTCTCCATCTCAGAATTCAAAACTTCCTCTTCAGCGATGTTAAATTGTGCCTTGTATGCCGTACTAGCGACAGTTGAACCCCGGAGGTCGCCTTGACTAGTGAGATTTGGATAGAGAAGAATTGAACTTGGCAGCTCAGCAAAGTCCTGCCCGGGCTCAACCCTGAGATATTTGATTTCGAGGAGTCGATACTGTGCTGCCCAGACGTGAGAGCCGGAGAAAGACGCTCTTGATTCGAGATATTCGTTACGCCCAACGGAGATTGATGCGCCCACTGGGATTGACATTAGATCAAGGACCGTATTGTTTGAACCACCTCCAGTAACAGATGACTTGATGCTTTGGTTTTTTATGTGAAATACAGTTGCGTCATCAAATATGTACATGCCTGTGAGCATCCAGATCTTGGGGGTCCGGAAGACCTTGAGTTTGAGGAACAGGTTACTTCGACTTGCTGAAACCCATTTTCGTAGTTCATTTTGAGCTTCTGATACCTTCAATATCTCCGAGTTCAGAAAGCTGTCAGGTCTATATTTGTTTTTGCTTGTGTCAGCATGTAGTCTAAGACCGGTCTTGTAGACAATCTATGTGGAGGTCCGAATATATTCGAAATCATCAATTACCTTTTCAGGACCACTCGCTTCCCCTTCGCGGCACTCACGATAATTCCATCTCCAAAATCAATATCAAGAGACACACGCCCAAAACCGCTCGTGAATACGCTTATCCCGGGATTGTAGCTAGATCCACGACGAACTGAGCATTCCGTTAGCTCTGATACCGAGGCATGTTCTTCTAATTCGATATCCCTAATACAGAGTTAGTGGAAAGATGTTGCTGACGCTAAAACTGATTTCGTTGATTTTGGGATCGAAGTATGTAGAGTAGCAAAACTTACGTCAAGAATCGATGTTTATAGTGTCGTGCAGTTGTGGGATTCGCATAGTCTCCCAATATGAGATTACCCAGACATAGAGCGTCAAGGTCTTTCCCCGTCTGGTAAAGGAAGAATGACTTTTCCTCCTTTGGGGACATGTCGACAATATATCGTCAATTGATGATCTTCTCACCCAGAAAAACTATATAATGGTCGTGAAAATGCACCATACTAATGGGGATTATAGGCAAATTCAAAGCTAAGTATGAGGTATCTTGGTCGCTGGCATTGCTTTGCTAGCCTCTCGGACAAGTCCTGCATTCTAAGGCTGAAGACAACAGCAACGCCTCGACGTGCTAACAGGGGGAAAAGCCTTGCTGCCTGCTGGCTGGTTCAGTCTTCACTTATGGAAATAGCCCAACCCTGTTAGCTGAATTACCACCGTTCAATCTTGGTGCTAATTTATTGCTTTCTTATTCTGAAACCGGCAGAGAATAAGCAGCAGTCACCCTGCACATTAGGGCTTCATTCCAATCATTCTGCAAGATAAGCGAGGGGCAGTTAAGCCACACCGGACTAACGAATGACATTAAGATCTGGCCATCAATGCGCATACGGAGTACAATTGTTCAATTTGATCATCTGCCAGTGCCGACCGATGGATATTTTTGCTGGAAAGTGTGTCTTTTTGGTATTTCCATTTACACCGTAGAAAGGCCCTGACCACATTTTAGGTGATCCTCTCTGCTATTTAGTTACTACTATTATCGATTATCTAGTATGTGTATAGCTTTCTTACCTGGTTGGTAAAAGTCTCAACAAAAGATCATACTATAATCTATAACTACATTTCATTACTGTGTTAAGAAGAGCCCATAAATTTGAAGAATAAACGCATGGATTTTGTCCAATTCTGCAGCCCATTCGGCGGCTCCCTTTTTACAGAAGAATACCGTGGAGATATCCGTAAAGGGGACGAAAATCTGAAGCACATTGCCTCTTCACTCAACGGAGACAACGATGAAGATAGCCTGGCAGCACTTATTCTACAGCAGTCATGTCTGTGTATGCTCCGTGGCAATAACGCCGAAGCAATGACACACATTGAGCGACTAGAACAATGCACGAATTTAAGTCCACGATGGAGACTCCGAAAGGAAATATACAGGATACTCTGTGTCACGTTACGCCGCTACCCCCCTATCATTCGCAACATTCCTTCTGATTTTACTCAGCCCTGGGGTGTGAAGGTCCCCATTGTATCGGTGTCAAAAGAATTCTCAGAGGCTTTCGCACAATATAGACGGGATAGCAAAGTCGATGATACAACCACATTTGAATGCCTTTTTCTTTTAGCAGCAATCAATTTCCCGGGCTTCCTTCGCACCGCCCGTGTGCGAAATCCAAACTACCCGACCGGGAAGGGAGGCAGAATATATCAAGAAATGAAAGAGAAGGTGATTGAACGATTCGAAAACTTACAGTGGTTTCAAAAGACATGCGCAAACGCTGGCATGCAGCGACTCAGTCAATATCTCAAGAGGCTCGAGGTGGAGTTGCAATTCGCAATTGGTTCATCGGATAAAGGAATCGACGATCTACGAGCCCTAGAAAGGGAGTATGAACGTTCAGGCGACTGGGCAGGGTGCGCAGCTTGCAAGCTTCTAGAGGCGGATTATGCATTAACATCGCCTTTTTCGACTCCATTTGCCTTCAATCTGATCCCCGTATACTCTGGTAACGCTGGATTCGTGTCTCAAGTATGGGATGAAACTGAAGACAAGCTTTCTCTTTTGGAGAGTGATGAGTTGTCACAGAAGCTGCTCCAACAAGCACACGATCTTTTCCAAAAGAGCGACTCACCAAGAGGTCGCGCTGCTGTTAGATTACGTCAAGGCTGTATCGAGCATATGAAGTGTTATTCGTCGGCATGCACGCCAAATGAAAGAACGGGGTTTCTCCAAGCGGCAAAGGAACACTTCACTGATGCCTTGCATCTATTTGATCTCGACGAGGTCCATTGTCAAATTGTGCGAGGTCATCAAATGATGCTATTGATTAGTGGCCACGAAGACATGAAGACGGTGACTTCTCTCGCAAGAGAAATTGGTTCATGGGGCATCAGGTCCAATAATGAGGGAATTTCGGAATTCATCGGGTCACTTCTCATCAGATTTGGTCGGCGTTTATTATATCAGTCCGAAGTGAATAAGGCCTTGATGTGCTTCGAAGCTGCGCGGGAATGTTTCTCTGCGATGGAGGAGCAATATGGTACATTCCAGGCCATGATCTCTACCATAACAGTTCACAGTCTGACACAAAATAACCTACACGCACGTTACCTGATTGAACATCAGACGGAAAGCTTCTACGCACTGCTCAATTACTTTGACGGACTATGCGACTCAGACCCCTTGTATAAAGGTTTCCGTACGACGAAGGTAAACGTTATTATTAGCTATGACTCCGTTGTCAGTCCAGTATACAGAAATCTCGGTGATTTCGAAGCCCTGAAGAAGTGGAGAGCAGAGGTGAAACAATTGCTAAAGAAGGACAATATGACGATGACGTTCGGGTTTCGTGAAGCGCTCGGTGATCCTTTCTTAAACAACTACTTTGGAAAAGCAGGCCACTCATTGGTGACAGTCAGTAGTAGTTGGGCTTCATCATCTTTCAACTTTTTTCATTCGGCTCCAACTCTCGTCAAACGCTTTGTAAACTTAGTGTTATCTTATCTTACAGGTCGCAGTGGCAGCAGCAGTAAGGAAGATGTGTCTGAACCTGAGCCAAAGGAAGAAACATTTTTTGACAAACTGCATCGCGCTCACTCTATCATGGATGACTACTCAATTACGATCGGTCGCTATCGTGATTTGATTTTGACTGCTAATGTCGATGAAGCTGAGCATGTTCTCCGCTCGTTTTATGCCTCTTTAGTGTCCATGACCCCAACATTTTCTACTAAGGTGGCAGGCATACTCGTAGGAATCGAACTGGGAGACTCAACCATTACTTTCAAGAATCTGGAGATGCTGAATGACGAGGATTTACTCGGAGAATGGACTTTGGATAAATATGCCGCTGTTCATCATACGCAGACGCTATCCTCAAATGCCAATCAGCACTTTCGCAGTCAACCACATTTTGAAAACGCACTATATTTTTGCGTCCTGGCCGGCCAATGGGATAGAGGCTATAAACTTCTCCATATCATTGAATCCACGAACCCGGATTTCTTTGATATTCGGGGTTGGCGCGAGGTTGACATGTGGCATCGCTTTGCGAGTGCTGGCCTGATCGCAGGACGCAAGGGTGAAGTAGAGAAAGGATTTAAGTATTTGTTACAAGCATTGAAGCTGGTTGAGTCTTTCCGTGGTAATATTGGCGACAAGGAAGCTAGACGATCAATGATATCAACGGCTCCTATAATCAACATTACGAACGCTCTCATTTTCTTGTGCTTGGAATGCAGAAAAAGCGATCTGCCGTTAACCCTGATTTCCAACAATAATTTCCAAGATCATTCTCACGCAAGAACCTGGGATGAAAACTTTCTACTTTTTTACGAAAGATCTCGCGCCAGGTCTTTATTGGATTCCTTGAGATTACAGGAACTGGGAGAGAGATTGACGGCGGCAGAGGATAACACCAATAAAATATACAAACATGCCAAGTTGAGACACCTCCGCTCCCTCGCTATCGAGCATCGAATGCAAGGCATTGAAATGCCAGAAATGGATCAGCAGGAACTGAGCATGCTAGAGAATGAACTTCGACCTGATGATGGCGTTCTTGACTATCAGCAACCCATGCTTTCAATAAGCCTGAACATTGACCCCAAAGATTTGTACGGTGCTATCTCAGATGACGCCCTAGTCATCGCGATTCCATATTCGCTTGAGGCTGTCTATGAACTAGCAATTACAGCAGAGAAAGGAATCTTATTCGCGGAGAAGATAAACATTTTACCGGCACAGTTTCGGAGCTCGGCGATCAGACTATTAAGTTATATTAGGAAGTCAAAAGACGTGACGGTTATGACACAAAATATGACATCTGCTCCTATCAGGGATCTTCTTCAAGAATTATCTGCGGCCATTATTCTTCCAATTCAAGGCTTGATACGCTCGAAACATCATATTATTTTCGTCATGAGCTTCCCTCTGATAGGCTTTCCCGTTGGAGCACTCGCACTAGATGGGAAACCTCTGTGCATACAGAAAGCAATCTCACAAATTCCAAGCCTCTCGTCTCTACTTTATCTCTCAAAACGCTCAGCTGATAAGCCTAGAAAGCCTAGAACATACCAACAAAAGTCACAATTCGTGTCGTCGATCTCAAAAGTGAGTAGTTGGGCCGAATATGAGGCCAAACCAATGGAGCCGCTTCTCCCCATGGCTGGGATAGAGTCCGTCGCCATCTCTCATCTCTTCAATATAGAGCCAATCAAAGCCAACGAGATGGATCGGGAAAAATTTCGCAAGGTGCTGAACGAATCACGGGTTCTACACGTCGCAACACACGGCGTCTTCGAATCTCGATCACCGTGGACGATGAATTTGCTTCTCAAAGAAAAAGTTCGAGCACTTGATTTATTTGAGGCCCAGAGTAATGCGGACCTCGTGGTCTTCTCGGCATGTTCAACCGGGATGGGGACCGTTGTTGGTAATGAGGTGCTTGGTTTCTCACACGTGCTTCTCGAGGCAGGCTGCTCTTCTTATCTCGGGGCTCTTTGGGAAGTTAATGACATTGCAACGATGTTGATGATGGTCTTATTTTTTCGACAGATCCGCCAGTGCCTTGACGACAGAAATAGTAACGTTAGCGCAGCAGAATTATGGAGACTGGCGCTGGAGGACTTTTACAATATGAACCCAAAACGGGCCCGTGGGATTATACAAGACCTGATTCATATATGGAAGAATACAGCTCCTGCCGCAAGACAGCTTGTACAGGGTGGAATGGTCTACCTGAAGAAACTATCGCAGTGCACCAACACAGAGATGGATGAAGCTGTTCATCAAGGCGTGGATGATTCTACAGATCCACTGGATCTCAATTATCAGCATCCATATCTCTATGCTTCATTCGCCCTTATTGGAAACGGGGCGCTTCGACTTCTGCGTTCCGAAGAATGTCGTGTTCAAAGTCCATAGCAGCCCATTGATCTTTACCGGGATATGTTTTAGAACTTCGCTGGATTGGGTTAAAATATTTCTGTGACAATTAAAGGGTAGTAGTAGAATTTCCAAACCCCGGAGTTTATACGTAGCGTGCAGGTAGGAAGCATTTTCTTCGTGTTACCCTTTTAACTTATGCGTTGCTCCGCGGTGTTTCGGTTTTCCAAGATTTGCCCCAATCTTTTGTCACCCCAATACATTTACTTGAGGCAGCAGAAATTGAGACTGCTTCAGACTCCGTGATGGTACCAGTAGTATGTATAAGACGATCTGAGATCTTCCATAGAGTGGTTTTGGATCTGGCATAGCGGGACCCCTTGAAGGCGTGTCAGGCTAAAAATAACCTGGAGATTCCCTCCATGGTCAGCCTTGCGCATATGAATATACTGCAACCAGTACATGTTGTTTGTCGACCTGCTTGTCTCATATAATAACGCCCCCGTAGTATTGGCAAGCCCCACAGAGAGATCTGCAACCGAGTATCCCGGGCTCTCTTGCCGAGTTAGGTAAAATGGACAAATTAGGATTAGGATCGTGGTTGAAGTAACAATAACTGCCTCCTGACGTCTGTTACCCCAGCGACTCAAAAAGTAAAGAAATAAACGCTAACAATTAATAAGATTATCGAATTTTGTCAAAAGACTTTAACGATCACAGAATTTAGTCAATGATCAAGTACCATGAATGGTTGATGCCGCCGCAAACTCCCGATTTACGATTTACAATTTACGGTAATTCCTCCAGCAGTAGAATAGCAAAAGAGTGTAAGCACCAGAAGTCGTTCATAGCACATGCGTGAAATCAGATTGAGGTTCTGCGGTGCCCGTGCGGTATGTGGGACGGACTGGGACAGGAACGGTTTGAAGCCATACAAATGATGAAACCCTAACTCGGATACCTGAGACGGGAAGTTTTCGAAGGGTCTGATCCGATGTCACTCAAACAGTAATGGACCCCCTAGAGCCTCAATCGAATTAAAGTCCATATTTAGTGATCGTGTCTTGGGTATATAAACATCTAGGATATTCCTCTTGCTTCCTTTTCTCTCTGCAAGGACAAGCCTGGTGCTTTTCACGACTCAATCTCTTCATATTCTTCTAGTTTCGCCCGTTTGATACGGACTTTTTATCTTCACTCTTTCAACACGACAATTTATACACGTTCATTCGATCCAACCATTCTTGAAATACTTCATACGCAACAATGAAATCCCTCACTATTCTCAGTATCCTTAGCAGTAAATATTCTACCTCCTAGATCTCTCGCTGTTCACTAACACTCCCTGAAGTTGCTCTTACCGCAATTGCCGCTCCTCCATTTGACCCGGCTGGGGCCAAGAATGTTGGCAACGGACATGGCCAACAGTTTATTGGAGGCCAATGCCTAAGCGACGCTGATTGTGGCAGCGGTTGCTGCGCCAATCCCACCGGTATCTGCTCTGGGCCCGGTGCGCAGTTTCAGAACGGAAAGACAGGCTGCGGCTTTCCAGGCGCCTCTACTTCAACTACCAGTGTTGCTGCTGCTGCCGTTGCTTCTGCTGCCGCTACCTCTGCTGTCCCCGCCGGAGCCTTGGCTTCTCCAGCTAACGGAGGCCCGTCATTCGACCCGTCAGGAGTGAAGAATGTTGGCAACGGAAAAGGTCTTCAGTTTATTGGAGGTCAGTGCCTTAGTACTGCGGACTGCGCCAGTGGATGCTGTGCTGGCCCATCTGGTATTTGCTCCGGCCCAGGTGCACAGTTTCAGAACGGAAAGACTGGCTGTGGCTTTGCTTCATAGTGAAAAACTCGTTCGGACTGGTGCAAGGGGTGATAGGCGGAGGATCTACCACGTGGTAGATGTGTGCTTGGGTTTTTGGTGTTTGCTTTGGGTGCTGTACAAAAGGGTTGGAAATTAGTACTAGGATGTACAACTAGGTTCTTTGCATAACTGCTATATTAGTACATGAAGCTGTAGGAGGAATAAATCTTATAAGAAACGGATTTCTGCATGATGATCGACTATTAAGATAGCTGATATGGTGCTAGTTCAGCTCTATGATTGAAACAGACTTGTGTTAGCTAGGAAAAAATCAGTGAAATATAGAAAATTTTCTAGGAGCCATCTAGCTGGTGCAGCTCAATTGCGGATTCCCATACGCTGCTTGAGCACAAATTATTTTGCATTTACAATAGATTGAAATATACTCGGCATGATGATGGTGCTTTATTCGTAATTGAAGGCGTTATAGCGCAGATATCATCATCTAAAATTCACTTGAAAACTTGAACCGAAAAATTGACTTCGAAGCATGGGACTGTGGAACCAGTATCGAATCATTTTTTATTTTATCAGTAAAGCCTTTCCCCGATCTCTCTGGAACAGGATCTATGAGGGATCTATGAGGGGTTTTCTTATTCTGAAGTTCTCCCAGTATGTCAATTATTTTGAGCCTTTGTGGTTGTGCATTGTTGTTTTCTTTCTTCATTTGTATGTGTAGGCTATTCATAAATACTAATCCAACAGTCCATGATAAATTAGAGTCTTCCCCAAAATATAATGCTAGACATTTCCTAGGTCATAGCTAGAACTCGCTACACTAAACCGCGCGCCTAGCCTAACACATATTTAGCATCAAAACTAGGCCTTCATTCCAACTCACATAAATCGTTGTCCACTCGTGCTATCATGAATCATCGAATCATGAAATCGTCCACAATTCTGATTATGATTTCTTCCACACTCAGGACCGGCTTTAATGAACTGAGGTACTCTCCGGAGTAGAATTTAATGTATCCGAAATGCATTTCGGGTTAGTGTCTGGGGTTCCATTCTGTCCTGGATATGTGAGTAACTACAATTCTGCCTGGGTACATTTAGGTTCTATTCCACCTTCCAAGAAGTGGAGAAACATCGAATTGTTGCGTGGATTAGTGTTGGACACAAATATTCAACTCATTCTTGCTGCCTACAGGATGATCATCTCGGGGCCTTCGAAGAAACTTCCCTTCAGGTGATTCATTTATTGCTTGTTTCGGAAATGACTGGTGTTGCTTACTTAGGCTGCCAACTAGGCAACTCGCTATAGCAGAAGGCTGCAGGATGTCTCAGTCATGGTTTGACTGCCATTCAATCTCTGAAAAGATCTTTTTTGTCAAGAATACTTGCATTCCTGTTATATGCACTCGGCAAGAGCCATCCTGAATCATTTGTTGTTCCCGGCTAACGACAATAAACTGGAGCAACATGATCGATTATACTGAGTAAGTTACTAAAAATCAAGCCGGCATTGTATTTGCCTAACATTTTCTGTTAGAATATTTCAATCCCCTCAATTCACCTTCCTGGTGGGCGAGGAAGAGATCCCTCTAACGACCCATACTGCTGTTTTGAAAGGCTTATCAGATCCTATCAATACAATGATCAATAATGGCACAATGAAAGAAGCACTATCCGGGGTAGCGGTCCTTAAAGACGTTGATGTTGATATCTTTACTGCATTCTGCGAATATGCTTATAGCGGCGATTTTGAATTTACTCGCGCTAATCATGTTAATCGAGAATTTGAAATGACTACCGAAGCGACAGGAGACAAAACACAAGCTTTGTCAACAGAAACACGGGTTAAGGCAGATAGATTGGATGAGTCCAAGGATACTGATGATAACGATTGTGACCGCGGCACGGATGATTCCGGTGACTGGGATCTGGAGCTGTGTCTCAACTCAGACGACTTTGAAGACCGTGTATTTATACGGTCTTGGAGATGGGACATACACCTGAAAAGGAATGACTTCATCTTCTGTGTCAGGGTGTACGTCTTTGCAACGAGATATCTTGTTGAACACTTGCGCAACTATTGTTTACAGCATATGCACCACAGACTGTGCGATGCTGATTTGACTGACAAGAATTCACGTAGAATTCTTAATCTTCTCGAGTATACGTATCTTCATACAAGTAGCCAGGAGCCAGGAGCCATGGGGTGAACCCTCGATGCGGGATTTGGTTATGCATTATGTCGCATGCAAATTCAACATTCTGTCGAGTAATGAAGACTTTGGCCGTATTCTGAGATCGAATGCAGAGATTGGCGCAGATTTATTTGTGACGATGACAAAGTGGAGGAGGAGAAAATGCAGATGCAAATGCAAATGTGAATGCTATTGTGGGCTGAGATAAGATGGAACCCAGGAAGTTCTTGAGTTTTTGTTATTGCTAAGAGAAACACGAATGGCTTTCAGGAGAATATAGCTATCAGATATTGCTTCACATTCGTATAATTGAATTCAAAATTGACAGAAAGAGTACTCCCGATGACAGACGATCCTAGAATCCCACAGTATAACGTATATAGCTGGATCGACAACCATCCCAAGGTCTACTTGTAATATAAGCACGGGTTGCCTTCCAGTTGATGAATTATGAATTTTGCCATGACCAGCTACCGCATACTCCGCATACTGTAGCTAAATAGGCTACAAAATGTGTTTTACACTAGTAAAGCGAAGACACACGGCCATACATTGTATACACCGATGAATTTGATTCGCAAAAAGATTAGATATCTAGTCCGAATTTTGATGATAAGGGAGATTTTGGGTATGTTAGAGTGGCGGCTCTCTCATTTTGTTCTCGGGATGATCGAGGAGCTAGAAGCCCGTACCTACATACCGCATACTATAAGATAATAATAGGTTAGAGGACTGGAATAATATGGAGCTAAGTGCTCGAGGTTGATGTAACTCTGACTTATTTTCTTTTGGGATGGTAGGATCATATCACGGTGGCTCAAAATTGTCACTTTCTAACATTTTAGAAGCTTATATCATATACCTTCCCTACAGACGGAGCCGCTGCAGCCTACAGTATTTAACACTTAGCATCTTCCCTTGACAGCCTGGAGAATCTCCGCAATGATGACAATGCCATTTTTTGTTCATTTTTATTATGGTTATATAAACAGAACTGAGGAGCTGAGCGTTTTTTATTGCTCCAGGCTCCACCAAAAGATAACTTTGTTCGAGTATATTTAGTCGTTGGCTAGCTCATGTCGATATTGATGCCAGGCGAGAGGGGACATGAAATGTATGTTTCATTTTTTTATGCATAACAATCTCTCCGTATGACAGTCAGTCTTCTCCATGCGAGCTTGAAAAGTCAGCTTTGTAATGTACTATCTATGGTACCTTTCCCGAACCCATGTCAAAACGTCATTGACCATCAGATTGCTGCCTCAAATATCTTTGTTCTAGCCTTGCTGCCTGGAGAAATGATTATTCCAAGGCATAAAACCAAAGTTCGAATACGCTCAAACTTGGAAATTTTCTTAGTGTTGCCTACCCGAACCTCTGCCTGTAAGTACCGATAACAGCCTAACGCGAGACGCCGCTATTTATTCAAAGATCAGCGACCACACAAATTGTCAAAGTCCAAAATCACTGTTCAGTAAGAAACAAGAACCCTAGTTCAATTAATGCTGTTGTTTAAACAAACAACATTCCATTGACAGAGCAACATGATTGATTATACCGAGTAGGTCAGGGGAGGGTATCCTGTCCAAATAGTCTGCTACTAACATGTCCCTAGAATCCTTCAATCTCCACGCTTCACTTTTCTCGTGGGCAATCAAAGGACCCCACTGACAATCCATACCGCCATCTTGAAAGGTTTATCGGAGCCTTTAGAAGCAATGATCAAGAATGGGGCCATGGAAGAATCTCGTTTCGGGGTCGCAGTCCTAGAAGATATCGATGCTGAGATATTTGCTGCGTTTTGCGAATTTGCTTATACCGGAACCTACGATACTACTTTTCGAAAGTCTTTAACCCAATATCCCCAGCAGTCGAATCAAAAAGTGTGGTTTTCGAACCCAGATTATGAAGATTGGAGGGCTTTGCAGGCTGCCTGGTTAGATACAGACGAGCGATACCATGAAAAAGACAAATATGGTGATCTCGAACTGTGCCTTGAGTACCGGGACTTTTCCAATCGGGAATTCCAGGAAGATTTTAGAAGGATTCGACCAATTCATACGCAGGAGCGGATCTCCCCACTCGTTTTTTATTATTTTGTTGTCAAAGTATACGTCTTTGCAACGAAATATCTCATCGAACCATTACGGCAGTTCTGTTTGGCAGCTCTGCACGAAAGATTACGCGAATACGAGTGTGATGAATTCGATTCAAATGAAGTTCTTGAACTTTTAGAATATACATATGCTAGTACCAGCAATGAAGAGCCAACGGGGCCATCGTTGATGCGGGATCTAGTGATTCATTACGTGGCTTGCAGGTTCACTATTCTCTCCAAGAACGGAGCTTTCACTCGTCTCTTAAAGTCGAATGCAGAAATTGGCACAGATTTATGTATTGCAATGATGAAATGGAAATGCAAAAGGGCAGACTAGGTACATGCTGAAATGGGAGGATCGGTCTGTATTGGTTATCGTGATTGCTTTATCATGTAAGAAGACAAATTATTGAAATCAATTACTTGGTTTTTAGTAGAACATGGCTGGCTGTCCACAATCGATTCAATCTACCTAAGTAGATATAAAGATTACAACTAACCGTGACTTAATGAATATGTAATTAGGTATATGAGAAATTTTGATCCCCCCTCTTCCCAAAATACATCACAATCCGCTGACAATCATCTGGACGATATCGAGCAGAATGCGTCATTCATATAGTCTATTTTGATCCTTAGCTTCATCTACACCTGGGCCTCTCAGCTCATAGTTTTGTGGTGACATATTTCCTTTAACACGTGAACGACTGATTTTCTACGCCTGCTGAAATTAAAATTGTTATCCTTAGGGGTAGTTCAGTGGCATATGAACCTTTCCAAAGCGGGGTAGATTGCAGGGGTTCATTTCTCCTTAATTATCTCTTAGTATCCGGTGACTCATTTTTCCAATATCAACACCTTCTTGGAGGGTTAACCACAATGGAAATTCACACCACGATACCACTAGACAATAGTGGCCGTGGCCCTCTCCGAGTCCCTGGTTTCAACGGCCTCCCAATTCATTATAAACTCAAACCCCAGGGTCGATTTGCGCACGGCGAGCGCGAGTGGCGACAGATGCCCGCGGTGACTGCTCGTGAACGAGCCATGGTAGACTTAATCAACAAAGTGACAGACAAACCCGGTTGGCATCTTGAAATTTTTAACGACGAGTTTGTCGATAGGTGGCGAGATAAAGCCTTCAAGACCAGTTCGCTTATGAGTGAAAAGGCTTGGAGCTGGTGCCTGTCGGAATTGCGTGATAAAGCTATTTACTTTCGCGAAACTCAGCATGTTCGTGTCTTAGATACTGGGTCTTGTATTTGCAAATCTGATAGACTTGATTTGCAGTCACTTGCTGCTTCGTTAAAGTCTGGTGCTACGTCCTTGCTCAATTTTCATTACAATAGTGAGGGTTGGCGGCCTGCATCCGACGATCCAGTGTTGAGTCTTGTTGATCCATCGCTATTTCCTTTGGTCTATGGGAGAAGCCTTGTCTTAGCCGATGAGGGATACGTAGATTTAAAAGACATTTTTGGTTCATACAAAGATGCTACTATCGCACCGGAACATCTCGATCGGCGAATTGAGTCAAGATTGGCTCAGCAGCAAGCTAACCAAGACCAGAGTGATAGTGTACGGATACCCATTTATCAGCCAAATCAGAAGTTCTCTTGCTGGAGCTCCAACCATCAATGGCTTCCTTGCGATGTGGAATTTCTCAATGATACAGGCACAGACATTCGTCTCGTGTCGTACATTAACAACTTGCATCCCGCTCACAAAACACTATATCGAGACGTCGAAAAATTAATTGCTTTTTCAATACCATTGTGGAATGATTGTCTAATTCAAGGAAACCCCGGTCTCAAAGATCCCTTTAACAAAGGACAGTTGGGACTTGTGCCATTGCGAATAGTCACCTACGGTATTGAGTGGGAAAATGAGCTTCCCGACTGGGCTGGAGATTTTAATGTCCCATCAAAAGAGAGGAAGATGATGTACCGCGAGACACGGTAAGATTTATTACGCTTGAGCAAGCTGAAACATCCAAGTGATAAGGATAAGGAGAAAATACGCGAAGTATAGGAAAGACTGGAAAGTCTTCTTGATGTCGCTGAGAAGGAGAAAATGGAACTACCTCCTCTGAACTCACACTTATGGCAGAAGGCTAAAGATTATCTCGAGTTTCCGGAGTACAAAATTGGATTATTAACACCCTTTGCAGCGCCAGAAAACTGGACGGACCAACCTTGGCCTCATATGCTACAGAAGCTAAACCTTTCACTCCACTTCAAGCATCCGGAACCGGGAACAGCATTCACCCACGAAGAGTGGAGGTCTAGAGGAAACACTAACAAGGCAATTATAGACATTGCCAGCGGACGGAAGCTCAGTTATGGTGGCCAGATTAAGAAGCCCATGGTACCTGACTTTCGGCCCTATAAGATTAGTCTACAAGATACATTCCGGAATCAAGGTCTGCAAGTTATTGTTCAGATTGACAGCATTGAGCTCACGCCAGATAATCCAGTCTATCGACCTGGTAGCTGGCAGCTCCCAGGACAGTTAAATGAACACATCGCGGCAATGGCTGTGTTTCCATACGACGTTCAGAATGTTACGACTCCCCGGATTGAGTTCCGCCAGGAGACTCCCATAGACAAGCAGTCCTATAGATGCGATGAGGAACCAGTGGCTCCAGGAGAAAAGATATACTATGATCAACGACTCAAGAGACCACTACAACGATATGGAAGACGTAACTTAGTGGAAATCGATGCTCTCACCCAAATTTTGGGTTTCCCACCTTTACATCTTTATCACGATCACCAGAAAGAATCGGCTTTTCAAAATATCGGATCTGTTGCCGCCCCGCAAGACCGTTTGATCACCTTCCCTAATGTTATGGAGCATCGACTCAGAAAATTTAAACTGGTCAACCCTACTATCACAGGTCATTATCGTGCGGTCAAACTCTACTTAGTAGACCCGCACTATCGAGTCTGTTCAACACGCAATGTMCCACCACAGCAACATGACTGGTGGGCAMAAGCCATGACCCAAAACTTTTTCCATAGATACACCACCATGCCACAGGAGCTTATTGACGAAGTTCTTCAGGCAACAGATGAATGGCCTATGGGCATGCTAGAGGCAAAAGAACACCGCCGGGAAATGATAAAAGAGCATCATTGGAATGAACTAGCGAGGATTAATAGTATGCCTAGATATAATTTTTAGTGGACACCCTCCTTCGACTTCCCATTTCACGCAACAGTCATAACTTCCATAATGACATTTTGGGATTACCAGAATCTAAAATTAGATTAACAGTCCTAACTTGCTTCATGTACATTTAATCAATTCTTAGAAACCCGCAAGCGTCTTGTTTCTTCCAAGACATTTTTCCTTCCTGTTACTCCACGTTAAAGCCAATAATCTCCGCGGCAGAGAAGTCGATCAAGGCTTTGGCTATTGCTTTCATGAACAGTATCTTTCCATTGATCGTCACAGCATCAAATCTATAGTGTATGGCGCATGTTATTGTTCCCACATGTATGATGCGAAGACGATATTGGATAATCGGTATATCAAGGTTACATTGGAAGGAATTTTTCCCCTCAAGTGGCTTTCATAAATCAGCATTGTTGTGTTGGTTGCTTATTTAGTCCCTAAATTAGAGTTTAGGCCTATACTTTCTGCTATCGAGCAGCTGTACAACGACGACGATATCACTCAGGCTGTGGCCTCTTTGGGTTTATCAGTTGCAGGATCTATTTTTTCATTGAGCTTAAGCTTCTTAAAGTTAGGAGCATCCTAATTGAGTACATTAAAGCATTGGCACGAGAATGGTTACGGTCATTAGAACCAACTAGGACTTGTCTCGGCTAGCCCTAAGGGGTCATCGAATTAAGTCCGATATGTCCGGTCACCAGCTACACCAAGTACAACGAGCGCTCAGCTACATACGAACTTCATTATGGACAAAAGAACAAACAAGATATTGGTAGTATGATAATATCCAAAATTGAGAAATTTTTCTGCCATGGGTGCACGACAGGAGGTCGAGATTCACTATGGTTCAATGGCCACAAATCAATTACATCATCATTTTGGTCGTAAGATGTGCACGGGTTAGCAGGTGCATCCATCGCTGAACAATCTACCATCTTTCATTATCGCGGCATAAGATCAGTATTCCCGTATATTTAACACGTCTACTGTAAGCTCTGGCTACGGCTTTAGATCGGTCTGCGAGTTTCGGGATTTTTCACTATCGGCTTTATATTCGGACTTAAGGTGGGTCACAGTCTGGATAGTAGCTTGACTCGATAACTACAAAGACACTGCTGAAGAAACTTGAAAATCATTCCAGATCTGTAATTGAGTCAAACACATCCTCAGAGAATTGTCAAACAAGGAAACACCATGAGCAAACTCCTCACCATCCTCGGCGCCACTGGCAACCAAGGCGGCTCAGTCGCCAACTATGTCGTTGCAGACCCTGTCCTAAGCAAAGAATATTCGATCCGCGCAGTGACTCGTGACTCTAATAAGCCAGCTGCTCAAGCACTAACAGCCAAGGGCATCGAAGTTGTCCAAGGAGACCTCGACGACATTGACTCCATCAAAGCCGCATTCAAGGGTGCGCATACCGTCTTCGCAGTCACCACAACCATTTACGACGACCAATTGAAAGCGCGTGAAGTCCGTCAGGGAAAAGCCCTTGCTGATGCTGCCGTTGAAGCAGGCGTCAAATACTTAATCTGGAGTACTCTGTCCTCACCAACACTAGAATCAAAGGGCAAGTATGCCAAAGTCGAATCGTTCGATTCTAAGTACGAGGTGGAAGAATATATCCGCAGTCTTCCCATCAAAAGTTCCTTTTTCGCGCCGTCGTCATTTATGCAGAATTATGCATCCATGATGGCCCCTCATCCTGTCGGCGATGGCACCTTTGCGATATCAAATGTTATTCGACCAGATACAAAGCTCCCGCATATTGATATCGAGGGTGACACGGGTAAATACATCGGTGCCATCCTAGCTGAACCTGAGAAATTCGAAGGAAAAGTTCTCTCAGCAGCGACTGACTTTTGGAGCCTGGAGGAGGCTGCGCAAATTTTGACACGTCTCAGTGGCGAGACGGTCAAATACAATCAAATTCCGGTCGATGTGTTCAAAGGGTTTCTTCCACCGCACGGTGCCGAGTGTATTACTGAGATGATGCTGTATAGTGAAGATGTTGGTTACTACGGAAGCGAGACAAAGGAAAAGGTGGCTTGGACAGCGAGTGTTGCTCGTGGGAGGCTTACGACTTTGGAAGATTATCTTGCTAAGAATTTGCCAAAGTCTTTGGCATAATCTGTGTATACTGCTAGTAAGTAACAGTACTTCGGCATCTCCACTATATAATTTTCAATTATATGCTTTCCGAGTCGCGGTTCAGTTTCTATTTGACTGGTAGATTATTAGAAATCAAATGAGTCGGATTGTAGTTATTGTACCGTTGAACTCTCTCTATTTTTCCTGCCTCGATTTCATCTCTTCATTCCTCGACCAACTCCAAGTTAACAACTTGCACCCATCCCATCCAGATTCCTCTTAACTTTTCAATGCTTAGATTCACAAAAAAAAACGTTTTTGATACTTTCACATATGTGTACTCTGTGAATGGAAAATCACGACTCACAAGACCAGCAACACGAGCTGTCACACCCAAGCATCCTTTCATATTGAGACGATGGCTACATTGAATGATCAGATAGTGGTTGATCGTCTATAAAAGTAGCCAGGTTGAAACGACTTTCCATTCCCATCAACGGTCTGGAATTATTCTAACGCATATGTATCAGGCGGTTTTCAAACATTTCGCATGTGGCGCGCGTTTCTCTCCTCCAATTTCGAGCCCAACCTAGACCAGAGACAGTACAATTCTTACAAAACGCTTCAAATCCAGATTTCGACGATACCAACTCGCCTGACGACGGTTTATCTTGCGATACACGAATATGACCCCTCCACTCCTCCGTCTCCTTGAATCCATTCTCATCGACTCTCGCGATGAAAGCAACTCCAGGGAAGTTATTACCATGGCGCAATCAATGGGCCTCTTCCTGAACATGATAGAAGGCATGGGTCTTTACGCGTTTGGGGCAGTTGACGACGATTTTCTCTTATCGTTCTATCCCGCTGATCGTCCGCTTACCAACCACGCCATCATCAAGATCATATACCCAGAGGCCATCGAGAAGGAGAAAAGAATGAGAATTAGCCATATCACTTCAACACAGCCGTCGAGATGGACAACGACAACGTGGGATCATACCGCGAAAATGATTATTCACAAACTCGACCAGATGGGCATTGATTGGGCGGCCGTTGAATGCTTCCAGAGCGAGGGCGAAAGGGCGGGTGTGAGGTGCACTGAGATAACGGTGGTTATAACTGTCTACGCCTTGCCGATGATCAATTGGGTGTTTCTGAAACTAATCCATGATATCCATGCGATGACGGAAGCTCGTGTTGAGATATGCGTTGGCAAGCTAGTGAGACATGATGGTATGGTGGTTGATACTTTTACGGATCAGACGTTTCTACCACCTGGAAGTAATGTCTCGTTCCACTATGTGGTTGGGGAGTTCTCTGGTGGGATAATTGGGGGCATCATAGAGCTGGTTGATGGTGATGGTACATGTCAAAAACTATGTGCATTGACTTGCCGGTCTTATCTGCCATCAACAATGCTTGTACAGGACGTCGATTCTGGTCTAGGTATGTTCTCTGAGTGAATCGAAATTTTCGTAAATGATACTGATCGAAAATGACTTGCAGGTTCAAGCCGTACACCATTACAGCAATATGGAACCATCACCTGTTCATATCCCAGCAATCATTCGTGGTTCCAACATGTCTCTGATGCCTCAAGAGAATTAAAATGGCTTCACAACGTGATCGAAGGGATCGAAAGGGACTGGATAGCGGATTGTGGGCCGCATTTTATGTCTCACCAACGAGCCTATTTACAGTCCAAGAAAGACGAAGCACACAAGATGAAGCAGATTATCTCCGATGATAGTCTCAGTATCGGCACAGTCTGCGCATTTTCAGGCACACGCATATCTCACAATCATCATCTCGACTGGGCACTCGTTGATTTGGAGGGAGCCCGGGACCAACTTGAGAGTGTAAATATGATTCGAGAGTCGTTGTCATTCGACCAAATCAAAATGCCGCCAACCAGCACGGAAACACTCAAACCCGGCTCCGCTGTCTACAAAGCGAAATACCCGGATCTCACGGGAGGTCACGTCAGCTATACAAAAAGCTATGTGCGTTACAAAGATCAGGAAAGTGATAAGGTCATAGTCGCCGCTGAATGGGCAGTTATCCCAGCCCGGAATCACCAACGATTCAGTGAGCCCAAGGACTGCGGTGCGTGGGTCATAGATCTTGTTAACAATACAGTTGTTGGGGTGATATATGCCTTGAACACTGCAACTGGGGTGGCGTATGTTACTCAAATACAGGAGATATTTGATGATATTGAAAAGGATACAGGGCTGACCGTGCGTTTACCGAAGGGAGTTGGGTGTTAGGTTGAAGTATGCATGTTTCTTTAGGAATGTCACACCAATGGTGTACGATACTATGTGTTTGATTACCAATACACATGATCGAAGATTACAATGCACAATTCGGACATTACGAGATATATTCGAAAGCTTTTCATGCTAGTAGTGGCCACACCAAAAAAAGGTAATGTCCAAAGTAAGAGTATTGGAGACCTCACATAGAGCCGATTCCTTTCCCCCATAAATGCCAAATGATTTTTTGTTAGAAAGCCTCTGGGTTATTCACTATCTAATCCTTCTGACGGGCTTACCATGTCCTTTTCCCTACTTTTGCCATGCTCGCAGATATAGCGTTAATGGGTTAAGTGGTCAGAACAAATCCATGGAAGCAGCTGCCATGGTTATAACCTGTAGTTTGGTTCTGTCTGTCCGGTAGTGACATATTCAATGCAGAATTGGCAGCTACTTCCGGGATGGGCTGAACGGGTTATTTTCGCTGGCTGGATGATCTCGCCGATCGGGTTGGCGAACGAGTAAGGAAGCAGATAAATTAGGTATGTGAGCAAAGGCTTGAGATACTAATGTTTAAAAAGGGGGGAATGAATTTCAATCAAAGAAAAATCTATTTTAGATTTTCTATCATTCTCATTGCACTGAACTCGTTAACCCCAACACCCCATATTCACCCAAACCTGATACTAATGCCAATAATTCGCCATGCTCGTCCATCGTCACAGTATTGAATCAAGGTGCACGCTACTGATTTATCATGCACTTGCCTAGTCGTTGTCCTTGTTTAGAGACGGTCAAAGTTGATGGGAGTGAAGCCACGAACCTTCTTTGCCTTCAATGACTTGTAGTCTGCATCATTGTCGGCCTTGCGCTTCTCAGTGAAAAGAGCGTCGTCGTCATAGCCGTCGAAAAGATCTTCGTCATCTTCGGCTTCCTCAGCTTCTTCAACTTCATAATATCCATCTTCGTCGTCGTCGTCGTCGTCGTCGTCGTCGTCGTCTTCATCATTCTCGTCCATACCGTCGTCTTCCTCGGCTTCGTCGACAGATTCCTCCTCCTCGTCCGAAGACTCGGCGACATGATGGTTGGCAGCAACGCTTGCGTCGGGGATATGCGTGCCGTTGCAGTGGATGCTGCAGGCTTCCTGAAACTCTCCAAGATCTTTTCCCGCCTTTGCTAGAGCCTCGCATGGTAGAATGTACCGACGGTTGCAGGAGCTGGTCTTATGAAACCAGTAACAGTTGGCGCAGTTTCCGTTGGCGATGTACCCCTGGTCATCCCATGCAATCACGCACTTCCGGAAAGGACCTTTTCCTGCAGCGCACCGGCTACATGGCGCTGTATCGGCAACGGTGCCGTGGGTGTAGATCTTGGCTGCCTTGCGACGATAGCTAGTGTCCAAGGCCTGGGCACGAGGCTCAAGCCACTCCAGATCGCGGACAGGGATGGTAAGGTTTCCGCCACAGCGTGAAAGATCAATACCGGCAATCGGGGTCACCAAGCCTGCTGCAGCAGTCTGGCGACGGCGTCTAGAGGCTTTAGCGTTGGTTTGTTTGGCCATGTTGAGAAATTTCGAAACGTGATTTCTCTAAGAAATGTGGGAATATGTCATTAAACACGTCTGAAATCAATATCTGGTGTTTCCACTGCATACAGCCAGGATATGAGATGAATACGGCTTAGAGATGATACATACCTGAGATTTGACGTTCGTATCTTTGACGAAAATTCTGAAGATTCACTAACCAAAATACGAATTCAGAGATTGTGTGAAGGTAAGAACAGAGGAGAGAACTGGGGGTTATAAATCCTTTTATACTCATGTTAGCGAGGGGATGTGAAGACGGACTTTCCCATCAACCCAGGCACCTGGGCGCAGGGCGCAGGCTACTTACGTCACAATATATGTGGAAGCAAACAAGAGAATACCAAAGAGCACACCGGATCGCCCTATCATTTGTATTGTGTTGTCTGTAAGCTAATTGAGACACGTGAACGTTTGAGTTCTTAATATTCGCTTCTTATTCACCAGTGGGGACCGACGTTGCTTCGCTAAAGATAGGTCGCAGCACAAGAATTTGGATCTGAAGCGCTCTATATAGTTTTATCTTGTTGTTTTGTATCTTCCAGTGGATGTATAGAATATGACTATCACGGCCTCCACGCACTCATATCGGTATCTGTTGAAAATAGCCCATTTAGGCGAAAGGAGCTCGACAGATATTGATGACACTCACACATTACCAGTCGGAGGGCGACCCATCGCTACATCAAGCGTAGAATTTGACAAGTACCTGGGTAAGCCATGCTATAAGTTGCTGGGACTCGTCTGGATAATAGACAATGCATTGACATCTCTCTAGGAGTATAGGGACGAGGAGTCATCCAATATAATAAGTTATCTCATTAATTGTAACTGGCGAACTCCTTGCGGCTCGATCGAGTTGATTTATAATGTAACCGTCAAGATCTGACGGCTCTATCTGCTCATAAGTAATCATTCTCACGTGTATCTTCTCCGTCAATGCTCCTCAAGAGCAAATGTTTCTGCTTGATCTCCTTTTGTTTTCGGCCAATTCTGACCTTCAACCTCTTAATCTTGGCCTTATATTTCTCATTCTCTTTCTAATTTTTCCAGTTTATCAGAAAAATGATGAAACTGTGTGCGATTCTTTTTATGACTGTAATAAGACTATCCAACTCTACGGTCACACTTTGTCAATGTGTTAGGGCTACATTAGATAACCTGTAATGAGTCTTCATCTGTTTTAATAAATTTTTCTAAAAATTAGATCTTTAGACAGGATATAAAATATAATCATAAATACTCTCTAGACTAGGTTCCTAGACAAGACAAGAAATAAGAAGGACATTTTGGATGGTGTTTTGTCTTGATAGGCTTGAATTCAAGCTATTTTCATTTTGTATACGCTTATTTTCACCAATCTAGTCAATCGCAGTCTTATGTGTGCTGTCAAGGACATTCAACGCCCGCTTCTCCGCTTTTCTCTACCAATTCTGTCAATCGCAGTCTTATGTGTGCTGTCGATGACCATACTAGTCGCTTACAGGCTTATGAGTGCTGTCAAGGATATTTAGGACTTTTTTCTTCTGCTTAATCTCCCCCTGCTTTCTGCCAATTCTGGCTTCAAGCTGCCCACGCCACTCCTCAAAAATCTCCATCATCCCCTCACTCTCCTCCAGCCGTGCCCGATCCTTTTAATGGATCAGGCTATCCAGTTCATCGGTGAGGCTTTATCGATACCTCAAAGCCAATTCTGGCATCTCTGGTGGTGGCCTTTTTTTTTTTTTTTTTTTTGAGAGCTCACCTCTTTCAACACAACTGTGACTGCCTCATCGAGAGAAAGAAACAGAAATTTCCTAACCAGAAAGACTCAAGCAATTGACACAATGGGAGGGCTTCAGAGTAATATAAACCGACATTTATCTGGCTTCAGAAAAATCGGGGAAAGGTTCTGCTGATAAGGGGTGAGGTCTGCAAAATTCTCGGTGCTTTTGAGACGAAGGAGATTCTGCAACAGAGCGACAATACGTTTGGACTCTGCTTCTCCAGCGCCGAGGGAATGATATCTTCACTGAGTCCGCAAGACTGGACGATGCGTTCCGCAAAGAACTTGGACCACATCAGTTCTTGTAGCTTTGGGTTGGAGTTCTCGGGCATGTTCCATTCTGGCATTACACATTTGGCAGTCTGTTGGCAAAGTTTCACGACTTTGGAGCTCACGTTGCGCTCGATCGAAGTGGTCTGGTCGTTCCGGTTCTTATCGTCATTATCATCCGACGAAGCATCCCTCCTACTCTCTTGCTTTCAATCCTCCATTCATAATGGTAAACGGCCATAGCCTTGGGGATGGCGAGTTTGGTATCGTTTTCCAATTCATTGCAATCTCGTCCGCACAGTACTTTATCACCATCCTTGTTCTGAAGAAGTCCACCGAGATTAATGGCATACCTGCCTCTGGTATGAGCATGTTGTCGACGAACCATTAGTATTCCTCTGTGTCGATTATCTGTTTGAGCCGACGCTCATACCACTTATGCTCGCAATCGAAAAATGGGATTTGATCTTGGTGCTCGAATGAAATGGTGGTTCTTGAGGACACATGTCGTTTGTGTGGTCTAGGATCGATATCGTGCAAAGTGCTTATATGTAGCAGCCAGAAGATAGACCGACGCGCCAAAATCGAGACTGCGCTGGAGGTGGAGTATTTGTGTGGTTGATATAGGTAGATTATGGACGTATTTGCGCATGTCAGGTTTCTCGGATGTACTAGCCATAATCGAAATTCCCATTCAGGTGCTCGTTGTTGAAGGAATTTGGTACAGACTGCACCCCGGCTTCTCTCGTCCGAGCTTTCTTTCCCTTTAGCTGGCTAATGTCCAAACAGCCAAGCTTTAGGTCTGATGATATCTGCGATCGACTCTGTAATTACTTTTTGTGTGTCATACTACTTCAGCGATGGTAATACACCGACAAAGTTCGACCTGTCAAAAGTCTGCGGAAGATGTATTGGGCGATTATGGCGAGCGTGAACATTTCGTCATAACGCACTCCTGTCTCTTTAAGATGATATGAGAACTAGTTTGTTGACCCCTGAGCAGACTTCAAATGCTGGTTAGCCCACATATCATTACAATAGACTGGGGCATAACAAACCATTTGCGACCTACTGCGGTTTTCTCGGCCGCGGTTTTTTTATGTTTTTCACACTTTTGATGCTCTTCAATCTTAGTTTGGCAGCAATTTTGACGACTGTTGAATCCGTACAGAACAAAAGAGTTGATTTGGTGCAGTCTAACGTATTTTCAAAACAATAACGAGAGACTCGGATTTGTTCATTGCTGTCATTATGGTTTGTTGTCCGCGTTGACCGCTAAAACCGCCCAAGGGATGCACGCTGGCACCAACCATTTTCATTGGGCTATTAAACAATTGTCGTAGTCGATGGGATTTCGGAGAGTTTTGGGAAGCTGCTCGATTGTTAGCACGGCACATTTTCGCAGTGGCTCGGCGTTTTACTCACGTTTCTTAGATAGAAGAAGATGATATGTATAGCATACTGAAGCCTTTCCATGGATCAAAAGTATGCATTCAAGTCAGCACTAGAAAGTAGAGACAATACCCTCCAGAATGGCTGTCTAGGATGTCACTATATGAGAGAAGAAGAATATTTTGAAGAAAAGAATCCAGGGAGGATCTGACCAGCTTCTTATATCCCCTCTTGCTAGGCAACAATGTGTTAAGTAGCCAATCATCGACAGTATATATTCACAAAAAAGCCGTTTGACAGAGTGTGTCTGTCTTTCGGGCAATGGGAGAACGCCCGACCACTCATTTCCGTTTGTACCCCCATAATGAAAAGGGGGGAAAGAATGGCATTGTCATCGGGTACATTATCCGGCGGAGGTGCGTGCCAAAATTGGTACCGCGGGGGATCCAAGATACAAAGATGCTACATTGTATTACATACTCTAGGCTGTAACTCCTCAACTGTCTGTTATCGATTTGAAAGAAGATACACAATAACGTTCGACTTAATTTGGTAGTGTGGCGTATGAAAGAGTGGCGATTTCAGCCACCATGGAGTAATTTTCCCTCAAACCCGATGAGATATCTTTATAAGAACAAAGAAAGAAAAAAAGTTCCAGATACATCAATTTCTAGTACTAAGCTCCACGGCATTCCACTCTTCCAGCCTCTCATCATCCCATAGCACATACCCCCATTTCCACTCCCTTCTATTGATAGTCGGATACGAACTGTAATGTCCAGTTCCATTTACCAGCCACAAATCCGGATGTAGCTGCCCCTCCAAACCTGCCCAGTGCCTCGTCCAGCATTTGTTCGGTTTCTCTAATACAGGCAGAGACGTTATGAATCGAGCAAGATCGGCACGTTCGTATCGATCTGCTGGCGAGACAAGTGGTAATTTCTGTTCGTCGTTGAGGCCAGTGACTTCCCATAATTTCGTGGTGAAGACGCTGCGTAGATTGTTGGAGACGGCGATGTGTCGGTCATCGTAAGGTTGTTGGAGGATTTTGTAGAGAAAGTAAGGGCCTATTTCAATCATGGAGTAGCGGAAAGTTATGGCCAAAGACCATGGATCTCCTATTAAATGTCGGTCATTTGTCCAGTGAATGAGTATTGATGAGTGGAACAAACCGCGCAGCTCATAAATCATATGAATTGGAGTCCCTAACGGCAACGTCCCAATCGGCGCATCATCCAGCACATCCGAATTTTGCGTAGACTGATCATCTCTGGTGGAGTTACCAGGTTTGTATCCGTTGATCAGAGCAGTCGTAATCTCCTGAAAAACCTCAATATATTTCGACATGAAGTAATCCAGCAGAGACCCGACTTCTTCAATCTCCCATGGCGGCATTGTGCCCCAAATCAGCCGCCATGCTTGCTCGAGTGTAAAAGTTCGATCCGTCCATTCATTCTCAGATGGTCTTTCCAACCCTGCCGAAAAGGGAGATGAAAATGAAGAAGATGTTGAAGCAGAACAATGCCGACCATACTCCGGCTGTCCAAATATATGACACCACGTTTGAAGCCTATAGAAAGCGCGGAAAAATCTTGCTCGCTCTGTATGCGACAACTTGATCGGTGATGGCCACTTTCGGGCTTTGTGATCCCACCACGCGGGCGCTGGAAGCGTAGCCGCATAATCATCCATGAAATAAATAGCTGATTCATGCATTTTCATCATCTTCATGATCTCGTCGATTGTAAAAGAGTCCGCTTTGAACCTGCAATTTTTGCTCTCTCTTGTCCCCCGACGTCGACAGTCTAACAGATCGATAATCTTGTCGCGGTTGCGGATGTCTTCAGCGATGACGCCCTCGGAGCGCATGGCCACGACGGCTTCGGCCATATCGACTTCGTCATTGTGTTGGCGACGAAGGAGATCGTATAGAATTTGGGACCGGAATTGGGTATATGTTTGAAGGTATTCAGTTGAGGCCTGGTTCAGGGCGTGGATTGATTGAATATTGGGGAGTTGTTGGAAAATGCATATTTTTAATTCGACTGGGAGGCCGTCTAACGTGTTTGTTGCCTAAATCACCTCTATGTTAGTCATGATTGACAAAGAGTCCAGAGTCTGCTCTACCATCGCGTATTTTAAATTATCGTGGCAGAATTTGAATGTGTCGATCTTCGCATTGAACTGGTGATGGTTATCTGCATCCTCTCACCAGCAGTTCTCTGATAGCAGATAGCCCTAACTTTCCGAAACGGGCGACTGATCGGGCGGACTCATGCAGTATTGTTCTTTCTCCAAGTCGAGACTGAGGTCTATAACCTGCTAATAATGATCGTTAGTGTCGTTAAAGAGGATGAAATGAAGGAAACGAGGTTGGAAGGCAGATAAGCGTGCGGGGAAGGTATAACAAATTCAGAAGCTCTTAAACGCTGCGGGCAACGGACTAAGGCATCAAGGCAGCGACTCAATTATCCCGGGCTCCGATTTTGGCCCTTTCAGCCCCTCGCTATTCGATAGGTCAGTCGATATGTTCAACTATGTAGACAATTACATACAGTGAAGAATCCTCACTGTTGTATCACAGCTTAACTATTCAATACACGGGCGCAATTAAATTAATAAGCTAGCTAGATCAGCCCTGTCGGTATTAAATCAATTCGAAGCCAATATGATTCCGTGAAAGTCTTGATGAATGTATTCTATCAAACCAAATTTGACATAGCTTGTAGCAGAATGGAAGTAAAATGAATGAGAAACTCCGACTCCGAGACGTAGGCTGCACAGTTTTAGTCCGCCGCCAGAAAGCGCTTGTTATGCACTAAATGCAGATCAAATGTGTTATGTCTATTCATAGTGATCATCTCGTCTATCTAATTCGCCAGAAAACTAGGGCTCTACTGGCTTAAAGAGAATTATCACCACATATGAAAACCAAGACCTAACTCACACCAGACCAAAAACCCCCGAATACGCATCCGCCACCTCCTCCGGCAACGGCCCGGCTTCAACAATATCCATATTCTGCTGAAGTTGTTCAACCTTCGAGGCGCCTAGCACAATCGCATCACCATACTTAGCATCCAGAATACTGTGGTAAGCAACCCATCGAAGCGCGCCGGCGTGGCCAGAGATTCCGTGTTTGGAGGCGATTTCGACCGCGGCGTCGACGGCGGATATGACGGAGGGTCGGAGATACCATCTTGTGTACAGTTGGCCGATGGGGAGCTTCATTCTTTGGCATCAGATTCTATGGATCCGTACACATGGTGTAATGGGAGTAGAACATACCGTAGTATCGTACCGATTCCCAGGTTCGGTTTTGGTTCTGTGGTTTCCAGAGAATATGCCCGCTGCCGCAGGACTGAATGCATAAAACGCAATTCCATGCTTTCTCAAAACCGGCACAATATCTTTCTCCGCTGCCCTCGCAACAGCATTATAATGCCCCTGATAAACACTCGGCTTCACATACCCATTCTCCTCACAAATCTTAACCACCTTGTCAATCTCTTCAGGCGAATGATTCGACAATCCAAATCGTCGGAATTTACCTTCGACGTACGCTTTATTCATTGCTTCGCATGTCTCCTCAAACGGCGTCGAGCGGTCTGGGTCATGTAAATATTCAATATCGACTTGAGGTAGTTGTAGGGCTGTTAGACTCGCGGTAATGTTGGACGCGATCTTTTCGCGCGTATGCGGCCGGTCACCGCGGGGCATTATCTTTGTACTAATTGCGAAGGATGGTGGATTTTTGTTCTCGTATGATTTCAGGGCCAGGCCGACGAGTGGTTCTCCGGTAAAAGGGGCGTGTGGAGGGTAGTTTCGTGCAGTGTCGAGACTGGTGTAGCCGCGAGCGAAGAAGGCGTCGAAGAGTTCTTTGACGGCTTCCGGGGTGCCGTACCGGGCCATGGGATCTTTTGATTTGTCTCCTACCTGTTATGCTTATTAGCCAGAGTATTAAGAATTGGGGAGACATGGGTACATTTGCAAGGCCTAGGACGAGCTGCGGTGCTTCTTTAGATGGCATATTGACTGCGATGCGGTTGTATCTAAATCGATATCTGAGATACGAATAAATGAAGCTGGAGCTTGAGTTAAATAGACAAAGTACCCCTCTGTACTCCAGCCAATTGGATACTCCGGCAAAGGTTCTTTGTTGAGCTGATGTGCAAGGGTCCGATTGATGCGCCGGCTAGACAGTTACACCAATCGGTCGGTGCGTCGTATGTCGATCAATCGAATGGACATAAGCGGATGGTCCGTTGACTCTTATATTCTAATGACGTCAATGATGAATTTCTAAGCTCAATTCTCTTCATAACATATTTTCCTGAGTTTCCATTGTAACCGGTTGGATTTAGGGTTTAGGGCTCGACATCCGTGCCCTAAACTCCGTACATCGGACGCTCTTCTTTCAAGTATCCGGTCCACGACAGACAAGAAGACAGTACGAAGAAAATTGATCTGATCAAATGTCCTACAATATAAAGATTTAGTTACTACGAAATTAAACTTCCATCTTGATACCTAATGCAAAGCTTGGCTCTGAAATCAAGTTTGCGCGTATATAAAACTTTGGAATCAATGCGAAAACTTTGAAATGGTTAGTATAACGTGGCTTGCACGATCGAACAGTGAAAGAAGAAAATACCTAGGTACATTGGGTTTATTCATCATAACTTTAAAATATATGTTCGATAGTCGCTCCGCTCTGGCTACAAGATAGGAGACGCAATTGATACCTAGGCTTCATGGGTGACGGGGTGTAGAATAGGCCTGGTCTAGGCTATCTCCCATGATTCTAATCCAAATAAAAGTTTAATTAAATTCAAATTTTATGTATGACACGAATCTCAATCAAATGCTCATTATGAAATCCCAAAATTCTTTTTTGGCTATGTTTTACACTAACTTGCTTGATAAGTATTCTGGATCTCGATTACCGTATCCGGTAGGTGGACGCGGACCTAAAACCTCTCCAATTTAACGAGGGGTTGGTCCCACTTCAGTATCGGAGACAGGAACGTTGATAACAAAGCTATTTTTCGACAATAGATCTTACTTGTCATGTTATAATCTTAGTTCTTTGACTTTAGACACATCTGGTGCGCGCACATTTTCATCTTCCAACCACTTGTTTTGTGGTATTACTCTAATCAATCCGAGATTAATCATGTCTTCTGAAGATGTACAAACACAAGACAAGGTGTCAACCAATTGGACGACACTAGTCGCAGAGAAGCAAAAGGAATGCCAACAGAAAATCCCCGAGTCGTGGCGACTCTCACCAGAACACTTGTCGACTTTTACTCGTCCTGGCATCGACCTCATTGCTGCTGATGCTTGCCGAAAATGTGGAATCATGTCAGAGTTGGAGCTGGACATCACAGAAAAGTTCACAGCTACAGAATTGGTACAGCGGCTGGCGACTCGTGAAATCAGCGCCCTGGATGCGACGACCGCTTTTTGTAAGAGAGCGGCCATCGCCCAGCAATTGGTGAATACGCAGTCTACCCACCACGCGGAGAATTCCTTGCTAATATATGTAGACGTCTTGTCTCACTGAAACGTTGTTCCCGGAAGCATTGGCTCGCGCCAAGTTCTTGGACGGGTATATCGAACGTACGGGTAAGGTTATAGGCCCTCTCCATGGGTTACCTGTCAGTGTTAAAGACAGCTTCAATATTGAGGGCGTGCAATCTACTGTCGGGTATGTCTCGTTTCTCGAAAATCCGCCTGCCAAATCAAACTCTGCCTTGATCGACATGCTCTTGGAACTTGGAGCAGTTCTGTATGTGAAGACAAATATTCCCCAGACAATGATGGTATGTTATCATCTCTATTCCACGACAAGAAAACATAATGACAGATGGAACTTTGATACAGACCGGCGACTCGGAGAACAACATATTTGGGCGCACCTTGAACCCTAATAACACAGCTGTGACTGCCGGTGGTTCCAGTGGAGGTGAAGGAGCCTTGGTCGCATTTCGGGGTTCAATTCTAGGAGTAGGGACAGACATTGCTGGATCCATCCGCATACCCGCTCTTTGCTGTGGGGTGTATGGCTTTAAGCCTACTGTTGACCGCATACCATTCGGAGGCCAAACCTCAGGTGCTACAGTGGGACTTCCAGGTCTGATTCCATCCGCTGGACCCCTCGCCCACAACTTGGAAGACATCAAACTCTTCACAAAGACCATCTTGGACTCTCAGCCTTGGAAATACGACGTCACTGCCTTCAGTGTTCCATGGCAGCAGCCTGCCTCGTCGAGCCAGAAATTATTGACGATCGGTGTTCCCCCCGAGGATTCTTCTTTCCCATTGCATCCTCCAGTTCGAAGGGCATTGGAAACCGCTATTGAAGCCCTTGAAAAACAGGGCCACAAAATCATCCGTCTACCCGTTGACGAGAATAGGAGCCTATCATACGGAAATCGAATCGCCTTTCAATACTTCATTTACGGACCTCATGAAGATAACATTTCTCCGAGCGGCGAACCTCTTGTGAAATCAGTCGCAAAGTCTTCTTCTCCCATGTTCACTGGTCCATTCCCAGTCAATCCCGAGGCAGAGTTGGTCGACAAGATTACAGGATTGCATGATGCAAGGCACAGGTTTGCAGACTCATGGAGGAAGACGTGGGTAGAACACAGCCTTGATGTACTTTTGGCACCTGGGTCTCAAAACACTGCTGTACCGCACGACACTTACGGATGGCCACCTTATACAGTTGTATGGAATCTTCTTGATGTGAGTGTTTGTATTTCCGTTACGATAGATAACGCTCTGAGAACACATAATTCTGACAGCTGCTGCTTTCATTAGTACCCTGCATGTGTTATTCCGTTCGGCAAAGTGTCGAAGGATCTCGATCCAACGCCATTCAAAGTAGAGGATGATGTGCAACCCTCGTGTAAGTCATAAGGAAACGATCTTTAGATAGATAAAGCGCTAATAATTTTCTCTGTTCCTTTTTTACAGACGATCCAGAAGCTGTTGATGGCCTTACTTGTGCAATTCAGATTATCGCACCAAAGTTTCAAGATGAGAAATGCTTGTTTGCTGCAGAGATCATTGATCAGGATATTAGAAAATAGTCTGAACAGAAGTCAATGAACAGAATACACAAGTGGTATCATTCGATAGAAATATTAATCTGCATATAAGAATGGAATCTACTGCTAGCCTAGAAATAAAATCCGACTTTCCACACCAATCTTCAATTTCTACGGAATACCTCTATAGACACACCCCGGGTGGCAGGGACTCTGTGTTGCACCTCATACATTTTTACCCATTCGCATTCTTTTGTTAACAAGAGCATCCACCGCCATCAACCACTTCGTCCACAATTTACCATCTCCCATCGCCAAGATTCGCTCCATACGTAAGTAGTTGCGAACTTCTTCATCCTCAGTCTCGGTTTTCAAGCTCTGCTGGCAATTAGGACCCCATACTTTCCATTGACGACTGTTCACTGCAGAATCCTTTGTCTTGCTTGCCCAAGGATCTTCTCCGTTAACAAACCGGATCCAAGAAGCTGCAAAGTCCTTTGCCATAGTGATCTCTTCCGCGCTAAACTCATTTTCCAAGTTTCTAAACAAATAAAGTAACTCATGAGCATGGTAAGCGGTGCCTTCCAATTGGTTTTTGATTCTAGATAATTGGTCGAAATGGTAATGGAAAGTTGACCCGGGCTTTTCCTCGAAGGACAATTTGGCAGTTGCGTAATTAGGGATTTTGAAGACTGCGTCACCGCACATATGTTCCGTTCTTTGGATGAGCTCCTCCTGGCTTAGACCGGGCGTGATTCCGTACTCCGTTAATATCTGCGTCACTGCTTCCTCATCCTGAATCTGTTGCAGCATTGTATGGCGTATGAAGTCATAGGAGTCGTCCACGATATTCAGATGAAATATGACGCCTTCGTGGTAGGTATCCCCGAGCATGAATGTTTGCACCCAAGATGGAGATGGATGGATCTCAAGTGGATCCTTTGCATAGAACCAATTGTCTAAGCAAGCATTGCCAGTGCCAGAGAGAACTCCTTGGATGATTGGTGTTTCGTCCGCTAGCTTTTGCTGCGGGACATCGCGCAATTTATCGAGGGCACTTCGGTCCGCAGGATCTATTCCAAAATGCCTGCACGTTGCTATGAAAAGCTCCTCATGTTGATCCATACTCCACGCCGGAATGGAGACACTGAGGCCCGACATGCATACAGCGCGATGGAAAACAGGGGGACTTGCTGCACACATCTGGTGGCTAATCGATATACCCCCGGCAGACTCCCCAACTGCAGTTACCCGGGTTGCCTCTCCTCCAAAATGATGAATGTATTTTTGTACCCACTGAAATGCGACTTGCTGGTCCGTGAAGCCAAAATTACCACAGCCGGCGAACCCGTCTTGTTCCAATTCACGTTTAATTGATTGACTAGCGAGGAAACCTCCTAGGCCGACACGATAGTTGAAGTTGACGCAAATGATAGGTATACCCAATTCTAAGCTTTGAGATACTAGATTTACCGCATCGAATATGGGAAGATTGGCTCCGCCGTAGAGTAAAGACCCGCCATGCACGTATAACATGACGGGAAGCTTTTTGATAATGGCATCACTAGCCATCGGCACTACGATATTCATCACGAGTCCGTTCAACTCATCCACTTCTGGCTGAATTGGAAAGTGAGTGGCCGGCGGTACTGGGACCAGGTCGTCACTGTCGTCCTCTTCTGATTGCGGATGAGGACAGCTGGGCCTTTAAATGATTGAATTGTCAGTTTAGGTTTTGCGCTGATGAGAAAGCTCAACCTACCCAAGGACTGTTCCGTCATGAAAGTCATCGTTCCATGAAGTCTTTAATGTAGAACGAGTCCATCGCTTTTTAAGAAATGCGTACGGGATGCCACAATATTGTCGAACACCATTAGAGTACTCGAAACCTTTCAGCTTTCCAAGTCCTGCAATATGGGTATAACAGGTCGAAACGGGTGTTTTGAATGACATTTTGGTCGTGGAGACAATTTTAGTCTTATTTCAAGTGAGATATAGAAGTCGTGAAGTACTTGTAAGGTAATTTGCTTGCCGAAAACAGCTGCATTTGTACTTTGATATCCAGATGGATATAATCTAGGCGGATAGATAAAATTATGCCTGGAGATCAATTTAGAGTATACAAATCGTACCAGCAATGAGAAGCAACTCTGCGAACTATTCAGTTTTATTGCATATCAGGACGTAACCCTAAATATTTGAAATTTTGAATATCATTGGCCAGAGCGGATATTGATAACGTGGAATTGAGCTAGAACCATAATGGCAGGTTGACGCGCCTCGGCAATTCCGCCGATTTGACTTTGCCACGAATGGAGTGCCTCGGTTTGATCAACTACACTGATAAATGTCCAGTTCTGGTGTTCAATTCGCATCTTTCCAAACCAAGTATGTCGACCCGTTCTCGTGCCGGCTGCTGGACATGTAAGACAGCCAAGCGCAAATGTGACGGCCAGCGGCCACAATGCTATAACTGCCAGAAACGTGGAGCTGAGTGCGAAGGATACGACGTACGCCTTCGCTGGGGCTCAGGTATTGCATCGCGTGGGCGTTTCACCGGTGCAGACAGGCCAGTCAACGCGTCTGTTCCGCCGCGACCTAAAGGACGTCGACGGGATCTAAGTCGAGAGAGGAAGAGGGCACAGCAGCTGGGGACAGAGCTGGAATTCCATCATCGGAGCCAGTCCTCATGTGACTCAATGATTGATCTTCTTCAGACGCCAGAGGACTGGGGCCCATGGCTGTCGGCTGGAGAGGATCAGGTGAACGAACCCTCTACACCGTCATCTCGCGAACAGCATAAGGAACAATTGCTCTTTCAGGAATGTAATGAAATTGCCCTTCCTCCTCAGATACTATGAATTTGTGGTAACGTCGAGATTTATTCAGTCCTCACGACCGGAATTCACATATTGCATGCATCTACAACCCATGAGATCCAACTTGCTTCAGCCCTTCCACTATTGTGTCGGGAATCTCCAGCTTTATATAAAATCTGTCTGGCGCTCCAATGTTACACACATACTGATCTAAACGCCGATTTTCTGGACTTTTATAATGACGGCCTTATCAAGTTTCGATCGGAGTTGTCGACATCTTCTACAATCGGATTCAGAGAGTCAAATCTAATATCAGGTCTTTTTCTTTGCACTATTGAGGTTAGTGTATGCATTGTTGCAGTTCTTCGTGACTTGTCATTGACTGCAATCACTTAGCTCTTGCGTGGCACACCTTGGACTTTGCATCTTGAAGGAATGTACAAAATACGGCAATCCCAGCAACATCGATCAATGGAGCACAACGATTATGGTCTACTTACGCATCTCATGGAAGTTATGGGCGTGATGGATATGCCTGTATTCATTATCGGACGCCGAACACCTCATCTTAATGTTTGGCGACAACACCGCCAATGCATAGCCGACAAAGTCGACTATAACGAACCCAACGTGGAAGTCGTCAGTGGGCTACCGCATTCGCTTCTTGATCTCTTCGCCGGAATCGGCCATGATACCACTGAGATGGATTTATGGAACTGGCCCGGACAAAAGGGAAGCACACTGCAGTGCCAGCTATGGGAATCGCACCGACTTGCTGGAATCCTGAGTGTTCGAAGATCCCAGAGGCGATCTGGAAGCTTTACTGCCGAGATGCCACAAAMCCAGCCACAACTACCGAATAATGAGATATTGGTCTTGCGTATACTTAGCTCTGTAGAGGCCATCATAACAGCATATGACGCCGCATCAGAAAAATTCGACTCTCTCGTAATAAATGCAATCAATTACCCCCTGCTCACTGCAGGACTTGAGATTGAGGTTCTACGAGATAACCTGGAATACAGAGACCTCATTCGGCATTTCTTCACAGTCTCACAGAGGGGTTACTATGGGAATAAGCTTCTTCAGAGATTATTGGATGATTTGTGGGAGATCGATAATGTTGATTTAGATATAAATGACCTCGCACGGTCGGAGGGAATTGAGACGGGTTTGTTTTGATGTCGAATCACTATATGAAAGCCACACCATAGGATATACAATCAATGAAACTGAGTTCTATTTTACAGCAAGTTTTTCAGCTTCCTTGCACTCCATTGTCTTTGACCATTAGCCAATACTTTACTGTCTTGTGGTCATCGGAAGGCGACTTTGTATCGCCAGCAAGCTCTACATCCTGCACGACGCTGAATCCGAGCTTTTCGTAAAATGGTATGCTGCTCTCACTCGTACATTCCAAGGCAATACATTGATCTTGCGCATATCGAAATATTTCTTGCATAACTAATTTGCCCAAACCGCAGGATTGGAGCAATGGGTGAATGGCAATCACCTCTAGATACCATATTTCAGAACGGCTGTACCGCCGTTTTATCAAATCCAAACCAATGTCATGGGCCGCCATCAATTTCTCCAGCCGCTGATAAGAGAATAAGAAGTTAACAATGTGAGAGCGCAAAGAAAAACACCAAGCGTGCTTACTCACCGAATGCTCAGTTCCTTTGTCAATTGCAGGGTCAATCAAATTGAGGAGCCAGATCTTGCAAATTAGCATTAGGCGACTGAAGCTCCATTTTGTAAATTTTTTTGGAGGATACAAAATGACCACGGCGCCTGAATCTGAGGAATCTGGTGCCTGTATTTCCCCTTTCTTATTGGTAATATCGACAGCGGCGACGTTGACAGCAGAAGATTTTGGGCGATGCTGTTTATTTCTCGGAAACAGCGCCATCTTCTCCTTGATATCTTGTACGGAAGCCGACTGTAAAACTATGCCCTGACATGACGCTTGCTGGATTCGTCGACGCTGCCATTTGCAAGTTTGTGTATCAAGGTGTCCCCAAGGGGGGGCATTAGGTCGGAGCCATTGTATCAAGGGATCGCGGGAAAATGACAAGCTGATGGTATTCGCAGCCGCTGCAATGCTCTTTGGGCCTGTTTGTATCAGAGGACTTTCACACTTTATAGAGGATGGATTAGGGTAACACACTATTGGTGACGTTTAAAAGCTCAACTGTCGCCTGAGAAATAGACATCGTACTTCCCACTTGCTTAACGGGGTGTATAATGTTTGGCATAGACTGCTTACGCTTGAAAAAAAGACGTAGGATAAATGGATGTCGTAAATTCTGCTTATCGAATTCTAGCGACGAGCAGCTGTTCGATATTTCGATGCATTCAAGGAATAGACAGGGTAATGCATAATTATGGTAGAAAACTGATTTTGCTCTAACTTACTTCTAGTATACGTTATCTTAGAATATCAAGAAATGTCAACATACTAAAACTAAGGTTATCCGCGAACGATTTCTCACCTTTCCTATTACGGCAGGKCGACCCACGATCCTTAAAATCTTCAGATGGGCTGCTAGGTACTCCACTCTACAACGAGTGTGAAAGTCTAGGCAATATTTGTTGAGGAGCCCGAGCTTATCATTCCTGTCTAGCCTGTTGCTATTTCGGGCAGGTAGACGCAGTATCATCTCCAGCGATTACGCATGCTCTCCCTTGCTGATACACCAGGATCAATTCAGTCAAATGATGGTGCTTTTGATAATCGAGAATCACCAACCTCCATGTCTCTCTTATCATCATCAAATCAATAAGTGGGTCTTCCCCGCGTTTTCTTATCATTACATACGCAGAGACATCGACTGTATCTCTATTGTGCTCTCATTCACGGACATGAATCATCTATAAAGATAGCACATTTCCTCTCGTCGCATGCACTCAGCATACTACCTTCATCCCCGCAGTATTCTACTTTCATCATATCTAGAATATCGAGCTCGGACTAACGACGAGAAGAGTATGTCGACCACCATTCCTAATCTCGAGGAAATGGACATGGTTCCCGGGACTTTTCTACTCATTCGCGGTAAGCCGCTCCTGGATACTAAACAAATACTATATCAAATATTAACTTCAGGTGTCTTCCTTGCTCTAAGATGATGGGGAATATGAAGGGCATCATGAAAGAACAATTATGCTGCATCCAGTGCCTTCGGATGATCCAAACGAGCCTTTGGTACGTGCCGTCCGCACAAAGTTTCAAAGCAATTGCTAACCGGCCTAAGAACTGGAGTACCGCCCGCAAAGCGATTAATTTCACATTGGTGCTAGCGGTCACTTGTCTTATCTTTACTGCGTATGTTCAGCCAGATCAAAAAGTATGGGAATTTCGATTGGCTGATTATGAAAACAATCAAGTCTTTCTATTCAAGCAATTTTCTGGCAATTGATGGTCGTCGATCTAGGAGTTACGTACACACAACTAAACTGGGCAATGTCGGTCAATTTTGTCGGTCTCTCGATGGGCTGCGTCCTGTTCATCCCACTGGCTAGAAAATTTGGAAGACGGCCTATTTATCTGTTCTCGACGGCTCTAATGCTGGTTACTTCAGTCTGGCTTGGCCAGATCAAGAGTTTAAGCGAGCTCTATGCGGCAAATCTCCTCCAAGGTTTGGCTGGTGCCACGAATGAATCTATTGTGCAAATCACTGTATGTTTCCAAGCTTCGATACTCAGAGCGTTGAGGCTAACCTCGGAAAATGTGAAAGATTGCGGATCTTTTCTTTGTGCATCATCGTGGAAGAGCGAATGGTCTGTACATGACCATGGTGATGATCGGTGTATGTAGCCCTCGCTTCCGACTCAATCGTATCTAAGTCGCTAAAACATTGGGCAATACTAGAGTTTCCTAACGCCCATGGCGGCCGGAACTCAGGCAGTGAATCAAGGTTGGAGATGGTCCTACCGCACATTATCCATTTTTAATGCTGTTCTATTTGTATTCTTTGCTATCGCATATGAGGAAACGAAGTACTCCAAGATTGTCGACGGTATTGAAACCCCCAGCGAAACTATCGACAATGGAATGCCATCAGGCCAGGACGTTCTTAAGGGCAACCCAGGCAACGATTCAAAAGTCATGACGAGCGAACATCAAATGGCACTCGGCCCATCAACAAACGATCGTGAATTGAACTATACTCGATACACCATGAACCCATGGAGGACAAGGCTAGCACTGTCTACCACGACTTCTGAATCTATATGGCCTCACTATTATCGACCTTTTTATATACTTTTTTGTTTCCCCACGGTCCTCTTCACGGGTTTGCAATACGCCAGTGGCGTGGTTTGGCTAACCATAATGTCTAGCGTGCTAGCAGAAGTCTTCCCATTGCCTCCGTATGAGTTCAATTCAGCGCAAATCGGCTATCTGAGCGTTGGGCCGTTCATTGGAAACTTAATTGGAGCTTTTTACGGTGGCTATATTGGTGACAAATCCATCCTGTTCTTCGCACGACGAAATAAAGGGTATTTCGAGCCCGAGATGCGGCTTTACAACCTGCACTTCCCGGCCGTGTGTCTGTGTGGTGGCTTGATTATGTTTGGAGTAACGATTGCTCGTGTACGTCAAATAACATCAATCCTTTGGTCACCTGATGGAACCTGACTCGTATTAGGGCATGCACTGGATTCTCCCCGTGGTTGGCGGCGGGTTCTTCGGATTTGGTCTCGGGAGTATCAGCGACGCAGCTTTGACCTTGGTAATTGACAGTTACCCTGATGTCAGTAACACAATTTGAACACCTCATGCCGTTGTCCAACGTTACTTACAAATTTTGATTTTTCCACAGATTGTCGGTGATGCATTTACCGGCATTGCCTTCCTCCGAAATGCTATCAGTATCGGGATCCCTTTCGCGATCACACCATGGATGGTACGCGATGGATTATCGAATATGTTCATTGCCTGTGGATTCATCAGTCTGGCGATAAGTGGCCTGTGCATTCCCATGGTCTTCTGGGGCAAGGATTCTCGACGAAAACTAACTCCACTCTATCGAGCAATGGGGGGAAAAGAAATCTGAGTTTTTCAGTACGCACTCACGGTGGTAACAAGTAGCACATAAATTGTGGAATGGAAGCAATATCGAATACCTGCTTTTTTGGGAGGGATACAAAGTTACCAAATATGATTCGCAATGAGTAAAGCTTTTCGGCGGTATAAATTCCGCATTTCTAGCACACAAATACCTAATCAGAAATTATACCATTCCTCTATTTTTGAGCTAGATACGAGGAAATATTAATAAGATGTTCTGTTCGGCTCTTTACCAGATAGAGAAAAAAGAAGCGCGCATTCCAGATTTTTCAATTTCGCTTCTTATGAAAACCCAAGGTTCATTCTGGAATTTTACATCAGCAGCCGTAGGGGGCACTAATCACATACACAGCCGTTCGCAGCAAGCTGTGACCGAGTGATGCGAGGGCAGACAGCTTGTACACTGAAACGTAGGTAATATAGTAGGAAGAAATCATAATTTCTAAATATAAGGAACCTAGTTATAGAATCGACGGAGTCTCTCCCATCTTTCGTGCACAAAATACATTCTAATATCTAGACCATAATTCTTTTGGTGATCATGCGACTACATAGAATATAGAAGTCAAAGCTACCTTGGTAACTATATAATTCAACGGACCATCACATCCTCCGGCTTCACTCCTTCAAAATTTGTCAAATAATACGCATCAATAACAATCTTGGTCCCCACGCAGGTCATGACGCCAATACAGACCAACCCATTCAGATAATTATACTTTCCCGGTCCGGTCTCGATGCGTAAGTGAGAGAAGAATTCGACGTCGTCCTGCGTAACGGTATGCTTGGGCCGAATGGCAGGATTTTCCGCTACTTGCTTTGCGTAGTCTGTTCCAGGACCCGGGCGATACAAGCCGTGGGCGCGGATGTAGAGATATTTCCCATCGTCTGTTTTCGCAGTGTAGCGGGCGTCTAAAGTCATAGACTTTTCATCGGTTTTCAATTAACGAACGGCTCAACGGCTTCAAATACGCGATCAAAGAAGGTATTTTATTGGGGTGTAGTTACATGTGTGCCCTGAATGACAGTAGCCCAATCAGCGCCCCCGAGAGGTAAGACGGAAGCTTCAATTCCAGGCCCTTTGATTGTTCCACCTGTAATGTTTGCGACGCTACGGATTGAGCCCGTTCCATGAGGAGCGCCAATATCAATTTCTTCCTCAGCAATGTCACATTCTAATCTGTAGAGAAATGACATAGCCGGCTTCCGCATTAGAGGGGTGTTGGGGAAGTAGTCATTGCCGGGCGAATCTGCTGCCTTCGATGTAGCCATGACCTTTGGCGGTTGATTTATTGTTTCTCGGAGGAAATAAAACTTCGATATTATGAAAGAATGCTTTTTCTATCTCACAGTGAGAAATACCATTGGTATATGTGTTCTTTCTAACACCTACGAAGCATTGAAGCTATATCAAGGTGGGGAACAACTAGGACAAATATGGCAGGKCGACGCTCACGATTCAACCCCAAGCAGATTAGGGCTCGGCTTCTACATCTAGTATGTACATGCGACGAGGCTCAAAGTTTCTGAGATGTAGAACTTACTGGCATAAGATAAGGCTATATGTACATCTTCGTTGGAGTCCGGCGTTCGATTGTCACACTTCATAATATATTTCAATTACGGATTTGCACGCAAACTTTCTACAATGGCTTTTGTACAGCAGCTTCTTTTCAGCCCTTCGCTTTCCGATTCTGACAGGCAAGGTGCTCTAGATCGAATACATGCTGATCCAGGTATCCCAAACCCTGTCTGTACCACCTCATCCTTCTGGTTGAAGAATCCACATCCAACTTTATCTAAGGCACAATCAAAAAGTCTCCCAGAGCAAGCAGAAATCGTCGTTATCGGCTCSGGRATCACAGCAGCATCGGTCGCACATACTTTGCTTGTGAATAAAAATCCGGAAGACTTTAGCTCAATTGCAAAAAAAGTTGTAATTCTTGAAGCCCGAGATTTTTGCAGCGGGGCCACTGGCCGCAATGGAGGACACGTTCTGGAGACTGCGGATGACTATATGGAGCTAGAAGAGACGTTTGGACCAGATACTGCCAAATCAATCATGAAATTTCGCCTTTCCCATCTTCAGACCATCTTGGGTGTCGCCGATAAGCTAGGAATCGCCGAGTCATCCCAGGCGCGTAAAGTACAATTCCTCAGCGTTTACTTTGAGGAGGAAACTTGGGCAGCGGCGAAAGAACGACTCAAACGATTCAAGGATGCGATGCCTGAGGATTCCAAAGATTGGGTCATCCATGAAAAGCCACTGCCAAAGAATTTCAAACTTGAAAGTGCTACTGGAGTAATTTCAGGACCAGCGGCAGCCCTGTGGCCATACAGATTCGTTACAGGGGTTTTTGACTCCTTAACTCAGCAATTTCCGAACACACTTTCAATCGAAACGAATACTCCTGTAACAGGGATTACGAAATTATCATCCTCCACGGAAGCTGCTAATCTTTCTTTCACCGTTGAAACCCCTCGAGGAGCAATAAAGTGCCGACATGTCATACACTGCACAAACGGTCATGTAGGCCATCTCGTACCACAATTAAAGGGATGCATATATCCCGTGCGCGGTCAAATGTCCGCTCAAAACCCAGGAGAAGCCTTCCCAGCTTACGGCCAAAAACATTCCTGGTTGATGAACTACGATACTGGCTTTGACTACTTGACTCAGCTCCCTCAAAATGACGGCCTTGGTCTTTCCAATGGTGAGATGATGCTCGGAGGCGGGTTTGCGCAGGGCAGAAAAAGTGGGATTGCCGATTTGGGAATTCCAACCGATGATGAACTCTCCTTGGATTGCAACATTCATCTAAGGGGTGCCTTGCCTGCAATATTCGGCAATCAAAACTGGGGGAAAATTCATCCTGATCCTGTCAAGGCTATGTGGACTGGTACCATGGGTTTCAGTGCTGATGGATTGCCTTGGGTTGGCAAGCTGCCCTTCTCAGATACAAGTAGCAGCAAGGATGAAGACAAAGAAGGACTGACGAAAGGGGCACAATGGATCTCTGCCGGGTACTCTGGGGATGGTATGGTGCAAGCCTGGCTTTGCGGTCAGGCTCTCGGAACAATGATTCTTCAAAACGATACTGAGATTAAAGCGGAAGGCATATTGGACTGGTTTCCTGAGCAGATGCGGGTGACCGAGCAGAGGATCTCGAAGTCGATGCTCCCTCGACATCTCACCCTAGCCCCAAATAAACTTTAGACATCGTCGTTCGACAAGCCTCGCGTTTTGCTTTCTTCTCTTGCCTCATTTATGATCAGCCGAATGACTCAATATCACATTGTTATTGTTTGTGTAAATAGTCTGAAACTGGAACCTGACAAGACATGGAAGATTTACTCGAATTGCTATGTGTCATGCACTACATACATCTATTCATTTGTATCTTTTGACAATAACGAGAGGTTGTTATTGATTAAACAATGTTCTTTACAGCGTCTATATAACGTACATAGCTTCTTTCATAAATACAATGTTGACAGACTAGCCAGCAGATACTGATCTTAACCTTTGTAATTCAACTATTGTGACTTGTCTCCGCTCTCAGAATACCCAATCCAGGATACGCTGCCACCAGTTATCCGGCTTGTGATGCGCGATCACTTCTCCCTCCTGCAAACGGCCCGAATAAAGGTCAATAGTAGCGGCACGAGCAAACTATAAAATCAGTCAGTGTCAAAATATTCGACTCCCTTGGTATTAGTTTTAAAAGACTAACCTTAGTACGGTAAACAAGCTTCCACACAATGATAGGAACAATGAAAATCGGAATTCCAATATACGACGCAAAGAATGACGACGTATCCCAGTTACCCTTTAAGAAAACAGGGAAACCGGCAATTAGCACAATTATGGTCGAACCAACGAATCCAATCCATGCGGCATATGGTTGGAAGGGAGATTTCCATGGAAGGGTGTCTCGACTAATGCCCTGGGCCTTGAGAGCGGCGTGGAAGCGGATATAACAGAACGAAAGCGTAGCCCAGGCGATGAGGCCAGCTACGGTGCTGAGATTCAAAAGCCACGAGAAAGCCTGAGCGGCACCGCCGGAGCCAAGACCTATAGACAAATTAACATCGCGTTTAATATTAAATAAACAGGCTATCTGTTCGGGCAAAGTGAGACCACAGCTTGCGCCTTGCGGCGAAGATTCTGTAAGGCTGGTCTGTGACTTGGGGCCGCAAAACTCCCGAGTTTTATATGAAGGGGGATCATATGAATTAGGATTGAATAACACTTACTCAAATATGCGAATGGCCCAAACAGCCAGGCAGTAATGACTGCAACATATGGAACACCCTGCTTCGTAACTCGTCCAAATACCTGTGGCAGGTAACCATCTGTCGTCATAGCCACAATCATTCGCGACCCGACCCAGCAGTAAGAGTTTCCTGCGGACCAAGCAGAAACCAGAATGCAAGCGTTCACGATGGATGGAAGCGCGGTGATGCCAGCTTCTTTGATAGCGATAACCCAGGGAGAGCTGTTGGCATTCCCGCTACCGGAAACAAGATCAGGGTTGGTGGGGCTGACAATCATTCCGATCAACAATGCACCAAGAACGTAGAAAAGGGCGATGCGATATGTCACTCGTCGAGCGGCTTTGGGGATTGATTCGTGCGGGTCGACGGCTTCGGCTGCTGCGATGACAACGGTCTCAACACCAATGAAACTGAAGGATGCATTGACGAAGGAAGACAAGAATCCAAGAAAGTGACCTGTCGAACCCGTGATTCCGTTGTAATTTGTCCAAGCACCGGGATTGTGCCAGTACCTGAATCCCGTAGTCTGGTGGTTGGGCGCTCCTCCTGCGGTAATGATAATCGCGACGATGAGGAGTCCGAGAAAGCACAGAACCTTGATCGAACCGCTAACGACCTCGACATCGCCATAGAATCTCACGTTTACCAGATTGAAAGCCAGGATCAGGACCAGTCCTACCGTAATGACCACGGCAGGTGTCAAATCCGTCCAGTACGAGACCACCACAGCGGCAGCAGACACTTCGGAAGCAATAGCAATTGTGTAACAATAGCCATACGAAATAGCCAATGAAAACCCAACAGAGGGATCAATAAACCTTGTCGCCCAATGCGGGAACGATCCGGCAGAAGGCAGTAACGTAGCAAGCTCCGCGATGCTCTGCATAACACACCACAGAACCATACCGACAATGATAAAAGCCAACAGCAACCCAGCAGGACCGGCCTTGGCATAAGCAGCACCTGTTCCAACAAACAGACCAGTTCCTATACCCCCACACAGTCCGATCATTTGGATTTGGTAATTCCGGAGACGTCGCTGGGTGGCTCCCCGGCCGCCAACATTGATGGCCAGGTCATGTTTCGGGCCGGACAGCTCGTTGCTCTCATTGTATGCATGCTTCTCCTCGATTTCGGAAGCCATCTTTGATGGACCCTGAAAGTCGATGAAAGAGTCGAACGTTGTCGCGGAGGCTCAATCCTGGGGAACTATGATCTGTTAGGGGTCGATGGAGCAATTATATAAGAAAAATTTGCGCAGCCAAGATGGAGAATAAAGCGTCACGACATCGGCGGACGGCCTTACGCCATAACGCAATGTGGGTTTATTACGTATTGGAAATGAGAAAAAGACCTCAAAGGATCGTTCTTTTTCAGTATGAGAGGTCTTAGGTCGCACTCTTTTGTCGTATCGTTTGAATGAGAAAAATAAGTTGTGATATTAGCTATTTAAGGCGTCTACGAAGTTCATAAGTCCATGATCGATCTGCTAGAAAAAATTTCGAAGCTGCGTTCCAAATATTTGAGGTGGATACCTTGGTGTTTCCACGAGTGGATTACCACACAAGTCATGAAAAAGGAGAATTATAGGCGAATCAAATTGCGACTATGGCTTATATAATGTCGATCACGCAAAAAACGAACTATTTTTGCCACGTTGTGGGTTTAGTGCCCCGTGGATATGCGGGAGAGTCCTTCTGATGCCGGTTGGAGTACGTAGATCCTAAGCATTAGTCAATATCATGTGTCAGATCTTTGTCTTATCCGTATCTATACATTCTCGGCTTAGATATTGAAGCAATTTTGCGGACCCGATCTTGCATGACAATGTGTCTAGACTACTCCGTTCCGTTCGGCACATCCAACACATCCGGTACTAGTACATCAGGGCTAAATATTCATTTAATCTCCAAAGACCTAGCCCCCGAGAGGTATTTCCAAATAAAGTTAGGCATAATAAATATTGATTATTCATTCCAAGCCTCATGTACAGTCGCCAAATCCACCTTCCCAATCTCTTTCAAATAACTCGTGATATCTTCCACCCCTCCCTCCTTTTCCTTCACCGTATACCCATCCCCAAAATACTCAAACCGATTCCTCCTTGCTTCCAGCGACCTCTCAAACACAAAATCCTCCCATCTAGGATCTCTGCTAATCGAAAATCGATGATGGCCCGTTCCCGGCCACCACACCAAGATACGAGATTTTCCTTTGTCTGATTTCAGCCAGCTGGTGCAGGTGTCACTTAGAACTTTGTCGTCGAAGAAGTTGCCTACTATCTCGTTAAAGTCTCTCGTGGCTTCGTGGGATGGGTATATGGCACGGTATCCCTGGCTTTGGACCTTGCGGATTACTTTGGCGATGTATGTTGCTGATGTTTCGCATTGGAGAGGGACGGTGCCGCCTACTCCATATGTTTGTGCCTTTGATAGAGGGTCAATCAGTACCAGTTTATACAAAACACATGACAATTTTCATAAAAATAGACCAACCTGCATGACGGCAAACCAATTCGGCATGTCCGGAGCCATAACCCCAAAATAAGTCTCTGGATACCCAATAGGCCCATCGGAAGCCCAGCGCTCTCTCAAATCAATTCCATTCTTTCCAATGGTCGGAAACCAGGGCAAGAAGCCATTCTGAAACCCCGTAGCGGCAAAAATCGCGTCCACCTGTCGTACCTTACCATCAGCCGTAACCAACCCGTCGCTTGTGGCACACACAATCAGCTGATCAATATATTCGACTTTAGGGCTGGTGACTGCTTCCAAATATCCAGGCGAGGGAGTGAGTCTTTTACAACCGGGCGCATAATCTGGTTTGAGTCGCTCGAACCATTTCTTGTCACCATTTAATCTGCTAAGCATTGTTTCTGTGCATTTTTCTCGTAAACTCTCGTTCTCTGCGCTCCCCGTGACGAAATGTCTCAATCCTCCATGAAGGTTGCTTTCAAGCTCTTGCCTGAAAGCCAAATATGCCTTCTCATCCTGCTCAAATCTCGTTTTTTCATCTTCCGAAAAGACATGTCCACCAGGTGCATCTGCAGTTGCGGTGGGTAGCTTTGTTGAGAATGCCGGCAGAATCCACTGTTTGGAACGGACGTAGTGATCAATATGCCCTGCATCCTTGACTGTATTCGACAATAACTGTTGCCCACTTGCGCCATTACCGATTATAGCAATTCTTTTGCCTTTCCATTCGTAGCTTGTATCCCAGTCTGCCGTATGGCGGTAATGACCTTTGAATTCTGTTCGGATGCCAGGTATCTGTTTCTCGTCCGGCATCTTGGGAACATTCAACCGTCCAGCCGCCGACACAAAAAAGTGCGCTGTTTCGGTAAACGTTTCACCCGTGGCTAGGTTGAGAACGTCAACGGACCATTGGGATGTCTCGTCAACCCATGTTGCACGTGTCACTTGATGTCGAAGACGCAGATGAGGTCTCACGCCATATTTATCAACGACATCTTCATAATAAGAACGGATCTCTGCGCCGCTAGCATAATATTCGGACCAGCGAGGGTTGGGTGCAAATGTTAGTTCTATTGAAATCAGTACCTCCTTGATTACTAACTCTGCTTTGATGTGCTGATGCGCGCATCAGGGGATATTCTGCGATCTGGTCATTTAAGAACTTCCGCGGGTTGACTGCTTGGGCCATAGAGATATGACCCGGAGCAGCATCATCATCATCATATTCATCATTCTCTCTACGCCTCATTTTGAGCCTCTCATATCAGATTTGCAGCATATCCCCTGATGCGTGGGTTAAGGCTACGTACGATAAGCATGACTGGGAACATCACACCGCACTCCAGGATAGCGATTCTGCGTCCATGTACCTCCCTATAAGATCCGATCAGTTTAAATTTCTCTTTCCTGATGTACACAACTTTTGAGTTCCTATAAACTCACCACATTATCATTCTTCTCATACACAACATATTCCACATTCGGCACTTTATTCGAGATAAGAATAGAAGCTGCGATGCCACCAATCCCGGCTCCAACTATGATCACCTACAGTAGGAGCATTGTTAGTATACCGGGATCCCATGCTTGGCGTCCGGTAGATAATATAGTGTCAAGCTTACTTTAACTGGTGGGTGCGGATCGTATGGTCTCTGTCTCGGTCTGTATAGAGGTGGTTCTGGCTTGATTTCCTGGTTTACCGCATCTTCTACAGCCGATACATCAGCCGTGGTAAAGGCGACGTCAACTCGGCCAGGCGCCATTTCTACTTATATTCAAGGTTCGTAAATATGAATACGATCAACAGCGGCGCCAGACACTGAAATAATTTCTGGTAGATTGTTAAATGCAACAACTCGATTACAAAGCAAAGTTTCGTTAAAGAGAAGGCCAACGCAACACAAGATATAGATTCTCAACCCATCAAGTGGTGGTCATGTTGCTTTGTCAAGACATTAGACTAGGGGCAGCACTTACGGAGAGTGTGATTGGAGACTTGAGAAGTTTCCTGGGTAGGGATTTGATTGCGTGATAAGGCACGTTATTTCAGTAATGGATTACTTCTTTACAAAAATTCGCTTATCTGAATTTAAATCAATTGATAATTACTAGTGTTTATACAACACAGAATTTATTGAATATACCTATAAATTCTTGTGTTTGGGTAGAATTCGCCGTGTAATTAGAAAGTAGACATTCCATCAATACTTCATTATGAGGCGATCTTTTGATTCTTATGAATAATCGTGATGCATATGATACAGCTGCTCATGAGACTCATAAGCCCTTGACTGGACGCTTACAACACTATTATCCCAGCGATATTCCTCCGAGAATGGCTCATTATCATCGATCAGATCAATGATTTTATTAAAAGCGCTCGACGGACCAAAAGTCTCCGATAGCGTCGTCGAAAGATCATTGGTCAGAGTTTTCATGCAGTGAGCGGAGGTGATAGACTGAATGCTATTTCTCATCCTTGCTGAAAGAGGTGATAGAGTCGGGGATGGTAGATCTGAAGGAAGCGTTGAAGCCGGCGATAAAATATTATAAGAGGCCGAGGAAGAAATTGAAGACTGGAAAGAGCGCTGCTGAGTCCGATGGTGCTGTACCTCTCTATCGGAGGATACTTTGTGTAGTCGCCAGAAAATGATAGATACCCGCTGTGCTAGTATCCAGTTTGATGGAAATGCATCCAGTATTCGAAGGCACATGGAGACTTCTTCCGTAGTCTTGAAATCATCGTCGGGAATCACACCCTTCTGCCGTTGCAAACAAAAGAGCATTATAGCCGCAATGACTAGTAATCGACCAACTGTTATCCGATTGAATGACAAATGGCCCTGTTCCAATAACACCAGAGCGCAGCGAACATACTGCTGGATCGTACGTCTGAGCTTGACAAGTTGTTTACGGGAAGCCTTGGAGTTGAACAGAGAGGGCGTATAAAGTAAAATGAGCGAACTGTAATAGTTCACGTTGAGCCACGGAATCGTGTTATGTAAAGGTGCCTTTTCATTATCACTATGTGATATTAGGCATCCCTGTGCATACCAGTTGTCAATCTGTAGACGTAGGTCTTTGATGATAATATCGCAATCCGACCTGCTCAAAGCAGCATCCGAGGCTGAGTTCGATAGATGGATACGTTGAAGTATTCTGCCTTCCAACTCTCGTAGGGCAACCACACTCCGAGATACTTGCAGAGTCTCCTTGTAATATCGTAAATCCGACGCCGCAAATTCTTCCAACGTCACGCCGGGGAGAGGTATGTCAATGTTCTCATCGTTGATTGCCACAGGTAGTCCATAGGAAGACGCAACCACTCTGTCAAGCTCAAAACTGCTCCAGAATAGCCGTGCACAGAGTTCTGTTTCCTCGGCTGTAAGGCCACTTTTTTCTGGGCGAAGGGTTCTGCGATGGAGGCCAAGCGATATGATTTGTCTGCCGAGTATACCAGTCAAAACCCAGGGATTCAGTCCGTCTGGGTCGTATAGAGAATACAGAGCCAGCAACAATAAGATCTCAATTGAGCCGACGTTCGCCATCTCCAGGCACTCACAGATTATGCTTTCGTACGGCACAACAAGCTTTGCGACAATCTCCGGTCGGATCTTGTTTGCATGTTTTAGAGCTGCACCACCGATTGCAGCTAACATGTATAACTTTGTCGAAACATGACGACCATTGGCATTCCGAGACTGCCTCAGTACCAGGTCGACCTCTTCCATGGTCTTGATTTTGTTTAAAAAGGGCGATGATTTGTGCACATGGTCGAAATATGCCTTGATGAATACCTTCATATCTACTTCATAAGGGACTTTTCTGGCTGTCGATCCGATACGTTGATGACTTTTTGTCGACGGAGTAGTATCTCTGACGGTAACACTGGCATCCGATGTACTATTTGGTAACATTATCCTCGGTAAGCATTCCTCATCAATGTCCGGAAAAAGATTCTTGATGGCCGGTAAACTGAATTTTGTATGCTGCGACATATCGTTAACCCCGTTGACGGGGAAGAATGGCGATATTGAAATTCCATCGTTCTTTGACTGATCACCCTCTTCTGCTTGCCTCTGCTGCTGATTCGACATGTGACCCTGGACATATCGCGATAACACTTCGACTTCCTTGCGCAACTCTCGAATTTCTGCTGATTGGTCTCGCTCCGGCGGCCACGAGCAGATATAGCCGGCATCGACGCATGCTGTACACTCAGGTAATGTCCTGCAGCATTTTCTTTTCATATGTCTGCAGCGCTTGCAAGCTGAATGAGCTCGTGTATTTGTTGAGATTGATTCTGCTGTGGATTGAGTACCAGCGCCATTAGAAACTTTGTCTGATTAGCAAATTGGAATAAACATGGATTGATTCCCATCTTACTCGCATCAGCAACAGCCGCAGATTCTTTGACATTCCCCTCTATATCCAGTCGCGGTTTCTTATTAGGGGCTACACTCTCCTCCGGAATTACGAGCGGCTGTCGTCGACTCTTCGCGACCCGGAAACGTAGAAAGGACCCATCGCTGTTAGGGAGTGACTTCGGCATTGCAAATCCAATTGACTAGCCACAATGGTCCGTAAGCTTTATCATTTTCTCCATAGGGATGTTTTATTTTGAATCCGGGGGTGTCAAGCGGGAATATGAATTGAAGTTGTGGTCGAACATCAGCATCCGGCATGATGGCGTCTAATCACGACATCCACACTATCATGGCGAGCGGCTACCCTGCTCACCAATGCAAATCCCTCAGCTGAAATGATACAATTGACCGCTTCCACGCCTCGGTTGAATAGATGATTTGTATTGTGATATATCGTATAGCTACTGTCTTACCCTAGTATATGAATAATTGTATGCGAAAAAAATACGAGATCAAATTCGAGTTGTAGCTATCACTTTGTCGCTTTCTCTCGGCTGTCTCATCGCCAGTGTTATCTGCTGCTGTGCAATCAACGCCTTCTGAAAAGCAGCCTCTGCATCATGGTCTTTCATCCCAACCGGATCTCTAGGGCTTGCAATTCTCCTTCTGAGATCTTCATCCGACTCTCCACCTAGTTCGTCAAACGCTCTTCGACGGAGGATTGCTCTCTTTTCTCTGCTTTTATGAACGTCGGCCAGCACTTTTTCGACATGCGGTCGTCGTGTGGCTTCGTGCAAGGCAAAGACTTTTTGGGTTTGTGCAGGCGATACTTGCAGCTGTGGTAACGATAGAGCTAAAACGGTCTCAAACGCACGACTGAGAGCGTATGAATCATCGATCACCAATCCGACGCCGACAGCCCACCACCATACGTATGCGCCGCATCACTCAACAACGTAACACGATCATCAAAACCCCAGTATTTAGCGCATCGCCAGCAATAGTGACGTATCGCCGCACCTCAACTCCTGCAACTGCCAGCCTTCCTACGATCTTTTGAACGGGTGGGTTCAGGTCCTTGAACTTTTCTTAGATTATTGAGAAGTCTGCTGGCTCGTTCGAAAATGGTTCATTGAAAGGGCCTGTTTTGGACTGAGGGTCGACGGCGAAGGACCAGGTCACACCAAAGCCGTTGCAGCCGATGCTCGTGCCGAAGAAAAAGCCTTGTGGTCCGAACTGGTAAATATCAGCATAGAGCATTTAATCGTTGAGAGTAGACAACATCATACAAAATGAGCTGGATTTTGATCGATTTCGTTGATATCCGCGACATTGGCGTAGTCGAGTGTCGTTCAAAGGATCATATCACCGAGCCAATTCAACATGTAACCTGGAACGAAGAACCTCGTAAACCTCTATCGCAGTATAAGCATTCGGACTGACCCTATTCTTTCGTGATAAGAGAGACTCACAGACTTGATTCCATCAGCGGCTACCACAACATCCGCAGAAATCGTCGTACGGTTCTCGAACGTCACGCTCATCGGCTTTTCTCACACCACCGTAACAGTGGAAAGCTCTTTACACAGATAAATGTGCACTTTACTTTTCAGCCTATTCGAGATAGCTTTCTGTAAATCTGTGCGATACATGCGCGCATAATGATGGCGGCGGTCGGGGATGTTGTGATATTCATCTTGGCTCGGTCAAGAGTTCACCTATTTTACAATGCCAATATCAGTCAGGCCATTAACTTTGAAGATGTGCTCAAAACCAAAGAGTGAATTTAAATATCATCGGAAAACAATTCGGATTCCGGTACCAACTTCATCATTCAAAGTTTCTATAGATTGTCTTGCCATTCTGTTCTGGGCACGGCGTACAACCTCGCTTAGGGGTACAACGGGTATATGATTTGCGATGGGACTGCAGTCTGGGGTAGGAGAACTCGGTGGTGTGAATGGGCCGCAGATTTTGAGGTCAAAGTATGCGGCGGATGGATACAAGGGGTCTTATGCTGTCTTTTTGGGAGCTGCGGGGGACTATTTTTTCTTTGATTGTCTTTCGTGGTATCTTACGCACGATCTGACGAGAGACGTGTCTCGTGTTTGGTATGAGAGGAATAGGGTTGAGAATAAGGGCAGACTGTATACACAGGTTGTCAGATTAGTCTAGGGGTGATCGAAGCTGGATTTTTCATAGCGCTGTGCATTTGCAGTAGTGATAAGGTTAAAAACAAATCTAAAGATATGTACTTCCATCATTCATCCTGTTCACTGGAGAACGTGTAGCCGTATAACATACTCCATGTACAGGCCCCAGAAAAGAAGGAACACACCTCCCATCATACCACGTTTAAACCACCATTCGCAATCCGCAATAACCCTCAAATCCACAAGCGCCAACATAGTTGAGAGCGCAAAAGATGAACCGCCGCAACTAATGATGTTGTAAAAAATAGAGTAGTCACTCAGATTCCCAATCTTCCACAGTAAAATCTCAACTATAGCAGTCATTGCCCATAGCCACGTCTTTGGTCGATTTGACATGATCAAAGCCATGGATTTACCTCCGACTTTAGCATCGTCTCGCGCATCTGGGTATGTGTATACCACATTGGCGATTGTGGCAAGGAGCATGAGGACTATGGCGAGGTAAATTGCAGACCAGAAATCTTTCGAGCCTGATGAGGGGTTGACTCCGATGACTTTCAGGGCCATGAACACACTCATTGAGAATCCGAACCCCATGATGAGTTGGGGAAAAGCCGTGAATCGCTTGCCGAATGGGTATATCATCATAATCAGTGTAACAATGACTCCAAGTCCGTGAGATTCTGCGGGTAGATAGAAAAGACCCAATGTCCCATGAAGCAGCAAAACACTACTAAAGTTGAAGGCTTCGTCTGGCGTCAGAGCTCCGCGCGCAACAGGTCGCGAGCTGCGGCGGAAGACGTGTCGATCGTATTCGTAGTCAACGGCATCTTTGAAAGCGCAGAAAGCGTGTCGCATGTAGTATACCCATAGAACAGCTCGACAAGCTTGTGGCAGAAACTCTTTCGGTTGTAAAGGGGGCATTGCAAGGCTCGCGGAAAATATCAACCCAACGCTGTAGAGTAGAACGGCCATCACAGCTCCAATGGGGTCACCGATGCGCGTGAGTTCGAAATATGCGCCCCATGGTATGTCGAGGAATGGAAAGCGGCCGATCAGTTCTTGGTGAGCATAGTAGAGTAACTCTTCAAAGGACATGATGATAAAGGATGTGAGGAGCAGCCAGAAAGTTCAGCATCAGCGGTCAGGTATCAAGACGCGTGGAAGAAGAGGAGATGATGAGATGAAGAAGAAGTGAGGATTGTGAGTCTCGGAAACGAATGAAGAAACATACTGACGGTCGCACCTTCCTCGTTGCACTTTAGTAACGCTGCCTCAGACCATCCGTGCCACGATCTGATGGCAATCCAAGACGATTCTTCGTCAGGTTCATGCAACATATCGGATGTCTTCGTCGAAACCATTGTCAGAACTTATTCTGATCGTTCCTCGGCAGGCAACGGTTGATTATCTCTTGTGGACGAAGAAGAAACACCATGCTGCAATCACGTGCCTCGTCATCTCCTTTGTTCCTTCCCAGTCAGGCCATTTTGTTTGTTTAAGGATACTTACGCCCGGCCTCCCACTGCTTTTCAATTTGACTCTTTTCTCGTCCGGAGACCTCAATTCTTTTTTTATCGTTGGTCGCCATTTTCAAAGCAGTCCATCAATCGCGGAGCCCGGTCGAAAATATGCCGTCGAAACGCCGCGAACAATTGCGCCGAAGTGTATTAAGAACATGAACCGCTAATCCAGAAAAATGTTCCAATCCATATTGTGATCACAGCAATAACAAGATGTGAGCATAGAGATTGGTCTTTCCACTGAGCTTTTGTGTCCCTATTTTTGCAGACCATTCGTCACCTGGACCGACACCTCATCGTGGTACAGAAACCTCGGAATAATGCAAAGCTTCGATGAGCGCACAGTACAATAAGAAATAAATTAGTATCACTCATCGCACGAATGATGATGAGGGACTCTACGACCGCGAAGACCTAGATCACTTTTCGTCGTACCGTGGACGCAAGGGGCAGTCTTGAAATCAATAGTTGCTCCGTTTTAATTTTCGCCAAATGCACAGCGAATGACACCAGGTCCTACTTTCTGAATCATGTGCCAAGTTCAAAGATCAAAGAGAAACAGAGTCGAAGTTCAACTTGTGTGACTAATGAAGGTTTTGAAACGCGTTGCGACGCACTATATAAATTCATTCATAACCTTATTGGGAGACTTTCGCCAATCATCCGTCCTTCAAACCAAACCAAACCAAATCATCAAGCGGCGAATTGTGCGGTTAGCTTAACAAGGTCAAAGCAATTGATTATTGCTACCCTTTCCTGCCAGGGGTGAGGTACGCGTGACCCGTTTCATAATATAGTATTGGCTGGGACGGCAACGGGCACTGACTAACCAGACCGTTGTACTTCATAATCCTCAACGATAGTACGTATCAGCGAAAATACTTCCATGATCCAGTCTCGCAATTATGGTACCTAGACTTGCTATAAGTCACTACGTATATTCTGTGTGTTGTCCCAGGGAGTCCATGATACATATACTATCAGCTACATCTGTCGGGGATTACACCGTTCGATCTGCAAGGGGAACATGTAAACCTATTACCAAGGTGTCCGAAACCAATTTTCCGGTACTACAAAATTTGATATTTAGGTCAAGAACAAACACTCCCCCGCATCTTACTTGCACTCAGGAACCAATCGGAGACGCAAGTAGAATTACTATCCTGCAGGGACAGGATTTGTTCCATGATCTACACCATGCGATTGAAATACATAAAAAGAGGGATCTCCTGTGAACAATGTCGGGCATTTCTGCTTCATCTCCGTATTGTGTTTGTCGTACATCCAACTATTGACACTCTTTGTTTATTACTACGCTCGTTACATTGTTTCATTGCTGGGTCATGCCCTAAGTCCATTCCTTACATCTTTTGGTTGTTTTGATCAACTATCAATTAATCACAATGAGGTCTTTGGCTCTACTTGTAACCGTATTGGCAGTTTCTGCCCGTGCTAATGCTGCATCTGCCGATGACTGGGCCAAGAGGTCGATCTATCAAGTCATCACGGACCGTTATGCGCGGTCTGTCGACTCGACTGGTGACTGCAACATCACCAAATACTGCGGCGGCACCTGGTCCGGACTTGTCGACAAACTGGACTATATCCAAGGGATGGGGTTCACGGCTGTACAAGTCTCGCCAATTCAGGAGAATTTGCCTGAAGATACAATCTACGGAGAGGCGTTTCATGGATACTGGCCTCAAAACCTCTACGGACTCAACGCCCATTTCGGTACAGCCGACGATCTGAAGCATTTGGTTTCCGAACTACACAAACGTGACATGTACCTGATGGTGGATGTCGTGGCAAATGAGCTTGCATACAGCATTGGCGAAACGAATATGACTGCTACTAATTCCACGCTTATCGACTACTCGGTCTTTGCTCCATTCAACCGATCTTCAGATTTCAATCCTTACTGTGCTATCATGGACTGGTCAAATCAAACAGAGTATACAAACTGCTGGCTTGGCTACGAAGGTGTTGCCACACCGCGTATCAAGACGACCGATCCAGCCATTGCCGCGACGCTTGATCAATGGATTGCAGATCTGGTCAGTACTTACAGCATTGATGGTATCAGAATAGACGGGGCAAAACAAATTGAGTCATCTTTCTTTCCTAATTTCACACAAAGCGCCGGCGTTTATGCAATGGGCGAGGTTTATGATGGTGATGCCGAGTTGATGTGTGGCTATCAGAATCTTACCTCCGGACTCGAGAATTATGCTCTATACGGGAAGATCATTGATGCTTTTACGGCTGGKAAAATGGCAGATCTTGTTTCAATGGTAGGAGCGATACGTCAGGCGTGTCATTCACCTCAGTACCTGTCCAACTTCATAGAGAATCAAGACAACCCTCGATTTGCGTCTTTGACTCAAGATATTGCTGTTAGTACCAGGACCTCACATTCCACATGTCTTTATAATATACTGATCATGTTAGCTGGCAAAAAACGCACTCGCATTCACCATCCTTAGTGATGGTATTCCCAAAATGTACTACGGTCAAGAGCAACATTTATCCGGCAACTACTCTCCATACAACCGACAAGCTCTATGGCCTACTCAGTACAATTCGTCCACCGAATTATACAACCTGACAGCAACGTTGAACAAACTGCGGGCTCATGCGATATCGATTGATGATCACTACATCACAAATTGGAGCTCAATCCTCTACACCGATGGATCAACATACGCCACTCGCAAGGGTCCAAACGGCGCACAAATTGTCGCCATACTATCAAATCAGGGCCTACAAGGCGGCGATTATACGCTACAAGTGCCTGGAGTCGCTGATCCGGGGACGAATTTGACGGAAGTGACTTTATGTGAAACTGTTGTCGCTGGTGAGAATGGCACTATCACCGTTCCTATGGGTCAGGGGCAGCCGCGAGTTTATTATCCGACGTTTAATTTAAATGGGTCTGGGTTTTGTGGTTTCAATTCTTCCGCTTCGTTGTCACTGTCATCGAAGGGGTCATCTGGTTCTTCAAATTCGACGTCTTCAGGTGCACCAGCTGCTACATCATCCTTACCACAAGGAGCCGGCATGACTATTCATGCTTCTGGTTGGCTGATTTTGTCAGCTTTGATTTCATCCGCGCTTTATATGCTGTAATCTACCTGACGTGTGTTTTTCGGTACCACTGTCATGTCCAATGTTTCATCCAAAATCTTTCCGCTTCATACGCATATTATGTACTACGATTCTTTAATTTCGCCGCTGATCAACAGTTCTCGCTTCCCTAGCCTCACTCATCTCGCTAAATCCGTGCAAGTACCAACAGGAATAATAATAAATTGATGCTAGTAATGTATGTAGCGACACCAAAACGCCTAGACTAAACCTGATATGGAATAAATACGCGACTTTCCTATTTTAGCACAAGCCCCAACCAAGATCTAGCCCGGAAACAGTTTAGGATCCATGATCCTCGAGGCTTAAACCGACGGATTTCGGCTGTCTAAACCAGATCTAGATATCTGCTAACCGATAAGGAATGATTAGATCGTTCCGCTCATAGCCGGATCGATAAAAGCGCCTCCTTTTGGCATTTGTGTACCTGGGTGGAGAGCCAATTAGCACTAAGCGACAAAGTTGTCGTTCCAGAGATCTCCACAGTGTGTACCTGTCAATTTGCTCGAATCAGCCTCGTCGAGTCAGACTTAGGTATCAAGACTAACCTGAATTATCCCCATACCGCGAGATGAGGCTGAGGCCGTGAGACCTTCACTTTGTGTGACATATGGTGGTTCTCTCCTTTTGGGGCTTTTCTTCGGCGGATTCAGCGCCGCCGCCACATTATTGAGCTTGTCATGTCTCCCCGCTATAGATTCGGCATGGTCCGATCTATCAAAAAGGCTTAGTATGGAGGTCAATCCTTTTTCTTTAAAGTCGGGCTTGGCCTCCTAACTCTATTTCTACACCAGGTTTTGCGTTTTGTCTGTTGCGCTACTATTGTTCAATTGACCGTCTGGATATCATAATCGGATATACAAGCATGGTTTCAAAAACGAGCGCCGCTGTGGCTCTGCTTGCTGGTTCTGCATTGGCGCAGAATGCTACCACCATCTCTGCCACGGGATGTGTTGATACATCTGGAATGACTACCTGTCTCAGCACGGCAGAGACGAAATACGAAAGTTGCATGGCTGCAGCGGGTGGCAGCGATGAGGTCGTTATTGCTTGTCAATGGACAGAATGGGTAGACCAGATGCTTTGCTATCAGGCATCTTGCTGGAATAAGGTACCCCTTCTCTTCTCGCGAAATCACCAATTCTACAAATGACGAGTGCGCTAAGTTTCGACAAAACAGATCTACTCCTGCGAGTATCAATTCCTGGTTTCCGAATACCTTGAGCAACTCACCACGAGCCCCAGCATTCCTTACTACCCAGCTCCTGATAACGCACCTGGCGGTTGTTCGTGCAATCTAGGCGAAGTTTTTACCAATATTACGGCTAGCATCGATGCCGCGGGATCTGCATGCTCAAAATATTCCACAAGTATCTCTAGCGCCCTCGAAACCTGCGAATGTTGCGGGTGGAGTGCTGCCGTATCTGCGTAAGTTTCCCATCGCAACTTAACATTAAAACTACTTACAAGTGCCCTGCTAATTCCGATAGCTTCTACGGAATCTGCCCCGACACTTCCCCCAACGGCCTGGGCATCTCATCCATTGACAACCAAGCCATCAATTTCGAGAAATTCAGCGGCTCCTGCGCAGGACTGACCGCAGATACCTGTGCTCAGTACGGCTTTTACTCCGCCGATAATGGAACATTCTTAGATCCTACCGCTCTACCTGCTGCAGGCACAAACCCTCTATCGACGACAGCGGGACCTTCGTCTCTTACATCGCCGCCGGCTGGAGAGACGATTACCTGGTCATTGAATAGTCAGACATTTACCGTTACTGCTGCGCCGTATAATGCCAAGAATGCTGGGTCGGGTACCACCGCCACAGGCACAGCTGCATCCGCGACTGGAAGTGGTGCCACAGGAACTGCGAGCAAAGGTTCTACCGGCACGACTACCGCTACAGGAACTGTATTGACGGGTCCTGTCAAGACAGGTGCAGCAACAAAGCTCCAGGGCTTCACTGAATCCTGGAACGTGGGATTGCTATCTCTCTTTGGTATGGTGGTTATGTTGTAGTTCGCAATAACATGAATATAGAGCGCTGTTCATCTTTGAATAAAATTAATCTTAACGCTGGTAATATTATCAAGATAACAGATCTACAAAGTCGCATACTCATTCCACGTCTGCCCATCCTCGTCTCTAACAAATATACCTCCCTCAAGTCCATGAGCTAGTCTAGGGCAGGTAATCAACAGGCCTCTCTCCCCATTCAATTTATGTTTTTTCTTGCTCAACCGTCCAGATTCAGGATGACTAGATCTTAATTCTGTGAAATCTTGCCCCTTCAATTTGAAATATGTATCAAAGGCAAAACGTACGGATCGAAACCCTCCCGAAAACACTGTATACGTATTTCGAGGAATTCCATTCAGGATCCTGGATCCGCGAATGACAGCACCGTCGTTGTTTGTTATGATGAAACAGACTTTCATGGGAGGGATTTGAGATAGGCCGACCTCGCAATTGGTACGGAGCCAGGATATAGTCTTTGGACTGGGTACACTTGACTCTGCGAGACTCTGCAGCTTGGTGATTGTATCGTCGATGAATGCTCGTGACTCCTTCAGCTGCATATTTGGGATGCGTGCTGCTAGAACCCCCTCTGTAGTGTAGACAAGGACAACGTCATGTTTTCCGCGGAGTGGAGACATGCGAAATTCGACTTTACGGCCGTTGTTGTTTGTGTCTTTCAGGGAGGTAATCAGCATGGTTCCACCGTCAAGGTCAATGGGTTCGCCGGGCGAGGAGAGTATGAGTTCAGAAAGCTCAGTGTCTGCTTGGCTGTTCGTATTGGCAGGATCAAGCTTGAAGAACAGGATCTTTAGGTCATCAAAGTCATAACCTCGATACGGCGTTCGAGATACTGGGGTGTTCATGGATCTATGGGCGGTTGGCGGGTGATCCCCTTGACTACTCGGCTCGCCGCCTAACATATGGAAGTGTGGTGTTTGAGGCACTGGATCATTCACGAAACTAATGAAATCATCCTCTTCGGCGACCGTCGCTTCTGTAGACCTTTCGAGATCTGAGTATAGCTCTTCTTCATCACTGGGAGAGAGCCATTCTCTTCGCGGAGTTTGAGGCTCCGGAGATTCCACAGCGCCGTTGGAATCTCCAGAACGAGTCCGTGGATTGTCGTTGTTGTAGATCCCGCTTGAACTAGTATCATTGCTATGACCTCGTCCTTGAAAATTTTCATTCAGGGCGTGGAGAAAGTTGAGGAGAACGAAAAGTACAACCAAGATTATCCACATTTTGTCCCATAGGAAGACGCAGAGCAGAAGCGTGGAGTACATTGTGGAAGGGGGTGTCTTCCAGAACCAGTATCCTTTGCTGATGGCCTTATATACCTTAATTCGCTGAAGGCTCTGCCCGTCAATTGAGCTTTTTCTATGCCCATATACAAAGCTATCTACTGATTCTCACATAGACACCTGATTCACGAGTAGGCAATAGCTGGAAAAGTGGATACATGACTGACCTTCTTCATGTTCCATTGTTCACTTATCTTCTTCTAGCAACCTCAAATGTTCACTTTATTGATGGGTCCTTTTTAAATAAGATCCTTCTGTGGTGCAGCAACATCTATGTTGTTAGGAGAGGAGAAATTTATATTCTACGAAACTACCAAAGCAAACTCATCACAGTATGAGCACCAAAAGTTGAATTTCATTGTAAACATCTGAAAAAGTGGTCTGAGCGCCTGGACAATTAGGGCTAGCAACTATACTCCAACAAGACCAAAGAAAGTGAAGATGACCAGCATTATTCACACATCAAAAAGGACCATAACAAAACATTCCAACTGGGAATAATAAAAGGCTTTTTTAAGAATGATTTTCTTTTTTACTTTTTTTTTCGCTTTTGGGTGATAATTGTGAGTGCTCCTTTGTAGGGTTGATCGAGGGAGACATCTGATCAGATTGGTTCGACATCTATTCGCTTGACAAAATTTGTTCAGGAGGACGTGAGTCATGTCTCCAGTCAAGGTCGAGACATACTCATTGAAATCAATCCCAAAGAAGACGTCGCCCCACTATGTCACGAACCTCGACTCTAAGACGGTCAAATTGGCCCTCTTTTCCGAAACGGCCGACTCTGATCCCAAATTCATGGTTCCCAAGGCTTTTTCCCACTGGAGGAACAAAGAAAGCCTGATGACTGAATCTCTTACTGTACACAGTATTGACACCCAAGTCATTGAGGAACTTCTTCGATTTGATTAGGTGTTCTTCATGGTTATCGATATCTTTCTGCACCTCCGCTGTAATCGGCACGATTCGATACATGTACGCCCAAGTCTTCTCCTCGGCGCCAACGACTGGGGTTCTGAAGGTCTTCTCTGCTAGGCCCAACAATGAGAGCCAGTCATTTGTCAAGATTTCGAGGTTGTTGGTGTGCGGAATCCGACCGAATATGATGTGGAATGGAGTGATGACAACTGCAATTTCATCAGGATAACGCGCAAGATTGTCACGGCCGAATGCCCAAATGTTGACTTTGTGCCACCAATTGGATTTCATATCGTAGGACGCTACCAGGACTTGTCCTGAGTACACGGGCGTCTCGCAGTTCTCCTGGTTCATGACTTGGCTATACAGCATGAGTTCGGAATGGGGTTGGCCTTGGTCGGGGAGATCTTCCGACAGTTTGGGATGATGTTCCTACCCATCGAAAATCAAGGTTAGTCAATTCAGTACCTTGAAGAACTGAAGAGCAGGGAGGCAGAACTCACATTAGGCTCCTTGGTGTATTGAGCGAAGCCGGATTCGGTCGCTGTGGCATTTTCGATACGAAGCTGTGGCTGATATTTGTCCGCGCTGCCATGGCACAGCAAAGACTTGCAATAACGTTAGAACAGTTGCTCATGTAAGGAAAGGTGGTTGAGTCTTACAGGTTCAAGCTCCTAGTCAATCCGGCAACCTTAGCATAGCCGTCCACCACGCAAGATTATGATTATGAAGAGGAGACATAAACTTACTTTTCCAGTCTTGTCTCGGCGGCCATTCCAAAATTGCGTGATCTTTTCTTGGACGGTAAGATCAGGAGCGGCGGAGACTTTTCTGCCACGAGCTTTGGCCGAATGCTTGTTGGGTGCTGGATTGGTAGACACGAGCTGGCTGGTGGACGCAGGCACGGTAGGGGGCGCAAGCTGACTAGGAGCTCCAGTCTGGCTGGTAGATGTGAGCTGAGTGGTAGGTGGAGGCGCGGGCTGGTTCATAGATCCTGGCTGCTGAGCAGACGCTGGTTGATTGACAGTTGCAGGCTATATCAAGGTCAAAACAATCATGTCATGCGGGACTGCGAATATCTCACTTACAAGAGCGGGGTTCTGAGTGTTGTTCGCATTCTTTCTTGCACGCTTCTACGCAGCCATCGATCGTCAGCGAAAATTCTTTGCAAATGGACATATACCTCGACCAGAGGTAAAGAATAGTCAGTAGATGGGACTCATACAGCTTGCTTCTTCGCCTCGCTTCGCATTTTTTCCTAGAAGCAAGTCGGTTAATACCCTTCAAATGACAAGAGTCCATCATTTGACGATGGCATTGGAGAACTCACGTCTGCTGCTTTGCCGGCCTGGAGAACTTTCTGAATTGTATCGATTGAGGTTAGTATCTCCTCGTATGATGTTTGTTGTATCAATCGTCAAAGGTCAATGGACTCGTTTGTCGGGGATTCTCACAGCTTTTGTTGCAGCAAACGCCTGTGTAATCGAAAGATGTCAGTATATATTCGACCAAGAATATTAAGAAAGCATAGCGGTAGGTCTCACAGTGCTCTTAGGAGTCAACAACTGCATCTCAATGTTAGTTCGAAATTGTTCTCAATGTTCAATTGTTGTGGGCTGCACTTACCATATGGGAAACGCTAGCGATCTTCAACATCGAACACAGTTGTCAGTATTTATTATGGATCATGGTTGAATAATAGATGGTAGCGTGATCGTCTGTACCTGTAGCATCTTTGCCCTACGTTCTGGGTCCTGAAATGCAGCGAAGGCGTGGTCAGCGAATGCCCGAAAGTCCTTCTCACAAAGCCATCAACGCCCACGTCAACATCGGGGATATACTCACAGGTTCAGCCTCGAAACTTATTCCGGGTGCCTATTTGTTAGGAGAAGTGGTTAGAATGAGGCTGTATCCTCGATGCTGTCGGGTCAATTAAAATCTCACCCATGGTTTGATCTGTTCACACAGGTATAGGGTTTAGCCATGGCTTCAGATCAGTTCGAATTGGGGATGTGAAACAGCTTACAGTACTTTGTGGCGTGCCCCGGTTAGGATTCGCAGTGGGCACAGTCGCATTTGCTTCGACAATAGTATTCGAGGTGGCCACAGGAACATAGTTGGGAAGCTGAAGTATTCACATCATGATTAGTCAATGGTTCCTTCAGGTATTGATCATTGTTCAGCACAAAATGACTTACAGCATTTGCAGTTGCCTCGTTTGCATTCTGAGGGGCGAGGTGTAAGTAATCAGCAGATTGTTGCTGTGAGGGTGAATATCAGTCAACGAGTCCCTCGGATATGAATCGATGCTTCATGGTGAATGACTCACATTCGCACTCGCATCTGCAACGGTTGCTTGACTGAGAGGCTAAAACAATGCCAGTCATGATTAGTTGAAGCCTCTCTCAAATATCAATCATCGCTCAGAATTTGAAGACTCACAGGATTCGGAAAAGCGATCCCGAGCGTATATGCCGAGGAAGCAACAGGGTACTGATATGAGTATTGAAGCTGAACGTGAATATTAGCTGACAATCTTCTCACTTAACACTCATTTCTCGCTCAATGAGATATAACTTACAGCGTTGTGCAACTGTGCCATCTCTTGAGAGGAGTCAGGCTCGGTCCCCTGACTATCAAACTCACCACCAACACCCTCGACCGGCCCAGGATCAGCCACGAGACAAGGTGAGCCAAGGTTTTGAGGGAAATTGAACCTGTTTTCAGGCTCAGGGGTCACTCTTCGAGGTCTAAACTCTGGAATATCCTCGTTGATGTAGTTACCGGGGCTCAAAATGCCCTGTTGATGCTCTGGAATTGGCTCGAAGGAGTATCCTGTGTTGGCCTGCGCAGATTCACGTTGAGGACTAGCGGCAATAGGCTGAAAGTTGCTCAGAGCGCCTGTACGACGTCTGGCTGGACCGTAATGACCTCTGTCTCTGCGTGATGGGGTGTGCAAACCAGTAGAAGAGGGAGAGTAGTCAGACGAAGCAGCACTGGAACTTGCTTGCTGACGAACAGGTGTCGAGACAGTGGCTTKTCCTGCTGGACGGACAGGGCCTGTGGTTACAGCAAAGGGGTAGGCCAGTTGTTCCTGACGAGTTGGTGATTCAGAGGCTGAAGGAGATGCACCAAAAACGTTAGGCATGCCTAGCGACTGAGCGAAGAGTGCTGGGTCAATGTAGTTCTCTGGTTGGACCTCGTTTTGAAGCATGAACGGGTCTTGTGAGCCCCATTCACCCTCCATTTCGGCGAGCATCTCGTCAAAGATGTTACCAGCCTCATCTTCGGCGTTGGTCATCTAAGTATTTTGAGAAGAAAGGTGTCAGCTATCATTTTTGATATGGACATGCATGATACAGTGTCTTGATTCAAGCCAGCCATGCGGACAAGGAGACACGAGCTCTTGTCCTGCTTGGTTTTAGAGAGGGTTGACTTACGATGACATCCTGAGGCTCGCTACTGCTTGGAGGCATGCTGCCATCCATGTCGAATACAGCTAGCAATGGATGTCTTGTAGGGGTGCTCTCGAGTACGTGATTAAAGGTCAAGAACAAGGTGGTTGAGGACAAAAATCGAGGATGAAGACGTCAAAGCAAGTCTGAGAGAGAAGGTGGGAGAAAGAAGAATAATTTTGAAAACTTTTCTCTGTGTGCAGGGCACAAGTGTGTGAAATCGCCATGGCGATGGATGTTGTTGACGCTGGTGTCTCAGCATCGTGAACACAGTAACGTACGCAGATGGGAGGAGAGTCACAAATTTTCACAACTCATCTGATTAAGGCTTTGTTTGTAAGAAGGAGTGTTTTTTGCACTATGTTTAGACTAAAAGTGTGTGAGAATGGAATAATTTGAAGCTTTTCAATGTTATCCGGATAAGTTCATGATAAAAGTGAGATGGTGCAGAAGATGCTACATGTACCCAATTCGGGTCATACTCTCACTTGATATCAAGAATTATCCGACTACAAGTCTCGACTCCATAATGATTATTTATACAAGTGATTAGTTTAGAGGCTCTCATGGTCGTCCGTTAGATTCACAAATGCAAGTAGAGCTTCTCGAATTATCTATACTCGACCTAGTACGACTGGTACGAAAAAGATCCGGATGCCAATATCAACAAGGATAATAGAAATTAAGAGTAAACCTGATCAATGAGTAGATGTCATTTAAAGTGATTGATCGAATTACAGAGGAGAGCATCGATAAGAGCTCTATTGTCAATCATCAATATCCGGCATACCAATCCTCCCCCCAAGCGCCGATATCTGCGACGAAAGTATCCTGTAAATCAATCCTTCCCACCCAATCTTCACCCCCAACGCGTCAGCCATCACATTACAATTAATTATCAATCTCCAACAATACTTCAAATACTTCTGCAACTCCTCCTTATTCCCCGCATGAAACGGATCATCCGGGTACACCAGCCTGCGTTTGACCGTATAATCTGCCTGTTCCATCACATCATCAACCAATTCCGTGGGCAGTCTATTGCTATACAATATGTTTTTAGCAAATGCAACTGCCGCTCCATCCGGCAAGTAGCCAGTAGAATGTTTCTCCGCGTTAAGAAATTCCTGAATCGGCGCTTGACCATACGGAAACTCGACGTTTCCGAATCTACGTCGTTCGTCGGAATTACTAGGGGGCAGATATTTTAGTTCGAAGACGGGATCCATACGAGGCCAGCTATGAAATTGATGGTCGCCTACGCCGAAGAATGCTCTGTGCGGGTACTTTGCTACTTCGGACGTGCAGTTGGACCAGGTACAGAATCGGAGCATCACTTGGTATAGCTTTGTGGATCTGTAGTCTGTCGGCCTGCTTGATGATGATGAGGCAGGGTCCCATAATTCGGGGAAAGAGTACAGGATGTTGAGGGTCAGATAGGCATTTATTGCTGCTTCATAGACGGTATCCCAGCCGGCATCGTGGTCCTACCGTTTGCCATTAATCTCAACATATCTCCAAGTTCTCGAAAAAGGACGGCTCTTACCATGCAATAGCATTGACACTGACTTTCCCAGTTCGCATAATCAACATCCGGGTGCACACAAACACGAAGAATAGGTTCCATCTCTCCATACAAAAGGAGCGTCTTGACCACCTCGATGTTGTAGAATGCCTCTGTATTCGTCGCAAAGAATTGGTAGCAATCATTCGAATAATGCTGTCGCAGGAACGCAGAGGCTTTTCTTTCCCGAAGTGGGATAACGCATCCACATTCAAAGCCTTCTCCATTGTCATGGTTGCATAGTTTTCGGAGTGGTGGTGTTTCCTTCTTGCGTGGTTTTGATGCCAAGTCCCACTCGTAAGTCTCGCGCCATTTGTGTACGAGCGGAGTTATTTTTTGTGTTGTGTCGTCTCCCAGTATCAGATCATCTTTATCTGGTATATCGAATGTATCGGGATACTTCCTCCGCTCGCATGCCGTGTGTTTCTTGATGTTGTTCACAAACGAAGTCACGAAATGGCTGATCTTCTTGTCCTGGTTGTCCTTGAATCGAAAGTAAAGGTTGATTGGCCTCTCTTTGGTAGGCACTTCTGGAGCGTGGACTTTGAGACACGAGGTCAGCGCAACCCAGTAGATGTTGTGTTTTTGATGAGCCATTTTTTAAGATGATATTTCAGCGCACGTCGCGACGAATTTATATCTAGAAATAAGTGAGTCACATCATGTTGGTCGGCGAGATATAGTCAGTCTCAGATCGCGCTAAGCCGGAACTTGGTAGGTTTGTATTGATGTTGGGTAAGTTAGGCAACAGAGCACACACTCGATCTGAACTACATAGTAAATATGTAAAGCTATAGTAACAACAGCTAAACGTTCACAAGTACTACTCAACATTTGATAATCTCAATACCTACATGTAGTGTCAAATAGCCAAATACGGGGGAAGTCCCAAGTCCAGAAGTAGGAAAGCTAGTAATTATATTTTAACCCATAAGCCGACAACACATCCAGTCTGAACGGCATAGCAAATATGTAATATGGTAGTATGTACCTTGCATCGAGATCACGAATTCTGTAGGGCAATAGTGACTGAGTCGAAGCAAAATAGATCAGTGTTGCACCCGGCAGCCATGGATTCTATTTGGGTCTACATAGCCATATATACGTAACTCACAAAACCTAGAAAACAAAAGCCGTGAAGTGTATGGATAAACCCAATTCCAAGACATGTGAATGTATATATCATTCTAATCTATCGTTATACCTAGGCATTCGATCTTCTATGTGCAAGCAATATATACGAACAAAATCACCCAACCATGCCAGTACTCTCTTTAGCCCTTGAGTCAAAGAGGCAAAGAGGAAGCAATCTACAAAAACGCATCAATAACCTTTGCAAACTCCTCCGGCTGCTCCGCCATGGGTAAATGACCCGCGCCCTCGACAATCTTCAACTCCGATTTCCCATCACCATAGTCCTCGGCCATCTTCTTCATCCCTTGCGGTAAGACGCCATCACCACTTCCAACCACAAACAATCCACGGACGGAACCGGTCTTCATTTCTTCGCGCAGGTCGTACGAGTACAATGCTCTGACGCTCTTCTTGAATCCTTCTAGATGGTTAGTGAAAACGTATTGTTTCACTTTCTCAGCGCGCGCTTGTTGGGCACCGCCGTCGTAGCTAGCGGGCACAAACCAGCGTCTCGTAGTAATCTCAGCTAGTTTTTCGCCTACAAGCCTTGCACCTGTTTTCGGGTCTGTGGGTGCGTCGGTTTCGGACTCGGCGAGCGAAATTCGCTCACCCCAGGCGGTCGGGTTACTGGGTGGAGCGAGGGAGTTGGTATCACAAGCGACAAAGTTTGCGACTCTGGTGGGGTATTTGAGTGCTGTATTGAGCGCTGTTGCGCCGCCGAGGCTTACGCCGATTACGGCTGCGGCTTGCGGAACTCGCAGCGCATTGAGGATGGTGATGACGTCCTGGCTCAATAGGTCCATTGTCACGGGTGTTTCGCCTGGATCGCTGGCGCGGCCGCGCGGACGGTAGCGGACGACACGGTATTTCTGGTTTTTGGGGTTGGAGAAGAAGACATCCAAGAACTCGTCCCAGATGCCCCAATCCGAAAGAATGGAATTCACCAAAACGATAAGTGGTGCTTCGGGGTCTGCGCTTCCTTCGAGTTTATAAGGAAGTTGAACCCCATCGGGAGTTGTGATGAACGACTCAATGACCGCTCTCTTATTGCTTGTCGTCGATGCAGCACGTGTCTGCGTCAGACCATCCCTCGACTCAAACGTCGCGGAATACTCCAGGTCCGAAAGAGATGCCAGATCTCTCGGCGCAGGACCAAACGTATAATACCACTCATAAACCCTGCGCACACGCCCAATCACCACATTCGCATAAATATCCCTTGACAGCTCCGTCGAGACCGCAGCCTTCAACTCAGGCCCATCCTGCCCTTCCATACTCGCATATTCATGAATAGCGAGATATTCCTTCTCCTCTGCAGTGGGGTTCAAAACGGAAGAAGTCACAAACCGCCTTGAGCGACGCCATCCAGGGACTTTTTGCAGCAGCGCGATGTGCTCGTCGTTATACCAATGCTCAACTTTGTCTTCTGTGCCCGGCTGGATCTTGAAACACACCGGAATAATTACATATCCCTTTGAATTCGCTGTCTGCACGTCTTCTAATGGTTTGTAGTCATCTGCCTTCCACTCCTTAATCAAATCGAACATCCGTCTCCCCACCGTGATCTGCGCCATGGTCTCCTTCTCGCGCTCGGTCTTGACGCTATCTTCGCGCAGAGTGGTGTATGGCGGGCGCGTGAACTCATCGGAATCCGTAATGTCGTATAATGCAACCCATTCATGTTTTTCCGCGTTGTACGGGCCGGTCTCGTCGTCGCCGTCAATGGCGCGGAAACGGTAGCCATTCGGGAAAAACGGGAGTCGGAGACGGAGGGGTCCATGTTCGTTGTTGTACCAGTCGTGGAATTGGGAAGGGGGCAAGCCTGGTTTGGGCTGCATTGTCACGTAGAGGAGTCCTGCTGTCATTTTGCCGTTCTTCTCTTTCTACAATTGAACAAAATAATTTGGTGTAGGTGTGTAGAAAGAATTAGGATTGATGATGCGGTAGATATTTCTGTAGGCAAAAGTGTGGGGTTAGCTTTCATCCCTCCATGGATAAACGTCGCGTATACACTACTCCGGTTCCTTCTCGACTCGATAGAAAAAGCTACAAAGACCGATCTCTCCCGACTCTCGCTTGTCATCACTGAATTATCTACTCGAGGACGTACCTGTACTTCTATGATTTTGACAAAATCCTGCGAACCTTCACCTCGGGCAAGTCACCGACTATCCCAAAAGACAACCTACGCAAACCCCGCAGTATATATTCGAAAGAAAAACAAAAGTCGTGAGATTTCAAAAGAACTCTAAGAAGACTCGTGACGTTTTATCAATTAATCTAGTATTTATACCAATAGCAGGCACTTTATAGGTTATAAAAATGATTCGCAGACAAGGATGTGATTGGTGCAATTGAGTCTCTCCCGATGTCCCGCGACGATACTAGCCGTTCTCGACTGCCGGGGTTGCCTGAAGGACGCTGGAAATAATTTTCCATATCCCGCGTATTTTCTGCACGACGACATATGATCGGAGCACAAAGTGGGATGGGATGCTGTTGAGCTTAGGGCTGTGGTGCGAGTCGTCGTGGACTCCAAACAAGTGCTACGCATATTGCTTGAAAATGTATCGCCCTGCTCTCATGTAGATTCATAGATAATGGGCTTGACGTAGATACTTCAACATTGTCCATACCCAAAATGTACTTCTTCACCCCTGGCATTACATCAAACTCCCCGCACCCCACGCTCGGCTATTCGTTATCCCGACTTATCACGATAGGGTTAGGGTTGCAATAATGATGAAGATTCAGAGCATCTATTTTTTCAATCACATATACATCATTATGACCGTGACTCCCTAAGCATGCTTCACCATCCAGTTTCTGCGTTCAATAAAGGACAGATATGTATTAGTAAGAATCCAATGAGAGGTATTCTAGAGACATAAGAAATTCAAAATTTTGTATAGATCGTCCAATGCAGAGATATGGGTATATGCAATCCGAATAAAGTTGTTCGTAACGCGTTTCGTTCGTGGCGAATATATCGTATCAACTAGGTGCAAGACCGAGCTGAGCAGGTCTAAAATCCAGGCGTGGCCTATTTATAGATTTCCCCAGCAGACATTGGTCGAGTGGGATGAGAAGAAGACTTCTTGGCGATTGATGACCGTCGAGATGCTGCAGAGCTTGTTCGACCGGATCTTGGCGTGTCGATGAACGGCGATGACCCAGTATATGTGCCATGGTATGACATGTTCGGCCGCTGCGACCAGGAAGTGTAAGACTCGTCGTCACTGTCACTAGGTACAATGAAGTATGTCTCGTCTGCATTCGTCCTCGTCACATTGCTTCTGCTGTTCCGTGGCGACTCCGTCAGACTTTTGGTCTGACCGTGTTTATATTTAGAAACCGGACTAACAGGTCTCTGCAAGCCGGCCAACTCAATTGAAACGGAGCTGTGGGCCTTGCGCAAATCTCCATTGGGTCGTCGGTGGGATGAGGACTGTGTGCTTCTTGCTCTTCCAGCTTCGCTATATGAGCTTCGCCTAGGAAACATATCGGCTCGTTGGTTGCCTTCAGGCAACATGCGCGATTGAGTACCTGTGTATGACAATGATAAAGGTACTGCGACAGGAGGGCTTAATGCAACGCGAGCTCGCATTGTCTGTACTGCCGAGTCGAGAGCTAACTCAATGGCGAGGTGATTCCGCACGCGGGAAATCACCGGCCAGGTCGCTTGTTCGCCTTTCAGGCACGTTTGTAGAATAAATTCAGTGTTTGGATTCTGAAGGATGCGTAAAAAATGTGTGTACGGAATCTCCGGGTATATATTGATATCGCCCGAATACTTCTGACTCAGGATTGAGGCTGTCTTCATAAACTCGTTTTGGAAAACGCCCATTTCCGAAAATACATTCATACGATGTAAAGCCTCGTCTCGTGCGAGATTCGTCATTGCATTTAGCCAGGGAGAACTGAACCAAGCTTGCCGCTGGTCGTCTTTTCCTGGGCCAGTCTCTCTTTCTAAGAAAGGGAGGACGTGAGGGTTGACTTGGGAAACGATGAAATGATTAACATTGAACATCTCCGCCAAATGAGTCATGGGTAAGTCTCCGTCGACAGAGCCGTCAATCCACTGGCCACGATCGTCGTGCCAGGGTACATTTTCTCCCGTGAGAGGATCTTTGGCCATCAACACAGATGGCGAGAATACAAAGGGTACCGAGCATGATACAGTACTAGTGCTGTTAGCAACCGAAATCAGGCCAGGAAATATATACTTACATCGCAGACCATATCAGCACATTCGGTGCTGTAATATAGTTCAATAATCGTGGAAGCTCGTAGAGACCAGCACTCGAGATGCATATATTCAAAATTTTTCGCGTGCGGTTGTAGGCTTCATGAAATGTCATGTCTCCCAGCCAATTTCTCATCACTCGCTCCAAATTCGAGCTATCATACACGGAACCATATTTCAGAAGTCGGGCCATCTTTTGCAACGGTGGCAGCTGGTTTCCTTCTGGCTCAAAAACAGCCAGATCCCCATAGGGGAAAGCCTCCAAAACTGCAGGAATCTGATCATCTGTATGGGCACAGAATATAGATGCGACGATACTCCCAGCGGATGCACCGGAAATAATTCGAGGAACAAGTTTCGCTTCCCACAACGCCTTGATAACCCCGACGTGGTTCATGCCAAAGGTTCCGCCTCCTGATAACGAAATAGCACTGCGGCCGAATGCCTGTCGTGATGACAGTAGTTGATCTAGAATGTACTGCATCTCGGCAGAGTCGCATCGGTCGTTGCCAGATAAGTCTAAAAGAGTTGATATCGTATTAAGGGCCGTAGTGATATATTCATCGATGAGGTTTTTGGTCCCGATATGCGAATGCCGGTATAATGTGACGCTGCTCATGTTTCCCAAATCCCTTGATAGCGCTGTTCGGACGAGGAAAAGCATGCGACTGACATCACAGCTGATTCGCGCATCTTCTAGCTCTCTCATTCGTTCCAAAACCAGGGCTGGATTATATTCGTCGGATTCCAAGGTTTCCTTCCACTTGTTGTTGCCTTCAAGTTCATCCAATTCGCAGGCACACGAGCGCCATTCCTCAAACGAGACAGCCTAAGAAGATACAAGTTAGTAATTATCGGCTGCACTTCCCGATCGGATACCTGGCGCACATTTTGCATCTTCAGATACAACAGCTGTTTCCGATTCTCCCGTCGCACCTTTTCCTCCCGCGCTTCCCGCGACAGCCCATCTCTGTAGGTATTCAGCCGATCACCGGCCCACGAAACGCCATCCTTAACCAGCGACGAAAAGCCTGCAATAGAGGCTCTCTTTGCGAGCCGGGATGACTTGGCGGCACCATTTTCGGCGTTTCGCGATTGATCAAGTCGCAGACTCTTCTTTTTGTGTATTTGCGCGTGTACCGACGTCGGATCTCGAAATGTGGTCATGATTGGTCGATGCGCGGAGCGCTGTCTGTGCTCAGGACTCCCTGCAATCCATGCGAGGTTTCGATCTACTCGTCATAGAGCAGATAAAATGCAGTTAATCGCCCTGATAAGATAAATAACAAGTTAAGATGTTCCAAGAAGCCAACCCCAGATAAATACTGAGCCAAGACAACATGAACTGAACAGAACAGGGAAGAAGAAGAAAAGAAGAACAGAGGCGTGGTGTGCCCAAGTCACGAGGGCCCAACAAGTCGCAGTAAAAAATGACTATGACGGCACGGCAGGGGCGACCCACTCTCTGCCCGTGGGGAAGGAATAGAAGCAAGTCAACGAGCATGACAAGAAGAGTTCTTTTCCATGTCCTCAAGTTTTGCAGTTGCTCATTCTCCTGTATATATCTTACCCTGAATCTGATTATGGCTTAGAGCAAGAACATACACCCCTACAGCCTGTGCCACCAGATCTCGTCATACGCCCTGTCGTGATGATCACCTGCCGGCATTGCGGTGAAACCTGCACACCACACCGTCGAGTCCGGGGAATTCGAGTCTTTTCAGCTCTCGTCATCTTCTTAGTCACACAATACGCAGGTAGCAGAATACGGATCGCATCTAATATGCCGAGTTCAGCCAGCCTTTCGAACTCGATTTATGACCAGAGTACGTTTATTGTTCGATCTGCATGTGTTGGCTCATGCATGAACACCCAGAATAACGCCGTCGCCCTCGTCTGCTGTGCCAGGGTCTATGAGGACTACGAGAAGGCGGGAGAGATTAGTTCATGTGCGAAGAGCCTGGAACCCTGCAATATCGAAGACAGGCAAGATCTCAATGTAAGCCCGAGCAAATTAGTTTGGCCACTAAGCATTCCCCGCTTGTTTACTCCAGACAAGGCCGCTACTCCAGTTTCACATGCCAATGATCGTACGCATGAGGCCAGGCGCATCTACTCATGGTCATTTCACGTGCATTAATATTGGTCATTTTAATATACAATATGATCGCCAGGTCACGGCTTATGCTCCAACCACTCACCAACAGCCTGTCTCAACTGTTGATGAAACGACGGCTCTACCCAGAAATGTCCTGCCATCCGAATTTCCACCGCATCAACTTGACTTTCCGGCACATCTTTTAATTTCTTCGTCCAATTTTGCAGCTTCTTCTCGGATGTGAACATATCGTCGGTGCCGTAAATAATCAAAGATGGAACTTTTGGCAGTCGTTCTTCAAGAACCGGAGTGACGATATTATGTCCCTGAACCGACAATTTCGTCAAATTGCCCCAGAGCGTCACAAATCCCAGGGCATATGAGAGAATCGGCGAAACCAAAAGAAACGATATTTTTGCTGCTGGTAGGTCGCTAGCTGTATCCTCGTCTAATTGCACCTCTTCAGTAGCGTAGTATTCTTCTTCAGTCTCTTCGGGCTCGCCGGCGACCAGTTTCTTGGCTTTGACAAGAATCCGAGCAGCGATTGAGTCGCCGGTCGGTTTACTGAATATGGATATCACGTTTTCGACGTCCGGTTGATGTGATGCTATCATCGATCCATATGAATATCCGGCTAGAACTAATTCAACTGGTTTCCCTGGGGCTAGAAGTTGGCTATATTTCAGCATGAAGCCGTATGCAGAAATGTAGTCTCCCATTTCAGGTTTTCCAGTCCAGCTCGTCGAGCCGCCTGAATAACCTGCGCCACTACATGACATCAGAACCTATCTAGATAGCATACTGCAGCAATGTTGAAAAGTATAGACGTACCGAAGATTCAGAGTAAGCACAATATAACCCTTGCGTACCAGCTCCGCCGCAATCGAGCCGACAACTGGATCGTCGTTATTTCCTCCGAGCGAGGCATACGGATGCGCGACAATGGCAGCTTTAATGGCGGGTTGTGTCTGGTAGTCTATGCCATGGAGCTGATATATGCGGCAACTCAGCCGGGTTCCGTCGTGGATGGAGGGGATGAAGAACTCGCGCAACGGTTTCATTCTGACTATTCGAATGATTGAATGAAACACAATTGAAGGAGAGAAATTATGGATATATATATGAAAATAAAACTATTTAGTTATTCGAATAAAAGATAGAAGTCAGACTAAGATAAGTCGTAGCTAGCCCGATAAAGAAAGCGGGACCTCATTGACTGCGGCTGCGTGCCCACATGATTGGTCGCAGCTTCACCTTTCGTCCATCTCACCTTCCACCACCAACAAGTCGCATCCACTAGCTCTACGCATAGCTAATTTCCTTATCGAGCGTCAACCCTCACCAGCGCCCTGAGTATTGGTTGTCGCAGCAGCCATGACGGCCATAAACGACAGCCAAGTCAAAATCCTCGAACAAACCCGCCAACGCCTTCTGCACCTGACGCATTCCCTCGACTCACTCACGGGCAGTTTACATCACAGCGATCCTTTGCCTTCATGGTACCTCCTTCCCTTTCTCCCTACAAACTGGGTTTTCGTTTAGCTAAACTTATGGGATGATAGGTCCTCTCTCCAATCGCAAGCAAGCATCATATCCAACAACCTAATCAACATCTGCTCGCAACTCGCCGAGCATCAAGAACTCTTGTCGTCTCTAGTCGCATACCCAGCCCCTTCATTTCCGGGGAATACGCAACAGGGTGTTCTCGAGCAGTTATTGCGCACGAAGCTTGATCCCAGAGTCGACGATTGGGTTACGCGCGGTCGAATTGCGGGCACAGAAGCTAGCAGCGGTAATGATAAAGATAGCGGCGAAGGTGCTGCCAGTGGAGAAAGACTTAGCGAAGCTGATCTAGCAGAATTGTGGTCCTGGGCCCCCATCGAAGCAAACGCCGAAGCTCGACGACGGAACTGGGGCGGGAATTATACGCTTGAAGAAAAAGAGGCGGGCATTCAGAATGTTGTCACTGGCCTCAGGCGGGCGCTGCCAGATGATGATGACGATGAAGATGACGACGAGGATGAGGATGAGGACGAGGAGTTTGAGGATGTAGATGAAGATGGGGGAGAGGAGATGGAGATTGTGGGTGTGCATACGAGACCTGGGGCTGGCGGCGTGGAGTTTGATATTGCGAGGAATAGAGATCATGTACCGAGTGCAGCGGCTTCGCCAGCGATTCCGCTGGATGAGGTTTTTCGGTTTATGATGACGGGGGCGAGGCCAAAGTCTGGTCCCTGAAAGGTGTCTTCGAGAGCTGGCATATTGCGATAAAACTGAGCAGGTGTCTGATCGCAGACATTTAATAGCAGAGTTCAGAATATTCTAGGTATGAATATGCAACTACGCCTTTTTATGTTTACTGTTTACTAACAGGCTAGGAAAGGAAAGACATTCTGATTCGAAGGAAAAATAAATCAACCTCGACGGCGGGTAGTAGGAGACTTCCCAGCTGGTTTGGGCGAGACACCAGACGCTTGAGCAGCCGCAGGGGAGTTTGCGACTGCCTTCTTGTTCTGCTTTGGTGGAACAGCAGTCTTCTTTGCTGGACTGTTCCAATAGTACACCATCTGGATTGCGAGGACGGCGTTGAGGACAAAGGCAGCCACGATGCTGTACAAGATGAGGTTGTCGTCGACTTCTTGAAGGGTCGTGAAGATACGAGACAGAGTACCAAGGAGGTAGTTGAAGACCTATCAAACTATTAGCCATATTTCTCAGATTGAAGAAAAGTTTCGCAGTAATACATACCGCGAATGCGCTGAGTTGGCCAGTGGTGCCCTCCTTGTAAATAGTAAAAATCTGAGGAAGCTTGCTAGCAACCCCCAAGACGCCCGCACCAGCCTGCAAAAGCGAAAGCGTGTGCGCATCGACCAAAGTAGCATCAAACAAAAGCGCATAGATACTAGCCGCAACCACAGCAACAAACGCAGCCGCACCAGCAGGCTTTCCAGCAAACGACAAAACCAAAACACCAATAACCACATCCTGCACCGCAATCAAAGCACTCTCGCCATAGGTGCTGAAGGGGAACTGTTGGCGGACGTTATACGAGAGCGTGATCAGAAGACTCGCGGTTTCCATGGCGTAGGATATGAAGGACACGCCGGCCGAGGATCGCGAGTTGACAAGCTTCAAGATTTGGGGTACCTTGACGATTGCGCTGGCGCCGACGATGGCAAGACCCAAAGCCTTGGAGATGGCTAGAGATGTGCATTTGGGATCTTTGTTGACGTCCAAATCGAGCAGCAGAGCGCTGTGGCAGGGGGAGCCGATGAGGGAGATGATGGCATCGTGCACTGGCTCGGGCAGGGCGTCACTGATAGGTTTGAGGATGGGTTGGAGTGGCTCAACCACCAAGGTCTGGAGTTTGTCCATTGTGGGAGGTATTTTCAGTCACGGTGTAATACTGTACTGTGTGAGAAATACGTAAGGTGATGAAATAAATGATCGTATATTTATGAAGTCGTGATGAATTTCTTATGGACAAAGCCGAATGCGGGGCCATTTTGAGGCATGTGATTCGCCCGGTTTGATTGGAGCTTTGCTTTTGTTCTTTGCGGACTTCCCGAAGACATCTTTCGACAAGAACTCTGAGTCTACATACTCAATTACTGCTGACCAGAATCCTTTTCAAGCATGATGACGGCTCAATGTTAAGTCAACAATGCAGAGCATCATCCGGCAATGCTTCTACGACCAGCATTGATACGGCCGCTCGTGGCCCGAGACACGGCTTCGTTATGCTCCCGTTGCATGTTCAAGGTGAGCATAGCTTCACGCAAATTCGCAACATCGACGTCTCGACGGTCTGGCACTATTAGCGGGTCGCCAAATACACCGAGACTATTTCAGCAGAAAGAATTCTTCCTCTCCTACAATCCCTCGAAACGCATGTTAAAGAATGGATTCTTTTCATCCTATCCAACCCGAGATCATACGGCGTCCCTCAGTACAGACAGCTCGGCCGTCAACACCCCCATTACAACAGCAGCAGAACAGACACAAGAACTCCCTCACAGACGGCGGAAACGACTAAAAGAAGAACAATCTGGCGACAATGCCGCACCCGAGGAACAATTGCCCTTGGACGCTTCAGCTCAACTATCCGCCATATCCTCCTCCCTCCCCACCGCTTCCCTACGCCGAAAATGTGCTGCATATCTTGCACTCGCCAAACCACGATTGTCCGTTCTTATCCTCCTTTCGACTACTTCTGCCTATGGACTGTACCCTATAACGACACTACTTGCCCTTGATCCATCCGTCGCTCAACTTCCGACCCTCTCAACCTCGACGCTCACATTTCTGTACCTTACAGCAGGCACATTCCTCTCCTCAGCCAGCGCCAATGCATTCAACATGTTCTTCGAGCCCAAATACGATGCCCTCATGTCGCGAACACGCAATCGGCCGCTTGTGCGAGGGCTCGTTTCGACCCGTGGAGCTCTGATTTTTGCCATTGCTACCAGTCTCATTGGCGTCGGATTATTGTACATCGGCACAAACCCCACAGTCGCTGGTCTCTCAGCCGCCAACGTTGTGTTGTACGGCTTCATATACACGCCCATGAAAAGGGTGCACGTCATCAATACCTGGATCGGTGCCATCGTCGGCGCAATCCCGCCTATGATGGGCTGGGTAGCTGCGGCGGGTCAGACCGCTACAACGGGACATGACACATGGAGGGACATGCTGTTCAGCGAAGAGAGCATCGGTGGATGGATATTAGCATCGATGCTGTTTGCTTGGCAGTTTCCTCATTTCAATTCCTTGTCGCACTTGATTCGGTTTGAGTACAAAGCTGCAGGCCACCAGATGATGTGCTGGGTCAACCCGGCCAGGAACGCGCGTGTTGCGCTCAGGTATTCGGTGTTAATGTTCCCCATCGCATTCGGATTCTGGTGGGCTGGTTACGTCAATAACTGGTTCCTCGTCAGCAGCTCGCTGGCGAATGGATGGATGCTCAAAGAGGCATATCGTTTCTGGAAGTACCAGGGCAGTAAAGGCAGTGCGCGAGGACTGTTCTGGGCGAGTGTTTGGCAGTTACCGATTTTCCTGATTGGCGGCCTTGCGACCAAAAAGGGGGTATGGGATGGAGTCTGGAGGCGGATTTTTGGCGAGGAGGATGATGAGGATGATGAGCTGTATGAGGAGGAGGAAGCCACCGTCCCGACTGCGAGGACGGGGAACAATAGTATTGTCTCACTGAAAGCGGCTCAGACAAGGGCATAGACATCCCTACTTCGTTTCGCTTGTCAGTTTCCTTTTTTTTTGATGTGTATTATTTTGCCTTTTTTGAGATTGCATCTATGTATTACTACCAAACTCCATATCTTGAATCATAAATGATGATGCCATTTACCATCAACCTTTCTTCAGATCAATTACGAGAACATATGTCAATTTGAAATGAACAATCGTGAATTTATGCTTTATTATATTGACATTCGCCATGACCTGCATATATGTATGGACAATATAAATCAAGACTTGAAAAGATTAAGGACACCACCGTGATTAGATCCTCCTTTTCTCCGATCCGCCATTACCACCTCGGAGATTGACTCAGTACACCAATGCGCAAACAAACACCACATGACTCCTTGAATGAGAAAAATAAGGGAAATAGATTGATGATGAATGGCCGAGGATAACAAGATCCTGTATCATGGAGATTGTATGGTAAGTAGTACCTAGGTCGTTCGGCTTGGCTCATATGCAACTGAATGAAAGAGAAATGAATGGAATATGTACAAATGCCGAGGAAATACTGCAAAGGAGAAAGTCATCAACTCTCCCATGATAATCTACGCTGATTCGGTGTATTAGAGCGTGACATCGACTGTCGAGGGATGCTTATCGACGCCGATTGATAATGATGTTGATGATGATGGGACATCTGCACATGCGCCATCGGCGGCGCCGCAATCATCGCTGGTGCTGGTACTGAAGGAGGTGGCACACCCTCTGAGGTGTTGCCAGTATTGAGTGGATAATTGAATAAACTCTCGCTCCGCCGATGACTCCTCACCGACGACGCTCTTGAGCGCGCATAAAACGATGATCCGCACGACGAATATGGCGGCGGCGGGGTATCCCTCGTTTCGGTGGAGGTATGCCCAAAACTGCTGGGGAAAGAGTACGCGGATGATGCGTCGTCCATTGTTGTTGTTGGCGCTGTGGTTGAGGATGCGATTACGGTTACGCTGCTGCTTCCTGTCGTTTGGGACTGCAGAGCGGCATCATTTTCGGAATCTTCAAAGTCTTGTCTGTTTTTCTCATCTGGCCTGTGTTGTCCCTGCCCATGGGACTGTCGAATATTGTTGGTTTCAAGAGTTTTCTCATGGATACTCATAGGCCGCGGGGTGTAGCGCGGTAATGGAACAACGGGGGAATAGCCGTTGTTGACTGAGTCGTATTGTGGTGGTTGATGGTGCATGTGCATTGCCATTTGTGTTTCCGGCCTGGGCATGAAGCCGGCTTCTGGGTATGCTGGGATCTGAGTGCGAGGCTCGGGCTTGGAGCCCAGACAACAGAATTGGGACATGGTGATGGTTGGAGATACTGCTTTGAATGCAGGTTTTTCTATCAGACTCCTTAAAAAGACCGCAAAAGTCGCAGGTCTATGCCAATTCAAGAGAATAGTCTTGTATACGAATAAAAGACAACAATGAGTGCATCAAGTACTTTCAATAGTATGAAGGATCACTACCAGACCCATCCCTCCGATATCCCACCACTGGAATAGTCCCGGTTAACAAACCTAAGGATACAAACGTACCCAAAGATTGGAGAAAGACGACAGAAGGAATGAGCAACCGTGGACGGAGGAAAGCAAGAAAAGAGAAAGAGAAACTTGGAGATGGAGACGGAGTGACAACTGACAAGTAGACGATTGAGGCTGAGTCTAGAGTAGCCGTACTTCTCAGGCACCAGCATTTACTTGGTGGCCTGAGGCTGCCTTCCCCGCCGCCAAGGATTGCGCCTTGTCGATAAGACTCGTGCTTATCTGATCACTTGTCTATTCTCTATTAGGCTTCATGTCTATGATCAGCTACATATTTATATGCTTATTCCATCCAGGTGACTGTCTTTGTCTGCAGCCACTCATCATATCCGGAAATTCCGCCAAATCGGCCGAATCCGCTGCTCTTCCATCCTCCGTGAGGGAGAGTCGACTCATCGTGTACCGTAAGGGAGTTGATATGAACAGCTCTTAGAACATCACACATGATCAGCTTCTTAATATTCTCAATGGAAACTTATCTATTTGAAAAGCTTACCCAGATTCAATACGATCAGCTACCCGGAGGCCACTGAACAGATTGGTGGTGAAGACTGCCGATGTTAGACCATATTCTGTGTCGTTGGCTAATTGAATGGCTTCGTCCTCATTATCGACGACAAATAGTGAGACTGTTGGCCCGAAGGATTCAGTATGGTAGACGTTCATTTCTTTTGTGATATTCCCCACAACCACAGGCCGCAAGCCATTAGCAGAAGACTCGTTGACCTCAGGGTTTCCATAGACAATATCAGCTCCTTTGGAGAGTGCATCGTGCACCAAGTCTCTGTTTTTATTCACTGCACTAGCGTTTACCAGCACTGGAGCATCCATCTTCTTCCCAAACAATTTCTCTATTGCATTCACAAGCAATTTTTGAAACTCGGTGGCAATAGATCGTAGAACGTTTATACGTTCCGTAGACATACATATTTGACCGGACTACCCTGCAATATTAGTCCTTCATCTTTTTTCCCTCTTTTTTGGGACTTTACTTACATGCATAAAGGACCCCAACGCGCAGCTCATTGCAGCTTTGTCCAAGTCTGCGTCCTCCAGAACGATTGCCAAGCTTTACCGCCTAATTCCAGCAGCACTGGCTTGATATATCTTCCAGCAGCTGACGCTATTATAGCACCGACGTTGGTGCTCCCCGTGAAGCTGATCTTGCGCACATCTGGATGCGCGATAAGTGCATTGGTGACCGCCACCGCTTCAGATGGCTGGTGGTAAATAACATTCAAGCAACCGGCTGGAAGACCAGCCTCCCGAAACACATCACCCAAAGCCCAGAAACATTTGGGCGATAGTTCGGAGCCCTTGAGGATTACGGTGTTGCCAGCAGCTAATGGGAGGGCAACTGCGCGTATTCCGAGGATATAAGGCGCGTTCCTGACCCAGAAGTCTTGGTCAAAAAAATACCCAGATACTTTAGTTCAGATACACAAACTTACCAAGGTGCAATTCCCAAAATAACACCATATGGCTGCTTTAAGACCATGGCCTTTTCATCTTTGACCGAGACAGTTGGTACTCTGCCCTCAATACTAGGAATCATGGCTGCGAAATCTCTCACAAATTCTACACCCGTGTGAAATGTCATTTCCACAAACATCCTCGCTGCTCCAGTCTCCTCCATTTGATATTGGATGAGCTCTTCCTTTCGAGAGAGCATGACATCTGCGGCCCTGGAAAGGATTGCCCTGCGTTTATATGGGTTTATAGTCTTCCAGCCTAAAAATGCAGCTTTTGCAGATGTAACGGCGAGGTTTGCTTCGTTCACAGATGCTCCGGCGCATTGACTGATAAGTTTGCCTGTTGCTGGATTACGAACTTCGAATAGGTTTTCGGTGATGACGAGCTCGTTGTTGATAATGAGCGGTATCGTGGCGACCTCGCCGTTAGTCTTTTCTGGGGCCATAATTTCAAGGACTTCGAAGCTTCGATTAAGCCGTGGACAGGAATATTGGTATTTTTTGGGGAACTCTATTGACTGGATCTAGAGCTAATCAGGAAGCCACATGGGCGTCCAGCTACGCAAGTCTATATACATAAAACAGCAATAGCAAAAGAGTAAGCACGGAATAGTGAGCATCCTATCTATAGTTCATGTGACATGGTCCTTGATAAGCTGCAGAATATTACAAAATACGTCTCAGCATGAACTGGATCCTAATCGTTGTCGAGTTGATCATTCCGCGGAGCGTTCCGTGGCTTTTAAAGCGACTAACAAGCCACCAATATCATATTCTGTTGCACCAATCCAGGCCCAGATTGGATTACTATTTCTCCCATAGGATGATTAAAAAAACATACAGCATTACGAGCGTACTTGTACATGTGGTCACGACCTCCTGTTATATTTGTTTGAGCTGATTGGCTTTACTGTGTTCCGCGGCATGGCCTCGGATGATGCTAAACCACGGGCAGGGCGAGAAACTTAAGTAATACCTAAAAACAACTCAATTGTAAGAACCTACAGAGATCGCTTTCATTTCTTATAGGCAAAAATAAGGGTGATTTTCTATCACAAATTTATCATGGCCTTCAAGGAATATGCGTACAAAGAGGTTGGAGGAGGAGAGTCTCTACTAGCAAGTGTCTGGTATAGCCCAGAGGTTTCAGAAACAGAAAAGCCAATCGGTAAGCATCGAACTCACGCAGTAAAATGTGTCAGCACTAACCGTCTCAACAGCACATTACTTCCATGGAGGCAGTTGGGTACTCGGCCACAAGGACATGCTTTCACCCGATTATGTCAAGGAACTTCTCGATCTAGGATTCGGCGCAGTCGTTTCGCCAAACTACCGGCTCGCTCCTACAATCTCTGCCCTAGATGGCCCTGTCCAGGATGCTAAAGACAGCTATTTATGGTCTCAAACAAAGCTGCCCCAGCTGTCGGCCCGAGATGCCAATGTACATCTGAATGGCAACAAGGTTGTGACTTTCGGCCATTCTGCTGGAGGAAGTTTGGCTCTCCTTATGGTACCTATATTTGACCACTTGAATTGATTTAATTATCCGCTGATGATGTGGACAGGCATCGATGCCTCAAAAACCCCTTGCCATACTCGACGTCTTCGGTCTGAAATACTTCGACGACATATCCTACTCCACACCAAATCCAGCGTGGGCTAAGCTTCCAGATTTTAACCAAACACTATTGGACAAAATAAAAGAGGAAGTACCGCCGCCAAGTTCAGCGCCTGCACCTGGTGGTCCTAATGGCCCAGACTTTACTCACCATCGAATCGCTTGGCTATTCACTTCCCTCAAGAAAGGCACATGGCTGAAATCAGTAGCACCAAATGAAGATTATGACTCTATCGATCCGGGAAAATTATTCTCGTCTTCTTCTCCCTTCCCTCCAACCTATTTCATACATGGCTCCGCGGATAACCTCGTTGATGTCAAGCTTTCGGAAAGAGCGTTTGAGGCGTTGAAAAAAAGGGGCGTTGACACTGAGTTGGTGATCGAGGAAGGGGCTCCGCATGGATTTGACGCAGGAGCGAAACCGGGAGATCATAAGTATGAGATTGTTGCCAAGGGATTCAAGTTTCTCGCGGATTACGCCATCTAACAGGAAGGAAGAATCTTGAACTGGAGATTGTGCTCAAATTGCCTTAAGACTAGTTGAAAGGATGAAACAGTGCATTTATCTGCAGATAGTTGTGTCATTCTTTGTTTTGAGTGAACCATAGGATGCTGTTAGCCTTCAGAGACTGAGAATTGCGTACTTCTCTCGCTATGAGGCCATGAAACAGGGTTGTCAAAAGGGAGGCACTAGAATTTCAATTTTGTCCATATCATAAATTCAAAGAGTCTTGTAATCCCCATTCTTCTAAAGACTTAAGACTCTTTTCGCAGATTTCGCCATGAGTAGCCATAAGGGCCCCCAGTCACATACAGTGAGATGGAAGAATATGTGTTGGCATCTCCCCATATCCGAAACACCACACCACTATCATTCAGTGGACAATTAAGTGCCCATAGTGCATCGCATGGGAATAATTGTAAAAATATGGGCTGAACCAGAGCCTTCTTAAAAATTTCCGTTCTCACTTTATTTACTACATTACGGGGATAGCGAGATTTTAGATATGGTTTGGAGGGGGGAGGGGGAGGGGGGGTTCCAGGACATATTCCGTGATACTGTACACAATCTTTCGCAGCAAGCTGGAGCCTAGCGGGGCAAAGCCTGACGGCTTTCAGTTGTATGATAAGCATATCTAATTACTCGATTAAATCTCGTGTTTGATGTAATTATTGTCTTGAAACTATTATTCTAAAACTCGAGAACAACCTACTCGCCCGTCTCCCTGTCAACATTCCAGTGAGCAAGTTTCATAATATGCCATTTGAAAGTAACATGCCGAATCCACCGACCCCATATATAGATTGGAATCCACAAGGCGAGAACAAAAAAACTAAAGGCTGCCATGGTTGAAAATGCCCCTGCATAGCCATCCCGATCAATCCACGGATTTGCATAGAAAGACATGAGAAAAGCAATAATAGCTAAATCATCCATCAAGTTAGTGGAAGCCAAATGCTGTATGTGCAAGCAATAAACTTACATTTAAAGGCAACCTGGCTCACGACAACCTCCCCGGCAATTGGTCTGTAACTGTCAATTGTATAGACAACACTAATGCCGATTGCAGCGCTGCTGCCAAAGGAGACTGTTCACGGAGTCAGCAGAGGTTTTAGGCATTTCGAAGGTAAGATGCCATACACAAAAATATTCCCAATACCGGGACCATCCAGTGAGTTTTGTAATGAATACCCAGGCCATAAAGAAGCAGAGATCCAGGGTAGCAGATCATAGCGATGCTCACAGCAGGAAGACGCATTTCCGGTTCTCTAATCCCGCCGTTCTTCATAGTCGCGCGGTTGGCGACCCAGTCTGAGAAGTGCCCACCAAATGGCATGCCCAGCAAGTTTCCAATAATGCTCGCAATCCAGACCATGCCGACTTGCCAGACTGAGAAACCATAGATCTCCGTGAAAGCATTGGCGGCGGTTGTGCTTATCACGACGAAATGCCGATTCCTATGCCATAGGATAATGTCGACCACAGAACGGGAGGTAATAGTATAACAGGCAGGGGACGAAAAGCAATTTTCCAGATCGACTCCTGTGTTAAAGGGGACGATGTGAAAGCCATTAGTTGGACGAAAGATTTCTTGGGTGGCATTTCAGCCACCGTTCGAACGTGTTCCAACTCAGACACCCCTGGAGCCTTCGATTCCCAATTACCTTCCTCAGATCCGCCAGCATCTCGCTGATAAGCAGTTTCCGGCATGGTAAAGAAGATCAAAGTCGTCGTAGCTAGAACTAAGCCAGCGCAAAGGTAATGGAATTGTCTCCAACTTTGAGATATTGACATGAGCCCGGCAATAAATGCACCGAGAGCGGCGCCTGTGGAGAGCGCAGCCGAATACATCCTGCCAAAAATCCCATATCAGTACACCTTCTGGAACATTGTTTGAAACAGTCAATGCTCGTTTATCACGTACGCTGTCATTTTACCCCTTTCATGAAGAAAAAACACATCTGCAATAGTAATTGGAGCAACACATTCGGCGCTACCGGCGAGCCATGCTGCTACAATCCTAGAAGCGAGAAGACTACCATAGGAGGTAGCCCGTGCAGACCAAATACAGCAGATTCCGAAACCAAGAAATGACGAAGTATAGACAGCTCGACGGCCGTATTTGACTGCGAGGGGAACCCACAGAAGGTTTGATATACCGGCAACTGCGGAGGGAGTGGAGAAGAGTAGAGCTGCTTTGCTTACTGCAGACGAGAATGCCGCAATAGATGATGGGGTCAGGGAGTTTGGGTTGTTGGGTTCAGGGGGTGAGGCGTGAAAGAGGTCGATGACTATCTCGACCAGAACAGTTGACGGGCCGGCTGCGAAGAAGTTGACCCAAGTTAATGCAGCGCAGGTAAGAACGGCAATATAATACTTGAATGGTCGGGACCTATGAAAGTCAATAACTGTAAGGTGCGGAAACAGCCAAATCAAATGGCCATACTTACCAGTTCAGAGGATCATTAGGGTCAGATGATGGCCGAGGCACGAGAAGCATAGTACCGGTTTCATCTTGAAGCCGGACACGCCCAAGTCCGGGTGTTTCCAATTTTTCATCAGCCATGGCTTATTGAACTATGAAAGTCCAATTAATTGTAGTGTAGAAAAAAAGCGAATGTATATACTCTCTTACTACCCCTATTTTCATATTGACTTTTGCGGGGGATTTTGCGGGGATGCAGTGATGTTGGGTTGAGCCACACCCAGAGACATTCCGCGGAGGGAATAAATTCGGACCCAGACGCCCGTGGCTGGAATGACCTTTCGGAAAACCGTTGAATGTCGTATAGATCCTATTGAGTATAGCCGGAAGTTGAGAATTAGACAACAAAGTAGCTTTAGAGTGCCCCCAGTATTGCCTCTGGGGCGGAGTCTCCTAAGCTCTCCAAAGTGACCGCTGAGTAATGAATATATGAGGGTAGCAATAGCAGATTTTTCAATTTACCTACAAATTTCGAGTGGAAGTAGGATCCAAGGACCGCGGAGACTTCCGCGGAATGTGTGGCCTGAGGTTAGCCCTAACTGCAGCAGGCAGTATCTAACATCATAAAGTCTAAACCGTGGAGATATATTGTCTACCTGAAGGAACTTGGCACTATATTCACATCAAACTACAGACATATCACACTTTGTTACAATGGCGACATTAGAACTTGAATCTATGCAATCCGCACTCAATATGCCGAGCGAGAAAAGTCCGCACGACAGCCGCTTTGGTTTAACTTCGCCGTGGGAACACTACTATCAGCCTTCCGACACCGCCACTCAAGGTCGGTTTGAATGCGATCTGGATGAAATGGTCGTCTTTGGCGACATTCCCAAGGAGATTAGCGGAACCTGGTATCGGATGCTCGTCGACCCTCATTCTTGCCCCCAGGTTGGAACTCCCTTTGTTGATGGGGATGGACATGTCTGCGCGTTTCGTATCCAGGATGGGAAAATCTCTATGAAGATCAAGTACATACATACCGAGAGGTGGCTTCTGGAGCGCAAAGCTGGTCGCCGCTTATTTGGTCGCTACAGGAATCCTTTTGACAATCACCCATGCGTCCGTCTTGCGAACGACACTACTGGAAATACAAATATCATTTACTGGGGTGGTAACCTCCTGGCTCTCGCTGAGAGGGGATTACCGTACGCTTTGGACCCTGATACACTCGAGACACGGGGCCCAGATCCCTACGGTGGGCAGACAATTGCCAAAACATTTACTGCGCACCCCAAAGTTGACCCTCACAAAAATGAGCTGTTCACTTGGAGCTACTCTGCCAAGGGCCTCAGCTCCCCTGATATCTGCACGTACACAATTGATCCCAGTGGCGTTATCGCGAACGAGCACTGGTTCAAGCAGGACAAGCCTGGCTGGCCACATGACGGCTGGATCACAGACAACTGGATCATTCTGTCAAATATGCCATTTGGTGTGAACAGCGATGAGGTGATGAAGGCTGGTGGCGACTACTGGACTTATGTGCCGGATCAACCGTCTGAATTTATTGTTACTCCACGCTACGCAAATGTACCATGTCATCCAGACTGGAAGCCTGGCGAGTTTCGAAAGTACATTGCTCCTCATGGTCTGATTATTCACACCGGAAACGCATGGGAGGAGGAAGGTGGAATTCTGAAACTAGACAGCCACTTTGTTAGCTTCAACGTCTTTCACTTCTTCAACCCGAAGGACTATCAGGAAAGCAAAGCGAAGCCTAGTGGCGATTGGCTTCGATGGACTGTTGACCTCTCCCAGCCCAGCGGAAGTTCCTTGTCACCACCAGAAACGCTATTAGAGGGTATCTTTGACTTCCCCATATATGACGAGCGAATGACGGGACGCAAGACTAAGATCGTGTATCTTACTGGCATGATGGCCCCGGACAAAGGCTTTCGACCTCAATTTAATGCAATCATCAAGTTTAACACGGAGACTGGCGAAAAATCTACTTTTTATGCAGCTAAAGATGGGGGAGTTACAGAACCAGCATATATCCCGCGAGGACCAGATTGTGAGGAAGGTGATGGCTGGATTATATTCTATAGCCAAAGAGACTCTTTGCCTATGGGAGAACTCGTGATCCTAGATACGAACGATTTTTCAAAGCCAGTCGCCATTGCGCAGTTGCCTTTTCGGACTCGCAACCAGGTCCATGGCAATTGGGTTCCAAATCCGCATCCCGGGACACCTCTGCCGTTGATGACAGGCCCTATAAAGAATATCATTCCCAGCACGAAGTACTCCCAGTTAAATAGGCTTCCTTAATGATGGTTACTATTATTCTATTGGTCACTTAGCATTATAGTTAGTTTATTAAATGTCGCTGAGCTATTTCAAAGGATTATTTCAAACGAAAATAAATGTTATACAAAAATGATCTCATCTTGTGAGACAAGGTAAATAGCCTTAGGAAGCGTACATCCGCGCAGGTATGTAGAAGAGAACGCGGACTTCTTGTGATCCAAAGGCCAGATTTAAGCTGTTAATTCTTCAACTATCCTAATGACAGGGCTTGAATTACAAAACTGGGTAATTTATCAATCCAGATCCCTTGTGTCGTTACTCAGATTCCCTTCCGAATCGAGATAGACACTACGACCGACTTCATGTGCCATGAGAAGCCGCGAGCACGAGGAAGGCCTTGATAGAGTAACCTGAATAGAGCTTGCCCTATGATTTCAAATATTTCAACGCGATCTGCAATTCCCCCACACATATCCCCGTACTATAGTGCTGATCCCTGCTCCGCATTCACATCTTCCGCGGACGTTCCGAATATAGTGTGTTGTCCCGGTTTGGATATGGAGCTATCGGGAAACGAGCTTCTTAGAAGAATTTGGGGAGATATAGCCATCATTGACGGAAGGGACCATCTCATGGATTGCTTTTTCCGGTTCAAGCTTCACGATGCTCAATCAAACTTCAATCTTGTCATACTTGCCCACGCTCCTTGCCGGGTCTGGGGCTCTCTTGGTTTTGTATTACCTAATTGAGCCTCTTCTACGTCCTCTACGTGATATTCCAGGTCCATTTCTTGCTCGCTATACTCGTCTATGGGAGTTGTATCAGAATTGGCGCGGTCAATTCGAACATGTCACGGTCGCTCTACATAAGCAATATGGTGATTTCAAGTGGCCCAAGATAGCAGTGTTGATATTGACCCTTCGGAATAGGTCCCATCGTACGATTGGCGCCGAATCGATACAGCATCAGCGATCCAGCAGCGATTCGCACGATTTACGGCACCGGCTCGAAATTCAGCAAATCTGAGTATTATGATCCCTTTGGCGGGCCTATAATCAACCACAAAGACGTCTTCAGCGAAAAGAACAATCAAAAGCACGCCTTAGAGCGGAGAAAGACCTCAAATTTGTACGCCATGAGCTCTCTCGTTTCGTACGAGCCATACGTGGACAAGGTAAATAGAGAGTTCATGGTCGCATTGGCCGATAATGCCCAACACAACCGCGAATTTGATCTTTTCACCTGGATGCAGTTTTATGCATTTGATGTAATAGGCGAAATCACTTTCGGACGGTCATTTGGACTGATTGAGGCCGGCTATGACAAGGACAGACTGTTGCATGCAGCCCACGTCGCATCTATAAACTATGGCTCAAACGTGGGACTAGTTCCTGAGATCCATAGGCCATATTTCTGGCTTCAGAGCATTCTCCCAATTGAGAGCCACTGGCGAGTTATTCAACGTGTCATACTTCGGGAAATTGGAGCCAGAGTAAAGGGTGTCAGTGAAAGCGACCGCGAGGATTTCCTCCAAAAGTGTGTAGAACTGACCAAATCTGGCAAGATGGATCAATCCACTATGAACAACGTCCTTGGTTCTAATGTGGGCGCTGGCTCTGACACTACTGGTATCAGTTTGACTGCAATCATCTACTTCCTCATGAAGAATCCCACTTGCCTGCAGAAACTCCGCGTTGAGCTTGACACGGCCACCCGCGAAGGAGCTCTATCTGATCCTGTCACCTTCCATGAGGCACAAAAACTTCCTTATTTACAAGCTATCATCAAAGAGTCCCTGAGAATGCATGCAGCCGTTGGCCAGATTCTCAGTAGAGTCGTTCCGGAGGGTGGTACACAGCTAGCGGGTAGATACTTCCCCCAAGGTGTAAGTCCTCGTTGAACCCCTTAAGAACTCCCAGACACAAATACTAATTGAAAATTAATTTACAGACCGTCGTGGGTGTGAATGCTTGGGTAATCCATGGTGATGAGAGCATCTGGGGCAAAGATGTACACCAGTTTCGCCCCGAACGTTGGCTGATCGAAAAAGAGAAGCTTGCATACTTAGATCAACATTTTCTCGCTGTAGGACTTTCTTGGTACTCCTTGAAATCAAAGATGAAAATTGTGCTGACGCTGCCCATAGTTCGGTGCCGGTGCAAGAACGTGCATAGGTAAAAACATATCCCTTCTCGAAATGACAAAATTAGTACCACAGCTCGTGAGGAAGTTCGACTTTGTGCCCGCTGATAAGAGTGAATGGACAACTAGAAGTGGATGGTTTGTAAAGCAAAGCATCAAGGTAAAGGTCTTGGAGAGGAATTGAGAGAAGCCAATGGCCATCCGAATGCCTAGTCTGTAATGCAAGAAGCGAGATAATAGGGCAAGGCTACAAGCGAAAGCGAATTATTCACTACTCCAAATTAGGGTTATAAGAACAGAAGCTGTTGGCGTTTCCAATGAATGGTACATTACCCAGCGCAAGTAGTTGATACATTGTAGTGCTCCGGATGTCGCTATGTGTTTGTACAATGAGCGGAGTATTTTGAAGTCCAGCTAATTTTTTGTAATGTCCTAGGTTACTTTCTTTGAAAGCACTACGAATTATATCAATCGCGGCTTTTAAATAATCTTTCAGATATTATCTACCTGTATATTCAATACTCTTTAGTGGACACACGGACGTAGGCATGAAATGTCCACTTTGTCACTCTCATGGTCTTCAACTCACTCTTGCGGGATCGAAACAACAGGAACAATGATTTTCGAGTCATATTTACCACCAAAGTGAATTGTGTGCTGACCCTCATTCAGATTGCCGAGCTTCTTCTCAATATGACTAGGAAAGTCCGAACTCGTGTCAATGAATCCTTGGACGCGGAAGAGCAAACCTTCGCCCGCTTCAAAATGAATACCCATAGGCCAAAGAGCAATTTCAAGTTTGACAATCTCGCCCTGGGGTACTTTTTCTTCTTTATCGTGTGGGTGATAAGGAATAATGTGGGTACTTCGTTCTGGATCCTGTGCGCGATGCGAGGCACGAAGAATACCAGTTGGTCCAGTGTACTGCGGTACGAACTTCAGCAACTAGTTTTAGATGTTAAAGATGTATATCGAAAAACTGACCTTGACTGTTTGGGCCATTGGAACGTCGTATTGAGTATTGACTCCTTCGGGCAAAGCCTCCCAGGGCACATTGACATGCTCTAGTACTTCGCCACTTCTGCTCAGCTTGCGGATGGACACGTATACATCCATGTCATCTTTTTCTTTGCAGGACATCCAGAGCTCCGCTTTCGAATGGCCGACAAGAGTGGTCGCTTTGTCAAAGTTTAACACGAATTCAGACGGCTTAGATTGGTAGCTGTCTGCTCCATGAGTAACAGATTCCTCCTCTGCTTGTGGCGAGGTCGACAACTTCGCAGATCCCTGCAGATAAAGTTCCCGATACTCTGTGGATGGAATCGGGTAGTCTGAAAATGGTACGTCCCATTTGGGGCCCTATTGCACGGTATTAGATGCGTGTCGCCATCTTATTTGCTTTTCAACATACCGGCTCGAAACGATTTCCATATGTGAGAATAGAGATTCTGGCTCSAGGAGTCTCCTCCCAACCGTTCTGAACACCCTTCAAATAGCGATCAAAAAAGCGCTGCAAGTCATTGATGTACCTTGGAGTGTAAAGATCGAACCACTCTTGAGTCGGATGGAAGCGAATCCATTTCTCCTTTGAAGCGGCATTCTTCCAGCCTCTCACAGTACCAGATCCATGGTTACCAGAAGAGTAGCTTACAAGGGCATATATGGGCAACGTAAGACTACTAGTATCATAGACTTTGTCCGCCCAGTATGCGTTGAACAGGGGCCATTTGGATATCGCACCACTAATATCCTCCCGGCGGTTTCGGCCACGGATCGTCTTGTTGAAGATAAAGGAAGCAAAATTGTCCTTCGGAACACCGCCTCGACAGATCAAGTCACGATACTTGTCCGTAAACCCTTCCCATGGAGCTATGCACTTGAGTGAAGGGGGTCTTTGAATAGCAGTCGTCCATTGCTCGGTCGCGAGCCAGGAATTTCCACACATACTGACAGCACCATTGCACCATGGCTGTACTGCGATGAATTCAACTGTATCATACCCATCTCGACCTGCCTGTTGTTAGTATGAAGCCTTACTTCCTGAAACTAAAATCGGAAATTCACCCATCTGGCTTCCTTCAATATAAATGTCTCCTTCGCTATCCCATGAACCTCGGATATCTACGTTGACAATAGCGTAGCCCCGCCGGCACCATTCAGCGGGGTCAGGACTATCTCAGTTGGTCAGTATGCTCTATATGATTATAGAATATAATCCGTTTACCCTTCGAATTTCTCCAAGCCTGACGTGGCACTCTCTGGTAGTCCAAGCCGGAAAGGTATGTTGTCGAAGATGCGGAATCCTTGCAGAAAGAGTACAGTTAGCTCGTATTTGCACAATGGATATAAGCTTAGTGACGTACCGTGTCCATTTTTGCCATACGGGCTCAATGCCAGTATTGCAGGGAGCTTCGTCTCTGTGACGGGCCTAAATATGTCGGCGTAGATCTAGCACTATATTAGTATCGGGTTTTTCTACAGATGATTTGTATTTTACTGACCTTGACCCCGTCTCTGAGCGGGATTTCGACATGTTCATCAAATATGAGCTCTTCCGGCAGCGCACGTCGACCTTCCTTGAATTGCCAGCCTACAGGAAGCGTTCTAGTGTTCCTAGTCTGCTTCTTGTAGGGATACATGTTTGTCTCATCTTCAGGTTTCACGGCAGGCACCCAAGGGATGGGCAAGCCATCAAACTCAAGATTTGGTTCGCTCATGATTCTTTGGTTTGCAATTTTGACAAATTCTAAACGCTGTGTCTGATAAGTTAATTGAGGCATCTCAATCTTTTCGTACTCAAACAGAAGATATACAGGTATCTATTTGGTAGTCTCTAGCATTCCGCGGAGCTTGAAGTGGTTCCGTCAGTACACGGAAAGTTATGTTTTTGGAGACATCAACAGCGGTCATTGTTACATTGAAAGGACTTCCGCGGAATTGAATTGGCACAATTGCATTGATGCCTTGTGAGCAATCCATGGCTAAATCAAAGCCAGAAAAAGAGAACGGAAAGAGTGGCATCTCCTCTAAAATCCAGAACAAATTACGCAAAGACTGATGTCAACACCCGACCTTTAGTTTAACAATTATATAACAAAGCGAGTCTCGTGGATTTTAGGAAACAAATTTTATATGATTGCTGCAAATTTTGCAGTCGCTGCCTAATTCAATACTGGCCTTATATTTCAGTTTCAATTGCTGTGATCATGTTAGTCTCAACCCGCCTGAAGACCATTTTACCCACTGACGTCCTAACGTCAGGTATACCACGTCCTTTGCATTCTTCGAGGCATTATGGGAGGTATGTTTTAAAATTGCCCCTGTTTAAACCATTGATTGTGCTCTGTGTACTGACATTTGACATAGGCCGGAATCAGTCATGTTTTTGTGAACTTGGGCTCCGACCATCCAAGTATCATGGAGGCGATAGTCAAAGGTCAGCGCGAACGACCCGAGTCATTTCCTAGAATCATCACATGTCCTAGCGAAATGGTCGCACTCTCAATGGCGGATGGATATGCCCGACTATCCAATCAACCCCAATGCGTAATCATTCATGTTGATGTGGGAACCCAGGCCCTAGGACCAGCCATCCATAATGCCTCGTGTGGACGAGCTCCTGTCCTTATTTTCGCGGGCCTATCTCCTTTTACGCTTGAAGGAGAACTACGCGGATCTCGCACTGAATTCATTCACTGGATCCAGGATGTGCCAGATCAAACACAGATCGTCAGGCAATACTGTCGCTACACCGCAGAGTTGAAGACGGGCTACAATGTGAAGCAGATGGTAAATCGTGCGTTGCAGTTTGCAACTAGTGAGCCACAAGGTCCAGTTTATCTCTGCGGTGCTCGAGAAGTGATGGAACAGGAAATTGAGCCGTATCAACTAGAACGAAAATTTTGGGGCCCTGTTCAGCCTGTTGCACTCCCTGCCGAGGCGCTTCCAGTTATTGCGTCATTACTCCTTGACGCTCGAAACCCCCTATGTATCACGGGATACAGTGGTCGGAAGCATGATGCTGTTGATAGCCTTGTCGCTCTTGCCAACGTTGTAAAGGGCATGCGCGTCCTCGACACGGGTAGTAGTGATATGTGCTTTCCGGCGGATCATCGTGCATGGCTGAGCTGCCGGTATGGGGTTCATGACGCTATTACCACTGCTGATGTGATTCTAGTCCTTGCATGTGATGTTCCATGGGTAAACACGCGTTGCAAGCCATCCAGAACTGCCCGCATTGTTCATATTGACGTGGATCCGCTCAAGCAGCAAATGCCTGTCTTCTATCTTGACGCTGAGCTGCGGTATAGGGCCGATGCGGGAACTGCATGTCGTCAAATTGTGAATCACATATTGGGCGACGCAGAAATGACCAAAGCAACCCAGTCACCTACATTTGACAGCCGATGGGACGCATTGGGGCTGTCTCACGTTAGATTGCTAGATTCTCTCCGGGAGACCGCCCAACCTAATGAAGACGGCTCTTTCGGAACCGCTTATCTATGTAGTCTTATTCGAGAGCTAGCACCCAATGACTCCATATATGCGATAGAAGCTGTTACTAATACTGCAATTGTTGCGGACCAGATCCAAGCCAATCTACCTGGACAATGGTTGGGCTGTGGTGCAGGAGGACTTGGATGGAGCACTGGTGGCGCTTTGGGAATAAAACTCGCAAGCGATGCACTTCAACGCGATGGGCCAAAGAAAATGGTCATTCAAATAGTCGGCGATGGCTCATACATGTTCAGCATTCCCGGAAGCAGCTTTTGGATTTCTCACCGGTACAAGATACCCATACTGACTATCGTCCTCAACAATCGAGGTGAGCTGCCTCTAATTTTTTCTATCTATGTACTGCTTTACTAACTGAATGTTTCTTCCGACAGGTTGGAATGCGCCTCGTGTCTCGATGGAACTCGTACATCCCGACGGCCTTGGGTCGCAGGTCAGCAACGATGAGCTCAATATTGCATTCTCACCTACACCAGACTATTCTGGCATTGCGAAGGCAGCTTCGAATAACACAATCTACGGGGTCAAAGTTTCAGAAGCTTCAAATTTAAGAGATGTACTCCGAGAGGCGATCCGACAAGTGCAGAATGGGACGACGGCTGTCGTAGACGCAGTTGTCCAAAATACGCCTTCTCGGCGGTGAAAGCGTGGCGAAGAGAAAATAATCGTGTAGACATAGATAGATTTTCTTACGTTCTGATTCTTGAGAATCATGACAGAATTATTTTCTTCTTGCATTGTCTGGCAGATTCCTCTCTCTTCGCGACTAGCATTCTCTTTTTCGGACTAGATGAAATTTGTCCCACAGGTTGTTGGAGAAATACTGAGTACGAGGACGACTTGCATGCGGAACGGAAAGTCTCAACAATTCCGCGGAACAAGAGGAGTATATATGTGTGACTCTATTGGATATCTAGACGCACGCGCCATCTAAGTTCTATGGCAAAGTCAGTACGTAGAAGCAAATGGCTTCTTCGGCACTTAGCACGGCATTTGGCACAACAGCGGATCACCGGATCCCCCGGCATCCAGCAGTTCCCAGATCCGTACGTACTCCGCACTCCGTAGCAAGCCACTTAAACATGTCTCCTCAGATTTGCGGAGATGAACCCCAATTGCCCCCAGCACTACTCTAGGTTTTTTTGCAGCTTTGCGGATTTTGCGGGGTAGCTTGTAGGGTAGTCGCTTTCTAAAAGTACACCGTCATCTAGCTCATGATTAAGTTGAGGAATACACTCTTCTCTATTATTATTTTTCCAGTATGCAAACAATCACACCCCCAGCATCATCTAACATGAAAAGATCTATGGATGCTATCCGAGAGTCTCGTCCCCGAAAGAGGAATAAATATGCACGAGTAGCCTGGTAGGTCATTCTTCTTCTGAAAGAGCTCTATCCATCCATTGAACGTCTTTACAGCACATTATGCAAGGTCCGAAAGGTTAAATGCAGCGGTAACCAACCCTGCAGTCGCTGTGAGGAACTCCAGAGTGAATGTATCTACAACGAACCTCTTCACCCTGAGACGCAGTATGATTTACTATAATGAAGAATATCAACGTGACACCTGGACTGACTGAACATTCAGCATCATCAGCCCCCAGTCAATCCAGCCTGACCTGGAACTTTCGGTTTCACGTCTCAATCAGACCTGCGATCTGATTCAAGAATTGGTGGGCCGTTCTGTCGACTCGCACCAAAACCGGCCTAGTCTGCAACGAAAAAATACAAGAGTCGATGAAGATGTGCAATCTCAATCACGTATCTCAACAGACTTCAGGAATACCTTGGATTATACTAAATGCCTCTTGAAGGTAGAAGGATCGCCATCCCAACCAGATTTCAACAATCTTAGCCGTTCTTCGCTTGCTGGGGACAAGGTAAATTCTTCCACAGACGCCTTGATTACTTTACTCCAGGCCGCGCGCCCAGTTTTGCAACTTGGTTATGAAAAGATCAACCAACTTCATACGGTTTTTATGCAAGAAATCTACCCACTCTATCCTTGCATTCGTTTGCACTTGACGAGGGACATTGTCGACACGGTATTCTCCCTTCTGGCTCGTGGCCCCTACAGTGCTACATACGACCTAGATGTGATTGATATCGAGATCATGAAAGCAATTGTGGCAATTGCCTTGCTGGCTCAAGGCGACACCCAAAATCCATTAGCCTCCGATCTTGAGGGCCATCTATTGTGGAGCGTAGATTCCTGCTACGATCAGGAGCACCCACAGATTGAAGATATCGTCATGGCAACTTTGTTGGTGAGCTGCTCCCTTTTCTCCACACTGTCTACCTAACACAAATTAACTCGTCTGTTACAAAGTCTCTTTATTTAGACCTCAAGCATAAGCCAATCAAAGCATGGCGAATGTCCGGAGTCGCGGCTAGATTTTGTCTTGAACTCGGCTTTCATCAAGAACACTTCTTCGATAGTGCTGGCATGCATCCGGATCGGATGTTAGACTGTAAGCGCTTGTTTGCGTGCGTCTATGACGTAGACAGAAGGTGCAGTTTCTATTCAGGGCTACCCTGGACACTTCATGATAGTGATATTGATGTAACTGCACTTGGACTGGTACGTCTGCCGGTCATCACTCTACGAATACTTAGGTACAGGTGCGCTAATATTTGTCACTACTTTAGGAGCCCCAAGAATCGTTTTTAGCAACCATGATATCTCTAGACAGAAGTCTCTCCGAAACATGGGTAATCATCAACTCTCCGTCTCCGCAAAGGAAACGGAATCGCGAACGCGTCGAATTTCTCAACTTTCAGCTCCAAAATCTCGTTAATAACATACCAACAGACGAATTCGCCCCATTGGAGCCATCACTATATTCGCCAACATGGCTACAGGTCGGATTACAGCTGTTCTGTCGTCTTCGCGTACGTCACATCAAGATGCTCAATTATGTCGGATCGTTTGATTCAATCAGGGATCTCATATCGCAACCACAATCGGCCAGAGCCCTTGTCACTTCTGCCGCTGAGGCTGTGGATATTGCTCTGGAAATGATTAACAATAATGGCGGCAAAACCAGTCCGCTTCTATTACCATCAACATTCAAATTTCTTCTCTCTTCTCTCTCGTTTATGCTATTGGTCGTCTCGCATTACCCGACACAGTATAGAGATATGTGCAGCAAGCCTTTCCACAATGCTATTGACATGCTTAAAAACATGCAGGGCGTCGTTGAAGACCCCAGTCTTGATATCTCTGGGGCAATACAAGAGCTGCAGAAGATTGCTGAAGCCATTCAGCTGATGCTACCACCAGCAGCTGAGCGATCAGCGGCTTCCTTGCTCTTGGCAGATTCCAAACATGAAGCAAACAACAGCGCACACTTAGGCCAGACATATACTGGACCAAATGTGTTTGATGAGCTTCAGACACCGGATTCCGACTTTTTCACTAATTTAGGAGATGTCAATATTTCTGCACCTGATTTATTGTACATGAATATGAACAACATGTTTGACTAGCCACTCAGGCAGAGGCAAAAGAAAGGAGATCGATGTGTGGGGATTAGTCTAGTGTCTTGAATTGGCATATCTACAGACACACTCTCATATACAGCCACAAAACTACAGTTCAATCTAACATCAAATATTCTTCTAGCCACTTCATAATTCGAACTTTACTATAAGCTAGATACATATCGTCTACCGCACTTACCACGAAGCACTAGAAAGAAATTGAGGCAGCCCTGCCAATCCCTCAATACTATCCATTATCGAGCTCGTCTCCGGCGAATCCTCCAGATGAAGCCACATGCCATAATCAGGACTCGGCTCATCGTCAACAGGATCTGGCGAAGACAAATTCAATGGCGAATTGGAACTCGTTATAGTAGACATCACGCCAAAATCGACAACTGAACGGAGAATGTCTATATCTGTGGGTGACAAGTCATCGGCAAAGGGATAATTTTTGAGAATCGTTCGGTATTTGGTGCTTTGGCAAAGGAAATTTTGTAATCCGGTTGCCTTCCACTCGGTCAGCAAGTAGTCGAGCAAAGGTAGGGGTGAGGATAACTTACAAATGATTCAGCAATCTTGTAATAAGGCGAGACCTCATCCAAATACCCTTTACACCGTTGCACACATTCCCGTGCCCTAGCCTGCATCGAAGGATCCTCTGCATCCAGAAACAAAACTTGAATCGATCCCGCTACCATAACACAATAGCAAAAAAAAGCTGTGATACCGCATTTCAAAGCTTTGGCTTGAACCAGGAGATCGGACAATGCCAACGAATGCACAAAGCATTCATGTCGACTACCCCTCAACCAACTGGGCGGGATATTGAAATGACATTTCCGTAATTTGACTGCCAGTAAGAATGGATGATTCAACATGCAATTCGTCAGATGGAAGAATGCTCGTGCGAGGAGGAAATGACCGACTTTCCTTTGGTCGATTTTGCCGTTTGTGAGAAAGTCTTGTCGTTGTTGCATGGTGGATCCGGAGAAGCGTCGTCGCATTTGGGAGGTGAAGAGAAATAAAGTGGATTGAATGGTTCCGTATTCGGACTTGTGATCCCACGGAGGTAGGGCTTCGATTTCGTCGCGAAAAGCGTATTGGGTTGCACGACTTGCGGCTGAGGCCATTAGCACTGCAGACGAGAAATTACCCAACGGGTCACGCTGTGTCTCGTTATATTTCAAAATTGCTGGTAATGTCATTGTGGCATCTAATCGGGAAGAGGCTGACGGATAGTCCAATGTCTCGGAGGGAAGTCGGACGTGGCAATCAGAGTCTATAATCGCTAATGGTCTTCCCGAAGAACAACAAATTATTCGTTCTAAAAGATATAAAGACCAGAATAAATGCCGTCTTTCTTCTTGCTCGCTTTCTGGGATATTCAGGCCTGTATCGCGCATCAAATCTAGGTCTTGACTGATTCGGATTGCCATTCCGACTTTGACCCAGGAAGCTCTTTTTCGGCCAGCTATAATGTTGTCAACCTCGTCACATGGCGGCAGTTGACTGTATCAAACGAACTCACCCAAAGTATCAATAATCGACAAAAGCGCAATCGCCTGCACAACCGAAATATCCGGCTCATCCACCAATGCCAACCCGGAAGCCGATATGATATCCCACGACAAACAAGCATATTTATCGATGGCTTCTTCCTTGCAGTCTCTCCAACATGCTTTGCTGGAATATCGAATCGAGGTCGCTAATATAGCCAATTGCAGATACATCGGAACCCGGTCCCAGTGGAACCGGGACATGAATCTATCTTCATCGAAGAAGGAGAATGGTTGGTTGTAGCAGTGAAGGAAATAGGTTCTGCATGCTTCGAGGATGATTTCTCTTGATGGATAGGGTTCTTGGAGTGTCTGGTTGTTCGAGGGGATGTTTGTGATGTTTCGTTTTGGGATTTGTAGGGGTGTTATTGTGTATCCATCATAGTCAATATGTGATGGTGGATTCTGTTAGACATTTAGTTGCGTGGTTTTATAGACAAGTTGACGACAGTGATTTTTTCAATATCAAAAGTCGAGATACCTACATCGATCTCCATGGTGGGTGAGCGCAATGCTGGGATGAATAGCGCAGATAAGAAACATCAACCATCAATTGAGACAACTGCTCAGCACTGAATGGTATTTGTTCGAAGTATAACGTTCTTATTAATATGCAACTTGTGACAATAGCACTTAGGCTCTTCAATTAGTTGTCCGTTCGCAATGCATCCTATTCCAAGTCCTAGCAACAAGAAAAATTGCAACAAACTCCACCGCTTATCCCCCAGAGTCTGATCTCTCCCCTGTGGTGAGATCAGCCAATCTGCCAAGTCTATGCGCGGGTCGAACGGCTCAGCAGATGCGGGGATTTCCCGTAGCCTGTTATTGGGGGCTAATCAGGGCTGGACTGTCCAGGCCCGCTTCTATCCGCGAAAGATACGCGCCGGTCGAAGCATGTACGGGAATTGGCGTAGATAATGTACGTATAGCTAATTGAGCAGCAGTATAGAATCTATCTTAATATTTCTGATTAAGAAACGTCAATTACTAGGGTCTTAAAAAATATTGGTAGATCATCCTCGTTCGTGTTAGGGTTGAGATCTTAGGGTTATACTAACCAATCAGCATTGAGCGATATCGGTGGGGTATTGCGGCCCAAATAAGGAAAAGTGTGAAATTTTTCTGGATGGACTGCAAATCTTGAACTTTACAAAGTCGATTCACTCATTCATATATTCAGTCACTCTTTACATACTCCTTTTTTGTGCTCTGAGTTGACTCCGCTCGGAAGGAGTCTTCATTCCAGCAAAATGCCAGCCCTCCCAGCCGATGGCGACTACATAACCATCTCACAACTCGTCGAACCCCCCACCGTCCCCAGCTGGCGCTCTCACGACCCAGCCCGCAACGCCAAACGAACCGACCCTTTTGCGTTTGGACAACGCTTCCTCGAAGAAGGTGACGACGTCTTTGCGTACAACGCCTGGGACCACGTCGAAACCGACGAAGACTACAAGGCCTACGCCGAACTACAGTATGCAAAACAGCGCGAAAACCCCGCTTCAGACTGGCACAAGACGCTCTATAACTCGAATCCGGCGAAATTCTGGGATCGGTTTTATAAGAATCATAATCAGAACTTCTTCAAGGATCGGAAATGGTTGAGGCAGGAGTTTCCGGTGTTGGCGGAAGTCACGAAACAGGGTGCGGGGCCTAAGGTGGTGTTGGAAGTTGGCGCTGGCGCGGGAAATACGGCGTTCCCGTTGATCAATAATAATGAGAATGAGGAGTTGAGGGTTTTTGCGTGTGATTATTCGCAGAATGCGGTCCAGGTGATGAGGAAGAGTGAGCATTATAATGAGAAGTTTATGCGCGCCGAGGTATGGGATGTCACATCTGAAGAAAAAGAGGTCGAGGGAGAGATAAAGTCTGCCATGCCGCCTGGCGTGGAAGAAGGCTCAGTTAATGTCGTGATTCTCATCTTCATCATGTCTGCACTAGCCCCGAATCAATGGAATGCGGCTCTTCGGAATATACATCGAGTTCTTAAACCGGGTGGTCTGGTTTTGTTTCGTGATTATGGCCGTGGCGATCTTGCGCAAGTGCGGTTCAAGAAGGAGCGCTATCTGGCAGAGAATTTCTATGTGCGGGGCGATGGCACGAGAGTCTACTTCTTTGACGAGGAGGAATTGACGCAGATTTGGAGTAGTTGGACGCCAGAGAAGGGCTTGCCGATGGTGAATAACGATAAAGATGGCGAAAGTGACCAAACAGAGAATAAAGAGGAACAACACACGGAGAATACCGCCGAGAAAATATTAGAAGAAACAGGCGACAAGCAGCCAGAACAGGAGCAGACAGAGGGCTTCGAAGGCGCCTTCGAGGTGCTGAATCTCGGTAAAGATCAAAGACTTTTGGTCAACCGCCAAAGAAAGTTAAAAATGTATAGATGCTGGCTACAGGCTCGTTTTAGGAAACGCATTCCAGGTGAGTCCAGTGATCAGGAATCGGCACCAACAGCCGAGTCGGTCACAGAGGGACTTGCGGCTACTACTTTATAGACTGATGATTTAGCGATGAAAAGCATTTGATCTGGAGGCATTCTCCTTTAAAGACCGTAAATTCAAGTCTATATTATACATGGCTCTCTTCTCCTCTGTACTCCTGACCTATGTACAATAGAGAACTTGTATTGTGATTCGATATGCCGGAATTGACCTCACATGAACGCTACAATAACATGTAGCAGCAAAACTACCGGTCTTCCTCTCCGAACCCTTAGTCCTATGATGAACACTGATTTGATCAGTCACGGCCCTCAAATAGTTTTTTTGCATCGACTGAAACAGTTTCGTCTAAGTCTACAGAGTTGCCGACTTCTTTGGCTCCTACCGCATACCTTCAGGGATCAATCATAGCACCCCTCCTCCCC